ATTTTCTTCACCTCAAACACATCATAGAGAAGAAGCTGCTGCTGCTGCTCTTCATCGGTTTTTTTTCCCCACCACGAAGCCTGAGAGCTCTTTAGCAGTCTGAAGCGCTGCCTTGTTTGTTAGCAGTGATTTGCAGGCACAGGGTCATGGTAATTGGAGGAACACAAACCTGACCATTTCTTCCCTGTAACCGTGTCTGCCCTACTTCTGCTCTTATACCGCTGAAAGAGCAGCCAAACTCAGCAGCCGAGGAGAAGCTCGCAACATAACAAAGTGAGAATTTAATGAACTCTAAACCGCTCTTTCTGTGACATCTCTCCTTCTCTCCTCTCCCCAGGCAGCAGGTGTGCAGCGTGACACACACATTTCAAGAGACATCTCATTCTGTTTGATTTTCGTGGCTCGGCCCACTGATACAGCTGACTCTGAGTTATACAAGCACCTGTAGGGTACACCGGATGTTCGACCATGAAAAGACAATCAATATTTAGCGTCACAGAGTGTGAAACGGGAACATATGGAGTCCAGCCTTGGCTTAATACTTCCATCACACTGTCATGACTGTGCTTCTTGGAGTGTTTTTATCAATCCTCAGAGTGTGCAGCAGAGACAGGTAAAGTGCTCTTGAACACGTGCAGGAACAAGAGTGTGCAATCTTCCATTTACTGTATTTATTATAAAAGCAGTATGCAGGTCCAGTATGCAATGAATCACTGCATCCTACATTCGTACTGAAAGTGCCAGCTACATGATTGTACATGTTATGCAACATATTTATCACCAGTATGTTAATCGCATGTGACACTGTCTCTGCTCTCTGCAGGTCTAATAATGACAGAACACAGGAACAACCGTCTGCAGCCTCAATAATCAGGGAAACCAAAAGCATCCAAAAACAGCACCATCTAGGGTCCAGAAACCCATGCTGCAGCGATCAAAAAACCACGTATGAGGGAGTGATTGACTCACTCATTTTGAAGTAATTGACTGAAGGATTCACACAAAGTACACTCACAGGATGGAGAAATGGCTAAAACGATGAGGTGGCTAAAATAGCAGCAAAAGGAAGCCTGTTGCAGATTTTCAAACAATCCCCGAAACTCTCACCCACCTAGGAGAGGAAACTACATCCTGTGATTCACCTGTGAACAGGGATTTGCCTCCCTTTGAATGTGAAACCTTTTCTGGGCCTAAGGGTGCTTCATGCTGCGTCTAAAATACCTTTGCAGTGAGAGGGCTGTCCTGGATACGAGAGCGTGTGGAGGCGATGTGGGTGCAGAGGTTCATTGGTGATTCCTCAAAACTTTGTTGTCTCACAATCACTTATATGGGCATTTGTTTATATAACTGTGCCTGCAGCTGCCCACGTCTGCCTCTTCAATCAGCTCTGGCAAAGCAGAAAGAAACTCGATTATCAGCTGATTTGTCTCAGACGAAGCTCTTTTGATTTAATTTAAAGCGTCTTGTCAAATGTAGTATTTTTTCTGTAGTTTGCTTGTTTTTATGATAGGTTGTTGTTTTAAAATATTTTATATTTTCTTCTGTCTCAATCACATTGCTTTATGAGATTTTGTCCATTTAATGTGTGCAGATATCCTAAATCTCACAAATCAAGCAGATAAATTTAATGATTACTTTAGTATAAGATCTGTGGATGCAAATGTGCAAACAAATGTAGCAGTGGTCACTAAATAAGTTTCAAACCATCACTTTTATTTAGAAATTTCTATTATCTCTCCCAACAAATTCTTTCCAAACTAATCATATCAGTGTCCTCTAAGATACTGCTAACATATAACATATATATAACATATCTTTTAAAGCTCCTACAAGGATTTTTTTTTTATATTAGTCAAGAAACTTATGAAAAAACAACTTAAAGGAAATTCCTCAAGCTGCGACTTACTTGATTTCTCCCTTTTTTCAGATTTTTCTTTTACTTTCCTTTCACGTGTTTGTTTAGTAGGCCTGATCAAAATATCAAGATGTTTAATTCGGAGTATAAAAGGGAAATCAACTGAAAATTATTCAATCCCTAATCTGCAGGTAGCACTAAGTGTCCCGCCCTCTACTGGAAAAGGCCATTTGTACATTTCTGAGTAATGTTTAACGACTGTGGGTCCACGACAGGGTTCAGGATGTACTCGACAGGAATGTAATTATTGTATATACTGTATAAGCGTCACATTGGATGTAATCTAGAGTATGACGGCGTGCTCATGTGTGGGATCAGGTCCTGCTGTGTGGCCACCAGGTCCACGCATGTGTGACATGACTTACCGTGTTGTGATGCACAGGAAGTTGTTTTAAGGGTGACACATGCGACTCCGGTGGCGTACAGTGTACCGATGTGTTACACGAACACTGTCCTTCTTACTCGTAATGCCAGCGTCATAAGACAGTTTGTTTACTACAATCCAAACAACTACTATGATCCTGCCGCAGCTGATCTCATAACTGTTTGAAATGTTATTAAGAGTGGCTCACCGAGGGGATTAGGGACCAAATATGAAGAGTGCAAAAACGTCTGCGAAGGAATGGAAAAGATGAGATTTTACACGAGTTACATAAAGACGAGAGGATCTTTTTTTGCTCCAAAGTGCAATAACATGAATAGAGTATAGCACATAAAGAAAAGAGTAGATACTGTTAAAGTCACTTTTAATATTCAGTGTTTTTTAGTGCGTCAAAGGTTTAACTTTTCAGTAGAATTTTAAAAAAGACCCATCAAGGTTTCCTGGAGTGTATGGCATTACCTTGAAATTCACATTTGTGCTGGAAAATTGGCCAATTATGTATAATTTCTCATTCAATGTTTAAAGCACTTTCAATTTTCTCTACATCATCAATGTTAAACCAATATAAAAGTCCAATTTGCTTCGTCAAAGTGTAAAGAATCTGACAGAAATTAAAATCATTTCAGAGTAAAGCACAATCCCATGTTTTGTCTACTTACAGAAATTATCCTTTAAGGTTTCAGGGGAGCTTAAACGGTCACCAACTTGGTGTTTGAACGATTAAGCGAGTCTAAATCCCTTTAATGCAACTTTGAAGCTCCTCATAATGACTTTTACAGCTGGGAAGTGTGTGGAGCACCATTTTCCCTTTAGACCATACTGACAGGCTTTTGTTGCCTTATAGAAACCAAATGTTTTTATTGGGGCCCGAGCGATATGGATTTTTTGAGGGGGGAGTCCGATTAATCTGCCGATTTTTTAAATTTTTTATGAAGTTATTAAAAAATATATATGTATATATATATATATATATATATATATATATATATATATATATGTAGTACATATCTACAGTATTCTGTATACTTTAGGGTACTGCTCTTCACGCCTACAGGAGGACTGACTGATCAAACCCGGATCAGAAAAGCGTTTTCAACTCCCCTATAAATCGGTTGGGCCTTACTTTTTATGTTTTATTGTATCCTGACTGAGGCGAACGGGTTCAGCTGACATCTGTGGGTTTATGATGACAATGTGAAATAGTCATCCATGTTTAAATTTGGATCTTGTACTGAAAATAGAGCACTTTGTCCAGATTGCACACACAGAGAAACATCAGTCCCGCGGGTCATCTTAACCCCTGAGCCGCAAGGTCGAGTCATCCTCTGTCCTCCTTGATGAATTTATAACCTGAATCTATGTCAGTCTTCACTCTTAATATGGCAGGGAAACTAATTAAAGTTAGAGGAAATTACTTTATAATGTTGCTCATCAAAGTATATAGTGTGGGATCTAAAAATTCCCAAGGCACCACAACACATCACATCTCAGCGTGACTCCTGACTCCCACCTCTACTCGACTGTTTTACTTGAGGAGGGGGACCCATAGAGGGAGGAAAATGATGATGATGATGATGATGATGATGCCCCTTGGTAATCAGCTGTAGCCTACTGTGTTTTCACTTCCTGGCTCCTGATGTTTGAGCAGCAGTTTTTTTAAAATCAAATATTCATGGCTTTCTCTCTTTTTCTCTCTCTGACTTAGAGGAGGAACAGTGCCAGCAGTACAGCAACAGGCACACACCCACGTTAGGTTATCCCTTTCACACTTTTTCGAGAACTACCCAGATCCACCCACATCCCCAGAGAGACAGAGAAATGGAAAGAGGGAGGGTGACGCCCATTCCTGTGTGCATGTGTGTATTTGTCTATGTGTGTGTGTGTGTGTGTGTGTGTGTGTGTGTGTGTGTGTGTGTGTGTGTGTGTGTGTGTGTGTGTGTGTGTGTGTGAGGCAGACACGGAGATGGAGAGAGTGAGCGCACGCCAGCTGTGTGTTCCCTCTCCTGCATTGCTGCACTGTCTGCCCCTCGCTTCAACTTTTAATTGGTTGCGTAGAGCCGCTGTTACTATGACAGCAACCGGAACAGTGCGCGCGCCTTGATGCTCTCCGCACAGCTGACTTGACTGAATGCCCCACGTGCTTTTCAGTGTGTGTAATTGCCTTTTAATTAACGCCACAAAGATGGTAATAATCCCCCTAATCCAACGTTAATGGAAGACATAGAAGTTTGTCTTTTCTTCATTAATTAACAGATGATTTGTGTTCAATTATTGATACAAATTCACCTTTTATTGCTTCACATCTGTGTGAAAGGTTATCAAATCTCATATTCACTTATTCATCTGTACGCGTGCATGTTCCCTCCCTCCCCTGATCCTCTTTCCGGTACCTTTGGCCCTGCGTTCATATCTGCGTAGTTTGATGTTAATAATCGTTTGTCTCTGTCTCCCTGCACAGACCCCTCCCCTCCCCTCCCTCTCTCTCTTTCACTCCCTCCCTCCTTCCTCTGCGCGCTGACACACTCGCTCTCACACTTCACGCACACACACGAACGCGTCTCCCCCGCACACTCTCTCTCCCCCCTCCCCTCCGTCGTCGGTTTGCTGTCTCATTCACTTCAGTACGCCATCCACGCACTGACTCCGACTCTGCGCAAGGGGGGGCGGGGTTGGATATATACCTCCAAGAGCAGGCCACGAGCTACACTCAGATTGGACCCACTTGCAGTGCAAAGAGACCACAAGCAAGAAGACTCCGAAGCCGGGAGTAGAAGTACCAACATTGATCCTGGAGCTTTTTGAACGAAGAGACAAGACGAGAACACACACAGCGTTTATTCGGTTCTGCGGACTGTCTGCTGGAGCTCCGATTTTACCCGATTTGTACCTCCGCTATACGCCAGTTTTCTCTGGATATAGCAGCTAAACTAAGTTGGTAGTAAACTCTTTGGAGTTTGGTAAGAGTCGCTTTACATTTTTTCTTTGCTTGTGAGAGTGGACTGCACTGAAACTTGGCAACCGACCCGTTTGGGTTCAGGTCGGGCTTGGACCTGACACAACTTAGGACGAGAGCTGAAGACCTGAACACTTTGAGTCACAACTTCGAGTCAGCTGCTGCTACCCGAGTCCGGACCGGATAGAGAGCCGCTGACGGGACTTAGGGAAGAGCTTGACAGGTAAAGGGAGACTTTTATTTCACTTTTGAATGTGTGCTTTCAGTGAGATTCACATTTTCAGATTCACAAACAAGCCAAAGATAGTGAGTTTAAGAAATGCTAAGTTTTTAATCTGCAACGTGTTTCTGACTGTCTCTGTCCGTGGTGCTGAAACTCTCGCAAGTCTCCCTGTTTGAACAACTTTACCGCTTTTCTGCATCGATTTCAGTAACCAAACCTTCCCAAAAAGAGTGAATTTCACCCTGGATTTGTTCCGTTTACGTTGTAGTATACTCGTACTGCGGTCAAGTGAGTTGTACTCCGCGTTACCGGAGCAACAGAAAGTTAGATCGCGGCAACAGGTTGCACGCTGGAACTTTCCTTCTACGCTTGCATCGCTGAGGGTTGATTCACAAGATTCTACAATGTCTTCTTGCAAATGGCAAATCAAAGTTTAGATCATGCAGTTGCTGTTTTACACTCGTAATGCATTCAAGTGTGGGCAAAATCCTTGTATGTTTGAATTAAACACTGTCTTCTTTGATTAACTTAAGCAGCAATTAGTCAGCAATCAATCTTTAATTCACCCTCTTCCATGACAAGTTAGAGCTCTGTCATGATGGTGCAACTTGTCTCTGTCTTCTCCTGCAGGGACTTGCTGTCAGCAATCTGCACAAATCTGCTGTGTATTGCTGTATCTTGTTTTTTGCTTCTTTTCAAGTTTGTTTTTGCAACAAAGCCACAACAGGGGGTCGAGTTTTCTTGCACAAGTGCAAGTTTCTGCATCAGGAACAGCAGAAGAAAATGCACAAACAGTTTGCAGGAGGAAGCTTACTTATAGTGGCAAACAGGTGTATCATTCATTCTTAAAAACAGCACAATACTGAACAGGACTCAGGGAAGAAAACCTGGTTGTATATGATATGACTTCTCTATCAGCCTCTAAAATGCAGATTCATGCATCTTCTGTACAACTTCTTCATTCAGAAGTCATGCAAATCCCTCTGCAGACGATCAAAGCATCATATCTTATAAAATCTTTGCACACTGCTTTACAATTTTGTTCTTTTCTGCTTTTTTTTCCACTTACAACATGATTAATGCAAAGCTCTCTGCGATGAGACAGGGTGCTACAAAACTGCATGAATACAGCATTTCTCTGATGGTTATCTTGCACTTTCCACACAGATGTGCAAGAAAAAATGTTTAAAGTGCATGTCTCCATAACGACAAATGTCCTGCACTTTAAGGCTGCACAAATGCTGTTGACGACAGCAAACAGACAAGCAAAAGAAAGAGGGCAGAAAGGTTGGGGAGGGAGGGGTGTGAAAGGAGAGAGTAGAGCTCTGCTACGACAGCTGGACTTCTTTTCACTGTGTGCCTGATCAGATGCCCATTCATGGAGCTTCCGGTTGTTCGGAAGGCGGGAGAGAGAGACAGCCACCTACACAAAGCTGAGGTCTTTGCTGTGTTGCACACAGAGAGGAGAGGAGAGGGTTAGAGGGAGACAGGGAGATGTTGAAAGGAGATGTGAGGAAGGTAATTATGAGTACTCCGTCTGAAAAGTGCAGGTGCTTCTCACAGTGAATGTCGCTGCAGGCATCGCTGTTCCGCTGTGTCCCTGCACTGCCCATTTATTATGATTAACTTTTCTGTATCAGTTTAACATACAGGGAATCATCATTAGGTTTTAAAGACTTCCATCTCACTGACAACTTATCATATTTATATGCTCTAATTAACATGCCCTCAGCTTGTTTAACATAAATTAATAAGCAACAATAAAAAGAACAGTAAGAACAACTTAGACGAAAGAAAAATAACCCTGAATTCATTTGAAGGATGTTGCTGAGCAACAGTGTTTCCACCTCCTGCACTCCACAGAGCATCTCCTATCATTTCAGCCAGGTTGTGTTTTGTGCAGAGACCTTGATATTGATTCTGTCCTCTTTCTCAAGAGAGTTTGCAGCGGTCAGTGGAGAATTTATTTGATTGCAAGAAGAGTAACTTCTGCAGTAAAGTACCTGTGGATGCAAATGAATGCATGCAAAAATCTCTCCAAAAAAGAATAAATATGCAACATCTGAGTTGATTTAAAGAAGCTTTGTATTGACCGTGCATGCATTTGCATCTGTTATCATCTCATTTGTTTGAATCCATAGTTCTTTCAGTCTATCCTTTGGTATGTGGTGCCTGAAATGTTCCTAGAGTGATTTTTTTAATGCTCTGCAGCAGGGTATGTAATCACACCTTGCCACGGACACAGATGAACAATTTCTCTTGTTTTCCACTTAATAGAAGGAGCGCATTGCACAAATAACAGAACTAATAGGCGTCTGTGGTTGCCAGTGGCAATGCTTCTATGGACGTCAGACTGACGCACATGAATCGCAGTTCAGTGCAGTGTGTGGGAGGAAAAAGCAAGAGCACTGAGATACCAGTCTGCTGTGAAGGACTGTAATTGCAGAGCAAGAGCAATTATGTCCCTGAGAGCTGGGCATTTTGGATCATTGAATCTGCCCTGAAACACACTGATACTGATCAGAGGCAAATCCCTGATGCATGAATGTTAGGTCAACAATGAGTCCAATTAGAATGCATCACATGAATACTGAGTAAATAGTGTATTTCATATGGACACATGGATATCCTGTGTATTGATTTCCAACAGTGTGATTTTGGTTTCCCTCCCTTTAGTATATTGACAGATTTTCCTCTCTTTTTCCCTTCTCTGATTCCCTGCAGCTCCCTTGTGGTGCAGATACGACAGATTGTCTGATGCACTAAAGCCCACAAATCCAACACTTCTGTGTGCGGATCAGTTGAAGTCAGAAATCCTAGATAAGTGCAGTAACTTGCAACAAAGAAGTTATAAAACAACTTTACAAAGAAGAGTGATCAAAGAAACAAGAGGAAGAACATCCCCTAATCTAAGACGACCCAATGGCGTGGTCAGCTCTCGTAGGCCCCTGCGTGGCCCTCCTGCTGCTCTTCTTCGGCTCGACCTCCTGCACTCCCTCTGGCCCTGCCTCTGCCACCTGCGCCACCTTGGAGCAGAGCCGCTTCTTTGGTGTTTTCACCTCCTCGACCACCCTGCACTCTACGCCCTGTTCCTGGACCCTGCAAAACCCTGATCCTCGCCGCTACACTGTCTACATGAAAATCACCAAGCCTACTGAATCCTGTGTGCCTCGCCAGATCAAGACCTTCCAGTTCGACTCCTTCATCGAGACTTCCCGCACCTACCTGGGTATGGAGAGCTTTGATGAGGTTGTGAGGCTGTGCGATGCATCCACCACCGTCACATACCTGGAGTCCAGCAAGCAGTTCCTGCAGCTCCGCAGAGTGGCCCCGAGGAACGGTCTGGAGGTCGTTGAGGAGCACCACGATGTCAACGAGTTCAAGGCTGAGTTTCTGGTTGTGGGGAAGAGGAACCCAAGCATGCCTGCCTGCCAGATGCTGTGCCAGTGGCTGGAGAAGTGCCTGTCGAGCAGCACCCATGATTATCCCTGTGGCATCATGAACACACCTTGCCAGTGCTGGGAGGCGCCAAAGAGGAAGCCAGGAAGCTGCTACAGGGGCGGAGTCTATGTTGAGAAGTGCCTTCCCGTTCCTAAAGACAACGGACGTGACGCTGAGATTATCAGTAAGTTTGAAACACTCTGAAATACAATGCAAAAGTAAAGAATCTCTTACTTCTGCAGAGACAAACAAAAACAGTGTCCACCTGTACTATTGATTTTGTTGTTTTGTAATGCAATCCATTAGACAAGACCTGTTAATATGGGGGGGATCATGTTCTCAAGCCCCCCTGCAGCCCTGCAGACAGGTAGAGCCCTGCCATCAGGAGCTGTTGAGGGTAATGATCCGTGTCTGCAGAGTGAGCAGAGGATGTGCACTCCTCTGCTGCAAAGTAATGAGAGCTAAATCAAAGGTGTTAGAGAAATTTGTCAGAGCATCTCAAGGCTTTATTGGCGAGACTGCCTGGAGTGCACACATCAGTAGCTCTCCATTTTGTGTGGGGCTGGCATGTTAGGGCTAATCGTTGGAGTCTGGGTTTTGGGGAGCGACAGATAGATAGGGGGTTGTGTTTGTGTGTGCGTACGGGATGGAGAGGGAGGGTTGGGTGGAAGGAGCACAAAGACCTCACAGTCAGCTGGTGGCGGAAATCGAAGTGCTGCACTTGCAGTCGTCATAGCAACACTCCTGTTTGCTTCACACGCATACACACAGCTCTACAGTAGTTCACACCAAGTGGTTAAATCCAATAATTACCATTTAAAACGGAACATCAAACAAGCTCGAACGCTTTGCTCTGTTCACAAAGACTTGTCCTTGCTCATTATCTGTACATACAGTAAAGATTCTTCACTTCCTCTTCCTACGTATGAGCTTTATGACGGGGAGAGGATGAGTTGAATCACTTACAAACAGAGCCAACTAAACTTTTTCAAACTTTAATAACAATGCAGTTTTTTCCCAGCGACATTCAAGCATGCTTCATATCTCTCCTCCGCTTGTGTCTCTCCCCTGCAGAGGGCTGGGCTGGATGGGGCCGCTGGTCAGTGTGCAGCCAGGAGTGTGGGGGCGGAGTTCAGGTACGCAGCAGAGCTTGCCAGCCTGAGGACGGAGTGTGTGAGGGAACAGTTGAAGAAGGACGGGCCTGCAACCCTCAGCCATGCATCGGTAAGCCAGTTCGTCATTAAGCCGTTTAATCTTGAGCTGCGGGTGTCTCACATTCAGCGCTGTAATCATGTAATTTTCTAATTATCTCAGGCAAAGAGCGCAACAGGAGCCAAGGTCTGCGTGCTATTGTTGGTTTGAAGAGAGACAATGCTGATGATGCAAATTATGGAGTCGTTGCAACACAAACAGGTACGACAAGGAGGTTTTGGTGCATGCACTAACACACTGTACGGTTCAGACTTCTTCTCTTCGTATGATGCAGATGGTCCAGGTTTGCTGCAGCTCTAACCTATTTCTGTTATCTCAAAGTAGATACCAAAACAGACGAGTGGTCCACATGGAGTTCTTGCTCCGTCACCTGTGGAGAGGGCTGGCAAGGCCGTACCCGCATCTGCGCTACTTCCTCCTACACCACTCAGTGCACAGGACCCCTGCGTGAGAACCGACCCTGCAACAACACTGCTGTCTGCCCCGGTTAGTGCCTCTTTACTCCTCTGTAATGTGAGTGAGACAGGGTGGAAAACATCAGGTGTCTTTATATGTCTGAGGCACACAAACAATGTTGTCGTAATGAAAGCAGCGGTCACACAGAGAGAGCAGGAGCTGAGAAGTAGGAGGGGCAACTTTCACACTGAGATTCACTCTGATTTCTGATCACAAACAACGTTCTTGAACAGCTTTAGGACAGTGTGCATGATTACCCCACCTACTGGAGACATATATACCTACACCCTGCATTCAAAACACCACCTGCACACTTGAAACAAAACATTTCATTAAATCATATCCCTTTTGTGTCCTGTGTCTTTAGTGGATGGCGCTTGGGATGAGTGGACCCCCTGGAGCCTGTGCTCATCCACCTGCGGTCGTGGTTATCGTGACCGTACCCGCACATGCAAGCTGCCCCAGAATGGAGGAGAGCCTTGCCGTGGCCCAACGAAACAAACCAAGTTCTGCAACATCGCTGTCTGCCCAGGTGAGACAAGGACTTAACAGAAAACCAGTTGAAAAGTAACACATCGGGGACGAGAGGCACCAAAACACAAAATCCATTCACCTAACTTCTAAATTCCATAGCAACTGTCTCAGGAACTTGACCCTCGAGCTGACTGATTCATATATAAGAGGTAATTAAACCACTTAGCGGCATCCCCACTGTCCCTAAACAGCAGTTGCAGTGGCAGGTTGACATTAACTGTGACGCATTCACAGAAAAAAAAAAGAAAAAGGACTCTGTGGGCATTAGTCAGTATAACAACTGCCAGTGACTCACACTGTACTCATGGTCACTCAGTGCATCACTTCTTCACTTACTGCCACCTACTCATGTGCTGAAACTCACTTTGAAGTCTCACATGCAACTTGTAGGTGTAGTTTTTTTACACTTTTCCTACACTAAATTTGGCGGAGAGCATCATTAGTGTGAAAACAACACATCTCTCTTTTCTTTGTCAACCCAAGGCTTTATTCTTTGTGCTATTACACGTTGCCATCAGCAGATGTCTCTGCGCTGAATCCACAGCTGAGTCACTCCTGAAGTCGGAGAGAACAGGAGCTGTGCTGTTAGGCAAAGTCATTACTGAGAGATGATTACACATTTAGTTTAAAATTGAAAGGCTGACGAAATTGAACTAGACTTAATAGCCTTTTTAGCTTGAGAGGATTTTTCATTTTAGATTAATCTAACTTCTTGTACTTTGAGTCTATTTTTCCATCTAATGTGGCAGCTTTTAACTGCAAAATTGCAGGGTTTTTTTAATCTTACAAAAGCTTTTATAACCCCAAAGTTCAATCTGTAAAACAAAAATGATCTCCCCAAGGTCAGTCATTATCCCCTCTTATGTATGTCTATATGCACTTTACTAAAAATGCTTCAAAATGAGCATAAACAGTCCACATTATTGACCAATTTAGGTTTTAAAAGTCTCTTTAGTTAAGCAAAGGACACAAAAAAAAATCCTCTTTAAAATAAACTTTATTGAAGTTTTCAGATTTGTCAGTTTTTGGAGGTTAAGAGGCAGATAACAGCGCTCCACTTTCTGTTTTACCCAAACTCTATGTCATCTGAAATACTTGTTTCGATATTGACACTTCTGGAGCTCCAACAGTCTGTGTAACTCTGTCATGTATCTGTGCCGCCCTCTAGTGGATGGATCCTGGAACGAGTGGTCAGCCTGGAGTACATGCTCTGCTTCCTGCTCCAATGGCACTATGCAGAGGACCCGGGAGTGCAATGGGCCGTCTTACGGTGGCTCTGAATGTCACGGCAGCTGGAAGGAAACCAACAACTGCTTCCTGCAAGAATGCCCCGGTAAAATTTTAAAAAAAGCTTAACTTGTAATTTCAAGATTTACAATCCATATAAAAAAAGACGAATAAGATGTTTCTGAGTCCAGAGTTCATGGTGCAAAATGTTCTCTATGTCTAGTTGATGGACGCTGGCATGCATGGACATCCTGGGGCGGCTGCAGCAAGACTTGTGGTGGAGGCATCCAGCAGAGGCAGAGAGTGTGTGAGGGGCCTTTCTTTGGTGGCGAACCCTGCCCTGGTGACAAGGGAGAGCAGAAGAGGTGCAATGAGAGGAGATGTCCTGGTAAGTTCCCCAACACATATGATTGAAAGTAGACAAACTGCAGAAAAGACAGAGACAGTAAAGTGTTTTGTACCCTATTGTATTGTGTCGTGTTGTCGTTTTAAAAGGAGGAAGGCTTCTTATTCTTTGTTTTACCTTTGCTACGTTATAGAACCCTATGAGATCTGCCCTGAGCAGAACAATGGAGACATTGTGTGGAAGAAAACTCCCGCAGGAGACGTGGCTGCCATCGCCTGCCCTACTGATGCCTCAGGTACGAAAACAACAGCATATAAGCTGACGTGCTTTTTCTCTTTTCCAGTGTCGTCTTTGTCTTTTCATTATCCTCCAATCACGCAGACTGAACATCTTAATTTCTTTAAATGACAGGTCTGATTCTGCGCCGATGCACCCTGGACGCCGTAGGTCTCGCCTCCTGGGAGAACCCGACTCACATCAAGTGTGTCTCTGAGAACTACCAGAACATTCAGACACTGGTGAGCCTTAATTTCAATTTTAACGCCCCATCTGTTGTGTCCTCACTCGGCTAATTTCCCTGAAGTAAAGTCAAAGCAGGGAATGTCAAAGATACAGATTAACCTCTGATTCTTCTTTCGCAGTCGAGGGACTACATCTCCAAAGCGCAGATGGGGCAGAGTGTGGATGGGATCGCCGAGGTGATTTCACGCCTTAGATTCTCCTCTGATGAAGGGGCCAAGTACAGTGGGGACCTCTTGGCTGTCATGGAGATCCTGAAGAACACCACTGAACTGTACAAGGGAACCAGGCTGAGGCTGAGCAGCGCAGATACTGAGGTAAGAGAGAAACGTGACGGTAAAAGGATTGGTTTTTTAAAAAAGTGCATATTCAAAGATAATATATTTTGACCAAAAGTAAAGTAGCATCTAATCAAGTTGTGTTTTGTGCTTTCTTCCACCTCTGCCTCTTTTTAATGATGCTCAGAACTTCGTCCAGACTATCAGCAACCTCCTGAAAGAGGAACATCATGACAAATGGGAAGAAGCACAACTGGTACGTGATAAGAGTGTGTGTTTGAGTGTGTGTATGTGTGAACAGAGGAGAAAATAGGTCTGCGGTGCTAATGTTCTTGTGATAATGTGTGGAGGACAAATTCAGAGAGTTGTCAGTTCATAGCGAATACAAAAAATGTGAAAATGACTCCCCAAAATTTCCCTTTGACTCATCCAAATAATGAATCAGAATAAAATGAGTGTATGATGCATAGAGCTTCATTTATATAAGACTCAAAATAAGAATAAATACATGTCTAAAGTTTTGCATGTGAAGTAGGTTCTCGTACTTTAAAGACCTGAGCAAAAGTTATTTGAATAAAGAGAAATTTAGTTCATCCAACCACCTGTTGATGCACTTTAGTTCGACAAATAAAATCATATTTCCTGCTCGAACGAGTCAAGAATTAGTTTTACTCGAACAAAAGAAGAGCAAGACAATCACTTAGCCTTCCACTCCAGAGAGTAAACAACACGTTTGAGCACAAATTGAAAACTAGATTCTGAATTACGAACGCCACTGCGACAAGACAAAGTGAACACTTCAAGGTCACAGCGAAAAAAGAGCCAGAGAAAAAAAGAGTCAGGGAGAATCACTGCCGCCCACCGTGCAATCTGTGAGTCTCCCTGCCATCCTACATATCGACAGCAGTTGTAAGGGGACACGGACAGCACATACAAGCACACACCTTTTACACCCACATCGCTGCAGTTCTGCGTCAGAGACACGCAAGTCAGGCAGCCCTCCCTCCCTTCCACCCAGCGAAAGATGGAGGACAAAAAAACCTGAGTATGAATCAACAGCCTGCCCATTTATGGCTTTAAGGAAGTTCTGGGGTTGCATAGCAGCAAGAAGTGTGTTTTTCTCCTCTTGTTTTGTACTTGCACACTTAGTGCCCAGACAGCATGAGTATGAGCTGGACTGACACAAGCAGAAAATCTGTGGATTGGCTCCATATCATTAAAGTGTTGCATGCATATAATGAAACTACTTGAATTCCCCCCTGCCCCTTTCTCTCTACTATCCCTCCTTTGACCTTTGTCCCTTTTCTCCTCCTTTTCCATCCAGATGGGCGACAACATCAAGTCCTTCCTCCGCCTCGTCGAGGACTTTGTGAACATGATCGGTATGCAAATGAGCGGCTTCCAGGACATTTATGAAGTCACCGAGAATTTAGGTGAGTCCTAATTTCCTCTGCCAGCTGCTCCCTGCTCTTGTCTAGTAGTCGGGCGTGATTTGTCCTCTCTCCAGCCAGAGTGCATCAATCTTTATCTTGTTGTGAATCCGAGTCCATACAAGCAGCAGCGGTAGAATATATCACTTTGACAGAGTGTCAGGTCCTGTGACATGTGCCATCTTCAAGCAAGTATATTTGGCACAACACATACACAGAGCTCTCACACAAGCTTATCAATCAGCCAAATAGTGTGGGAGTAACTGTAATCTTCACAATGAATCACTCTATTTGTGACTTCTGTGACTGTTTTGGCTCGCCGAGGTGACATTCGCACAGAAATTAGCACGGAATGATCCCTGCGGTTGCACACATGACACATGAAAACCAAAATGTCCTTGGCTTTGGATACTCGCTCAGCATCATCCAAGAAAGTAGGAAAACAAAGTCACTTCTTTTTTTTTTGTTAAGTGACAATATTTCCTTTTTTTTCTTCTTCCATCTTTCTCAGTCCTAAGCATCCACAAGCGCCCCATCACTACAAATTCAAACTTCAGCCTCCCTGTACAAGGCTGGAGGGGCCGGTTGGACTGGGTCAGGACCTCTGAGGAGAAGATCTCTGTGTCCCGTGATGCTCTGTCCATAGAGCAAGCTGGTAAGATCAAGCAGACCTGATTTTACTCATTAACTAATTCTGAGTGTATTTTGTGGACTTGAATCTAAGAGGGTTTGTTGTTCTTTACAGATGGCAACGACGCTTTTGTGACTGGCATTGTCCTCTACAGAAACCTTGCTTCTTTCCTGTCCTTTCAAAGGTAAAAAAAAATGAACTCACTTTAATATGCATGTGAATGGCCTCAGGAGATACGTTTTGCTGCCACAAGGTGGCGCCCTTGCTTGTCTAGTCGCCTTTTCTCTATCTTTTTGCTTCAGTTTTAATTTAAAAAGACCAACAATACTTAATTCAAACCTTGACTTTACTCCCTTAACTAATCTTTCTAATCACGCCATGTTTACTCTCTCCACAGTAACACCACCCTACTCAACTCCAAGGTTGTGTCAGTCATCGTCTCACCCAACCCAACCCTCCTGTCATCCCCCGTCGAGATCGAGTTCCCCCACCTCCACAATGTAAGTCCCTAATGGTTACTGGATCTAATGAAGCCTTACAAAACATATCAGCTCCCCCTCTGGGTGTTTGCTCAGCGCGGCCGGTGCACGGAGTCTGACATTTTGTTGACATTTCCAGCGACACTGTGACTTTTACTAGAACGTGTGTGAGTTGCAAAAGATCACAGCTGCTGAGCCAAGCGGTCAGTCGACGCTGATGAGGAGTCATGCGCAGTAATTAAGTCTCTGCAGCTGAGAAGAAGCTGTTTTTAAGGGTTTTTTTGGCGCATGATATCCGGGGGAGGGGAGTGCGAAAATGTGGGCAGGTGGTTGTCAGCAAGCTGTTGCATCTCGCATGTTTACAGTACACCATCCCCGCCTACACTTTCCCCCCTTTTTTCTGCAGAGACTCCTCATACTAACTTGTTCATCTGCCTCTCTTTTATCCGCAGGGCACCATGAATGAGACATGCCTCTCATGGGATGAAAGTGAAACGTGAGTGTTGACCACAGCCGCCTCTCTTCTCCTGCCATCACTCATTTCTATGTCTTCTGTCCCGGGTGGCCTTGTTGTTGTTTATCTCTCTGCTTGTAGTCTCGTTGTGCATTCAGTTATGCATCTGTCACTGCATATGAACATTCAAACCCCCTTTTTAAACCCGCACTCATCAAAAGAGAGACTAATAATGTCCGCCAGCTAGAAACAGCAGGCCCGGCTCTGCTGTCTGACACACTTAACTGTACTCAGAGTAAAGAAAATGACAATCTCAGTGATTGTCACTTGTTCTAGCTGAGTGACACTTCACTCTGAGGATGGAAAAACATGCAGGCCACGCTTCAAACCTCATTACATACATCAGTGAGTAAATTCACCACAGCCTTCCTTCAGGTCACACCTCAGAGTGTCGGTCTAGAGACAATGACATCCGCGGCTCCCTCGCCTCTTAAGTCATGCTCACATGTCAGCGCCAGGGTTAATGGTTGCAACGTGTGGGACTTTTTAAAGATGCTTTTGAATGACTTATGAATGGAGCTCCTGCTGGATCAATCAGCCTCAGGCCCACTCTGCCCCTCCTGGAGAATACACAGGTGAACCATTTGCATTTAGATGGATTTGTATACTTGTGAGGGGGGGGGTAGATAAGAAATGAAAATGCACATTCACATTAGCCGCAAACATCTAGAGTCACTGCATAAGCAAAAAAAAAAAAAAAAGGAATGAATGGAAGGAGAAAATGTCATCAGGACCAATTAGATTTGTTTTGTGGCCGTTGATGTGATTATCTGTTGAAGAGGGGGACAGTGCAGTTTGGGGTCAATGTGTGTTTTGCAGAGCTGCATATGTCCACCAATCAGCTGCAAGATGAAAACAGATCCAATGTGCAGCTTAAAAAGTCACAAATAGAAGATGTACACTATTAAACCAATCTGCATGAATCATAGATGCCATCCCCAGCTGATCTTGCCCTGCAGCCACCCCTACCATGACATGACAGTGCACCAGCGTCGACCTGCTGGCTATGATGAACCCTCTGAATACACCCGTCAGTCAGAGCCTGAGGGTGCTGCTCAGTGCACGAACCTCCCCTGAGCTCTCTGGCATCTGCTGCTGATGCTCCTTACAAACAAACATTTTTACACGTCTTTGTCTCAGAACAAAATCTGCGCTTGCTTAATCCTGACAGATTTCCAGAAGCTATTTTGTCATCAGCTGTGCAACTCGTTTGAAAGATTACCTCCATAAAGCACGCGTTATTGATTTTACTTCCTGTTTTTACTCTGATTGATTCACGTTTTGTCTGATCAAGAGTAGACTCAGTATAAATCACTATAGAATCATGGCCCAATCGTGTACACAAGACTGTTGTGTCGTTTTGGAAAGCAGAAACACAATCAGAAATCCATCTGAGGTATAGATTGTAACACAGATTATCCTCACATTCCCTCCTTCTTTGTCAAAAGAGGGAACACTGTGTCCTTTTGTCCCAAGTGCATTGGAAAAGTGTTGCCAGCACTTTTATGTTTTATTAGGGAAAGATTGGCCATGAGTAGAAATGATTACAATTAGTCTAACAATACATTTTATGAGGGTGAGTGGTCATCAATCATGGCACAGATTTAGATTAATCACGCTCATGTAAAGCATCATTAAAGCTTTTCTAAGGTGCTCTTGAGCTCTTTAGTGGACATAAATAGTCTTATATTTGTTTCTTACATACTAGGTTATAGAAGTGCTATTCTGATGTTGTATTAAATGGAAATAGAAATAGTGCTTTTTTGTGTTTAGTTGTTTAAAATGCAGCCCTGTTGCAGTGAAAAGCATACATTTCCAAAGCTTTCTTTTGTCAGCATGAAGTTTTATGTGAGAAAAATCCCATTAGGAGGCATGCACATGAGACATTTGTCAGATCTCTCCTCTCCTAACCCGTCGCTGCCTTCTCTTCTCCTCCTTCCTCGTGCAGTTCCTCTCTGCTCGGCTCGTGGTCTGCGCGGAGCTGCAGAGCGGTGCCCGTTCATTCATTCAGAACCAAATGCGTGTGTGACAGCCTCTCCACCTTCGCCATTTTATCGCGCGTCAACTTCGACTCGGTAAGTCTTTTGTCTTTTCATATTGTATTCTTGTTTTTTGCTTTAAATGCCTCCATTCTCCGTTGGTTTTTCGAGCAGTGCCCGTGTGTCTGTGAATGTGTGTGTATGTGTGTGCGCGCGGTGCAGTGTGGCTGTATCGTACTTGTTGTCGATCGGTTTTCTGCCTGCACCTCTTTGTCTCTGTGCAGGTGATCGGAAGGTGGCAGGCAGATGAGATGTGTTTTATTCATGCTAGAATATCAAATCAACATGTTTCAGTGCAGGAATTTCGTTACGATTTTAGATTAAACATATCGGATGGTATGCGATCGTGCCGGATGTGCACGCGCATGTTAATTGGACGCGTATTTTCTTGCAAAGCTCTGCGTAAACGACCAGATAAATCATATCCCTGCATCAAGAAGCCGATTTTAAAGGTCGTGCGTGTATGAAAGTAAACATGTTGCTTGCAAATGTCCATTCCGATCACTCTAATTGACTTTCCGATCGTTGTATAACATGCTTTTACATCAGATTTCGGATCTTGCCTGTTTTCTTAAATAATGCATATGGGTAGATGTGAGCAGAGTGAGCGCAGGGGAACTTGTGAACGCACCGGATGCTTTGATAACCGAAATCTGTCATAACGCATCGGTCTGCTTCATGCGCAAAAGACAATGTGTAATTTTCCTCCCTGTAGACTGTGTTGCCTCCAAAGCTGCTCGCTCTCCAGTTGCCGTGGCAACGGCTTCTGCAGCGCGAACTCGGGCCTGTGTGATTTTTGATAACTGAGATGCTGTGGGGAAAACACACATAGACACATACACATAAATACACTGACTCGCACACACACACAGCTACCCTCTCCTCCTCCTCCTCCTCCTCCTTCTTCTCCTTCCTCTGCTCTCTGAACAGCCCCCCTCAGGACAGAGGAAATGGCCTGTCCATCTCTGCTGTTCATCTGATCACTGCTGCACACAAAAGCAATCAACAGATGATGATAAGGGGGAATTTTCTATTTAAAGTGTGCATGTTTTGATATCTTTACAGATTTATTGTTGTGCACAGGAAAAACAGCTTTCAAATTTAGCTGCAGTGTTTTCTCGCTGCCTTCAGCTCTTCCTTTTCTTCCCGTCAACCTGTTGTTTACATCCCACATTTGATTAGTCCTGCTGTGGCCAATCTAAATAGCTACTTAATAGATTTGTTACGGGCTGCTTTCTGCCTCCCGTGACAGTAAATAAAAAAATGCAGCTGCGGCAATCATCCCGTCTGCCAATATCTCTGAATTCTCGATTACATCCACCCCCCTCCTTCTTTCTACTTCTTCTTCTTTCTCCTTCTCGACCACAGCAGCCAGTCTGAAAATGCCAGAGAGAGAAGGAGAGAGGGGGGAGGTGGACCAATGAGAGACAGACGTCTGGTCATGCATTGATGCCCCCCACCCCCCATATTCCTAGTCCACCCCCCCTCCTCTTCCTTGCCCGTCTCTGCATCCATCCTTTGATGTGAGCCGTGGACATTTTCAATAACGTCTCTCCGCTCGGCGTATAAGAGGGAGAGAGAAAGCAGATGTGGAAACACAGAGATACTGCAGCACTGCTTCAATGTGGTCTGATTTCAGGAGCACTTCAGCATCATGTGTGTTTGAGACATGACGGTCCAGAGGGAACGACCCCCACATAGGTAGAGCAGCAGATGCCCTTCAGTGTTCGGCAGATGTGTTTTTTGCAAACAGCAGAAAAAGAGTCATTGTTTAAGCTTTCTCGACATTTTTTTTTTTTTACTCCGTCTATTCACAATGAAAGCAAGTGATCTGATCAAGGACAGGCAGAAGACAAGCGTCATATTTAGGTCAAAGTGGCTGTCTGGATCTCACTCAGAGGCCCCGGGGTGCAAGCATCAACCCAGATCTAGAGATTGGGGAAGAGAGGGAACAGAACATACTGTATCACTTGTTATTTTTCGCTCTCCCCTGATTCAGTTTATGCTAAAGTGAAAAGACAGCTCACCACTCTGTTATCTACCATCTGTTTTGGGGCGCTTCTGATGTAGTTGGAGAGATTTTGAAACAAATTTGCCACACTGAATTAGTGTTTGGCTGCCGTGGGCCCTGGACTCCACCAGCTGTGCTTTGATTCCAGAAAGGCTGATGTGTAGCGCGCAGGAACAATCTGTCAAGGCTACTGTCTAAATTCAGAGATGACACCGACAATGGCAATCACATGCATCATGTAGGATTGCAATTTTATTCATTACCTGCAGATTTATTACACTTCAGGATGTTATCTCCCTCGTATTTTTGATCCACTCAACCTCGTCTCACCTTATCAAAATATAACAATCGCACTCATCAATGTATCGCCTCGAGTCTTTTATTCGCCTCACGCTCTTTTTGGCGATAACAATTTGATCAAAGGTGTGAGAATAAATCCAAAATCCTATTAAAGGGGACACTGTGAGAAAGAGAAACCACACTGTTAGCTTTGTGACGCCTCGAGGAGGTGAGATTTGTGTGTGCAGCGGTGACCCGTCGGCCTCGCAGGTGAACAAGCAGCAGGGACGACGCTCCTCTCTCTGTTCCTCCACCTGAGGTTCGGCGCCGGGGCAGGTTTGAAACACGGGGCTGGTCGGGCGCCGCTGGCAGTGTCAGGCGCTAATCTGCTGTCAAGAGATCAGAAGGGCAGGTGGCAGCAGATTAATGCACAGGTGATAATGGTCCACCTGTTCGATGCTGCGGGGACGGGCGAGGAGCTGCGAAAACACCGACGTAGAGAGGGGGAAAAAAAAGAAAAATGGAGTCCGTCAATGATTTAAAGCTCAAAAATGACAGAACACAGGATGACTCCTCCTGGGAATCAAACAACCCCCCTCCTCGCTCCGTTGGGGAAGATATACGTCCTGTATCCTCCTCGCCTCATTTGCTGACTCTAAAGCTGGATGGAGAAACGCACTGACCCTGACTGTTAGTTTAGTTCGCCGCTCCATCTTTCTGACACGCTCACGCTGGGGTCACCTTGCCTCAGCCGTGGCCTGATTGTGCCATTCAACCGTTCGCCTGCGGGGAGCTGTCTGCTGTTCCAGATAGCACACACACACACAAACACAGCTTGGAGGCTTTAGCTCGTGTGCGTGCATGTGTGTGTGTTCTGTAAGAATATGTGTGTATATGTGTGTGTTTGTAATCAGCTCTAAAAGACGTGTTTGGTTTGGTCTTGTCTCCTCTCTGTAGATCATGGACAAAGCACTCCTCCCATCCGTGACTCTCATCGTGGGCTGTGGGGTCTCCTCGCTCACCCTGCTTCTCCTCATCATCATCTATGTCTCAGTTTGGAAGTAAGTAATCCGACCAGAAAAGTCTAGTCGTGTCAAACTTTGATATCACAGTCTGAGCTCTTATCTAAATCTATTTTTTAATCACCAGGTACATCCGCTCCGAACGCTCCGTCATCCTCATCAACTTCTGCCTCTCCATCATCTGCTCAAACGCTCTCATTCTTGTCGGGCAAACTCAGGCTCGCAACAAGGTAAGCCCCTCCCCGCGCCTTTCTTTTCCAACCTCTCTAAAAATCGTAGCTTTTGGGGGATTTTTAAAGTAGCAGCGCCTCTGACACAGATTTCTCCTCTTCGCTCTTCTTCCTCGCTCCCCTCCGGCCTCTCTCAGGTGGTGTGCACTCTGGTCGCCGCTCTCCTGCACTTCTTTTTCCTCTCCTCTTTCTGCTGGGTGCTGACCGAAGCTTGGCAGTCCTACATGGCTGTCACTGGTCGTCTGCGCAACCGCATTATCCGCAAGCGTTTCCTATGCTTGGGCTGGGGTAAGCACACTTATCTTCACTTCATTTCTCTTTTTTTTTTTCTCCCGCCTTTGTGCATCACTTTACTCTCTAACTTTACCTCCTTCTTGCACGTCCTCCAGGCCTCCCTGCGCTTGTGGTGGCTGTGGCTGTCGGGTTCACCAAGGCTAAAGGATACGGCACTGTCAACTAGTAAGTCTCCTCTCCACCTACCAACTTTTTTCTTTCTTTTTTTTTTTTTACCCCTGCAGTCATCCAGAAAAGCTCCTTTCTCAGCTCCAGCATTAATATTCCTTCGTCTTGTCTTTTTTAGCTGCTGGCTGTCTCTCGAGGGCGGACTCCTCTACTCCTTTGTTGGCCCCGCTGCAGCTGTTGTTCTGGTACACATCCTGACTTTGACATCCCAATCCATCACAGGACTTTATCTGTTTGTAAACGCATTAGCTATTATTAGATTGTCTTATCCATCTTTTTTTTTTTCCTTTATTCTTTTCTTGAAAACAGGTGAACATGGTCATTGGTATTCTGGTCTTCAACAAGCTGGTATCCAAGGACGGTATCACTGATGTGAAGCTGAAGGAGAGAGCCGGGTAGGTCTTATTGATCCTTTCTGTACACCCTGAGTATTGTCCTTATCGCCCGCATCAGTGCTATTACAAGTGTATTGATGATGTTATATAGTACTAACCTCCACAATCAGACAAGAGGAGTGAATATGGTGGAGAAAAGGAAGTCCATTGTGTCTAATTTGTTTTGTTTTGTTCTCAGAGCGTCACTCTGGAGCTCCTGCGTCGTTCTGCCCCTCCTGGCGCTCACCTGGATGTCTGCCGTGCTCGCCATCACCGACCGCCGCTCTGCCCTCTTCCAGATCCTTTTCGCCGTCTTCGACTCTCTGGAGGGTTTTATCATCGTTATGGTCCACTGCATCCTGCGTAGAGAGGTAAAAATATATATATAAAATTAACTATGATAAAGTAGCAGGAGCGTAAACGTAAAGGGGAGGCTGTTTTTTCTTAATGGGCTGATTTTTTTTTTTCCTCTCCGTCTATTAGGTTCAAGAAGCGGTAAAGTGCAGAGTGGTGGACCGCAAAGATGACGGCAATGGAGACTCTGGCAGCTCCCATCACAATGGCCACTCCCAGCATATGGTAAATTTCTTGGCTTATTGCCGTTTTAATGTCTAGAGTGGCTCCTGCATTATATCCCTGAATGAATACGTGCATACATTAAGCACTAATAGAGTTTTTTTTTTTACTTTTATCAGCCGTCGGATAATGAAAAAGATGGAGATTCAAACAGACAAGGTAAGATCCTGCACTCGCACTCTTAACCATTTTTCCATTTCCATTTAAATCCCCGAGCCTCACGCTAAACATCCCATCATAAAACATGAAGCGTTTTCATTGAAGCGTTTTTCAAACACGGCTTTGCTCTTAGTTTTTGTTCAACTCTCTGTCTTTTTTTTTGTCTTCAAAGGAATGAAGAGCTCCTCTGAAGAGAAGATGCCTCCCCCTCAGCTGCCTCTCCCTATGGGCTCCAACTTCCACACCCTCCCATCCAACCCCAACAAGAGCCACATGCAGGCCGTCCCTGAATACTCCAGCCACACGCTCACCCTGAAGAGAGAGAAGACCCGTCTCGCAGGAGGAGTCGACCCATCCTGCGGGAAACCCGTGTACGTCTGCGAGGGCGAGCTCTTCCAGCAGCTGGATGTCGATCTAGCTCGCGCTCAGGCGGAAGGCGGCTTATCGGACGGCTCCGGATATGTCCTCATGCCCAACACCACCTCCACCCTGAGGACCAAGCCCAAAGACGATCCCACCAAGTACAACATCAGCGTGGAGCAGCTTCCACAGGCCAGGCTCATGCACCTCAGCGGGCCCTTCGCCGAGCCCCAGGCGGCGTTCGGGATGAAGGCGATCCCTGCGGATCAGGTCAGCGTATCGTACTCAGAGAGGGACTCCCCCATCCAGAACATCCACAACATGTCCAGCGAGTCTCACATCACGCACAGCAGCCTGGAGAACACCTTCGAGTCCATGAACTCCATGATGTCCAAGAGCGAGACCATCTCCACGCTGTCCATGAGCTCTTTGGAGGTAAGAAAGCGTAAATTAGTGAAGACCTTACCGATAATCTCACGCTTACTTTACACTAACCTGACTCTTTCCGTCTTTATCCTCACAGAGACAGAAATCTCGTTACGCCGAGTTGGACTTTGAGGTAAATATCGAACATTCTCCTCTGAAAACATCGCAAAGAAATGTGAGATATGAAATCCATCCCTGTGAGCATTTCTCATGGAAGTAATTGTTTCTGTCTTCTGCAGAAAATCATGCACACAAAGAAACGCCACCAGAACATGTTCCAGGACCTGAACAGGAAGCTACATCACGCTGAGAAAGACAGAGAGTCTCCTGCTTCTGACAGCAAGGTAGCTTTTTGTCATTTTTCCACCCATCATCCATTTCAGCAGACGTCAATCTTTCATAAATTCAGAGCTAAAAAGAAAAGAGTCAAAAAAAAGCATGTGAGGATGACCCTATGAAACAACCCGTGGTATGTGTATGACGCTGTGGTTGTGTTTACTCGGAGGTCATTTGAATAAGGATGTATTCTCTTCCTTCCCTCTTACAGTCTGTGAGATGGAGTGTGTCCTCAGGAGGAAGTGACAAAACAAACCACAGTGTGAGTGTTTATATACAACCTCACAGACACAAATTTTACCGCCTAAAGTCGAGACACACCATCAGATATAACACTTGCCTCAAGGAGGACTAATGTCCCCAAATGACAAAATGACTTTCATGATTAGAAAATCACTCCTGATGTAATGAAACCCATTTCATTTTGATTAATTCAGAATTGCTCAGGGCTGATGGGTGGCACCAGAGCTAAAGTGGTTCCTCTTTTTTTCGTCCCACAGGACAAGCAGCAGGCTCCGATGGAGAGGCCCTGGGAGGGAGTCCGGGGGATCCCACAGTCACCCCCTGCATGGGTGCGGAAAGACCTGGAGCCCCTAGCCGCCTCACCTCTGGAGCTGCACTCTGTGGAGTGGGAGAAGAGCAGCACCACCATCCCTCTGGTGGGGCAGGACATCATTGACCTGCAGACGGAGGTTTGAGGGGAAGGAGGGGGGCTAGAGAAGCCGCCTGATTTCACCTTTGTCACCTCTTTTGGTATGGGAATTGGATCCGGTATGGATAGAAGAGAGGGGAAACCAAGATAGTGAAGAAGTTGGTCCCAGAATCGATGTCTTCAAACCCTCAGCCAGAGCAGGAAAAGAGAGATGGAGGAGTGAGGTGGTGTAAAAGGGATGTTTAATGTAGCTTCTGTGTGGACTTGAAGCACTCTCATGAGTGCTCTTAGGGTCTAAGGGTTAGTGGAGCGATCGGTGGTTTCCATGGACCAGGACTGGTTAATGGTTCCATTAATGCTTCACTGGGAGTTTCCTGGACCCCTCAGCCTGGGTTCGGAAGATGTGGTCGACATGTCTGTGCTTCTTTTTCCTTCAACTCAACTTTTGAGAAGAGTAAAATAATCTAATAACGGCGTATCCCCCCCTGATTTTTGGGAGGAACAGCCGGAACTCTTGGCTGCTTGTCGAACAGCCAAGTTCACTTCCAAACTAAGACAAGGCGAAGGAGCAAAAAGAAGGGCCGGTTTCATGCTTGGAGTCCAACACTCTGCACTTTTAGATGAGCACACACATTTTTTGCTTTTGAGCCGTGGGTTATTTTAATTTTCCTGCTCTCTGCTTTTCACTTGGAACTGCTTCAGAAAGCCTTTAAAGAGACTCTTTGATGAGAATATAACTCTTCTCTTTGAGCGCGGGCTAAATCACGCTGATAGCGCTTCTCTCTGCTGTTATCAACCTGGTTATTATTATTATTATTATTATTATTCCGATGGTTATTGCTATTATTGTTCTTGTCATTATGAATTCATAGCCTTTAATTTTATGACTTCATCCTCCACTCTGCTGTCAGGCGAAAGATATATCCTTTATTTTACAGTGAACTACAGTATTAGGCTCATAAATATGACTCAATGAATCTGTGATGTGATTGCGATAGACTGCATCGGGACAAACACACGGAGTGATGATGGAGGTGATTGTTAACAGAAAAATGACCTGGTTTCTTTTTGATACCAAAACACCAGCACCAGGAAAAACACAGACTCTCACACAGGAAGAGCAGTGCACTCTGGGTATTTAAAAAAAAAAAAACGCTGGGATGGATATGTGAAGGATGCGCACCTCCTCTCAGCATGCACACGATGCAGGCTCTTCCATGTCGTACATGAGGATTCCGAGGGGTTCGGCGAGACCTTTTCATCATCGCACTTCTGTTTTTGCTCAGCCTTGCAGGACTCTTGGACCGAGCAGAGGCTTCCTGGCGCCGGCGGGACTTCCAGAGCGGCGCCAGGTCCTCGAGACTTCAACACATTTGTGTTTCAGCCATCAGTGTGAAATAGTGCAATATGATGGGCGCTTGATGCTCAAGCAAGACTGATATTATGATTTTGGCAGTATTTTTTCTTACAAATGTTTCCAAACTTTTGTACCATCTTCCTCATATTTACAGAGCATATAGATGCTTTATGGGATTATTGTATGACAAATCTGTATTAGTAATTCAAGGAATTTATTCACTAGAGATTTGTTAGCACAGGACTCCATATTTGGAGCTCTATGTGACAGGTAGATTATTGTACTTCTATAACGCAGATGTTATATAGAATGAATGGTATCTCTAAACTGTGCTTCAGGATATTTGTGATTACTCTTCGCTGTGTAGCGAGGGGTGATTGAACCTCATGTCTTCTGTAAAAGTGTGTTTTGATAACATCGTCAGTAACTCAGTAGTATGTACTACCAGCCAATTCCCCCGTCCCTCCAGATTCCAGCGTCCAGCCCGATTCATACCTCGAGTTACTCGTATCGAAGACCCATTTGTATTCTCTTGTCACAGCTTTGTTTTTAATGTTCCGTTTTACCTCCTGTAAATGTACAGTTTTCACAGCACAAAATGAATGTGACTTATTTCTAATAAAACACATCTATATTACATTAACAATCTCTTCGTTATCTCGTCTTTTCACAGTCGACTGTTTTAAACTTCCTCCCCGCAGAGTTCGATGTTCATGCTGTCTGACTTACATCTAAAGCCAGAACAAATTAAATCACCTCCTAAAATAAAAGTTCAAAAGTAGAATCGCTAACAGACGAACTATAATGTGGAGAAAGTGAAACAACATGGAGAAATGGATTTGGAGCCCACGCGACACTGTAGCCCCAGGCGAACATCTCGCTCGCTAAATATAGACGTGATTTGCAGGTTCAAAAAAAAAAAAAAAAACAGTCTGTAAAGATGATAAAAGTGCAATTCTCCTCTGTTCTATTTTCATGCTTTGCAGGGAGGCGAATCATTACAGAAAAAAAGGAGATCTGTGAAGTTGAGTAATGAGAAAACAAACACATTTGACAGAGGCCAAAATATGATTGTGGCCTCTTTTAAAAATAGGACAAATGTTTCAACAGTTTAAATTTAGTTTTGTCCGCCCAGTCTGCAGTATAAGCTCTCACGCTCTCTCTCTCTCTTTCCTCTATAAAACCACTCCTTTTTTTGTTTTAATTGGACCAGCCTGCTGTAATTCTGCTGCAAGCTATAAGCAAAGAAGATTTACATCCTCCATTTGTGAAGCGCTGCTCGTTTCGTGAGGTCAGCTGGAGGAGCAGGCTGCCTTGTGTGCAAATGGTGCTTAACTGTAGATGCTATTTTTTCACTTGCATTTCACGCCTTCCAACGCGTCATGCGATATGCACCATTTTCTCTTTTGATAGCTATTATTTCACAGGACATTTTGTGCTCATCTATTATTGCGTCGGATGTCTTTGTCGCAACATCCACGCAGTCGACGGTTCAAAGCGGAAAAAGTTGGAGCTAATTTGGCAGCATCTGAGATGTGACTCCAAAAATACACTACATGAGTCACTGTGGCCCCTCATTATTTGTGTTTCTTTTCATGTCATGACCTGCAGTTGGATACAGTCAGTGAGCAAGAAGGCAGATTGACTGGAAAATGTTTGGACAGCTCCAGAGAGGGGCGCAAATTAAAAATAGGCATGCAGAATATGGGACTGTGCGAGACTTGCCTTAGGTGTGAATGTACCAATGTTTGAATACTTCATGTTGCAACCAATGTATCTTTATGCAGTTGAAAAAATCCTGCAAACATTATAGTTTATTAACTCGTATCTATAAGCGTGCAGCTTCTGCTTCTGCATCAGCCCTTAACAAAGTAAATCCAATCATAAACACAATAATTAATATATGCTGATGCTGTTCGTGTGTGTCTCTGTGTGTGTGTGTTAAATACAAGTCCCAGTGCTAATAACATCCTGAAGCTGTCGATGACAAACCTCCCCCAGCCTCCAACACACACACACACACACACATATATATAAGTCTTTTCCTCCTCTCAGCACCCCCATCCCTCCTGACAAGAAACCCAGTCTCAATTAGCACCTTGCTGGCAGAATCACTGCGGTCCAGGCTGTGTCTTAATTGAGGGCTGTTGCTATAGAAACAGGGGATGCTAATCCTGGAGACCTGCAAAAAGGACAGTGGGAGAACAGAAAGAGAACATTTCTTTTCACAGGCGGTTATGTTTTCTTAATTTTCCGTCCTACATGAAAAAATTATAATCAGAAAGGGTAAAGCTGCAGCAGTTTGTTTTCGCTTCATGCAGTTTTTATAAAGCTCCGGGAAAATATGTGGAAAAAAAGTGACTTTTATTTTTACATAACCTTTTATAGTGAAGTCTGAAGAGGAGGCTGGAGTTTTACACCCATCTAACACTGCTAAGTCGATATTTTTATGTTTCTTTACCTGAATTTTCAACTATTTAACAGCCTAAAGTAAATTTCATAACTTCCATATTGTAACATCACAGTTTCCTGACTGATTTAACTAAACTAAAAGTACAGTAAGAGTCAGTGACGGTTATCTGGTGATTCAAAGCTTGATCCATAAATGCAGTGTGACATGACCAGAGTCATTGAAGCTTATTCACTTTAAAACTGACTGGAGGATGAAGCTGGAAATATCATTTCTACACTGTAACCCCTTTGGACTAACATCTTCAAGAAGTACCCGTCCAGCTGAGGAAAAGCTTTTTTAACATTTCAGGGAATAGAAGCTGTGACTACAGACACATGGACTGACTACTGCTATGTGGTTTCTGGAGTAGTGTTTGGACCAATCAGCAGTGTTTGGATGGGTCATAATAGTGGGATAGATGGAGAGACAGAGTCAAACAATCACAGCAGCAACAACTTGAAGTGAAGAGTCAGGGTAGCAAAGTCGATCAAAGTAGTGCAGCTCTGTGTAATATTATCATTAAAGGGTTGTAATAATAATTTATAGAGTATATGAGTGTGTTGAATAATACCCAGAGGCCGAGCTCCAGAGATGATGAATTTACAGACTCAAAGCAGCTGAATTGATGCTCCAAGGACAGCTAATGGCATCCATCTCATTCAAACAGACCGAGGCTTTAATACTGCATAACTTTAAGCTTTAATGTTCCAACCAGTGAGTGATGTTAAAAGGTACTGCTGTTTATAAATGGGGACATAAGGGATTTAAGTCTCCTTTGTGGTGGGTATAATTTCTTGCCACTGAGATGAATGTTTCAGGATGAGATTCTTTTCAGTGGCTGGTCAAGAAACTGCAGATTCTGACTTTTCCACTTTGGCTTTGTTTTTGAGACTGTTGAGTCACCACATAGATACTACACTGAAACGCTTAACCGGTGAGCAAGTACCCACTTATTTGCACATCTAGTGTTGATGGAGCACCATTTCATTCATTTGGGTTCATGCTTTAGTCCATCTTTGGTTTTATTACAATATTTGTTTTGTGCCTCTACAGGCTCTCCTGGCTTAAAGGGATATTCCGGCATAAAATTAAGTTAGGGTCAAACACACCGAGTTAGACACCCCCTCGAGAGATGAATGTTGCCGACCACTTGCTTCTCTAGTTATACAAACTTTAGTAACAACCGCACGATAGCAATACACAGCGGTCTGAGGAGCCATAAACAAACCTCAACCAAATGATCATAAATGTTCTTCCTTGAGCTGCGTCCCCCCGCTGTAGTCCGTAATAGACTGGCCTGAGGTCTCGCTACAAACAAGCGGCTGCTGGAAGAGAGTAGGTGAGTTGTGTTTAGTCTCTTTGCTAAAGAAATTAGCAGAGTTAAGAGATGTTTGGTGGCTAGTGCTGTGGCTAGGACCCTGTATGTCCTGTTGATGAAGTTAGGTGCTATTCTGAGCATTATTGTGGCTGTAGAGTGGCGTTTTGGTTGAGGTTTGTTTATTGCTCCTCAGACCGCTGTGTATTGCTATCATGCGGTCTTTACCAAAGTTGGTTTAACTAGAGAAGCAAGTGGTCGGCAACATCCATCTCTCAAGGCAGTGTTACGGTGTGTTTGACCCTAAATTAATTTAGCGCTGGAATATCCCTTTAACGTATATTGTGTTCACTCTAGCAAAACTGTTTCAGTACATGCTGGCCAAAACAACACTATATAGCACTTTTTATTTTTGTATCTCTTTTCGACCAGTTGTTTAAAAAACATGCAGAGCAGTTTTCCAGATGAATCTCCATCATCTTTACAATTACAAATGTTATTTCTCTGCATCTGACTGTAAAAACAGAATTTACCTGATTATAAACCTACCCTTTTTACAGAATTTGCTATCAAATTTACCCAGAAATTGGTTGTTTAAAGCTGTTTTCATAGGTCCTGCAATACTAACCCAAGCTTTACTGAATACATGAAAGCTCACATCTTACGCCCTCATATTGACAGTGATTCTGCTGCAGAGAGGAGGCTCTCTGCAGAGCACATAATATTAAACACCAAAGGGAAAAGAAAGGCTGTGGAAAGAAATGGAAGTAAACTACTTTGGCTAATGGCATGCTGGTACCTGAATTTCTTATAACAGTGTAAAATGGCGTTTTATCTGAGAAGCTCGAAAGGAGTATGGATAAGAGAGACGGTCAGACCATTACAGGATTGATTAATGGATTAAATCTGGAACGGGTCGATGTCTTTCAGCTGCAGCATATTGTGCATCAAGACACTGAAGTACAGCCAGAACACTCACTGGAGGAAAAGAAGCATCAGCCCCATGCCAGTGCACTGTTATGTAATGTTGTCATTAACATGCAGGTGTGGACACTATAAAAGCAGCCTTCTGTACAGTGAACTACAAACAGAGCAAGATATCAGCAGTGATGCTTTAAAACAATCATCAAGAGAGCAGTCTCATTAGGAGGTTCATTTAGAGGCTGTTTCAGAACTTTCAATCACATCACTTTAAAAAAACACGGCCGTGTAAAAGGCCATGAGGAGAAGAACGGCTGTGTCTCTGCAGGACGAGATGTGATCAGACTAAACTCAAGTTACTGCTCGTGAATCAACGAGCTGTCAAAGTCGTTCCATGTTTGTTTTTCTTTAGCCACCCCGATGGTAATATTTCTGTATTCTCAGCAACCGTGACCTTTACTTTTAGCAGCAAGAGACAAGAAAATCTGTAACAGGAACACGTGAGTAAGCGAAACAGAAAGTTATTCCAGTCTCTGATATAGTGACCTGAAAAGGGTTCATCTAACAGTCAAGATCATTGCTTACTTTTGGCTACCCCAGTTATCTTAGTGAGTATCTAATTCAAGTCACTGGAGCTGACAGTGTTTAACCCTCCACCTGTGTTAGCTTTTACTGCACACCCACCATGTTAAGGGTCAGTTTTGACCCGTGTCTTAAATCAGCTGTAAATTACACTAAAAACAATTCTCTATCATCCAATTTGGTTCTCATTACTAAGTTACCTTGTTAGGCTTCATTATCCATGAAAATATTGATTACAATATTTTTTGTTGTGGGCCTCTCTTTGTCAATATACCCCTCATACAGACATTCATTCATTCATTTTCCACCGCTTATTCCCATTGGGGTTGTGGGGGGGCTGGAGCCTATCCCAATATCTTCAGGTGAAGGCAGAGGACACCCTGGACAAGTCACCAGCTCATCACAGGGCCAACATATAGAGACGAACAACCATCCACACTCACATTCACACCTATGGCCAATTACTTTAACCCCACTTCTGCATGTTTTTGGGATGTGGGAGGAAATCTGAGTAAACCCACGCTGACACAGGAAGAACATGCAAACTCTACACAGAAACGCCCTGGCCCGGATTTGAACCCAGGACCTTCTTGCTGTGAGGCGACAGTGCTAACCACTACACCACTGTGCTGCCCCTCATACAGACATCTATAGTGAAGTGATCTCACATGTCTGGACATGTCCAATGTTGTTTTTTGTGCAGAGAAAAACATGTGTGGTGCCTTACAGTATGATTTCACTTTTTGCTCAAATTATTAGATATTGATCTAACCGGGTCATTCTCTTTGATGGTCTTTTTTTATAGAGTTATCCAAATTAGTTGAAGTCTTTTCTTCATAATCAGCTAAACAGTCAATTTAAATGCTTTAGGGTTAGGGAGCTGCGGTCAATTCCTTCTTAAAAATCTGACAACGTTGGCACCAGCTGAAGAGTCTGTGTTGAGCTTTGTTTGAAGTTAAAACTGAGGAGCCGAACTTCAGGGGTGAAGATTAGCCACATCCAGTGTTTGCAGCTGCAGCAGAGCGTGGCCTTCAGCTTCAACAATACTCTTATTTTCCAGAGCGTAGCAGATCTGAAAGCAAAACTCTGAGATGCTGAAACTACCAGCCAAAACTCTGGGAGTTTTTCTTGAATATCAATATATATTTAAAGCAATCACACAGCACTCAGGGAATCAGCGCAGAGAGCAGGAGAGATGAGGAGGACTGCGGGTTTTACATGTTTTTCTCCTCATGATTGAGGTTGATGGAGGATCCCTCTACCATAAGAAAAGGGCCCCCCGTGTGACTCCTTATAGAAAAAGGCCGCCAGATGTGGTGGGTCACAGCTGTGATTGTGCGTCATTGATAATTGTCAGCGGTCTCATAAGAGTGGTTCCCTGTGGGGTATTTCTACCAGTCTTACTTTCAGAGCGTATGCTAACCACAGGGATTGACTGGACTGAGGACAGCTAATGACTAACCTTGATGGAATCTAGGTGGGCTGAATGTTGAAGAGTATTGGACATTTCTACAATGAAATCAGCTGGTTCCTGAAAAGACTCAAAGTGTTCACAAATGAACGCGTCAATATCAAGACTACTTATTAGACACGGGAGGGAACATTTGAAAGGGCGATGAAAAGGTAATTTCTCTGTGAACAGAAATTAGATTGTGGAAATACTTTGAATAGCTTTATGTCATGTTTTCTGAGAAATTCTATTCAAATGTATAACACTGAAAAAAACATCTGACCCAAGAGAATGAACCTTTATGAATCAGCTTGTCCTCGACTTTTCCTTTTACCCCAGAAGCAGGTCAACGTTTTCTCTTTTTCTTTAAAATATATTTAATTATTTACAAAACTGATTGGATCAAGAACCGTGATCTCCAAATGGTGTACCTCAGTGATGTGTCTGAATCTTTTTAGGATACTTCAGCTTTTCTATCTGAAACAATCACCAGGTCAGCGGTTCGTAAGCTGTCAAGTCTTTTGATTTATGGATTTATGACCAAATTATAATTGAGAGCATGCTTAAGAATTTGTTTTTGTCGAAAAAATGCAAAGCTGAGCAAGAAGAGTTCCAGTTTTTAATGGAAAAAAAACACAAAAGACAAAATACCTGCTGTATTTATGTGCTATTTAGCCAGTGTAATTGTGCCAGCAGTATTCAGACAAAAGACAGCTGACGTGCTGAATAACAAAACTGCAAGCATGTAAGCAAACTGAAATTAGCATGAGGTTCAGATGACCTCTTTTTGAGTCAAAGTTAAGCCCGACAGCTGCTCAAAATCCTGCTGAATCTTCATATAAGCAGCTCATGCATGTCCTTTTATTCCAGGATTGGTTGTTATTGTATAAAGGTGCCATCTATCAGTGTAACAGAGTCACTATAGCAGAGGGTTTGCAACATCCTGGAGGATCTTGATTAGAAAAAAGACGTCCATAATATAAAACACAAGCTGAAGTCCAATCCAAACATGTTGAAAACAAAATAATTAGCTGCAAAAAGCCAGAAAAACAAAAAGACAAAATGGGACTTTTAGAAGAAACGGCTTTATTATTGACAAGGCTGAGAAGACCACACGCTGAACATGTACTATATGTTATTAGACTAAGATTAACCCTGGAACACTTTCGCTGAAATTAGTAACACGATCACGATTGGCGGGTGATTTTTACCTGAAATAATATACCCAAGAAAAAGAACTTGTTATCAAAGTATATAAAAACAGGACAATACATGATAAATTAAAGTAGTTTTCTTTTATTTTTAACTGTGCAATGTCCAAAAGGAGGGGGAAAAAGTGCCATGAGGGGACCATAAAAAATGCAACTAAATAATTGAAATTAGGCATTCATGAACAAAAAATCTCTAAAATATATATGTCTATATAAACTATAAACTTAGTTTCTTTTCCACCCATTCCTGGGACATGTGAGTCTTCCCTGGTGAAGACTCAGGGTCCTTGGCACAATAACAGCTGCAGGAGAGAGAACCAAAATATGGCAGATTTTGAGTGAGTAAAAATGACCAGCTGTCAAATATTTCTTATCACCACATGAATTCCCTTGAAAATCACTACTTTGTGATAGTTATTCATAACCATTGCGCTAAATAAAGATAGCATGCAAATTCCAGGACCACTCTTACTGACCTTATTCCACCTGAACACGTGTCTGTAGGAAAAAGCAGGTTTTGGATCAGGGAAACAAATATGCCTTCAAAGATGTCAAAGGCGATGCTGAAGCTACCCATGATACTCAGACAAACACAACATAATGAAAATCATGTTTGGTTGGGTGAAAATCACCCGGCGATAGTGTTCTAGGGTTAAACACAACCAGAGCAGAGTGTGTCTGAAGATCATGTCCTCATGTCCACTGTGGCGAAATGAAACTTTACCAACATGTTGGTAAAATCTGCTCAACTTTATTAGAGGAATAGTTTCTGATGGACAGAGAGTACTTTGAGGGAGCAGCTTGTGCTGACACGAGGGGGAAACCAAGTCTACACCTCCACTGTTTCCAAAGAACTAATTGTTTTTGGACGTACTCTTCTCGCTGTAATCAGTTTGCTAAATGAGTCATTTCCCCTTTTAATTAATGCCAGGCTCCCTGTAAATAATTTCTGCCTCTGCTGTAATTCTCTTGTGGCCAAAAGACCTTGTATGTACAGAACACAAAGGACCCGAACCACTTTATCAACCCTTGATAGTCACCATGGCAACACTGCCAACATCCAGGCGGCTCATGATGTGGACGATTAGCAGCAAGGAGTCCCAGACAGATCTGTGGAATTAGATAGACTGAACTGAGGGTTAAACCAAACATGGAAGTCTGAATACTTATGCAGCACCGTCCAGTGTTCAAGGCTGCAAAATATACACAACTCACACTCTCCTGTGGTGTAAATCAGGAGCAATTGATTTTCCTGCATGTTTATCATTTGTTCTGTAACCCTGCTGCATAAGGTTGAGATTCCTCAGAAAGGAGTGTATAATATTACAGTGACTATCTGCAAACAGCATGCTGATATCTTTGCAGTATGTGCTGAAATCCTGCACAAAAAGGTTCATTTTACCCCCCAGAGGAATATCTACACACTGTTCCCCTGAGGTATGAATGCAAATTCAGATGAAAGTGCTATTTCATGCAATTATTGATAGAGCACAGGTAGAGCAAGACACATTACAGTATTATGCATGACATCCAAACATGTAGATTTTTAAATGACTGCACCAAAGCAGCTGTGAAAAGAGGCTGACCTGATAGAAAGTGAGGCTGACCAAAATGTGTTGAAATTTCTTGCAAGCAAAGGTTATGAAAATGAATTGCCATACAGCGTCGTTGTACCACGTCTGGTTGTCTGCATGACCTTACTTTGTCTTTGCTCAGGTTAGTGCTGTTGCCAGGATACTATTTCCTATGGCAACACTTGAGCTGACGAGGTGAGCAGCGCTGAAAGGATCCAGATGAACTTGCTGCTCTGTATCCTGTGGGCCGGAAGTCCTTATACGACCATGGAGAAGTATGCAGGCGCTTGCACAGAAAATAAAAAAAAAGAAACTCAGCCCTCAAAGTTCAGTTTGACTCATTTTTGAGTTTTTCTGATTATGATAACTTCCAGAGCTATTCAGACGTAATTCTTGAGGCTTGAAATAAATTACTTCTCGACATCCAAACAGATAGGCATGAGTAGCATGAAAGCACACTCATTTTCAAATACAGGAAAGGCGGTCATATTACTCTCCTTGAAGGTAAGAGACTCTTGAAATTTTACCTTGCAGGATTAGGAAGTTGCTTGTGCACCATTGCCATGGTTGCTTATTGTTATATTTATGTGACTGAGTCATATTCTACCTTTCAAAACATTAGATTTATGCAGCATTACAAATGAACCAGGAGGCGTTTGACCACTAGACTTGTGTTCTGCATTATACAATTATTTCTTCTTGCTCATGTAGTCTCAGATGCGTTATGTGAGAATGCATCAGCATCTGCTCTCTTCCTGAATACCTGAGCTTTCTCTTCAACAACATTTATAGCTCTGCAATATTCATTGTTTCTCCCTCAACTCAATTTCCACCCTCGTTTAAAACAAAATGAGTCTCGCTCTGGTCCATCACAAGAGGAGAGGAAACTGTTTTACAGGAATGCTATATGAATGGTACTTTATTTCATACTCATTGCAGCACACAGGTGATGCTGCATGAGAGCATACTGCCACCATTTGTTGCAAAGGTGCAACTACAAAATGCAAAATAAAGTAGCACATGATGTGGTACATCCGACCTGGAAAAGAGAGTGACCTCTTTTACTTCTGAGAGACACTGTGCGTGTGTTCTCTCTGTGACCTTGTTTGTAATCTGTTGCACAACTTGTACACTAAATTCCTAATTTCCTCATCCATGTGTCCTCCCTCTACACCCACAAATCAGTTCAGAGCACAGCGGCCCAACAAGCTCACATAATTCTCTTTTCACAAAAACCTCCACAACATCAAAGCAGTTCCACAGGATGCAGCACGTCATCGCAGCGGAAACGCGCCTACTCTTACGCATTGACCGTCCACTCTGCTGGACTCAGACGATGAGAGAGGGATGTCAGGGACGGTGAGATCATACACTGCTGTGCAGAGGTGAGCATTGTCTGACAGGGAGGACTCTTCATTACTAGGACTCCATTATGACTCATTTGTACGACAACACCCACAACCTCTCGTTAAGCTGCAGAACATCCTTTTGTGCTGCTGAGTGTGTGTCATCCAGCACTCGAGGGATGAGCACTGGGTTTGATCATTTTTTTCTTATTTGAACACCACACAGGTGTGCTGAATTGTAGTCACAAAAATTAAGCTTTATTGCAATCAAATGACTCTTAATATTTTTGAGTGTTTTTAACAAAAAGGAGTTTAAATCTGCAATTTTTCTCGATTTCTTACAGTCTGTTTTGTTGTCTGTTGTGAGCTCGACATATATTGAAATAAAGTAAACAGAATTGTAAATACACCCTGCAGAAAAGCCACAAAGTTTATCATGAAAAATACTAATTTGCCTTTTTAATTGTGTAAAACAGTGATATCAACTTATAGAAAAGTTTAATTATGTGACATGCAAATTAAGCAACACTTTATTTTCTGGATCCCTGCTTACTTTTTATTCTCTGCTAATAAGAGGAATTTGATTTAAGGGATTTGCAAGTATGATTTAGAGTCTTAAGTCCAAAGCAAGTCAGTTTAACATGTAAAATAAAGCCATTTTTGAAGGCCACCCTTTTAAAATATTTTACCAACTTAAATCCCAAGACTGGTGACCAGTCGTTTCAAATGTTGTGTAAGATGTAAGAGTGTAAGATCAGATCATTTTTAATTGATCGTCAGTTAGCGAAAATAAATTGAGAGGGAAGAATGATCGACATGGTAAACTGTGTCAAATCATCAGAGGTGTCTTGCAGAATTTGACACATTTATCTTATCTTATTGGATGTTTTTAATGAATATATCTTTGACCAATTAACCAGTTGGGTTGATCACTATTTCATTTTAATTTAATCATCTGGTTGTTACTGATCCCAAAATGTTAAGTTCACCATTTTTTTCTGTTTACACTCATTCTGTTGGTTTGCAGGGATGCACAACATCTTGAAATATATACAGATACACTAGTTAGAGACAAAACTATGATTGCCTTAATGTAGTGATCCGAATTAAATGAAAAATGGCTCATCTTACCCCACTCTCCCCTACAATGTGATTGATTGATTGAGTCTCCCCCTCACCGCGCGGGGGCAGCAGCGAGCCCTTCATACCAGAGGTGCCTCACTGTCGTCTCCACGCCCAGAGGAGACGTTTACTTCAAATTTCCGCATTTTTAATTTGATCGATCAATACAGACATCTTTGTACACTCTGCCCCGAAGCAGTAGCACTCATTAAAACCCCAGCAGCGACGATGTCAGGGTTTCTCCTCAGAGCAAACTTCAGAAGGAGCATAGTCCCTCAGATTAGGATGTTTTCTGATCAGGTAAAGTGTTCTGGACTTCTGAGGATGACTGTTAGCATTAGCATGTGCTATCAAAGTATCAACAGTTGAGGTCAGTCTGGTGGCGAACTTCTAAAGTCGTGCTTTTATGTTCGTTTTGTTGATATCTCTTGTTGTTTAGCGAGACATGTAACTTAAATACTTAAGTTTAATGCGTTTTTGTTTTACTGCAACTATTGACACGTAGCCTGTGTGATAGTTTTTATCAGATAAAACAAACAAGCTTGTTTAGACAGGTGGGGGTTTGGACTGGACCATTAATACTGTGAGCAGATGCATTTTTTCCCCCCCAAAAAGTGAATATAATACAGAATAGGGCTACAAATGTGGTCAAAAATATGTAAGAACTCTTCACTGTTTGGTTTGATTTTTTACAGAGACGGCATACAATATATGGGCACAAATGTTTTTAAAAAATGTATATGATGACATAATTTAGTTGCATTTTTTTGCAATATGTTACAGATTTTTCAATTATTTTTTAACCGAGTCTAAATCTGGGAACACCCTGTACTGCTATGTATTGTTTTTATATTGTAGTAACCTAATGGAAAAAAAAAATACATATGTAAAAGAAAATCCTGCAGATTAATTCAGTGTATTGAGCGTTTTTAAAGAAACTACATAATTTGACAATACATGAATAAAGGTGGTAAAATGTTTTGGAGCACTAACAATAGATAAAACATGCATTAAATTAACTCTAGGTTTGTAAATAATGCCACTAGATCAAATAACTGTTTACCAAAGACTATATACATGGGGTGCACTTATCAGCCCCAACGCCAAACAGGGATCCCTAAAATCTTGTTTTTAATTCAATACAGAAGAAGAAAGCCATAAAAATGCACATTATATTGTGCAGTATGGTTCTTTTCTTCATTTGTGATAATTACCATTACATCTGCTAATTCCAGCTTGGACATCTCGGCAAGGGAGCAGGCAAAGGTGGAGGTGGTGGTGGCTCTATCAGAGAGGCAGGTGGTGCATTCGGAAAGAGAGAAGTAGCAGAAGAGGAGAGGTACTTCAGGTGAGAGGCATGCTGTGCTGGTTCCTGATTGTGTATCCCTTTGTTTTCTGCACTAGGTTTTCAACCATGTTTCCCATCACTTTGTTTTGACTTGCAGGCAAAAGGAGAAGGAGCAGATGGAGGCTCTGAGGAAGCATCATGCAGAGGAGATCGCGCATCACAGAAAGGAGATCGAGCGCCTACAGAAGGAGATCGAGCGCCACCAGGGCAAAATCAGAAAGCTGAAACATGATGACTAAAGCAGAGAAGCCTGTCAGCATTTTCTCCTTTTGAGACTCAGGCTGTTTAATTTGCTGAGATTATCATCATTATCATAAGGATATTAATTGATTCACTGCTGGTCAAGGCAGGTCCTGTATGGCACGTCATACTGACACCATGAATCCTAGTATGGCAAACAATAAAGTGCATTTTTGAATAAGAGTGTCCCTTAAGGCTATTTATTTGTTGTTGGCTTTGCCTTAAATATCTGAGGTTTGCACCACTGACTGTGTTTACACTCACAGGCCAGTTTCAACCTGCCATGCCTCTTTACAGCCCTCTTTCCTACTTGTAACTGTACTAAGCTATAACTACTGTCAATAACATCACATGCTCACACTAGGATAAAAAAAGGCTCTTAAGTGAGGCACCCCTGATACTCAACAATTTCCATTTGTCATAATGCCAACTGTGAGGCATTCACTGCATTGAAACTGGTGTGAGAAATGAACTTGACAGCATAAGGTGGAGCTCAGTTGGGTGTGGTTGTTAAACAAAAACGCTTTGTCAGAGGATAAGAAGACTGACTGGGACTCCTGAGGTCAAGGGTAAGAACCTTACCTTACCCAGGTCAAGGTGAATTTTAAAGTCTAGCTTCTAGAAAGGACAGTGAAATAGGAAAAAAAAACAGGATTCTCCTGTGTCTCCACGTGGCTCAGAGGGTAAGAAGACTGACTGGGACTCCTGAGGATGTGGTTATGAACCTTACTAAACTTACTAGTATTTTGTTTTGTTTCCTCTTTCAATCTCTTCTCTAGACACTGGACTTTAAAATTCAACTAGACCTGGATCTGATTTAAATATAGAAACACAGAGTCACAGTGTGTTTGTGTGTTTTTTTAATTTATAAACTTGTACCTGTACCATAAAATACAACAAATAAATCATCAGAATTTAAGTTTATTTTGGGTTAAACTTGACCACATTTAGAGCTCTCTGTCTCTCTGTTAAGGGCATAGACTGTGAAGAGGATGATTGACAGCTATCCATGGTAGAAGCAGAGAAACTTCTCCCCACTTCTAAGGTGGATAGCTGTCAATCATCTTCCTCACAGTCTACGTTCTCAACAGAGGGAGCAACACTGTCGTCCAGTGGATGGGAGAGGCAGTGTTCTCCACACGTGAATATCCTCAACTTGTGTGTGTGCGCGTATCTTGAAAACTGTGTGACTTTTGTCTCAAAGATAAATGCACGTGCCAGTTGAGCCACAAACATATTTTTCAACAATTTACAAGCAGAATTGAAGATTTACAAATGATAAGTCATGATAGATGCACACACACAATTAAAAGAACAAATGTGGAAATCATGGAAAGATATTTGTGGATCTGAAAATCACGTGGAAATTGTGGATATGTATTTGTGCATAATTTTGAGCCTAATCTCTCCCCATATCTTTTCACTAACTGATCAGTGACTGATCAGACCAACCAAAGTTAGTCTGGTCTGTGTTATTTAAATAAAGTTCATTCAAGTTTAGCAATCTTGTTTCTGGTGTTTTTATTTGTATTACTTCATTACATGCAAAACAATCACATTAAAAATGATAAATCTGCTATTTGAGACCTGCTTTCTAGTTTTCAGCTTCTCTCCACCTTTTAACTCTACTGTGTTGAAATGTCACTTTAATGTCTGTTAATCTGTGCTAAGTACATCTTTACTACAATCAAGAATTATTTAACGTGAATAAATATAAGCACGGAGTCTCGGCTCCTTTAGATCATGTTGAAACCTTCATTCACTTTTGAGGCTGCAGAGAGGTTTCTGTGAGTAACAGTGTCAGATCATTTCCTCTACATAGTTAAACTAGAACCAAAGTAGCCTAAAAAAGACAAACTTTCAGCTCTTCAATCTCAGCACTGAAACATGAAACTACAGCTTTTTTTATGCTTTATTCAGAGTTAGCAAAATTAAAATTCCAAACATAGCAGTATCAGTTCAATACAGTAATTTCAATATTGAAATAACATATCAGTGAGAAATACTTAACAATATGAGAAAGCGACAATGCATGTTTAGACAGGGGAAAAAAACAGTAGGGCAATAAAATAAAGTAGCTAGTGAAGAACCACAAGCAACTGAAACATAAAAGTAACTTAAAATAAATAAAATAGTTTATGCAAAACTTTACAAGGGTTTTCTTTCTTTTTAAAACATTTTTAGCTGTTCATATCAGTGGGAAAATTCTGTTCCTTCAAATACATTTTAAATTCGTTTATGAAAACAATAAATCTGGGGATGGTCTCATAACTTTATTCTTATGGATGAAATATTTGGAAAGACATAAGTTTACATTGCAACCGAGTTCATCATTTTTATTTGGTAGTATCATTCCAAGAGTGATATTATCTGGAGAAATACATTGTGGAAATACTGTAATGTTTTGTTAATCCATTTGTGAATGAACATCAAACTTCAGCTGTGATACAAAGAAAACCCTCTTACCTTACTAGAGCTTCAGTTCAGCGAAGATGAGCGCTCTGTCCCTCCTCTTCCAGCGACTAAAAAGACAACTTCAGCCACAGAAAATTCACCGAAGCTCCATTACAGCGCCACAATATTAGGAGAGATTAGTTAAAGTTTAGAGATGACAGAGATTGTTCGTCTAATCATGTTTGTATGTGTACAGGTGCAGTGGATGGCGAGTAGAGGACGTGACGTACGTTTCGCACATGCGCAGTACAAATCGGGTTTTCGGGACGGATCGGGTAGCGACAACCATAGACAATTATATGAACACTAGATGGTTTACACAAACTGTTAGCCAATGGAGACCGGCGTCCGCGCATGGCGGCCATTTTTCTACGGGACGCTCGCCCAATCATAACATTGAAGTATACGGTGCATGTAGCATTTAAATAACCATAGATTACTTAATTTTAAACCGATTTTAAAACGGTTTGGCTTGTAACAAACCTCAGAGTTTTAGTTATGTACCTGCATACGAAAGAAGAATGTTATCATGGATTTTCATAAATAAACATTAAACAGATAGGTAGAGCAATGGCTATAGCCCTACACACAAGGCAGTTATATTAAATCATTTAAATATAATAATTCCATGTATGTTATATTAGTAATATTTCTATTATAGAGGTAACTATAATAACATATGACAATAACATAAATGTATTTATTTTCAACTTAAATATCTGCCTTATGTTTCCATTTTAGATGTTTTTAACAAACCAAACAGCTTGGAAATCATGTACAACTTCAGTTTTGTTCAAACGGAAGAGCATTTCTGCCTCTCCAACTAATTTAAAATTGCTCGGTCAACTTTACGTACTTGGTCTCACTCAGTCAATTAAAGTCTCGATTGTACACTTCGCCTTGACAACTCGCGCAAAGCGACTCAAAAGTTAGCCCTTGCGCGCAAATGGCTGTGAAACAACTGGGCGGAATCAAGTTGTCCATAGTATATGCAGTCTATGGAAACAACTGTGCTTCATAATTAAGTCTTTTTTTGCTAAAAGAAGAGCTGTCCAAGCATCCCGACTCATATCCACGTTATTAAGGGCTGTAATAAACAAAACCATTTGAATATCTGTCAAGATTTCAGTAAGTTAGGAGTATCTTTGATCATGCTGGACTGGAGTAAGATGGCCGCCGTACAGGGACGCCGCTGACTGCTCCTCATGTCATCTATCCTTTCGTATATATATCCATGACGACAACACCCGCCCCACTGCGCGTTTTATTGTCCAAATCTCGCGATGGTTGCTGAGCGGTGGCGTTGTTCGGGCGAGCCGACGACGAGACCGTAGCTGTCTGGAAATTTGTCTCGTGTGTTTGCCTAAAACCTATTCTTCAAAATAGAGGTTTTTGTTCTTCCGGAATTTTACCATTTCCACATTTCGACACTCGTCGCCGCGAGAGTCCCGAATCAGACCGGTGAGTTTCGCTAACTATCAGTTTGCACCTTGCACGGAGCGTCTGTTTAATTTGTGAAAGGTGCCTTTTTGCACGGCGAGGCCTCGGTAGAAGCTCGTAAGCTAGCCAGCTGCTAATCAATATGACTGTGAGCTCGGGAGCTATTAATAATAAATTATGTTTTTTTGCTCTGACAATGGTGAAGTGTTTCAGGTTACAGAGACGTGCGTTTGTGCTGTAGAGATCTTTATTCACGTGAAAATGAAAATATAACGTGTCAACATCGTTAGCCAGCGAGCTGCATGTGAGGGGGGCGGGACGGCGTCTGTCGGTGCTTTCCACAAGTGGCAGTATTATATTTCAAAAACTGATCGTTTTTAACGTAGTTCATGTTTCTAAATGGTATCTCTAGAAAATACTATTTCCATTTAACTCTTATTTGGTGTATGTGGTCAGTTTCGTACAGAATTACTTCAAATGAGAGTGACAGATCTGTTACAAGACCATCATTCAAATCGCATGAATTCTCTATCGAATAACATATTCTTGCAATCCCTGATGAAGATATGTTTGAAAAAGTTCTTGTTTTGAGCACTTCTAAACATTTTCTCCTTTTCTTGAGGTAGAGCAGAATGGCTGCAGCTGAGGTGAACGGCAGTTCTGTCACCACTAAGGAGGAAGAAGAGCCCATGGATGTGACCTCAACACACACAGAGAACTACCAGACACTCATCGATGCTGGGCTCCCGCAAAAAGTAGCTGAAAGTCTAGATAACATCTTCCAGACAGGTGGGTCATAGCTGCTTAAAGTGTTACAAACAAACTGAAATGAAGTATAAAATACCTTTAATTTGGCCAAGCCTGATAGAGAGTCTGCTTTTACAGGCTTGGTGGCGTACATAGACCTTGATGAAAGGGCCATTGATGCGTTGCGGGAGTTTAATGAAGAAGGAGCTCTCACTGTGCTGCAGCAGTTTAAAGAGAGCGACCTGTCCCATGTACAGGTAACCCCATGGCTGAAATACGTGCCTTACTGTCTTGTAGAAGTGCGCTGTGTTGTAGATTATTAGAAATAACTGTTTTTTTTTTGTTTGTTTAAATGTAGAATAAAAGCGCTTTCCTCTGTGGAGTCATGAAGACTTACAGACAGAGAGAAAAACAAGGAAGTAAAGTGCAGGAGTCCACCAAGGGTCCAGATGAGGCAAAAATAAAGGTAAACATTGACTCATACCTACTCATGTCTTATGTGTAAATGCATATCTTTGCATCAATGCAGCTCACGTTACATTTTATTTTGTGTATTTTAGGCTCTCTTGGAGCGGACGGGATACACTCTGGATGTCACCACAGGGCAGAGGAAATATGGAGGTCCCCCACCGGAGGAGGTGTTTAAAGGAACACAACCAGGGATCGGAACTGAGGTAGAAAGTGTTGCTTTTGTTAAGGCTTGTTTTTGTCTCATTTGCAGAGTCCAGGTACTTTAAGGTCGGCTGGAAACTTTCAGATGCATGTTGCAGAACCAGAATTGAAGTCTCCCAAATCTCGTGCTGTATTTGTTTTGTTTTTTTCCATATACTTACATCTACCTCTCTTCTTCTCATCAGGTGTTTGTGGGGAAAATCCCAAGGGATTTATACGAGGATGAGCTGGTGCCGCTCTTTGAGTCTGCTGGTCCTATCTGGGACCTCAGGTTAATGATGGACCCTCTCTCTGGTCAGAATAGAGGTTACGCCTTCATCACATACTGCAATAAGGATGACGCCCAGAAGGCTGTGAAGCTTGTGAGTGTTCTGAAGACACAATTCAACCGTGTTACTCTGGAGAAAATCTAGCTCGGTAATATTGATTTATCATTTCTGCTCACTTAAAATACCTTTCCTCAAGCTTTTGGCTTTTCCATCTATTTCCAGTGTGATAACCATGAAATTCGCCCCGGCAAGTATTTGGGAGTGTGTATATCTGTTGCAAACAATCGCCTGTTTGTTGGATCAATTCCAAAGAACAAGACAAGAGAAAGTATTTTGGAAGACTTTGGCAAAGTTACAGGTGAGTTCAGGGACACTTAAGTGGGTTTGTAATGGAAAGTTTCTAAAACAAACCTGTCATGTTGGATGATGCGTTACAGTTCTGTGAGAGACTATGTTTTTTTTGTCATGGTATTGTACAGAGGGTCTCCAAGAAGTGATACTGTACCACCAGCCGGATGACAAGAAGAAGAACCGTGGTTTCTGTTTCTTGGAATACGAGGACCACAAGTCTGCAGCACAGGCTCGCCGGCGCCTAATGAGTGGCAAAGTCAAGGTTTGGGGGAACCCGGTCACTGTGGAGTGGGCTGACCCTGTCGCTGAGCCTGACCCCGAGGTCATGGCCAAGGTAGGCGACTGATGTTATTTTGGTCTAAGGTTTTCACAGTCATATGTAAAATTAGTTTTAGAGGTCGCCTGATCCTCTGGAATTTTAATTCCAACATTTCCCTGACTTCATAGGTCAAAGTTCTCTTTGTGAGGAAGCTGGCCACAGCGGTGACTGAAGAGCTCCTTGAAAAAACCTTCTCTCAGTTTGGAAAGCTGGAGCGAGTGAAAAAACTGAAAGACTACGCTTTTGTACATTTTGAGGAAAGGGATGCTGCTGTGAAGGTGGGTTTCTACATGCTGCTGATAACGGGATTCGCCTGTCTGAATCTCTGTGTTTAACTGCATTGATTTTGTTTGGTTAGGCGATGGATGAGATGAACGGAAAGGAGCTTGGGGGAGAGGAAATTGAGATCGTCCTGGCAAAGCCCCCAGATAAGAAGAGGAAAGAGCGCCAAGCAGCTCGGCAGACCACCAGGAATGCAGGGTGAGGGACACGGACATGTGATTGGTCAGCTGCACAAGCAGTCTCAGTATGAGGAGTTCACTGAATGTAACACTGTCCCCTCTGCAGGTATGACGACTACTACTACTACCCACCTCCTCGCATGCCCCCACCAGGCCGAGGCAGGGGCCGTGGTGGCCGAGGGGTAGGCTATGCTTATCCCCCAGATTACTATGGATACGAAGACTACTACGATGACTACTATGGCTACGACTATCACGACTACCGAGGGGGCTACGAAGACCCTTACTATGGCTATGATGATGTTTACAGCATGAGGGGCCGTGGTACACGTCCTAACAGGGGGGGGCCTCCTCCACCCAGGGCCCGTGGAGCACCACCTGCACGAGGCCGTGGTGGCTACGCCCAAAGGGGGCCACCTCTTGGTGGTCCGAGGGGTGGTCGAGGAGGCCGGGGAGCCCCTTTCCAGCCGCAAAGGGGCCGTGGTCCTCGCGGTGCCAGGGGCAATCGTGGGGGCAACGTGGGTGGAAAGAGGAAGGCGGATGTGTTTAACCAGCCTGACTCCAAGCGCCGCCAGACCAACAACCAGAACTGGGGGTCCCAGCCCATCGCCCAGCAGCCCTTGCAGCAAGGGGCCGACTATTCCGGTAACTATGGTTACAGTAATGACACCATGGAGTTTTCACAGGATTCTTATGGGCAGCAATGGAAGTAGATGCACCAAAAGGTATTTGGCAAAGTGACAACAAAAAAAGAGAAAAACAACAAAACAAAAAAAAGCAAACAAAAAAAGAAACTGGAGATTGGCCACAGTTTTTTGATTGACTTTTTATTCTTCATCCCTCATGAAAAAAAAAATCTGTACATATATCTTAAAGAAAAAAATGGACAGACCCCAGAATTGGCTCAAGATGATTGGCTGGAAAGCCTTTTGGCTGAAGAAGAGAACGTAACCGTTGCGGTGAATCATTTGTTACTTCTACGGTTACATTGGGACGTGTCTTTAAAAAACACTCAAAATACTTTTATTGTTACATTTTTTTTGCTGATTCTTTTAAAGCCAACAATGAACATTTACAAAAAAATGGACATTCATAAGTCTGAGAGGACATTAAATAATGATATTTGCCTTGCAGGAAGTTTTTGTCCATGCCCTTTCCCTTCCTCCCCTTCTTGTACTCCCTTTCTTTGTGGTTTCTCATAGTTGCTTAGGGACTTGCTTGTAAATAAATGCATATGGTTAGAGCTTCATACTTCATTTTTTTGCAATGGTGGAGAAAAGAATCCACAGGAAGGAAGAAATCAAAGTTTTGTAATGTTCAAAGTGTATGCCTAGCATTTCTAGAGGTAGTAAAACTGTGTTTTTTTTAAACTGATACCATAACTTCCTATGTTTTCTTTGAACTTGCCCAATAGAATTTGGTTTGGCTTACCTTAAGAGCCATAGCAGTTTGTTCTCTGATGTTCTTTGTATTTATAACTTTTACGTTTGTTCCGTTTCAATAAAACTCAGCTGAGCATCAGTCAATTGTCAGATACTCAAATTCAGTGTTGTCATTCAGTATATGATTTGATTTCTACCTCAATTCACTTATTTGGATGAAGATCATCGTTTTCAAGTCAAAGACTTTTGCCTTGTAGGACAATCACAAAAATCTGAAATTGTACAATCAGACAACGGGACAAGAGAACTTTACAAGTTTGGATGATGACATGATTTAACAGGATTTTAACCCTTTATTTTTCAGTGCATGTAACATCAGCCTACAGTCATTTCCTGCATTCAGAATGTGCATAGTGGATATCGCAGCAGTGCACTTATTTGATCACAGTTTGGTCCTTGTATTATTATATAAGAACCAAACTCTAGTTTTGACTTCTTTTACATTACACGAGATTGTTCCTGTTTGTGTTCACAGGTGAACTTTTTTTCTTTCAAACATAAACATTTGATGCTCATAAAGGTCAAGTTTAATCTTAAAGGAAATATTGATATGTAACATGAACCACAACTTAATATTTTCTCATCAAGACTGCCATGTAGGGCTCCTGAATTAACGGGGGAGAAAGTCAAAAACATAATTTCTGATGGATCCACTGGTACACTTTAGGAAAGAAAAACATTTAAATTTCTACAGCACAGAGTAAAATGGATTGAAGTAATCGAAGTAATCATACAACACATTCTACCATAAAATGTTCTGTTTTTTAGCTCTGGTGTTTGAGATTTGATGAAGCTTAGATTATGTTTGGCTGCTCGCAGTTTTCAAAGACTTGGACAATCTTGGATAATGTAAAGATGTCACTTGCACTGGTCTGGTCCTGAAGCAGACACACTTCCAGTCGTAACCCAAATTGAAATCAGAACGGCTTCGTATTTGTTGTCTTCAATTCATTATTCAGATTTCCAATACCTCATCCTAACCATCTGTATTTCCTTTTCGAAGGCACCAAGGATCTGACCGCCAAAAGGGTTAAAATTCTTCAATTTAGCAAGCTGTAGTTTTTTTCTAAGTGTTTTTAGCATCCTGCCTTTTGGTGCCATGGTATCATTGTCTTTTGTTTCATGTGTCTGTCCTCTTATTCCAACCTGCCTAGGTGGAGAAGCATTGAGAGCGGCACCACTAGAGTGAGGAACTCACCTGAACGGTACTCAAGGGTGAGCTAGCCTTGCACAGAGTACTGTCTCCTCTCCTCTAGCTAAATGTGATCACTGGAGAAACTTCAGTCATAATTACTCTTTTTGACACTTTCTTTATTTATCGCAGAAAAATCAAGCTTTTGATCCTGTTGGTGTTTTTCCCCTCTTGCTTTTGAAAACACAAGCTGCTTAAGTTGACTGAAGAATCATTGGATTTCCTACAATCGCTTCTGTTACCCGCATATTTATGGAGTTTAGAATACATATACGCATATTTTCCTGAGAAATATGTTTCCAGTGAAACCGAATGCAGAGTCAGGCACGCTTTAAAGAGCCAAACTGCTGTATTTGACACCCAGATTGTAGACAGTCAATGACACTGTCCTCCCTATAAACTCTGAATTCCTGGCAAACACCTGCTGCCTGTCTTGACTTACTGCACTAAATGACCTCGGCTGTCTACAAACAACTCTGTGAATGGAGGGTGGTGGTTCCCCTCCTACGCCACTAGAGGTAGCAGTCTCACACAAGCACAAGTAGAGATTTTCTGTGCCTGTACTCGACGTGCATTTATTGACCTATTTCAGAGTAAGAGATGTGTTTATTTATTCAAAAATATCAATTAGAGACGCTTTCTGTTAAAAAATCTTGAGTGGCTTTGGGGACGGTAAATCATGTGTGAGCGAAATTGGCTTCTGATGGAACAAAGACTGCCTGAACACTGGTTTTAGTACCTTTACAAAGCCACAAGATGGCAGTATATGGGCTGAATCATTTATAACACGCAGGTAAGGCCAAAATAGGGAGCGCGGTTCTACGCTGAAAGCCCATTCACATAGATCTCACACACTTTGGTTTGCTTTGCCATCATATGTTTGAGTGTTTTTCAGTTTCTCATATCAGAACTGTGTCTTTTATATGTTGCCTCTTGTCACCAGGCAGTCAAGGAGCTGCCCCCACCCATGTGAATGAGTTCACACAAATGGAAGGGACTGATGGGTAAGACTGTTCATTATCTGAACTAAAGCTTCATCTTACCATGTTTATATTTTTTAAATTCTGCATATTTTAAAAGATATTTTCTATATCCTACTAGTCATTTTGCTTCCCAGAGCCTGTTATTTCTGTAAGTTGTTTTTGGTGTTTATTTGGTTATAACATGGGATCCACAATCTGTCTTTCTTTCATTTAGTTATACTGCATCAAATTAAAATCACCTATCTTTCTTTCTGGTGCTGCTGCTGGTGTTTAGTTGTCCCAATGCTTAAAAACTATGGACCATCGTTAACATATTCTTGTCTGTGTGGCCTCTCTCTAGCTCTAGAACAGGAGACTGTTCCCTACTACATGTGATACACGTGGCTTCACATTGCTCAGAGAGACCAGACAGAAGCAGACAGTTCAGGTCCAGCTCTGGAGTGACTAGATGTCTACCCAGAAAACACAGGTATGTAAAACATCTGATAGAGAAGGAACATCTTGTAATCTTCAGACCATTTTTCCTAAACAAATCCAGAAATTGTTAATATATTATGGCTATTAATGTAAGAATAAAACTTGAACCCTGACTGTTCCAGTTATAGACAATGTCAATATTTTCTGCTTAATATAATGTCATTTCCTACAGAAGCATAGGTGGATACAGGTGATGGACAAGTCATGATCCAGAGCACCATCCTGCTGATTGTAATGAAAATACCACTGTAAAGGAAAGTATGTTGCTTTACACGTGAAATACAATTTATTACCTAAGCCGATGTGTGTGATTTTGTGTGAATATTTACACAAGATAGTTATTCGAAAACTTTTTGGATCAAAATGTTGAACTTTATCACTTGTACTCACCTCTGAATTGCGTTGGTTTATACAATTCATTTTTTTTTTTTTTTTTTTTTTTGTGAAGTTAAACTATGATTCTGCAGTCTAACAATTCCTGATTGCAAAATCCCAACAGTCCAACAGGCTTAAATGAGTGGGTGTGTGAACATGTTGGGTGGACTTCAAAGTACGAGCCCTTTTAAAAAGGTCGAAGATGATTCAAGGCCTCTGGGTGGACTACTTAACTTTGAAAGTGATCCAAAAATCCATTCTTACTACCTACAAAAGATGTATTTCAGACATAAACATCATTCTTCTTTTCCATCATGGACACTTAAGAGATCTGTTCTTTGATTTTTTTTTCAAGGAAAGTTCGATTCATGATATCTGCGGCACACTTAATTTTAATTATCCAAAATATTTCATGACTTGTCCCTATTGGACTCTAGATATCTGGCATGGGAGTTCTTCCTTGGAAAGAATCTGAGCCAGACATTGAAAATGTTCATTATAGACAGAAGGATTAGTTTGTGGATGCCAGAAATTGGAAAACCAATAACATGAACTGCTAAGGTGCTACCATTTGCACAAAGTGGGTATGTTTGAAGGGTGCTGGTAGTTAAAGGATAAAATACTCAATAAAAATATTTGAATTTGCCTTTTCCATTAATTTTAGTCTAACTGGCTGTACATTTGTCTTTGCCAAAGGTAGACGATACAATACAATCAATAGAGTGGGTTATTGATCAGTAATGGTAATTTTAGCCGCCAGTACCACGTCTAACTGCGTAAATTGTGCGCATCTGACACAAATTTCTAAACTCGGTTGACTCTGTGAGTGAATTTCTCTAGTTTTAATAAAAAACGGGGTTTCATATTTGTAGTATTTTTACATTCGTGTTCGATTGACTTAAACGGCGAATAGACGAAAACATAAACAAACGCATTTTATGGTAAAATGCAGTTTACCGGTATTTCTCAACTTCATTTTATATTAAAGTTTAACATTTTACTGGTCTTTTGGATCAAAGATTTCTATTAACGCCGATCTACTTATTCCATATATCAGTAATTTAAAATTAGCCAAAAAATTTATCAGGATATTTCTGATTCCGTTATCACGTGACACTCCTACGTCACACGTAAACCACCGGGAAGATGGCGGCCGCCGGAGGAGAGCCTTCCAGTCAGAATATGTCGGATGAATTATTTCAGACCTTTATCTCGGAGGTACGGTTAAAAACGTGTGGGTTTTTGTGTCGGAGAGTTGTAGCCCATCTCCATCGATTAGCTGAAATAGATAATTTAATAAATCGCGTGTTTATTATTGATGAGGCCTCGCAGACGAGAGCATCGGCTAATGCTAACATGCTAACATTTGCTGTGATGCATGTTGTGATCGTTTCTGTGCTTTCAGCGCTAAAATCACAGTTTTTGCTTGTGTGTCTGATAGGTGAAGCAAATCGAGAAGAGAGATTCTGTGTTAACGTCTACGCAGCAGATCGACAGACTGCTCAGACCTGGTTCATCCTACTTCAATCTGAACCCCTTTGAGGTGAGTCCTGGAGGTTCAGGAGGAGGACTCCACTTTAAGCTGCTTGATCCTAAACTACAACAGTCCTGTATCCTGACTTATTCTTTTAATCGGATTTCTTCAAACCTAAAACCAAGAAATGGGGAAATGCACCATGTTTGTTAAGGAGTAACCTCAGCTGATGATATTTATTGAATTGTGAAGCTTTTACAGAGCGATAAATGGCTCTGTCTAACAGCTGTGTTCAGTAGATACTCTGGCAAAGAACTCCATCTTGGAAGAAACTAAATGTTGTTTCTGAAATTTTCAGGTGTTGCAAGTTGATCCCGAAGCAACAGAGGATGATTTGAAGAAGAGATTTCGAGCGGTAAGGAAGAAAATATTCCCTCTTAGAAGTCTTTGCTGTGACTTGAGACATGATCACATGTTTCTCTAGTTTTACCAACTTTAGTAACGACCGCACGATAGCAATACACAGCAGTCTAAGGAGCCACACACAAACCTCAACCAAAACGCCACTCTATAGCCACAAATAATGCTCAGAACAGCACCTCACTTCATCAACAGGACATATAGGGTCCCAACCATAGCACTAGCCTTTTCAGCTTTGCCTAATTTCTTTAGCAAAGAGACTAAACACAACTCACCTACTCTCTTCCAGCAGCCTTTTGTTTGTAGCAAGACCTCGGGCCAGTCCTTAACGTACTGCAGCGGGGTGACACAGCTCAAGGAAGAACATTTATGATCATTTCCTCATGGAAATGCAATTACACCGACACGCTAAGGCAGAAGAACTACCACGTCTGCAGTGCAAAATGATTGTTATGATGATTATTACTTCAAGGAAATGATAAAGAAATACTCATAAATGTTCTTCCTTGAGCTGCGTAACTCTGCTGCACACGGTGATGATGGACTTACCCGAGGTCTCTGGACAAACAAGCTGGAAAAGAGTGGGTGAGTTGTGTTTAGTCTCTTTGCTAAAGAAATTAGGCAAAGCTAAAAAGATGTTTGGTGGCTAGTGCTGTGGCTGGGACCCTATATGTACTGTTGATGAAGTAAGGTGCTGTTCTGAGCATTATTTGTGGCTATAGAGTGTTTTGGTTGAACGCGTGGCTCTCTGTATTGCTATGTGCGGTCGTTGCGAAAGTTGGTGTAACTAGAGAAGCAAGCTGTCGGCAACATTTATCTCTCAATGGGGTGTCTGACTCGGTGTTAGAGTGTGTTTGACCCTAACTTAATTTTACATATCCCTTTTATTAAATCCAACGTTTTATCTCTTCCTCTGTGCAGCTGTCTATTTTGGTCCACCCGGACAAAAATCAGGATGATCCAGAGAGAGCACAGAAAGCCTTTGAAGGTAAACCCTGATTGTTTCCTAGTTTGTAATTTGCCAACAAAGTAATTTTTTGCATGTTGTTAGTAAATGAAAAGGAAATATTTTCCAAATGTCTCTTTATGTTTCAAGCTGTGGACAAAGCCTACAAACTCCTGCTGGATCCAGAGCAGAAGAAGAGAGCTTTAGATGTGATCCATGCGGGAGCAGAATATGTGGAGCACATGGTGATAAATCCACACATTCCCTTACTTCACTTACATTAAAGTCTGTATTTGTTGTAGATGTGGTCTGTATTTGTTTGGTAATAGATTTCCTTTTCTGCCATTCTGTTTCAAATAGGTGAAAGAGAAAAAGAAAAAGTTAAAGAAAGACGGGAAGTCTTTGGATGTGGAGGAGGATGACCCGGAAGTGGTAAGTCAAAGTTGGAAATCTGTCCCGGCTAAACAGTTAGAAATAATTTTGATATGCATATGTTGTAATAGTGTATTATCACTTAATTTGAAAAACACATTTTCAATTTGAAGAAGTGTTAACTGGGGGAATACTGGTTATCCTTATGTCTCTGACCGTATAATTACTTAACATCTCCAGTTCAAGCAAGCGGTGTACAAACAGACCATGAAGCTGTTCGCAGAACTTGAAATCAAGCGGAAGGAAAGGGAAGCAAAGGACATGCATGAAAGGTAAAATCACCACAAGGATTATAAAGTTAAACTTCACATTATTGAAGATTCTGCATTCATTCGGGAAGTCATAAATGTCTGTTCTGTTCTCTTCCTTCTGTTTTATCAGGAAAAGAGCAAGAGAGGAGGAGATCGAGACTGCCGAGAAAGCAAAGCGAGAGAGAGAGTGGCAGAAAAACTTTGAGGTGTGTTTGGTTTTTAACTCTGCAATGAGTCGCTTTTGTTTCACTTCATCTTTATCGACCCTTTTTTTGTTTGTTTGTAATTTTAGGAGACACGAGACGGGCGCGTGGACAGTTGGAGGACCTTCCAGGCTAAAGGCAAGAAGAGCAAAGAGAAAAAGAACAGGTCCTTCCTTAAACCCCCAAAAGTGAAGATGGAACAGAGGGAGTGATGCTGTTTGAACAGGACTTTCTAGATCAGACTCGCTGTTCAAAAACTTTGGTTTTGTGTCCTCACCCTGTCGTCTGCAGTCAGGTATATCATCATCATCATCGTCACACAGTCATCAGGATACTAAACAGACGGCATTTCCTCACCGTGTCCCTGGAAATCATAGTTTTGTAGTCAGTTTTCTAATGTACATATTTGTGATCTGGACCCAGAGATCACAACTAGGAGAGAGAGAAAGAAGAATGATGCATCTTCCACTTCTGTTATTGTCGAGAAAAATGTGTTTTGTCATGTTTTTGTTCTTTTTTTTTTAAATAAAGCTTTGTGTCTACAAGCGTACCATACAGAGGTTTAAAAATAAGAGCTCACACTTGCAGAAAAGGACAATATTTAGGTTTGTGGAGTGGGTTTGCATCATTGTTTATAAAGATCTGGTTGTGATTACATTATTTTCAAACCATTATAACACCGTCCACATCTCTAAAAACAATTCTGTCAGAGCAGAACAAAAATACTTCTCGAGTTTTTGAGATATTTTACACAAATGTGTTTAGTTTCTCATCAGTTCTGCATGTTTTAAATGTCTCAAACTGTAAATAAAACACCTGAATGGTGTTTGTTCCACATATCCTACATGTCATTTTGAGGAAAAAGTAATACAATAAATAGCTAAATATGAATAAAGTACTTTTAAGTGCTTGGTTTCTGATTTAGATTGAGGAATGTGAACACTGGATAAACACAATTCACAGCTGTAGCAGGAAATGTCAGCAAATATTTATTGACTTTATGACATCATTCACAGAAATAGTGCAAAGTTTGATACAAAGTAGGACTTGCAAAATAACCACGATAAATAAATATCTGGAGAAAAATATCTGAATATAAGAAATACAACAGTATAGTCTGTCTCTCTGTGACTTTTCCTCCCTGAGCTTTTTGTTCTTCAAGTCTTTGGATTTTAAGGGCTACAGCAACAGACTGATCGTCTTCAGCAAGTCTCACATGACTTTGCATGGATCTCCTCCTGCAGCAGGAGCAGCTACAGCTGGAGATCCACTACTGCCTCCCACCAGGCCATCCAGACTGAGGCCCTGGAAGGCTCCAAAGAAGGAATCGTCCTTTCCTGGGGCTGATTTTCTGGCGGCTGTGGTCTGCTACACAGGGAAAAGGAACAATAATAATAAAGATGTTGAAATCCTAAAATCACAGAGTATTTTCTTTGTTGTTCTTGTTGTTTACTCACCCTTGGGAGGCAGTGGTGGCTCCTAAAATGGGTTCTTCTCACCGTTCTCTCTGCATTCTTCTTGGCCAGGATGGCTTGCTGCCTTTTCCTTTAACAAACAAAACAGAAGACACATGAGGCAAAGCACATGGGCAAGCGGCTTATTTGTGTTAAGAACAGCTTGATCCTCATTAAGCTGAGTCTGTCTGGTCAAAAGTGTGAGCTAGACAACAAGGTGGTGACTGAAAACTGTATTACTGTCAGAAAACATACTGTTTAAAAGTGCTTAAGTAAAATGACAAATACTGGAAAAGTCAGCTTGTTCCGACATGATATGTAAGGCTCAGACCTACCTTTCCCTCTTCAGCTCAGCCTGATATATCCGCAGCCAGGAATCTGGCACTTTCTGACTGCTACAGGGAAGACTTCTCCTCCTGCTGACGCTCTTCCTGCGAGTGAAGCTGTTTCTGCGGACAGACTGGCTCCTCTTGGCGGGGCTGTTCTTCCCTGACACACAACTGGTGAACTGTTTCAGTGGGGCACCCAGAGACATGAGGGAATCCATGAGTAGAAGCAGCTCTTCTTTAACACACGGCAGAACTTAAGCTTGTCCCTGAAATCATCAAAGTGTGAATTTACAGCATTTTAGAGTCATGTGTCCCAAAAGCACAAAATCACACATCAAACAGTGACACTCACCTGCAAGTAGTATCACCTGTGGACACAACCGGCTGACAGGATCATTTAAAGAAGCGTCAAAAAGCAGAGTCCATTAGATGCATTACCTCCACCGCTTCAGCTGGAGAACATGTACACACCTGTGCTCTGTCTCTGTCTGCTCTTATGGGGATTTAAGAGATGACCTCTCCGGACCTCAAACGGGATTAAAGACGAACGCATGAGTCGTTTATCTCATTACCTGCAGGGTATTTCAAAACAATCATGCACAGGAAAACAGCTGTTCGCTTATACTTTGGTTCAAAAATAGCTCCCTCTGACTTTTTGTTGTTTAAACTCTGGACTTTAGAAAAGGGAAGTACAGATAACTCAGAAGTTAGAATTTCAGTAGAAGCATGTCTTTCACATTGACAGCTGAGGGAGGGAGGAAGTGAGACAGATGGAGGGAGGACAGACTGAAAAGGTGACGCTTCAGTGACGTAGTTAGGGTGTCCTCCTTGTTCAGAAAATCAGAGCCATTCACCGTCATTGACTGGACTCAACTGATTCACAAACTCAGACTCATTTCATTCATTGAATTCTTTACTCAACCCACGCCTCAAGATGCCGAATGTCATCTGCTACACCTCCACAAATAAGCTGGCTTTGACATATTAACATATTCAAAGTCAAAAATTTCAATTGTTTATTTGCATGGTTTGTCTGTATATATTAGACCTCAATCTGACAAACATTCAGAGCAAATCTGACCCCTAAGAGGGTTCCTTTTAATTTGGCATTAAGGGTTTTTCTCGAGTCCTGTTCTGTTGTTTCTGTTTTGGCAGTTTTGGTCATTGAGTGCAGTGAGGTTAATATAGTAAACAGGCACATTACCAACAGATGGAGGAAGCTTAAGTGACGAAGCATCGATACACTTGTTTCAGAGGATCATCAGTTTCTTCCGGTGTTCACAGCTGCACTCAGGAGTTGGAAGGTAAAGCAGTGATTCATTTCCAAGAGACACTGCCAACAGAAAGCTTTCTTCTGCCAACAAATGAAAGGTAAGATTATGAATCATCCACATAAAACCAAATAATACAGATATGCAAATGGGAAGCTGCCTTTACAACATAAGTGCTTAAAATGATGAGTCTTTACTGTGATGCTTAAAATGAAAAAATGTAAACAGTTTATCAGGCTCAGCAGAATGAGAATTTGATCCAAGACACAGACACAGAGGTGGTATTTAAAGACATGTCGCCTCCATTTAGCTACCAGAGGTCAAACACCATGAGCCTTTGGTACGGAGGACTTTACTTTAATTCTACACAATGTTACATATATACAGTTTTATATGCTTTAATCTCATACAAAAAGAAAAGAAAAAACACAATTCATGTGCAGGTGTTGGTGGTGGGGGCTTTGACCTACTGCAACTTGAAATAAATACTGTTAACAGGAGCTGTGTGTGGCTCACTGGCTACAACCAGGAACTGTGTGCTTGACCACGACGGAAAAAGGCAGTTTGTTTCCATGTTTTTTTTAAAAATGTGACAAAGTTCCCAGGTCTGATCCTGAACTCCAAAGAAGCCACTGCGCACAACAAAACCATGAACGTGTCACCCACACCATCCCATCCCTACACATACAAACACACACACACACATTCACACTCACATTCACACCCATAAAGTATAACAAAAGAAACATATTTTTAGCTATAAATTACACCAGAGGCCCGTGTGTGTGTGTGCGCATGTGTGTGTGGAGAGTCCATCACCATTTTCATCTCATTAGCAAATAACAGGCCCGCACACTGGAGACAGACGAGTCTCCACGTCAGGGATAATCTTTGTAGACATAAAAAAGAAACAAGAATAGTGATATGCAATGCAAGTTCTCACATTTAAAAACTGAGACACCATTTCCAAAACAAGAAAAGATTTGATTTGATTTGTTTGATGTTCACATAATAGTTTGTTTTGCATGTCTCCATGTTAAAAGTAGAGGTGAAGACCTGCATTGCATATACAGCTCTATCTCCTTTTTAACCATTTAGTAGACTTTAGAGTGAGAAGGCATTTTCTTCCCGAGGCTGGCTTTCTTTCAGACTGATTTTGTAGTGCTTATTTCCTCAGAAATGTGAATTCTTTTCTCCACATGCTGATGAAATAAGTATATGGACGGATGGAAGGAAAGTGTTCAGAAGTCAAAAGGAAGACAGGAGCTGCATAGAGGGCTACTTTGAGGCCAGGGTAAAATATTTGCTTTGACTCTTTACCACAGTTTTTGTGGCTTATTTTGGTCTCTCTGCTGCAAAAACATGCCTCATGTGGCTGCAGAGGTGGACGTCTGACGGGTACAGTGGAGGAGCAGGAAGTTTATGTGTCCATGCTTTTATGAGAAACAGTCCATCTGCTCCGCCTAGAGAGATACTTTATTTCCTCTGTCATTTAGTCTTTGGGGACTCGAGGGTCACCGGCTGATGTCTCGGTTACCCTCCCAGTTCTTGCTGCCTGCTGCCTCGCCGTATCCCCCGTTCTCGAAGAAAGGGTGTTTGAGGGAGTCAGCCAGTGCCAGCCTCTTGGACGGCTCATACTCCAACATGCTTTCAATGAGGTCAAACAGCTGGTGGTGCTCCTCTGCCTCCGACAGTAAGTACCGCTGCCAAGGTGGAAAAAAGAGATTAGGAGGAATACGAACAAGAGAACTTCAGAGAGCTACAATAATCTTGTCGACACATTTAATCCTTACCCGTAAAGGTTTGCAATTTTCTCTGACATATTTCCCCGCTGAAGAGCTCTCGTCCCAGTCCAGACGTCCGCGGTAGAAATACTTTTGCTTCCTGAGGTGGGACAGAGATCAGAGGGAGAAACAGTCAGGTGTGTTTATGGTCATTTGTGGCCTGTATACATGTGTCAAAGGCCCTTTTCATGTCATCTCACCTTGTTTTACGAATCATCCTGGAGGGCACAGGTCCAAGGATTCTCTCCATCATGGCCAAATGCTCTCTGTTGTCATGGGTCTGAAGGAGACAGATTCAAGCGATAACAAACATTAAACCAGTTCAAGGTCATGGAAATCAGAATAAGAGTGTGGAATCAAAATGTAACCGCTGCAAAGCGCTGTTATACCTGAAATAAGGTGAAGCCCAGGTAGTATTCAAACAGGATACAGCCAATGCTCCACACATCACAGGGATGACTCCAGCCCAGCTCTACGGGGTAAATCAGGATACAAATGAATAAAACCACAAAGACAGTGCCATATGAAGAGACAGCTGCAGGCTGGGGTTGACAGAACTTTTTTAATTACTTATTATTCCAGCTTTTTGCTCAATGTTGATGGTACAGATGACATAAGGGCTTCCAAGACATCATCAGAGCGCAAAGAGCTATAGACCAAATCTAGATCTCCTCATTTTAGCAGACCCTCATAGATCCTGACACATACTTCTCCCTGACAGTATTAATGTGTTTTGCTGTTGTGTACATGCTAAGCAGTGAGCTATGACTTGTTCCAGCTTGTTGAACACGACCTGTTTCTACAAGGGTTTGTAGGAAAATTCAACTAGAGATCGACTGAGTGATGTCGGCACAAAAAAAAGGCAGACTTTGATTTTAAGTGATCTTTTTTTTTTGAGTGCCTGAACTATTAAATCTAAAACCATCATCAGGTCTTTGTAAGGGATTTTTCTTTTCATGGTGGCGTTCCTCACCTAAAATGACCTCAGGCGCACGGTAGTGTCGTGTGGATACAATGGTGCTGTGGTGCTCGTGGTCAAAAGTTGCACTTCCGAAGTCCACCACACGTATTGCTGTGTTTTTCACCGTCCGCTCTTCTCGCTTCTGCAAAAAAAAAAGGAATTTTTGTTTCAGCTGCAACTGAAGTCTACAAACACAAAATACTGACATCACTTAATCTTTCTCAATTCTACTCACCTTCTCCACATTGAAGGACATAGTGAAGTCTGAGTTTACAAAGAGGATGTTCTCAGGCTTTAAGTCGGTGTGTGTCAGCTTATTGTCATGGAGAACTACAGACAGAAAAAGAAAAGAGGGAAGAGAACTTGTTAATCAGTCTATCCTCAGCCAGAGAAATACAACTCAAGCATTTTTACTCAGTCTGTCTCCTCTAATCACGCTGCACACTTTAGTTTAATAAAAAATGGTCACAGAAAAGGGTGAAAAATCAGAGGAATACATTTACACTCTGGCATTCAACATTAACTCTACACAACAGGATTATTTTCTCCCAGAGAAGCTTATGAGGTTAACAGACACACTCTGCCTGAAGCGTTGATGCCCTCATGTGGCCAAAGGTTGTCCACCACAAACAAAACTGCCAACACTTAAAGTGACGGCAACAGATGAAGTAATAACACACTTCAAAACAAGATTACAAAACTTAAGCACATGGCTCCTATTTTTTAAACCAGACCATTGAATTGGTTATTCTTAATTCTTCTGATTACATTGAAGTTGATATCTGTTGAGATAATTTTATTCTACTGGAAATAATTCATTTTGAAACATATAGAAAAACTTACACTTCACAGCGAGGCAGATTTGGTAGGCCATGTGTCTGACTTGACCAATTGAGTAGGGCAGGTAGTTGTTTTCCTTTAGAAAGTCAAAGGTGCTGAGAGCTAGCAGCTCGAAGGAGAGACACATGTGACCGTGGTAGTCGAACCAGTCATACATCTGTACACACAGGCTGTGAGATAAACAGAACAAAGGAGTTTTGACGTTGCATCATACTATCCAAACACAACACCATTTATATAACAGCTACAATAAACTAGCAAACACCCAACATCTGTAGTAGTAAATTTAAGGTTTGTCATCTCTACTAGAGAAAGCGGTGTCAAATACGTTAATCATAATAATAAATGTTTTTTTTAATTGACAAAAATGAAGTCAGAACTCACAACTTGGTATCTGGGTCCTTTTCATTGATCTTCTCCAGTACATTGATTTCCAGCCGAGCTGCTTCTTTGTACTTCTCTACATTCTTGATGATTTTCAGCGCAACGTTGGCTCCTCCCCTGTAAAAACCACAAAACAAAATAAGGAGTTAAAAATAGAGTTAAGAACAAAGAACGTGCTTTCCACTTTTAGAAAAGGGTCTGACTGAATGGCAGACAAAAAGCTGATGTAACGGATAATATTCACTGTGATGGTGAAGTCTTTGATCAAAAGGTGGTGTTATAAGACGTCACCTAACAAAAGATCTGTCAGTGTCAATTTAGGACACAAACCATGATCTTGTTCAAATTACATTATCAGTAGAAGTCTATGAGATAAACAGAGAGCAATTGAATGGGCTGGGACAGAACACATCTGATTCCCTAACAGTAAACTACATTACAACATCAACAAAGAAATCAGGCACTAACAGTAGCAGGACACTACCTCATGATGTAGCTCTTGAATTCAAAACTGCCACAATTAATTGCAAACAATAGTAATAAAAATAGAGTGAGATATTTAATAGACTTATCCTGATCTGACACCTGAGATGCAAGACACAAACACACTATTCAAGGATAGAGAGCAGGTATTCTCTAAAGTCTGCAAGAGACACACATACACACCTGCGATGATCGATGCACTGCATCACCCTCCCAAAGGTTCCTTCCCCCAGAGTGCTGACAATCTCATCTGCAAAACAGCACAGAAAGAAAAGAAGGAAAGAGGGGGCACGGGAATAGATAGAACAGACGCATTAGACATGTGGGCTTAAGCAGGGATACAAAATTCAAAAGTGTAGACAGGCGGATCAATCTAGCGCCCATCCCCTTTTTCAAACGGCTGCCTACTCAACCTGGCAGACTTGACAGTCTTTGAGGTAATCTATGATAACTAAGAGCATAGCGCTGTGATACATATAAAGAAAATAAAGGAAGTAAGAGTAAACGCTCCCCTTCTTTGATGGCTGATTAGTAGCCATCCAAAAAAAAAAGACACATACTTTTTATGATGTTGCCCAAAAGGACACATGGGTAATGTGTTATTTCTACAACCCATTGCATGATCATAGCAATGGCAAACATTTTAACATAAATGTGCTGATTATATGTGTGTTGGTTGGACTACAGAGAGTCTTTATGTCTAATAAAAAGAATACAAAACAAATCCCCCAAGACCCTTGTAGCAGAAAATAGCTAGCTTTAGTCAGAGATTTAGGACTATTATCGAGTTTTCAATTTGGAACAAAACAGAAACAAACAGCTGAAAATGGGAATCTATGTTTAGAAAGTCAAGTAGCCTGTGAAACACAGAAAATGCTCCACGGTTTAAAATCCTAAAACAAAAACGGAAAAGGAACCTAAAGTCCCTCTGAAAATCTTGAACATTCTTGCAATCCACCCTGCTATTGCAGCTAGAGCGAAGAGCATTCTATCAAGGCATCATCATCATCATCATCATCAGGCACTCCCATGTCATGTAAATGCTCTATGCTTTTATACTCATATGGAGAAGGGTTACGATAGAGTAGTGGCAGTGAGTACATCTCTCTTGCAGGACGTCCCCACTCCGACAGATCAGGTGCCCTTCCTCGTCGTCCCTCACACTCAGTGCCCGCGTCCGGCTGTCGCTCCGCTGTTTTCACACCCAAACCACCATCAGCAGGTCACGACACGACCAGAGGGAACAGGGGGGTTTTCAGGGGCAACCGCAGCCATGGCGTCAGGTGGCACAGGTAGACGAGGAGGGAGGAGGAGGGTGGCGGTGTTGGTGGTAGTTGATGTAGTTGTGGTGGTAGATGGGTTTGGTGGTCATGGGGCGAGTCACGCATGACACCACGTGAAGGAAATATATAACGATAGGGATATAGTGCAAGGGAACAAGTCAAAGATCACATGTTGTCCTCTGCTCCTCTCCCCCCTCTACCTTTCAACCACAGCTGCTTACAAACAAGGAAGCAACTGGCATATCCATTCATCAACGTATAAACCAGTTATAACAATAATATAACTAGTATAAAAGTTATCCCCTTGATTTTTAAAAGAAATCAAAATGGAACTAAAATGAAAAGACCATAAAAAGAGCAGGAAAATTAAATGTAACCCCCTCCCCCAGCTACATGAAATTTACTCTCTTGTTTTAGATTTACTACTACTTATGTGTGGTTAAATACAAACCAAATAAAAAAAAAATGCATTAAAAAAATCTGATCGATTTAAATCCCCATTCATTCATTCAGAACTAAACTTTGCACAGTGTTTGGCAGAATATTTTCACTTATTCAGCCTATCTCTGCTTGCATTCAACGGTGGATGATCTGCTGAAGCCACAGGCTTTTGGATCTTGTCCAAAAGAACAGACAACATACTAAATATAATTTCATAGCACCACAGATGCGAGATCAAGTTTGAGCAGGTTTGACTTGGCTTTCAAGGGGCAAAAGTTTAGGAGGTAGCGACTGAAGAAAAACGCTGTAAGAATTTGTAGTTGATCTCTGCCGTACTTAGAAAAAAAAAAGCATTTGTATAACAAGGAAAATGCTCTGCCAAAGAGAAACGCCAATTGAAGAACAACCCACTTAAACAGGAAAATAAACCAAATCCCGCCGACAAAACGAAAACAAATCATAAAGATTGTACTACTTACCAATTCCAGGAGCTGTGGAAAAGAAATGGTTAAAGAAAGACGGGGACAGAGAGAGCAGAGTGGAAGAGACAGAGATGGGAAAGATGAAGAGATGCTAAACAAAAGACTCAGGTCTGGCTGTACTCACCGAGGAGGATGGGCTATAGGACCTGGTTCTACGCCGCCTTCGTTTGTGCTTACGCCTGCTGCCCTTTCGCCGGTAAGAGTCATCTCTTTCACGTTCCCTTTCACGGCCACGTCGGTAGTCGTACATGTTTGGGGAAAAGTCGCGTGAGTAGTAACTTTCTGTTGCTCCATGTGGTTCCCTGTCTCTGTCCCGGTCTCGATCTCGGCTCGGATCCAAACGTCTGTATCCCTCGCAGTATCTTCGGTCAAACGGCCGGTGCTCGGTAGAACGATTGTCAAAGCTTCGACTGAGAAAAGAAAAAAGGACAAGACTTAAACTTTACGATCAACAACAACACTTAGAAAAACAAGACTTGCAGTGATGTCAGCTCAATGAAATAGCCAACAAATTGAGACACCAGACAAATCTAAAAATCCACACACTAACTTACCTCCTTGTACGTGCATAGCTGCCTTCTTGTCTGTGTCCCCGTCCCCTCCTGTCTCGGTCTCTGTCACTGCTAGAAGAGTAAGAAGGCGATCTTCTGTGTCGAGGTCTTCGCCCTCTGTCCCTATAACGGTCTTGATAGCTGCTTCGACTGTCTCTGTCCGAAGACGAGTACCGTCGGGTGTGAGGCATCTAGAGCATGAACAGAAGAACAGAACTGATAAGGATTCAAGAAGCCCTACTTGGACTAAGGGGAACAGATTTTGTCTTGGAGTCAAAACCACATATTCTGACCAAAGCAAAGACTTAAGATGCCTCATTTAGACTACAGTTAAATGGTCATATGGAGTACAATATTTTCCCTATGAGAGAAACATAAAAGGTAACAATTCCACTGTTTCATAAATGACAGCTGTACATATAGGTAGAGCCCATGGTTGCCAAAGCCTACAGCAAAGATTTTAATAATAGATAGACAAACCGGTCAAACAAAAACAAAACCGTGGCACTAACATAAGGCCCGTGTTTTTTTTAATGCACACAGAAACATGAAAAAGGACTAAAGCTTCAATCATAGGGAGCATTCCTAGGAAGCATGTAATCCACAATCCTGAGCAAAAATAGATGCAACTTAATGGCAACTGCTGACAACGTAGAAAACAGGTTTAACGATAATAGAGCCTCAACTGTGTGATCCTGCTATTAACGTACTACAGAGCAATGGTTAATCAACACAAACTTGGAACTGCTTCCAATAATGTAAACATTACATATGTACAATGCACTGGAATCAGTTCAGTATTCATATTAACTTTATTTCGTTATCAGTCGGGTGGTGACAACATCTTTCCAAGTTCATTATGTGCTCTGTTGCTTGTGTTTTTCTCTGCAATGTTAAGATTATGCGATAGTAACACTGCCGTCAAAGCGGTCAACGTTGATGGGTACTCATACATATACTTCATCTGTTAAATACCGATTCCATTTATAAGCACATGCTTAACAATATGTCAGAAAATTGCTTTTAACTTGAGCAACAGCACTAAGTCGTCTACGAGCGACGACTTGCCTGCTAGCATGCCTTGGCTAATGTAAATAATTCGGCCGCCATCTTAGCTTAGCTACGTTCGCAAGCTAGCTCAGCGGCTACTTTCACTCGTATCCGCACTGACAGTTTGGTCTCAAAATAGCTCACTAAACACAAATTTAAGACACTGCTCATGCGTACCGTTTTAGCAGCGAGGCCTGTACGTTTGTCCCACAAGAAATCCGTCGTGGCGTTCCAGTTTTTCTCTTTTTTATATCGTAGCTAGCCCCTGTAGTAAAAAGCTATGTGGCTAACAGTCAGGCAGCTTCTCTCTGTCGCTGGTTCTGGTTCAGACTGGCGCTGCTAACGCCCCCCTCCGCCTCAAGTGTTTCTCTGCCGTCTGTGCGGTCGATTCCCCAAATGCCTATGTGAGCGCAAGAATCTTCTAACTACCACAACAGTAATTCAAGAACAACATAAATGACATATCTGCCAAGTTTGGAGCCGGCTCACATTATGACCGCTGTTTTATATTTCGGGTACACCTTTTTTTAGAAGCTTTCTAGAAGTGAGCATTAGTGCTGACCTACTAAAATTAATATCTGGAGTTAGGACCAGGACTTTTTTTGCTTTAGTGCAGCAATGAAATCTTAAAAAGGGCGCATCTTGACAACAAAAAGGGCTTCTTATGGACTTCAGAGTAGGGGAGAGTGGGGTAAGTTGAGCCAAAGGGTAAGTTGAGCCACCCCTGTTGCTTGGAAGTGGTAAAAGAAATTGATCATGTGACCAAATGTTTAGGAGATGGGCATCAATTCATGGAGTCTGTGAAGGTTAGAAGCACATGAGTGAAGGGGTTAGACATTAATTTCCAAAAAAACATTTTTCACTCTTGAAAGTGAATTTAGTCTGTCACAAGTTCTATTAGAATTGTGTTCAGACCATAAAGATAATTGTAAATTTGTTTTGTACATCAATTGCGGTATCTCTGAGCTACAACATGAGTCAAAAACCTAACATAAAAGTCCACCATTTTAACTCGGAGGACTAATAAAGTCATAATAGTAGTAAGTAAAAGTAGCCCTTGCTAAGAAAGTAGAGGAGTCTGATGAGAGGATCGGAGTTTCGGAGTCAGTTCAGATTGTTGAAATGTGTTACTTTCTCTTTTCAAAAATACAGCTGTGAATGTTCTGAATCACTTAAAGACATTCTCATGTTAAAATGAATTTTTACAAAACAGCTTTTTAGCAGTTATATGCAATAATAAGTTGACCATAGGAGACCACTTTTTTTTGGCATGCTATATTATCGAGACAGCAATGTTTACACTCATTCTGTTGGTTTGCAGGGATGCACAACATCATGAAATATGCAGACACACTAGTTAGAGACAAAACTAAGATTGCCTTGATGTAGTGAGCCGAAATATGAAAAATGGCTCATCTTACCCCACTCTCCCCTACTCTGCAGAGCTGAGGATGGGCTATTGCAGTGGAAAATATCCTCTTCATTGTAAGAAATTTGGAACTTTTTATCCGTTTTCCTCTTGATGTACCTTTTTCTTTCTTCTGTGGTTGAGTATGTATAGTGTTAAAAAAATATGACATAATATGACATAATTTCAATATCCCGTATCCTATCTTTATGTACATTCATTCAGTTCACATAAGTTGAATCAATCAAGAAAAATGTGAAATCAATCAAAAGTGAATGTAATTTGATTTTGCAATTTTAATAAACATTTTTAAAACACAAATACCATAACAAAAATACATTCTGGGGAATAAAAAGTCGTATCAGTAAAACAGTCTCAGTCACTGAGAGTCTCATTGCAATGTTAAGAATCTTCAGCATGTCTTATAGCTGGCGGACAAAATCACAAATGCCTAAAACAAACATCTCAGTGTATACACCTGGTGATCAACTTCCACTGAAAATATCTGGGCCTCTCTTGAAACATAAAATCCACTGTTCTTTGCATGTCTTTTGTCCCATCACTTTGTAGATTTGGATGACTCTGGAGTACAAAAGACAAGAAATGATGGATGTTTAAGGAATACTAGTAGAATTATATATTAGTATTGTGAAAATTGTTTTTTTTTTTTACAGGTTCTAGAGATTATTTTACCTTTTACACCTGTAGATTTTTTCCTAACCCCTTTTCCCTGCAGCTGTTCCTGCATATTAATCATATGTTGCAGACGGATGGAGCCTCGATAAATCCACTCCTGATGTTCATCTTTCTGTGAATGATTACACACAAAGTACTTATAGTCAAGGGGTCTTGGTTAACATATAATCAACAAAAACATTGAGATTTCAATAGAAAACAGTCAAAAAAACATTATGTCTACAGAAACCTACCTCAAACACAACACGTATCAAACTGCAGTGAACCTCCAGTACCTTACACTTCTGCTGGACATTTTCATATTCTGCTTCAAGAACCTGTCCAACCCTGTATGATGTCTGGGACGGGTAAGGCCATGAGGCTACATAAGTCCTCATGAAGTCTTTATGGGAACCATCTGGGATATCATCCAAGGGGTCTTCCACTGTGACAGTAAAAGAAAAAACAAGTCAGAGGAAATTCTAATGCCTTCATCATGTAATGCCTTTTTGATGTAAATAAGGACACAAAAACTTACACTGTCTGAACACCTGGTGAAATGAAGGTAAGCCAACATAACGGGGCTTGTGATCATCGGTAAAGATGAGGAATCTAGAAAATTAAAACATATTAATGCTTGATACCAACAGTAAATAGGGCTCTGGGTGGATCCAAAGAATCTGAAGGCAAAACATCTCATAAAAGAAAACCGAATTTAATCGGACTCAAGAAATTCACAAACCTCATGCTATTTCTTCTGGTGGGCATCTCTGCCAGGGTGCCAGGGGCGAAGAAAATGAGTGGATCAGTTCCACACTTCATCACCACTCGACAACCAACACTCAGCCGCTCCACTTTTGGCGGGGAGGTTACGGCGATGTGGTGACCGGAGACAATCTTCTTCTTCTTGTTTTCAAAACTTACCTTGTACCTTGTTTTATCATCTACAGCATCAAAATAAATAAATAAAAAAACTTAAAAAAGTCAAATCTGTGCTCATTTTATATGATTTAACTCTTAGTCTTACACTAAAATTTATTACCCACTCTGACATAACTGGACATATTTATTGATAGCACTGCAAGAGACATGATGTAAAACGCTTTTAAGACAGAGCTCGATGTCCTTCATACAGTTTAAACCCTACATATAATTAGAAAAAATGTGCAGTTATTTGAAATCTTAAAAATTCCCTTTGTCAATTTTACCAATTCAGTTTTTGTTGTTAAATAGCTACACAGTTAACTGCTTAAATCACTGCATAAAATGACCCCCTTGACAGAGTGCAATACACAGAAATGTAAACATTTTCCTCACCCGTAGGTATTAACTCCAGAATCTTTGCATGTAGCCATTTCATGGCACTCATTCTAGCCAGAACATCTGTGTTAACACTCAGCTCCACCTGTGACTTGCTTGCTTGAGTATTTGTGGCTTCTCCTGATGTCTGGCTAAGAGCCCCTTTCTTTGAGGGGTTAACACCTGTTGATGGAAAAGAAACATGAATAACAATACTTGAGGTAAACTGAGGCCTGAGATATATATACACACATATCACAGTTTTTACATCACATACAAACAATCAAAAGTTTTTTAAATCAGTTTATGATTTTGTGTAATGTGTTCTTCACCATTTGTGTTTGTTGGTGATGTTGATTTCTTCTCTGTGTTGCTCTTCATGTTGACAGTTGCACCAACTGCAGATGTCAATGTCTTCTCTGTGGTGCTCTTTGTGTTGACTTTTTCAGAAGGTGAGGTTGTTGTTTTCCTCTCCTTATCGCTGCTGTCTGTACTAGTTTGGGACGTCGATGCTGTGTTACTCTTTGTGTCGACAATTGCACCGGCCGGAGATTTTAGTGTTTCCTCTTTGTTGCTCTTTGTGTTGACAGTTGCATTAGGTGGAAATGTTGATGTTGTCTCCTTCTTGGCACTGCTTTCCGTGCTGGTCTTGGGTGTCGATGTTGTTTGGCCCTCGGCACCCTCAGTTCTTCTAGCTTTTAATATTACATGTTTTTTCGCAGGTTTTTCATCTTTGTGATTGATTTTTTTTCTCTTTCTTGACCCATAACTTGAAAGTGAGTATTCAGAATCACTCAAGTCATGGTCTGGTTCCCATTGGGGGTCAGAATCAGCATCACTTGAGGATTCACTCTTGTTGCCGCTACTTTGATGAACTGGTGAGCAAGCAGATCTGATTGGCTGACAGCGGGAAAGTCTGGTCAGGGTTACAACTGGTTTTTGTGTAGGGCTTATCTGGTCACTACCGTCTTCATGCTCAAGTAACAGAGGTTTAGTCGCTGGAGAGGTGGGGGTTTTGTTCCCTGACTGAACAGAAGCAAGTTCTGGTGGAGCTGTATTGCCTACAAAAATGAAATAAAGGCACAGGTCAAAATTGGGCTTGTATGGCAACCAAAACAAGCCACTTTGCATTGTTGAAAACAAATGCAAAAATACAGAGAAGGCTGATAATTCAACTTTTGCACCGTACCAATGCTTTTTGTTTTATCATCATCATCAGCCTCAGAATCATCATCAGTCTCAGAATCGCTCTCTATGTACTCCAATCCCATTAAAGTGTATTGCCTCTTCACAACTGTTTCCAAAGCTGCCACAGACCTGGATAACAACAGCAATGACAAGAAAAAACCATCAGAGAACTTGGAGATGAACTGTAGGACAAACAGCTGTGTTCTTACTACACAAGTAACCAGGGTTGTTTTGTTAGTGGGCTGTAAAGCATGGTCATTTAACAGCTGTTGTAACATTAGGCACTGGTTGTCTACAGGTGTGACCAAACAAATGGTTGATGTGAGTCAAGAGAGCTTTAACAACAGCATTTATTGCTGAATTCAACACTCACTCGCAGAGCGCCTGGATCCTGGTCGCCTGCTCTTCCCTTCTTTTCAGCAGAGACTGCAGCAAATTGTACTTCTCTAATACACCCGAGGAGATCAGCTGGCTTTTCACCTTTTCTTTTATCCACATTTGGAGCTCCTCTTTGCGCGCCACTATCTCCACCTCCTCCATGGTCACTGTAACACATTTAATTGAGGCGTAAACAGGGTTGTAACTGTGGTTACTCTCCTAAAAGTTCACTGCAAAGGAAATGATGTTTAACACTAGACCTTCTTTAGACTAAACCGTAGTATCTACAGTAGCATTTGATATCCAAGAGTTGTATTATGTTAGGTGAAGATTTAAGCTCACAAATACCTTCAACAAGGCGCTTTTAGTTGGCTTGTCCAACGTAACGTGCTCTGTTGACTTCTTCGTGTGTTCTTGTTGTGCCCAACAGCGACTCACTGCTGCCCCCTTCTGTCCGGACAGTCTTCTTAAACCACCCGGGGGCCAAATCTGGTCCGTGGAACGATTATATCTGGCCCACAAGATCATATCATCTTTGTATTATTATTGGTCCACCAGTATGAAGTCTGCAGATTTCCTCCAGTATAATAATGTAAACTTTAGCACCACGAAAATCTGGGAAATGAAAGAGTAAGGATGATTTGATAAATAGTCAAGAATATCGGGAAAAAATATTGGTGTTTTAGTTCATGTTTTCAATTTTGTATTTTAAGGTTACAAATCAAACATGATTGGATTTTCTATTTCATGCTTTGATTTTGTTCAACTAAGTATTTAGACTTGTGTCATTTTTATACTTTAGATTCTAATTTAAAATTTGAAGTCTTATTTTGACCTTTTAAACCTGATTTCTACGCTCTCCCCATGTAATTGCTCTTTAAAGGCAAATTTTTCTATTTTTAATATCATGCTCTGATCTTTTGAACTAATAAATAAAAAACTTATTTTTCAATATTTTTTGAATTTCCAAATGATTTAAAATCATTGCTGTTTTTCTTTTGCATATTTTTTGAAAAGGAGGTTGACAGTTTTGGTAAAATGTTGACCCTGTTTGGCCCTCAGGTTAGACCTAAATCCAGATTATTGCCCTTGCTGTGGTTGAGTTTGACACCCCTGAGTCACCCCTTCAACCAGTTAGTTATCCTACCAGTAGTTCCTGTTCATTCTACACTGTACAGCCTCAGGACTAAATATAAATGTTATCAACACCGTAGCTGTAATATTTTGCAGTATGTCAGAAAAATAACACTGCATCTGATTTGTAGCCAGCTGAGAAGAACGACAAAGAGTGTGGTCTACTTTTTCTTCAGCAGCTTACAACAAAGGCAGCTTCCTCTGACTAAGGAATTCAGATTTTTATAAATGCAGTCAAGAAAAAGACACCCCCTGCCCACTAACATCATCTCACAAGCGACATGACATTTCAACAGTATCCAAATAGGGTAAAGGTTGCAGCTGTGGTCTGTACTGGGAAGAAAAAGACAGCTTAGTTCATCATCAGGTTCCTGCTTATCAGTTCAATGTCACACTGCTGGCAAAACAACCTGTGAGTGAAATTGTAGCATTCATCTAGTAGCATGGCTTCAGCGGAAAAGTATCAGTCCCAACTCCAAGGCCATGCTTCTCCTTTCCCATGCTCATTAAAAAGAAACAGATGTAACCCTGCAAGCATTCACACCAAGTGATTTTCAGTAAATGATGATTAACATACATATATAATGATAAAATGCACGTGATAGCATATACATAGTTTTTGTTTCAGTGTTAAGTAATAATGACTGACAAAAAATGTGGAAATGGACCCGCTTAACTCTAACTGAACTGGAGAAAAGAGGTGTTGACAATAGGTATTGCCAAAAATCTATCAAAATTGGTGTCAAAGTATAACAGTGGTATGTATAAATATATATAAATATATATATGTGTGTGTGTGTAAATGTCAGATCTTATCACAAAAAGTAAACCCCTCAAAAACACTTAAACATCAGATGATTTATGGTATCAATACTTGTAGTCCTGTGGTGAACTGCCTATCAAATTTAAGTGTCAGTGTCAGTCTGTCTTACTTCAGCTCCAGTGTGTTAAGTTTGATCAAAGAGGTACTTTTTGAAAATTCATTTCATATATAAGAAAAGAGTTCCACCGCACACATGGTCAGAATGTAAACTTATTCATTGGTTAAAAGAACAACGCGTTTTGCCTCACAGGCTTCGTCAGGCTGGCTAAACGCATAGTTTTTTTACCCAATAAGTAAGTTTACATTCTGACTATGTTGTTTGCGGTGGAACTAAGATCTGTGCTGTGCAGGGCAATCCTCCTTTTTGTATGTTTTAATATTTCTTTAGGTTAGAGATGATGGGTGTTCCTTCCACACAGACAGATAAAGGTTTAGTCCGTGTGTTTACTGCAGGAGAACATCAATATACTTGATTCTTGACTGTTGAACATGTTGGGGTACTGATTAATTAGAAAATCCAGACAAGTTGAACAAATTCCGCAAATCAGATATTAATACATGTAAAAAAAATCAAACCAATATATAATCCAAGACAATTTTTAATTGTATCTTTAATAAGTGAAAAAAAGAAGAGCAGTTTAAGAGTTCAGCCAAACTGAAGAAACTATGTTGAACTTTAAATACACTGAAATTTAAAAAAATAAAGGTATTTATTTACACACAAATTCATTCAGATTTTGTGTAGCCTGAAAGTTTTGGGGGTTTGTGATTGCCAGTTAAGATGAGGATTTGACAAACATTTTTTCCAGGGGATTTTTTACTCAGAATCACTCATTTGTTCCTCAATTTCTCTTAGTTTTAGGATTCTTGTCATGTGCTCAAGTCGTGTGGAGCCGCGGTAGACCCACTCCTTCTGTTGGCTTTCCTAGAAAGTAGCAGAAAAAAAGGTTCAGCAAAAATCTGAACAAATAGATACATGTAGAAATTTGTACTGAAAGTCAAAATAAAGCAGTGGTCAGGATGTTACGTACCTGAAAAATGACCTGTATCAAGCTAGAGTCCACCACCAATACCTCACACTTCTGCTGGACATCGTCCAATTCAACATTAATGCTCTGTCCAGCCTTGTACTGGGTTAAATGTGGATATGGCCAGTCCTTCAGGTACCGAGTCATAAAAGATTTGTGTGGGCTGTCTGGAAGGTCGTTCAAAGAGTTTTTCACTGTCAAGATAAAAAAAGAAAGGAAGAAATAAAGAAAGGGTGTGTCACACTTCATTACTCTGGAAAGCTGTCTAGCATATGTTTGGGGTAGCATGCAGTTTCAGCCTCTCTCCTTTTATGATGTGTGTCAGGTCAGGACTGATATGTGGACTGTGGACTCAGGACTGTGATGTGATATATCGTTTTAACATTGCAATTTTGATGTTTAAACAATTTATCTTTCAGCCCTAGTTGCACAGCTAATTAAAGACCAAGAAAATAACAGCAAACATCTGAACTTACATGGTCTGCACACCAGGTGAAGTGAAGGTAAACCAACATAGAGTGGCACATGATTGTCAGTGAAGACCAAAAACCTGAAAAATGAAATATGTTTTGATTTCACATCCAACTTTATGAGGCATTAGGTTCAAGAATTGCAGTAAGTAGACAGATGTATACAATTCGATTTAACAAACCTTAGGCGATTCCTCCTGCTGGGGAGCTCTGCCAAAATACCAGTCTGGAAATGGGACTTGTTTTCTGGGCAGCTGACCACCACACGAGCACTCACATACAGCTGCTCCAGCTTCGGTGTGGTGACAAAGGCAATGTGATGACCAGACACGAGACTCTTCCCCTTTTCTTCAAAGCTGACTTTGTACTTCAAGTGTCCGTTTTCTGCAAATAACAGATTATCAAAGAATGAAGTTGGTAAATTACCTGTGACTGTCTGTCTTTTTTTGCCTCATTGCTGCTGCTAATCAATAGCAGAAGTATAAATCTGAACCTGTTATAATCCACAGAAATAACACTGAAGTGCAAAATGCTATAACTTTTGTTATCAGCAAGCCGATAAGTTAAGCCTCAGGATGAAATGAGAGGGAAAAGGGGCCAATAGCGGGGGGCTATTAGTTGTATTAGTTGTCATCCTGTACAACAAGGGAGAAGTGACTGAGAAAATAAGGTGAAAATATGTCTTACATTTGTGGAACTGCAACCAGCAAATACAGACCTTGCTGGATTAATAAAATAAAACTCAATATAAACATTTTTGGCAAAAGAATACCCAATGGATTAGCTTGACATTTTTACTTAAATATATTGTAGATAAACTACAGGTTACAGACATGAACATCTTCAAACATTTGCAGTGCTTGTGTTCCATAAAGTTTTAAATTTTTACCCTTTGTTAGTATTTCAACTATTGTTCCACGTTGCCATCTCATGTGCTTTTTCCTGGCCAGGACCATCATGCCCACAGAAACCTCTTCTTCCGGCAGGTCAGGTCGGACATTTCTGGTTTCATCCGAGCAAAGCGCAAATGCTGTTGATATGATAATGGGTGCTGGTTCTGACAAGGTGGGAAAGAACAACATGATTACATTAAGCAAGTGGAAGTTCGAAACATGAATGTTTGGTCACTGGTCTATTTATGCCTCACCATGAAGTTCTTCACACCTTTTGAAGTCTGAAATTTGACGGACAGAAAAAAAAAATACAATCTCACATTCACACACGGACCCCAACAATTTTGTCTGTCTTTGTAATGTGTGGTTACAGAATCAGTGGAAGAGTAACAAACTGGACCATCACATCCTGAAATTCACCTGGAAGCGAGTGATAATTGTTGTTTCATTACCTATGTTATTGTTCTGTTGTGCAGGTTCTCTTTTTATTCTTGTATTTCTCCCATTTTTCCGTGTAGTCTTTTTAGACTTTGAGGAATTCCAGCAAATTAAATCATTTTCTGGTTCCCACTGCGTATCAGATTCAGAGGTGTTTAAGGAATCATCTTCACTGTAGAACTGCGGGGGCGTTGGTGGTCGCAGAGCGCTGATCTTGTGATCAGGGAGTCTGGTCAAAACCACCACAGCTTTTTTTGCATGACTGAGAAAGTCATAGTCAGTCTCCCTTTGTCTCTTGTTACAGAGAGTTTTGATTGTGGAGGAAGAGGACACACATGGCTCGGCAGACTGATGCATATTATCTGCAAAGAAATATACAGGTATTTATGGACAGTTTGAAATAGCAAAAAATATCTCAATAAAAAGAGGGAGAGTCAGAATCCTTTGATAGGCATCCACTTTTCAGAGCAAAAATGCACCACTATGACAACATAAAGAGTAAAGTTTATCTTCACACTTTAAGATATCAAGGCCTTTTTACAGCACAGCACATGAGAATCAAACTATTACAAGTGGCTAACAGCCTTTCATAGGCAATTTGGATTAACTGTGTTACAAACCAACATCATTACTTTTCAGCTGAGATAGTTTCATACTCACCTTGACTATGATTTGTTTTCTCGAATTTTTCCTCTCTTCCATTTTCAACCTCCGTAACAGACCCTCTGATGTCTGACAATCCCATATCCATCTCAACCCCCTCCATGACCTCTAAAAAACATACATATTTGCTTCAAAAAAAGCTTTGCACAAGATTAGTAGCCTTGTAGCCTGAGGATTAATGTGGGAGCAATACAGAGATTAACATTAGCATAATCAAGAGGTCCTCTGTTATGATTCTGAATATTGTTATATGATCTGCTTGTGTGTTTTTGTTATGGTGTGAGACCTCCTGTATTAGATCTACTCATAGACAAATTGATAACACTTACACTGGCTAAGCCAAAATAATGCAAACCAACACAACAGCTCTACAACAAATTCAACTTTAAGAAGCTTTTTAATTTTCAGTGTTGTAATCTATTATGTAATCTATTTATTATTTATGATGGAGTGGGGACTGGTAGTGTTTCTTATATTTTATCTACTACCTCAACAAACATGAGGGCTCAAGATATTATACTTTTCAATATAATGCTCACCAGCACAAACACCCACCAACACTTTTAACAGTTAAGTTAAAGAACAGTCATTGCCTATGCAGGTAGAATCTTCGGGTACGTATAATTAAAATTGGTTGTATTAGATTGCTTGGGTGTTCATAATGTTAATCGAACAATAATATTGAGTTTCACAACCGATTAATTGCCTAAGTCGTCTTCAAGCAGAACTTCCATTATTCACCAGCAGCAACTATTGACATATAAGAACTTGTTTTCCCTTTTTCCTTGATACTTGGAGGATGACTACTGACATTTAAGACCAACTGGTTTCAGTTTTTTTGACTTTCCTATCACTGAATAATCAAAAAAATTAACCTAGGATTTTATAAGTCGTCTGAAAAGCTTACCTGTGCCTTGGTTGTCCACTTCAGACAAAGGTTTTTCTGGTCACATCGATGTTTTATTCTGCTTTTCGGATAGAAACTGAAGCTAACCAACTGCCAACACAGCTAGCCGTTAGCCTGCGAATGGTTGAATATAACGGATTTAAGACGTACGCGGTTACAACTTTATATTTTTGTTGGTCACATCTATGAGAATGAATCAGAAAAATGATTTGCAAATTTCCAACAACTACGTTTTCCCTTTAAAAAGAAAAAAAGCGGTACCCCTTTCTGTCATTTCAAAAAGGATGTTCTTTCTTCTTCTGTAAATCCAGTTTTTACCGGTCATGTTGATGCTTACCGCCATCTACCGAACCGGGGAGTAAAACTTTAAGACCTTTGCAAGCTCTGAACTGGTTTCCCTCAAGAAAAGTTGATGGCTTATACTGTCGAAGTTACTCTCGAGTTTTCTAAGTATATTCTGTGGATTTAATTATTTTTCCCTCCTGTCTCCCTAAAGAAATAGGCCTCACTAAAGTTGCACCATCATTTGCAATTATAATTGTTGTAATGACATAACTAACAGCAGTAATTCTTCGAAGGGATTTCGACCAGTGGCGATTGCTCTAAGACTGCAAGGGAAGCTCGGCTTCCCTTAAAATGTCACCCCCCCCAAAAAAAGAAAAAGTGGTGAAATACATACGGCTGTGTGTACATTTCATTAACTAAATACGCACTAGAAAGCCTTCAACTTTTGTTCAGACACTGTGATAAGAAGCTGATAATCACAGGTAACCGGCATAACTTCGTTCTCATTCATCCTCGCAGCGCCTCAGCGCTTCAAACAGTCGGACGCTGGGCTTCTGCTGACTTCAATGTGGAAGCTCAAAGTGGGTTGTTCCAGCAGCGAAACTAGACGCTCATTGGATAAATGCCGGGCTTTGTCCCGCCCAATGGAAGCCCAGCTTCACTGGAGTTCTATGGCGAGAGGGCGGTCCCGACTTTCTCCCGGACTCCAAGCTTCTGCATCCATGATTGGATGAGCTGTCTGAGGCGAAATCCTTTTTTGATTGACAGCTAAACAAGCGAATCAGCGATCTTGAAGAATAAAACATCTGCCAGAGCATTTTCCAAGTTATTCATTCCGTTGTTCTTAACTGCTCCAGAGACTTTACCGATCCTCAGCGACTTTTGTCTTTGTTAAAAACGACTGCCGTTGTGTTTGGCGACTCTGTTCTGTTACATACTAATAAACAAATACAATTATGATGTAGGCCAGAAAAATGAGCTTCCCCTCCTTGAAAGACCAGCAGCCGCCACTGATTTCGACTATCCCAAGACAAGTTACTGAACACCCCCTCGAGAGACGATGTTGCCGACCACTTGCTTCTCTTGTTATACCAACTTTAGAATGACCAGACGATAGCAAAACACAGCAGTCTACGTCTCCACGCGCAAACATCACCAAAAAGCCACTCTATAGCCACAAATATTGCTTAGAACAGCCCCTAACTTCATCAACAGTACATACTGGGTCCTAGCCACAGCACTAGCCACCAAACATCCTTTTAACTTTGCCTAATTTCTTTAGCAAAGAGACAAAACACAACTCACCTATTCTCTTCCAGCAGCCACTTGTTTGTAGTGAGACCTCAGGTCAGTCCATTACGGACCGCTGCGGGGTGATGCAGAACATATATGATCATTACTTTATCATTTCCTTGAAGTAATAATCATCATATTAATCATTTTGCACTGCAGACGCAGTAGTTCTTCTGCCTTAGCGTCTCCATGAAGTCCGTAATGGACTGGCCTGAGGTCTCACTACAAACAAGCGGCTGCTGGAAGAGAGCAGGCGAGTTGTTTTTAGTCTCTTTGCTAAGAAATTAGGCAAAGCTAAAAAGATGTTTGGTGGCTAGTACTATGGCTGGGACCCTATATGTACTGTTGACGAAGTTAGGTGCTGTTCTGAGCATTATTTGTGGCTATAGAGTGGCGTTTTGGTTGAGGTTTGTTTATGGCTCCTCAGACCACTGTGTATTATTGTGTACTATTGTGTGGTTGTTACTAAAGTTGGTATAACTAGAGAAGCAAGCGGTCGGCAACATTCATCTCTCGAGGGGGTGTCAAACTCTGTTTTACGGTGTGTTTGACCCTAAACTAATTTTTCACCAGAATATCTCTTTAAAGCTTGTCCTCCTGTGGACAAAGCAGTCATTACTTACAACTTACTACTTGTCCTAAACATACTTGAGCAGTGACTTTGGACAAAAGCTTTCACTCTGGTGACTTCTGACTCTTAGATGTATTAGTTACTATGGACATCTTTTGGTGAAGTTGTAAAAACAAGGCTTTGTCTTCAGCTGACATCTACCCTCTTACTTTAGTTTGAATCATTAAAAATTAGGATATAAAAACCATCACTCTTGTCCCTGATGATTTTGTTTGCTTTCGGAAACCATAACAAGGCATCACTATGAATTTTAGCCTATTACAGAAAAAAAAATACTCTTCGCAGGAACTGTAAGTCAAGTTTCTTGACACAAAACATAATACACATTAAATAGATAAATAAATCTTTTATTTAATAAAAAGTGCATCTCAACTCATGAGGTAATCACATGCAAATACTCTATTGCACACTATAACAAGAGCAACGTCTTTAAATGTGTATTATCTACATGCTTGAACATTATCTTAACCTCATAGTTAAACTTTTCAAACTGTACAGTCTTTTGTGCAACATTAAAAATAAGTTGCGTTCTCTGTCTGAGTGCTGCAGTCCAGATACTTCCCCTCCTGAAGAGGGTCTCAAAGATCTCTCATCACTTCAGCTTTGCAGGATCATGTCAGTTTAAGAAACACATTTGGAAAAACCTACTGCGATAAGTCATAAAAATATCACCTGATACTATTGCTGTAAAACTGTAATGATGGCTGTGATATTCATGTCCTTGTAGATTTGTTTATAAAGTGATGAGAGTGTGTCCTCTTTGTCAGGTGATCTGCTCCTCCTGGTAGGTGGAGGTGGAGATGGAGCCATAAGGATCCACCACAGTCTGGGCGCAGCGCACCACTGTCACCAACAGGAAGAAACACAGGAGGAAGAGGAAGAAGAGAGCGAAGCCCAGATCTACGTCCACCTCGAACTGCATGGCAGGGGGAGGAGCCAGGTCCATGAGGCCGATGAAGACCGCTGATCCCTCTTTAACTGTCTTTTAATGTCGATTTTAGCACTCCTGGATCACAGCAGGCGTGTGCATGTGCCCTCTTCAAATGATGATGATGACTTGACACCAGAGAGACAAATTAGAAGATAAGGGTATCAGAAGTTAGAGCAAGCTCCTGAGTGAACAGGATACTCATTACTAAAAGGCTGAAGTATCTGTTTGCCTAAACATTCATGTAACCGAGTATGTACTGTGACTATTGTCAGGGACTCGTTTCCTCTCCCTCTTTTTGCTGTCACTCCTGGAAGTTTTAAAAAAAACATCTTGTTTCTTCCATTGTTAACTTTCCCCACCATATTTTCAACATCTTACATCCAGCACACATTAGCAAATTGGTGATTTTGACAGAATGCACACTTTCTTACACACAATGCTTAATTATTCAGCATGAAGTTCCAACAGTTTAGTGCAAGTTTTTCCAGAGAAAAATGAAGTTTGGTGAAATTTCCTGAAGTCGTTTAGATTTTTCAGCATACAGCTTCAGCAGATTTGCTCAATCTTTTACAACATGCAGTTTTGGCTGTAAAAACTTTAGTCCACAATATACAGTATCTGACATTTTCCTCCAATACTTGTACCTTTCACATACAAACAGTTCTACTTTAACTCAGATGGTTTCATGCTAAGGCTCATTGGGTTACAGGTCAAACTCAAAGACCACCAGTGATAGTAAAGTGAGTAAAATATTTAAACTTGTTGTTTTTATGGTTTAGTTTTAAAGATTTGTGTAAATGCTGAGTTTTCCAAAAGCAGGAACTAAAAGATGTTTGGTATTCTTTTAAATGATTTTAAATTCACTATCGGGCTCTATTGACGGGTATCGACAACAAGTAAAGTGGTGCTATCATGCTAAAAACATGCAGTTGGTTATTCATAGTAGCGGTCCTCACTCTGGTTGCCGCACGTCTTTAAATGGGGAGAGGCGAAGAAAACGTTGCTGCTAAAGACCTAGCTAAAGCTCAATGAGAGATGATTGGGCAATTTTAAAACAAACATTTTAGGATTATTGTAAATCAAAGATCAATGATAAAAGTTGTTCCTCTCAGGCTAATTATCAGTTGTACATCTAAACTTTCTGTTTATTTCTTAACAGTTTTCATTTAGTTCTGTAACTTCAAACCTACCATCATTAGAATAATTCGAAATAAAAACATGATTTGAACATTCAGAAAATAAAGAAACTGTAACTGCAGACTAACAAAAAATGTTCAAATAAAAGCACGACAAACAATTGCTACATGAGGCAATGTCTCCTCCTCAAAGGTTTCGGTCAAGGGGCTGGTGATGTGGATGAATCATAGACTTGTACATTATCAAAAATGAAAGACAACATGTAAGTTGCATGTATTAGTAAAGTTAAGTAACATTTTGCTCCACTCTTTCTTACCTGAATTTGACTGATTGTGTTGTTTTATCTTCAAATTTTTCATAACTATCATGATATATTGTTATTGCAAGATCTTCTGTACATGATAACCATGAGGTAAAAAACTGTCCTAAGTCCTAATTCAGAATTATCTAAATAAACCTTAAATAACTATGTTAGTGATCATCTTAGTTTTATATTATTTTGTTATTTTCAGCACAGAGCACCTTCATTGAACAGCATATACAGTACCTTGTTTTAAGTTTTATGAGCATTACCCCATAAAAAAGTTGCAATAAGTTTCCATCATTGTAAAAGCCTTATAAAAACAATCTCTTCAAGACTTAACTTTGAAAAGGAATGCAGGTAAAAGACATATAATCTTAAATATATGAACTCAAACTCACCATTCTGCACTGTATATAGTAAACCAGCTGCTTGTCTCTGCAGACTTTATCCACCGCTCATCTGAACCCTTGAGGGGCTGTCATTGCACTGTGGTCTTGGTTCCCCTGAGCTTCCTCTGAGTTGCATAACACAGTCTAAGTTACCAAAGTCTTTACTGTTCCCTCTCTTGTAATGATCATGACAGGAAAAATGAGCAGCCCATAAATTAACTCCTGCACGCACACACACCCAAGAAACGCAAGCGCACACTTGTACCGTGCAAGCTCCCCCCGCTTGTAAAGCCTTTATTAATACTTAAGCAGGAATTGAATAACGGTCTACACAGTTCACATGTGAATCAAACACCCAAAGGCTTTTGTTGTCCTGTCAGGGACCTCCATCACTGTCGACAAGTCGTCTACACACGGCTATTAACTCAAGCACCTTGGGCGACAAAGAGGTTTTTCATTACAAAACAAAAGGCGACACAGGAGGGAGGGCAGATTAAATGAGGAAGGAAAGGCAAAGATTTAAGGAGAGAGATGGACACCGGGAGGGGTGGAAGGTGGAGGGGTGAGGGGGCATGGATAGGAAAGCCCGGATGATGGGGCAGGAGAAACAGGAGATGCATTAGCAATCAAACTGTAGAGGGTGGAAATTGACCCAGCCGCTTTAATGGAGATTGTAACAGTGAGGTTGGCAGTGACAAGAATAGTGTAGAGGTAAAGTGATCCTGTTCCATATGTAATTAGCCAAGAAGGCTTTTTTATACTACAGCCAAAATACTGGGCAGGAAAGTGGTGGAGGACAGAAAAAGAACAAGTCCCACTTTCTCTTACTGATGGATGTAAAGCATCATCAGTCAGAGTAAAGTCTAACTTTTTCCTCTCTGAGATAATTATAAAAACATTTTTGGCACCACTCGACTTCCAAAAGTGTGCCAACCAGGTGCAGCTCACCGTGCCATTTGATATTGTAATGGCTCCACGGTGCCTTCAGGTCTACTCTACACCCACAGCGCTGATGGATGAGGCTCATAGTGCCAAGCTAGATCTGCTCCACTTCCACTCTGATACAATATCTCCAAGGCAGAGGTTTAATGAAGAGGTGCATTTGTTAGCTCCTAAAATATGACATAGAATTGATCATTATCTTTGGGCTACAAATCACAAGACTGTTGTTGTTTAAGTGAAGAGGATAAAAGGATAAATGAAAGCCTTTGTTAAGATTTAGTTTCATTTTTTAAACAAATCAGAAGTAAAAGTCCCAACAACAAACAATATCACTGAGACACAGTGGCCTAAAACTGAACCGCTGCGTGACTTGTGATGGAGCACCTCTTGTTATCTCAAATTGTACATTTCAGATTCAGACACCCACCCCAACAAAGACCAGCCAAAGACAAAGTAGTCATTCTTAATTATTTTTTTATCATCATGGTCATTATGTTTTACATCTCAGCAACATATGAACACAGAATAAAAACACTTTCTGTAGAAGCAGAGCTCTGTAGACGGAGCTGTGGGTGATTTGTGGTGAGCCAAGCATGAAGGAAATTTAAAGGCCCGGAGAATTATAGTGCAAAAAGTGTTGATGAGTTGGGACACAAAGACGCCAGATAGAGAGACAAAAAAAAAAAAAAAAGACATTTAGCGCTTGAAATGATGCAGGCACTTGCAATTACAAAGTCAAGTAGAAAATGTAAACTTTGGTGTTTCAATTTTACCTCTAAATCACTCTTTTTTTTTCTGACAAAAACACTGACAGAGGGAGATCTCACATGGATCATTTTGAAAATAAATATAAAACAAATTTGAAATGATACTGCAAACCTTAAATCAGGTTTGAATTTGAATTTAACACTTTAACTTAGCTTGTTTATAAGAGATGTAGTCAATGCTGATCTTTTGAGGAAACCATAAAGTGCATCTTTGGATGGATGGATGGGAAAAACGACACCGAATGGATGGAAATGCTATCGACTCTTCCAGCCCATAAAGAATCCATTAACAGCTACTGATTGATTTGGGCTACAATCAATCAAACTGCTCCCGAACTTAAATGGTCAACCGGGCTGAAAACACATAAAACACAAAGCAAAATAAAATCAGACGACTAAAAAAAAGATGTTATGCATAAACACAAACACTGTTTACGCTTGACGGAGATCTTCTGTGCGCTCTGCTTCTCAAGAGGCAAAGCATTTAAGACAAACTTCCATAACAGGCACATTTCAACGATACGTGGCAGATGTAGCACCATCTCGCATTCTCCAACGATGTTAAAAAACACATATTTAACTCCTTATTATTTATTTTTTACTACTGGACAAATATATTTTAGCAAAATCATTGGCAAGAGCCAGAGTGACAAAATAGTAGCTGCAAAAACTAACCTGAAAGATTTCATTGACACTCTGGCTCTGTGTTGATCAGATTATGGTCCTTGGAAAAGACACAGCCTCTTTTACCTCCACACAATCCCACTATGTGGTTATATGGAGCAAAAAATTAATCAGTCAGATTTCAGGGCAGTAATACTAATACGTGTTTTAACTGACTGCACAGGGAAGCCTGTCCTGACCTCAGCGTCTTTAAATTGTTCCTAGTAACAAAACTTAAAGCTACAAGTAGGCAGATTAGGCACATTGTGACTTGGTCAACAGCACAAAAAACAGCAAAACCAGACTAAGGGGAGGGGGGGTAAAGTAGTAACAAGAAGGAGCAACAGGTAATGGAAAAACCACTCTGCTGCCTGGCAGATCATAGTGGCTCTCCATTGCAGTCTGTTATAAAATCTTCAGATGTGAAGCTATCCAAGGGTCAAGGGAGGAGTGCAAAGGTGTAAATGAGTATGTGTATGTGCTGCCTGCTGCCTCTTTCAACATGCCGTGCTCCCATTCTTTGGCTTTCAGATGAAGGCCACATGTGACTCTTCTCACACAGCCTCCTCTCCTCTCCGTCTTTGTCCCATTAGTCCATCTTGCGGTGGTTGTTGTTAAGGGGGGTGTGGCCGTTCTGCAAGTGGCCGTTTTTGGATTTTCCCCTCTGCTCACGATTCTCGCTTTCATCTTCAGACTCGGTTTCTTCTTTGTCGCTGCGCTCATCCTCCACGATATCCTATCAGATAAAAAACGGGTAAAATTTTTGCAGTGCTTGTTTTTTCTTTTTAAGCATTGACTTGTTAATCAAGATGGACAGTATGTCTCCATCTCCTCCCACAGAAAAAAATGAATAAAAAATACCAAGAATCTGTGAAAATACAGAATGATGGTTCATACATTGCCTGGTAGGAACTTGACAACCATGCGCAGGATAAGGGCGGCCCAGAAGATGTGCAGAACCTGCAGCACGAGCATTAGCCCATTGAAGAAGTAGAAGCCGAAGAAGGTCGGGTAGAGGGTCAGGGGGTACACCAGCGTTGTGTATATGATCCTGGGATGAGAGGACAAAGGCAGAACAGAGAGTCCAGTCAGAACCACCTACACTCGCCATCAAAAGCCCATTGAAAAGCGCCAGGACTGCAGACAATGTGTCTGTTGTTGCATGTACAGAATACAGATGAAAAAGTTTCAGACTAATTGCATGAAATTGGTGCAAAATGAATCAGTGCGTGACACAATTTCTGACCTGTTAGCTGACATATCTAGGAGAGCATGTTGCATTACAAAAACATCCAGAAAAACTGACTTTGATACAATGAGAGGCTTATATTTGTTCACTGATTAGATCTACTCCTCTCTTTGTAACCAGCTACAATCTTGGACAGTAAGTCATGAACACCCCTGCTTGTACTATCTTCTTTTACTTGGTGCATTTTGTTGAGTGACGGCCTGTAGCTTTGGTGGCAGTGTATAGTCAGTGTGTTGTAGCTACAATTGTGGAACAAATTTAGCACTAAAAATGACGCTACAACTGTTATTTCTGCTTTTCTTTCTCCCAACAAACCAATAAAACTAAGAAAGAGAATAACACGTGTAGTTTGCTCAATAACCAAATAACAAACAGTATCAAAGCTGGAGTAAATAGTGCATTTGACTGGGACTATTTTTAGCAGCAGATTAATTCTTATCTTTCTGTGGTATACCGTATTTTTCGCACTATAAGGCGCACTTAAAATCCTTTTGGCTTGTTGGAGCACTGCAGCTACCTTTTTGCACCATAAAATGAATAGGTTTTGTTTATGTTTGCCAATTCACAGGATTTCTTGAAAAACCAGACAAAAACAAATATTCTGAAAAGAATAGTGTGAACAATCTGCTTCCATTTGCTTTCATTAAGTCACATCCTCCTCTCATATTCCAGGTTATGTGAAAAATGAGCCAAAGCAAAGAGCAATGCCGTTTGGACTATAACCAGTCTTATCCGGAAGTCTTAAGAGTTACGACAAATCTGATTAAAAAGCCTGAGTTTTACCAGAAGGGGAGGATTACGAGGCGGGTGACGATGAAAACTGCGGCGAACACGGTGAAGATGAAGTTACAGGTTTTCCTCCAACCTGCATAGTTGAACATTTTGGCTGACTGGAATTAAAAACAAAGGGACAAGAGTTTGAAACAGAGTCTAAACTTTCCACTTATTTACCTCTAGAGGGCAGACAGGTATCTGTGTGAGGTGGAGACTTGTTTGAACTGAGCATCATAATCAAGCTTCTACACAATGCTTAACTTTTTGGAGACAAAATTAGCACATCTATATTGTTTCCATAATGTATATCAAGGTGTGGATGCAATTAAAATAATATGTGTTACACCAAATTGAAAGTGAAACAGAAAAATAAGGAAGTGGATGTGAGAAAAACACACAATGAACCCATTCTTATGAGAAAAATCACTCGATATGATGATATTTTGGCCTTTTTGAAAAGATAAACTCATACCTCCATGAGATAGTCAGAGGCATCATGCACCACCATGATCAGAGTCCCTCCCCGGATGTAGTTGACCACCCAGGAGAAACTAATGAGAGCAATGGTGGCTACATGGTGAATTATCTGCTCTTTGAAATCCTGCAAGGGGGAAAAAACAAGAGATGGAAAGAGATGGTGTGAAACAACATTTGGTGACTTATTGATCAAGCTGTAAAGATTGGTCACTAATCGACGGCGTGTGTCTGACTGATGCTACAAATAATTAACTCACTGCACAGAGCTTATAGGGCTTTCTGGTTATAAAAAAACAAACCACTTCCAAGTACAGGGGCAAACATGGGAACTTTGTGTCTCTGCGTTGATTGATTTTGTAACTTTTTGCTCATTTCAACACAGAAACCCTTAAACCATTGTTCTGGTTTTAAGGCTTTAGCTCCCTGCATTTGTGTAAGCTTCAGTTATGAAACAGAGCCTGGCAAAGAGGGGAGGCCTAGCAGATTTCAGACGGGCTTGTAGGCCTGCCACCTTTCACAACGTTGGAACCTGTTGGGTTAAAAGGGCAGTCTGTCTCTCTGCAGTATGACCCCTCTCTCAGAGTTCAACAGGGCAGCATTTCAGACTAGAAACACAGCTTCGTTTCGACTTTACTCCTCTTTAAATTGACTAGATGAGTGCAATCGAGCGTAATCTTTAATGGCAACGTGAATGCTGATAGCTCCACTAAATCTGGTGCATAAAGCCAGAGCATCTTAACAGGATGAAATCAATATCCAAAAACCTCAAAATACACTCTCAACACAACAGATCATTCTCATTACTCCCAGTGAGCGATCTCTCTTGATGGGATGGTTTCTGGGGGGGGGGGGGGGGTTTATAGCCAAGAGATAACAAAGTTAAAGAAAAAGCAGTGTATCACTTACCTTACGTTTGACATCTGATGCTACACTAAAAAGCAGAGAGAGGTAGAAGCCCAGCTCGATCATGTAGTACCAGTACTGTGAAGGCAACAGAGGCTGGGGGAGGAGAAGGAGGAGAAGCGGTGTGAATAACAGTCATTTCTCCACCTTAGTGAGCACACTTTGGTGAGAATAATAGAACCGGTAGAAGGCAGGAGAAGCTAGCTCAGGACAAAATGGGTATTAATCCTGGATTTTAGTGTGGGCATACCATTTTCGGGAAGCCGTCCCACATCAACTTCATATCATAGAACCACGGTTTCTAAGGAAAGAGACACTCCATGTTAATGACCGTCTAAGTGTCCAACAAAATACCACAAGCACTTTGCTGCACAAACAACAACAACAACAACAAAACAGAAAAACAGATCATCTCTCATCCAGCAGTTTCATTTTCTACAATTCTTTGCTTTTATAAAGCACATGAGGATCTGACAGGATGATTAAATTTGCCAAATGATCAATAAACAAGTTTGGAGTTGGAGTTATAAGAGCCATTACAAGTGCGGGTTGAATCACAATACTCACGTCGATAAGGACCGCCAGGCCAGCAAAGAAAGCAAGAAGGTAAAAGGTAAATCTCCAACTGTAAGAAAACGCACAGCATCTCAGAAAACTCATTTTAGGTTAACTTGATTAAATATGTCACAATCTTAAAAATGATGGGTATGTGAAGGACCCGGACTAATGAAGGCAATGACAACCTCTTCATTTTTAATTAGTCGTCCAAGACCGCAAGGACACGAAAACCTGGTAATATCAATGAAATCAGTAAAATCTCAGTATGTCTCTGGAATTTAACCGAGATAAATCCTTACTGGGAGGAAAACTCCCTTTGACAGACGATAGGAGACACCTGGATTACTATCAGTGTATTTAACATACTGTAGTTTTTCACTCTTTGACTTGAATGTACAGTATGTAACCTCCCATCACTCCAGATTATTTTGCAACCACATTTGAGAAATGTTTGCACCAGTGTATGGGTGTCAAAACCTGAGATGTTGATAATATCATCTCCATCAGCACTCATGGAAACTCTTGAATACAAGAGTAGTTTTTTTACTGGTTGAGGAACTGCCAGATGTGCAACATCCTCAAAGTTCTCAGGAAGAAGAACAGCAAACGGTTTAAAGTCTCGTTGCTACATTTTCATCTTAAAGGACCATTGAAGCAATGTCAATGATTTACTTTTAATATATTGTAAAGGCGATATGATTTTGCATTCCATGAGAAGGACTCGTTTGTGTACCTTAAAGACATCTTGACTCCAAACTGAGAAAATTCAGCTTTGTATTATTAGACTTTGTAAAGACACAGTGTGATGGCTGCAGAATCTTGAATGTAAATCATTTAAAATTGGTGGAAAAAAGGCCATTAGAGTTGCATCTAATCTATCAAAAAAGCCTTTAAAAACAGATATCAGTGTAAAAAAATATAACTTCGGCCTGAAGTTGAGCAGCTACCTTGCTTCCCGAAACTTTTTGAGCTTGCTTGGCCGGTCCTGGTTCCTCCGCCGCCTAAACCACCTCTGTACCTGACGCAGTGAACAACCCGTCTGTTTACTTAAACTCTCTATGGAGCTCTGACAACAAAAGCAGGACAAGAACAGAGGAAAAGGTTAGTCTGACTTTGATGTTTGTAGTCAGAAAACGATGGCAGCTTACTGGTCACTTTAAAAGACGGGGTGTTTTTTTTAACATCATTTTCAAACACCTGCACATTTGGATTTGGCTCAAGCTGTGCTGTTACCAGAGGACACAGTTTGCATGACACAGCGCTGTTTTTTTTTTTTTTCTGGAGTAGGCAGGACAGTTACCTGTGAAGGATGCTTTGATGTGCTGCAGAAATAGGACTCCAGGACAGGATTTGGAGAAGCGCGAACACGCTGCTTGTCGCTCACTCCCAGCAGGGATCCGAGAGGAATCGCTACTGTCCTTGAAAGAGAAAATCAAACAGGATAAAAATATTGTCTATAAAGCAGTTTATGCTTCAAAGAAGGAACCGGAAAATCAGATAGGTGGTGGGGTAGATGAAAAAGGAAACAGACTCTTGCTAAAGACCAAAAGTGATGAGTCACCTCTCGAATATTTGTCTGATGACCAGGAAGCACAGAGCGATGGGCACCGTGGCCCACAGGTCCCTTGGTTTAGGAAAGACTACGTCGTCATGGTCCGTCAGATCAGCCCAGCCGTGGCCTTCAGGAAACCAAATCCAGTCGGCCCATATCAGCTCACTCAGCCGAGACAACATCCTAAACACAAACAGAAAGAGAAAAAGATTCATCAAAGTTTTTTTCTTTTTGCTTCTTTTGGAAGGAAATGAAGAAGTACTAAGAAGGAGGTTTGCTCTGTGATCTCCATTTCAGATTTTCCATTAGATCAATTTAGAAACCCACTCAGCTGTGACAATATCCTGAGAGGAAGCAAAGGAAACAGAGGGGGATGAGAGAAAATGAGTATTGATTGGAGGTGATTAATCCCTCCGAGCATCAGCAACAGGCAAGCGTATCAGGGTACTTCCTGATCCGGATGACAAGGGGGAGTGATGAAGGGAGGATTTTGTTATGCTGCACACAATACAGTCACAAAAACCTGTGAGAAATCATTGAGAGCTCCAGAGTGGACTTCAGACTGGCTTCTTGTAAAAACATCAACTATTTCCTTCACTTTTAACTCTATAATGGCTGATTAGCATCTCCATTCACAGAACTTGGACTCTGAGGCAAATATGGTGCACTCATTTTAATCAGAGAGTGATTTCAGACAAAGCCTCTGGTTGTAGAAATTAATCCCATTTTGAACAGTTGCCATGTTTGTGCTCTCAGAGTACTGATATAAAAGACATTTTTAAAGGATTACCAGGATTTTACAACAGTGTTTGTATAACCAGTAAAAGAGACAGTTGTTCTGGTGTTTCTTACACTCCCTAATAATTTCTTTTTGATTTGTAACATCTGACTCATGCGAAGGAAATTGCACAACTCATATGCCAGTAACTGATAATCTCTTAAGCAAGATTACAAGTGAATTTTCCTACTGTATACTGAGCTACACATTTTTACTTCAACCTCTATAAAACCTGGATTGAAAAACTACTCAAACACACTGCATGTACAGTATTATCTTTATCTACCATATTACTCACTTCTGTTAATGCAAGGTAAGTGAAATATATTGGACACCAACAGATTTTTGGCTCTGGAGTTTCTGCCATAAATCAGAGTATCTCATGAGCCAACGGCAGTGTTTTTAAATCAGCAGAATTTATAGTGTTAGTCTACCATTCGGTTCTGGCTAGGGCTGGGCGATATGGGAATACATTTATCACTATTTTTTTTTCATATCGGTCGATATTGATATATACCAGGGTATCAAAAATTGTCAATGATGTCATCATCTGTTGAGCCTTCAGGTCCTTATACACTGGGAACGACGCAAATATATGACGCAAAATTACGAAACATTAAGAGGCGAATTCTGACTATACGCATCAAGCCGATGCGATTTTGCGACTTTCTGGTGGGAAAAAAGACGCGTCCCGAGTGGAAATGAGAAGACTGACACAACAGCAGACTGAGTGTTTTTCAGTTCTGATTAGACACTAGTGTTGAGATGGCTGTCTGTCATGATAGCATGTACTGAGTCGGGGCCAGTACCAGATAAGCACATTAAACTATAATCCATCAACGTAAGGTAACAACCGAGACCTAATGGTGCTGTTAAAACAAGTTAAAACAAAGACGTTTAGCAAACTGTCAAAGCACACTAACTATCGTCATATGAGAAATCCGACGCTATGACTCTCCACAAGTTGTCCTTCAGGTCGTTATCTTTGTAATATCTGTGTTTTTTATTAAAAAACACTCTGTTCTCCGACACGTAAACAATCAGCCGGACAGCCATGTTGGGTATACCGGTGAATCTGACATCGCAACAACACGAAATCTGATTGGTCAGAAGTGGACACACAGTATGCGAAACTTAAAAAAATTCAACCGTGATACGAAAAAATATTGCAGGATGGGAAAACGTCACTGATGTGAACGCTTGTATTGACAGGATACGGGTAAAAAAAAAATGTTGATGTCTGAAACAATCGCACGAAAAAAACGCTCCCGATGTGTAAGGACCTTTCGTCTACATTTCTGCTGGGAGTAGCACTCATTTTCTCACTGACAGTGCTGTTGGCTTCACGTGTTAAAGTGCTATGGTTGCGTGTAGCTGCAGCCTGCTACTACGCAGTTGTTCGCTACTTAGTTCTGATTCAGCATGATTAGTTCAGCGCGAGCAACTCCCCTTTTTACCGGCTATTTGTATAATCTACCAAAACATGGCAGAATGCCGACTATCGAAAACGATATTGACCATGTTTCATTTTGATACTGAGGAAAATTTATTTTAATATCTATCGTTATTGTTTTATCGCTCAGCCCTCCTTCTTAGGAGTCAAACGATATGTTTGGACATTGGAAGTCCCTAAATGATGAACCCTAAAATCTCCCAGTGTCACATAATTTGAAATGCAGCTCTGGCTAACAGTCAGCTAGCCTTGGCAACATCAGAGGATGCAGTATGATACAGACACTGCCATGACTCCAAACAGCAAATATACAGATGCAGTTTATTATGGCTGATTTGCATCTTTTTTTTTTTATTAGTTTCCTTATTACTTTGGTCTCTAAATTAAAGTTGGTCGATTGCACATTGTCCTTCTATCCTGCAGGCTTTACAGAGGAGGAATTCAACAGACTTGAGCTCCTGAGTTTTCCATAGCACCACAATGAGGTCAGGACTTACTGTAGCAGGCTCATATACTTCTGTTCAGCTAGAGGTCTTTTGGGGTAATTAGAGGTTGACAATGAGACTTGAGGTTCTGAAATAGAGCACCGAGCAAAAGGAGCAACATTAGATACCTGGTCCCACAGGACATTTGTACTACTTTGTTATTAGAGCACAGAAACAGCAACAGGACCTGCAGTCAAACAACCTTGTGTGACATCAGTGCTGCTGTAATTACCTCTTTAAAGAGGTCACCTGTGGAGTTTTACTTTGTCACATCAGCAGATTGAGATCACCTGCTGCACCTTTGCCTCTACAGTCAAAGTTTTGCAAGAACTTTAATTGACCAGGGAAATTCAGCTTGTTGTCCTGATAGGGATCCCTTTACAAGGACTGTGTGTGGACTTCACCCAGCTCTAAGTTCACAATGAATGCATGCCAAGTCCTGCTTCTGTTAGCAGGGGGAGGATTGCTTTAACAGGATCTTTGCTGCAGTCCGAGAGATGGATCACCTCACCTTGAAATAACAGTGGTAAAACATCAACTATCCTGCCTTTTAAAGTTAATCAGTGTGTGGATTCACATCTGCCCTGTGCCTTTTGCCACCTCTCATGACAGAAATCTATGTGTCTCTTCCTTTGCATTCCCCTTTTCAGTGAGTTTGAAGATTCAGTTGAATATACATCTCTTTTTCCGTTAAACTGGGGAAACTGGAAACAAACCTTGGGGCTAAAAAAGGTTCTCAGGTGTATATCCCACTTCAGATACTCTTTTTTTCTGTAACTGCAAAGGTCCAAAACCATTGCATGAAAGCAGACTGATCTAGATTTCCATACTGGAAACCTTACAAAAAACAGGTTGTAAGTTGTGTACAGATAAACATCCTTTTGCCTCTGGATGTTTGTGGCAGTTTGGGTGAACTGTGAGTTCAGCAGGAGCATCTGCTCGGAGCTAAAGTAAATTTCCATTTTGTTTTGTTAGCCGAGCAACTGTTGGTTGTATTAATTAGCATGTAGTGTAACAAACTAGAGCAGTAGCCTGGTGAATACAGTTCAGCTTAAAGAGCATTTTGCCCTCTTTCATCCTGTTCTACTTGGACGTAAAAAACAACAAACATATGCAAACTGTATTTATCAATGTCTGACTGATGTACCCAAATGATTGTAGTATTTACCCCATCTGCTCTTGGGTTGGCTGACTTTGCCTTAGCAGCTCTTTAGCTTTTAATCCAGTGCCACTCAGCTCGTGGGGACATATTTCCAAATTCAGTTCATGATCAAAGTGCACTGTAGGAGCATCAGTAGTTTGGTGTTGTTTTTGGAGAAGTACCAAGGTGAGTGATTCACATCTACTTTCATCTCTAGTTGATATTTCTCTCTTCAGAGCTCAGTAACATCAAGCATTGTAGTAGAAAGACAGATACTATCATTACTATCTGTTTTTTTCTGATTTATAATTTACTATCTCCAATTCAGTGCCTCTACCTGCCTTACCATCTCTTTTCTCTTCACCTGTAAATAAAATCATCTCCTGATTTACACTGACCAGCCATAAAATCATGAACCAGCGCCCAGGAGTTCATATTAATATGCCTTGTCAAAATGCTTCATATATGCCCCAATAACTGTGACATTATGACTGGCTGCCTTATCTTGACTCCTCTCTTTTCAGGTCAGGGCCAAAACAACCTGAAGAGACACTAAACCTCTGAAGGTGTGCTGTGGTATCTGGCACCCTGATGTTAAGGGCATATTCTGTATGTAGCAAGTCAGGGCCTCCACGAATCGGACTTCGTTATCCTGCAAAACATAGATTATAGATTGTGTGTTCTGACACATTGGCCCACCACAGCTCCCTATCAGTGATTCTTGGCTGCCAGTAACCTTGTCACGGGTTCACCAGGTGTCTTTCCTTCTTTGGACAACTTTGGATGCACACTGATTACTGCAGACCAGGACCATCCCACAAAACATCCAACATATCAATTTTGAGGGCAATAAGCTCATTGATACCTGTAACCACTGTAATATCTCATTGTACAGAGATAAATCTATTCACTTTTGTCAGTGGTCATATTGTTATAGCTGATCAGTGTATATTTCTGATCTTTTTCAGGCATATAAACCAGTGATTCAGATTTGCACTTTAGTTAAAAGTATACAAAAAGATTTAAAGACAAATTTTGTGCATCCAGGACAGCTTCTGGCTTTATTAAAATTATTGTTATCTCCAAAAATACATCTAACTATACACCTCTAATAATGCAACTCACTAATATTTCTGTTATGGCCACTTCTTATGCCAATTTTTTTGTATATTAGACTTTCCCTGTAATATCCTGCAATTACAACCTACTGATGTGTCCCATATCGCATACTTCCAGTACTAAATACTTAAAATTTTGAGTATATTCAGCGCAAAATGGAAAAAAGTATGGATAGTATGCAAAAATTAAGTAGGCAAAAGTACCTGGATGACGTATTCAAATCGGTCAAGATTTTGTGTATCCGACTGTGGACACTCGCCGCACTCATTTCATCAGTAAGAATGGCTGTGGACAGCTGTGGTGCCAGTGGTTCGGCGACGGTCGACCTGGTAGCTTTGTACAGATGTAAGTAATAAGTCGCCTTTTACACGTTCTTTCTACAAAGCACCGCCAGCGTATATCGTTTTGAGTATATTTGTGGTGTAACCTGGGTAACCTGTTTGTCTTTTACTGCAAACTTTATCGATGCTAGTTAGCTCGTTAGCTAGTTAGCTAGTGGCTGCTGGGTTCCGAAGCGTTACCCGTAGCGTAAAAATGAGCGATGAACGTTTAGTTTGTTGCTGATTTTACCTCACAAGTGAATGAACGGGCGCAGGCAAAAGGTGGCAGTAATTAGCTGATGCAGAGCTAGCCAGTGACAAATCGGCATAGAAGGAGAAATCACATCGCCAGTTCCGGTGGGTGCGCCGCGCCGCAGTAAGCGATTTGGGACAACACTGCACCCTCGAAACTCAAGCACTTGGCGATTGAGTACATAGTATGCTTAGAATACTCAATTTGAAAAATCTAAGTATTTAGTATGGAAGTATGCAATTTGGGACACGCCAATAGTTTTTGACTATATCCGAGCTATGTAGTAGTTTTTAACAACAAATAGGAACCAGTAAGGGAACAAGCACAGGAGTAACACCAAACAACTGCTAATATTTGATTATTCTCTTAGTCCACATGTGGTGGTTAAATGCAAACAATGCAGAATCGACTATTAAAAGGCAGGGAAGGGAAAGATTGCAACATGGATAACATTTAAACAAAGTTGGCTTTAGAGGGCCCGACACACACAAACAACGTGTTTAGATAAGTAATACTTAAAGTACATATAACTTGTGTTTGTCTCCAAGAAAACTCCCCTGGCAGCTTCAAACTAAAACTCTCACGCCCAGATCATTACAACCCTGATGACAGCATGAGAACTAAGCAGCACTTGGATTACTTTTCACCTCCAAACTAAAAGAAAAGAGGTTATATTGGTCATACTATAGGAACTGTAGGCTTCTTCTATACAGGCGTCCTGCCATAAAACAGTAGAGATGAGGTAGGCTGTGTAAAAAGAGATAAAAAGACACTAAACTATGACCCAGATGTATGTTTATGTTATCTAAAATAATACCAGACCGGCCAGGTGAAGTAATCCTTCGACTTAAACCTAAGGGTAGGGATCACTATTCAAAGTTTGTCTCTTTGCATCAGTCACAGCTCTCTACGCTGTTTACGTAGCCTCATGCAGGGAGTGGCAGAGTGCATGGCGCAAGCGGGGAGTCTCCCGGACATAGCGGAACAGACAGTGAGATGGAGTTTAAAACAAGTTTCCAAACACCAAAGTTATTAAGTCATTGTGAATGTTTCACGTTAAGGGACAATTAACACTTGTGTTTTTATGAACAAGCCGTACAAGTGGAGACGGCGGCGGCAGCTTTTTTCTCGCGACGTCTCCAGTTTACGTTAGAAAACTTTCAGAGCGTTTTCGTAATTGCTGCCGTAACTGTTATAAACGGCCGTTTACTTTAGGTTTCGACTTCTGTATTTCGCAGTAAGCGCTCGTTCCTCTTTGACGGTTTTGTTTTAATGTTTTAACGACCTCCTCTTATCGCGGTGTAACTCGACAAACATTACCAACTTCAGGACGGGCAAAGGCAAAGGCCTGTTAGCTTGCTACAGACTTTGATGTGCGCGAGACGCTGTAACGTCTTCTAACGGCTCTTTCGAGAGGGCTTCAGCACGAGTGTGACAGCCGAGTTTTATCACTATCCCGCGGCTAAAACTTCACATAAATTCTCCTGGGAGGACGACTCTCACATTTCTGTCTAAAAATAGTAGCCCCCTATGTGTTCATGTCGAGAAGTCAATCATTAAAGGCTCTAACGGAGCCCGAGCGTCACTTTCTGCTATATTGACGTTCGTGTAACGTCCGCAAATGCATCTTTAACAATCTAACGGTAACTTACCTCTCTCTACCTTCTCACTGGATGTATGCTGGTAGGTAATGCAGCCTTAAAATGCAGGTCAAAGCTACTATTGCTCGTCCTCTCTTCTTGTTGAAGTTGAAGGAATTTCATGTAGTTCTCCTCTCCAAAGACACTCCAACTTGTTGATCGTTCAATGAGTTGCGATCCACCTCCGTCTTTTCTCTAGTTAACCTCAGGTTTGCCACATTGTCACATGCAGAAAGCCGTGTCGCACTTTGTCCTCCCAAACTAAGAGTGTGGAGAAAACGTAAATTTAAGTTTGTCACTTTTTCGTCAGATTTAAGTTGTTCGGCGGGTCTCGGCTTGTTGGTTCGTAGCCGGGTAATTCAATTTGACGGATGTAGTGGATATTGTGGTAGTATGATAAAAGTGGACCGGGCGGGGAGCAAGTCTATTTAAAGTGACGTGAGTCTCTAGATTGTATGAGGAGCGGTTAGTGCCACACAATGGCAGCTGCACTTCAGTGGTTGTGCCCTTAAATGGGGACCAAAGTTAGCTAACATTAACAAGAGCACAGCTTTTAAGATGTAGTTTAATCTGTTTCGTTTTGTTTATTTAGATCTCCATTAGCTTTGGCTAAGGCCATTGCTATTCTTCCTGGAGTCTACATTTATAATTAGCTCTCCATAGCAGTGCACAATCACAGAAAAAAAATCACGCCACAAACACAAAAACGTTGCTAACCAAAACAACTCACAACAGCCTACAAGATAAAAACAAAACAAAACTAGAACACATATTACACATTCCACATTTTCCCTGTTTAGCTATAGTTGTGAAATAATCAGATGTTCAAATATTAATTTACATTCCACATAATTGAATTAATTTATCGAAACTAACCAATACATAAGCAGACTTCCGATATTTCAAGTAGATCAGACAAACACTGATTGATTGTACCAAGCTTCATCTAAATAAGAAGCTGTTTGACTAGTAAATGTTCATTAACTAGATCTTTAAAACTGTATTTGTCGTGTTCTTGGATGATATGTCCTGGCAGAGCATTCCATATCACCATGGCCCTATACATTACCGTACTTTTCAGTTTGTTTGTTTTTATTTTTTGGGAAATACAATATAATTAATTGTATTTTGCTACCTTGATTTGTGTAGGGAATTGGTAAAGCTTCTATGAAATAAAACTAGATGAATTGGATGGGTGCCTATCAGTGCACTGGATCATACTTCTCTGCTTGTAGGGCATCCTAGAGGGAACTCTAATTACACTTTCACCAACATAAAGTACCTTGTATTGCTCTTCATTTTCTTTCTTGAGTGGAAAGGCATGTGCGTTAAGTTTTTAAACTGCAGTAGACGCCTTGGAGTTCTGTAATACATGATCTCTGAAGGACCGCCAGACGCGCACTTTATCATGTCTGTGAGGGCACTCTATTATACAACATTTTAATGGCAACTTTAAATCCATAGCATGACACATTTGTCAAAGTTAGCACCCTCGAGGGATCTTTCTCTGTTATATTAGAGCCTGCCAAGTTAGAGAAAAAAAGGAGCACTGATAATTTCCTTTCATTGTGTCCTTAATGTAATTTAAAGTCAGATTCTGTGCTGTTTTGTTTTGCAGCTTCTGTAAGCTAATCAAATAATAATTTGGTCTCATAGGGGGATTTACTTTCGTCTTCAATCCCTCTTTAGGGCATTGATCACCCCTCATACATCAAGGCATGCCAAAGAAGGCTGAGGCGTGTTTGGACTCATCAGACCAGCCCTGAAATGCAGACACAACCCAGCTGTGGTTACACTCACCTCAGCTTTTCCATCATCTTAAAATCTGAGCTGGATATTTATGAATGCAGTGTCATCAAAAACTACGGTGGGAGCTTGCTGAAGTGGGATCATAGATTATTTAACATGATCATGTGGAATTATGAGGTGGCTTATCAACAGGCTTGTAAATATAATCTACCTACCGAAGATGATTAATTCAAGGAACCCCAATGAAAACATAAAAATATTTTCTTCATGTGAGTGTTGGTTGGTTCAATCAACAGGTTGGAATGCATGAAAGAGTGGAGGCCAGATGTTTTCCAGTTTCCTCAGTACTTCCTCAGGCCTATAGAGAGCAGCAAACTCCCCTGGATGTCACATCTCTGATCAAACGCTTGTCTTTGTCTGTTCTGCTGCCCATTGAGGCAAATGAAATAAAAGAAGCCTCATTTTTCATTTGCATTTCATTTGAGATGCTGAGTAGAAGGTGCCATGTTTTGATCCATTTCATGGTAAGAAGCAGACAAATCAACACATTCTGTTTTTTTTCTAAATTGTACTTTATTTTCTTTTAAAGACATATGTTTTAAAACAGCGATTGTAGAGAATAAATAAAGAAACATTATGTTTTTTACTTCCATAGGTACATTTATGTAATTAAAAACTCTATTATAAGTGTGTTCATTGTCTTGAAGACCACAAGAATCCTCTTTTTTTTCTTCTTAAATTAAAAAACAAACCGCCACATCTCCCCGACAGCAAATTGATTACCAAATAAATTAAACGTAAAAAATCAAGATAGAAAAATTCCCAGCCCTTCCTTCCGCTTTTAATTTGAAAAGTAGTGGCAGCAGAGAATGTTTACTGGAGAAGTCTTTTTCAAACCAAGGTATGTACAGTGAGACAAAATTCATTTCTCTTTCAGTTTCATTACCCCATGATTTTAATTTACGTATAAATAATAAAACTAACTCTACGTAACAATATTACCAATGGTAATCATACAGAATAGTATTTTCTTTAGCCTTCGACTGTGCACACTGGCCTTCTTTTTACGCCATAGACCACAAATCACACTATACAGTAAACCCTGTTCAGTAGAATAACATCAGTGATATGCTTTTTCTTAACATGTAGATCTTGTTGCCGACAATAGAGTATGTACATAATATAAATGAATCCAGCTGTGGAATGATAGGAAATCTGGAGCACTTCTGATACTGCGGATGCTGACTCAGTTGAAGTTTTTTGTTGCTGATATAACTGCTGTTGTGGTTGCGTTTTGCAAGCGCATACACATGATACTGCTTTTTGTGAAGTGTTGCTCCTGTGCTATACGGTTGGTCAAACAACCAAAAAAGGCTGGGACATCCCGAGTGGTTTTCTTGATTGAACTCTTAGGTTTCTCCTGGAAATAAAAAAAAAAAGAAAGAAAAAGAGAGCACAAAGTTCTTCAAACCAGTTCACAGTAATAAAACACATTTAAGACTCTGGAAGTAGAGTGGTGTCTGCAATACACACTGCTTGCACTGATGCCTCAGGGGAGTCTCAGAAATCAACTAGTGTCCATGCAACTCAAAAAGTGACAGTCATACTGCTGCAAGTGTATGCACGTTCTTAGAAAATAGTTTGTCACCTCTTTTAGCAGGCAAATAATTCAGAACATGCACAGTAGGAATTCTGGTGGGGATCGAATCTCAAAATCTGTTTAGAAACAGTTGGGCAGTAAATCAGCGGTTCATCTGAATGTGGTTTATATCAAGAAGTTTCCTTCTGATGTGGGTCACTGCAAACAGGGCATCTGCAGAGACCAGAGAAATCCGATTATAACCTATTAGGGGGTCTGTGTTCTCAAAAGCTGTTTTAACTAAATGTAAGATGGATGTTGTATTAGAGCTGAAATCTCTTTTATCTTACAGTTATAGCTTTAACAACGAAAAACCAAATGTTCAGTCATTGAGAAGCATTCAGTTTTGTTGAGGCCAATTAGTTTTCAATGAATTATAACTCATATTTGGAATTATTTATGATGGGACTTTGCGGATGCTTTGATTTCACTTCTTTGTACAAAGCCTTTAGGGTTTTTGTGTCTATTCCTCTGTTTTTTAAATCTTCCTTTTATTTTGCACAAAGAAAAAAGAGAAATTGAGAGAGGGAAAGGCAGTTTGGTTTGTAAGTGTAAAAATAGACGTGTGTGTAATAGAAACAGGAATCTTAAAGCTGACGAGGGATAAAAAGGAATAAAGCTTAATTTTATGTGAGTCTTTCCTTTATTTATTAAAAGCTTGGTTAGTGGCCAGTAGATGCTCTGTGTGGTGACATGTTTTTTTTATACGTAATGTTCCTTTTTTCATGCATTTGTTTTTTTTTATTTTTTTATTTTGGAGCCCCAGAATTCCTACAGAGGAATGCAGTTCCTCAGCCAGCAGCACGTGTCACAGGAACCAAACAGCTTTACCCAAAACCTTCTAAAGTAAGGTTAGTGTCTCAAATTTACAACACACACACACATACACGCACACACAAACAAACACACACACACACGTTCACTTACACATGGATAATTTTTTAACATCTATTTGAAACAAAACACTCCACACAGATATAAATGAACACAACTTTTGGCCTGGCAGTCTCACACTTGCACTGTCATTTACTCTATCACACACACACAAACAGACACACACACACACACACACACACACACACACACACACACACACACACACACACACACACTATAATAGCAACCAATAACAGGGGCACTGTAAGTACATTTTCAGTCTCACAAAGACCAAACAAAGTTCAGGCACAAAGTCACTTGGAATTGAGTTACAACCAAACAAAACCCCTGCACTCACCAAAAAAACTACCACAACTAAACAGAGGGAATGTGTAAGAATGATAATCATGACAGACAACAAAAAAAGGAAACTAATCAAAAACCAAAAAGCCTTCAAAGAAAAAAATCCTAAAGGATCCATATTTGATGGACAGCAGGCTAATTTAGCTCTGAGCTTTGCAGCTTTTTGAGGACTTTAGAAAAAAAAGCATGTCATGATAATCAATTACTTACAGATGCTGAGGTAAAGTGACAGTTATTGATCAGTGTTTGCAAGGATTAAAAACCAGGACAAAATAATAAGAGGAAACTCACAACGCACCAAACACAGTTCATGGTCGCCACAGTAACCCGCCATGCAGTTGAGCATGGTGAATCAAGGCAACGGCCCAAAAATAAAAAAATTGCTAATGGCAACCATCACAGGCAATATATCGCCACAGCAACCAACACAGGCCAATTAACTTACAACGCAGTGAGAAGGAAGGGGGAGAGGTTTTAGCGGTTGCTAGGCAACCGTAGCCATAGCGACGCACGTCTCCACGTTTTATGTATGGACGGGGGACAGTCTTGAGAGTGGTGTGATGTTTTTTTCAGGAAAAATGGCATGTGGCACAGCACAAAAACAATAAAATAAAAAAGTAAAACAAAAATTAATGACGGACAGCAGTTGGCATTCAACCCTGCGACAGAACAGTGGTTAGACAGAACATTTGAACCGACTTCAGATCTACTATTCAATCAAAATGTCCAAGCAACAAAAATGGAGCATGTTATACACACAGTATTTCAAATTGATGGTACTTTCAGAGTGCTGCCACCTCATTAAAGCTAATCTACTGTAGGGCTATTGACTCCTCAGCTCCACATAAAGACAGCCGTTTTAGTACTGAGCCCCCAATTACATCCACCGTCTCTTTAACTCGCAGACACATTTCCAGCTGTCTATCAATCCCTCTCTGTCTCCCTGATTATGTCAATACACAATAACTCACCTCTTCAGTAAGGCCTGTTGGCATCCTTGGGCCTCTTCAGCTGCACCTTCAGTCTCTTCATGCCAATCTGGAAGCCGTTCATGGCCTGGATGGCAGTCTGGGCGCTAGATGGGTTGTCAAAACTCACAAAACCTGAAGAGAAAGTGACAGTTTTGATCGTGCTCATATTCATTTACCTCTGAGATGAGGCTCAGGGATGCTGAATATGGTAAATAAGAGAAAAAAAACATTACATCAAACAAACCAAACGGGTGTTTTGTCTCATAAAGTGACAACAGCTATTCAGTAGACTCACCAAAGCATTTACTCTGGTTGGTGGCACGGTCCACAAAGACCTTTGCAGAGATGACGTTCCCGAAGGGCAGGAACATCTGAAGGATCTCAGAGTCGGTGAACTCCTGCGGCAGGTGGTAGATGAAGATGTTACAACCTTCTGGACCTGAACAAAAGAGAGGGGAGGAGATCACAGAGATGACAAAGTGACCCACGAGTTAGGATACCCAATGTGATGTTGATCACGTTAAGTGAAGTAGCACCATTGTGACACATTTAATTTAATCTGTTCTGGGTAATTAGAGGTGCTTTCTGCAGTGATCTTGAAGGGTAAAATAAAATGTGATGAATGAACCTGACCCTGCTTTTCTAGTTCCATATATCTATCCTGTGATCACAGAAAACAAAGACAGATATCTGATTTCTACATTTTAGCATGGACTCTTGAAAACAGGAGAATACAGCTTGCCTGGCATATTTGAAGGGTTTTTGCCTATTACATGAATGCCTAAACTTTGGAGGAGCTGAAAGGCACATTGTGCCAACTCATTTTTATGCTAAGCTAACTGTCTCTCAGCTCCAGTTGTAAAATTGGCACACAAGCCAGAGAGTCATTCTAATTTTCATCTTCTTAGCAAAAAATGCAGCAGGATTTTTTTTTTAAACTGAAGGACTAATTCAGTAAAAAACAAGAGTGACAAAGCTGAAATCTAGCATCCTAAAAACCCCAAAACACCTCAGTGTTTGTTGTCAATGTCAGAAAGTACAATGAGAGGATTTGCCTTTTTTTGCACACATAAATCATGTAAATATAGGCTCTGTGGGGCCATGTTGTAAAACCTTTTTTAACAACTAGAACTCTTTACAAAAATCTTATCTTTTGTGGGGATAATGTGTAATTTGTGGTGAAATACAACTCTTGCTCTGCGGTGACGAAGATAAAACATACAAAACCACTGAAATGTTTGTCTAAGATATGATTGTGCCACAGTCTCCCTCTCTCCCTCTGAGTCTACCTTCTCGTTGCTGGAGTTGCTGCGGCTGCTGAGGCTGCTGAGCCACCAGGGTGGGCTGGTGGGGGAACGGCTGTCCCACCAGGCCGTACGCAGCGGGGTAGGTGGCTGACGGGAGAGGAGAAACAGGTGAGCGGAGAGAGCAGCAGTGAGGCAGAAGGAGACGACAAATAATCAGATCTTTCCTGAAAACAACATCTGATGGAGCTGCGGCTCCTCCTACAGATTTGCTAAAACTGGGAGATGTTTTGCATATATCTGCTATGCATGAGTCATTCTACAAAGCTGCAGGTTATTTACATTTTGTTGTTTACAGTATGTGCATGTTTTAACTCGGGATGTAAATTTGTACTTCACACATGCAGTGTAAGAAAGTGGAGGAGTGGAAGTTAATGCAGTTTCATGCTTTTCTGTGACATGAAACTGTTTATTTCTACGAAGTAAGACAAACAAAATCTGACATTTGGTGGTCAAATTTCATATGGAATGAAAAGTTTATCAGATAAATAACTTTTCTTTAACTCTGTCTTTTAATTTGCAATAGTTATTTTCAAAATGGCTTTACCCCCGAGGAGTTTCTTTTATTTTCGACCCTCAACAGGTTTTGATTTATTGTTTATTGATTTTACTTCTGTATTGCTTTGGACTTGCAAACTTTAATCCAAAGCTGTCAGCTTTTTTCTTTATTTTTGTCTTTTCAAATGTGGAGAATTTGGGTTGCAAGTTTTTAGAAAAAGTAATAAATCAATAAATTGAGCTGCAGCAAAAACAATAATTGTGAAACTGCATGTCCGCAAGTGCGTCTCATGTCTATTTTCATTCATCAGTCAGACAAAACAAATCAATACTTTCCGTTAAGTAACACCAGTTTATAAAGATATATATTGAGCATGATGTGAAGCATTAATAACTTGGGCTTGAGGCTTACCTGTGTAGTGCTGCATGCCTGTATAAGCCTGCTGCAGGGGGTCCAGAACAGGACTCTGAGCTGTGGCACAATAAACACATAATCACTGACTGCTATATGCACACGCTGAGAAATCCTAAATGCTTTTTGGAGCACAGCAGCACGCTCCAAATAACATTAAGCGCTTCGGTTTCATCTCATTTCCTCTTAATTAGGCTGTCACTGTTGCACATTCAAATAATAAGAGTCTGTGAGGAATATTATATGACAGCAGAGCAGTTACTCTTCACTCTGTAGCTCTAATGTGTGTGCCGCTTTACCTTGATAGGCATGGACCCCGTTGGTGTACAGGGCCTCGGTTGCTGATTGGCTGTTGGGTGGAGCTGGCACAGAGGGGTAGCTATTCACAGCAATGGGAGGGGGGAGAGCAGGGACAGGTGTGGCGGCAATGGAGGGCGGAGTGCTGGTACCTGCAGACAAAGACATCATTTATTTGAAAAGACTCACATAGAGAAGCTGAAGAAAGAGAAGGAGAGAACATTTCAGAATCATGCTAAAAGGAGAGAAAGGAGGTTAAAAGAGTAATATTTGATTTCCTTTTTTAGGTTGTAATTTTCTTATAGTTTACTCCAAACCAGTGGTTCTCAACTGGTGGGTCCCAGCCCAAAAGTGGGTCACGGCCACGTTCTGGATGGGTCGTGAACAGCTGGTCCAAAAAGTAAATATTTAATGCGCATCTGATGTTTGGCATGTCTTTCATTTTAAAAAATAGCTTATTTTGAAAGGCATGCATTATGTTGTGGTCCTCCTCGGTTTCTTATCAATGTGGTCTGAATGCAGTAAAATTACATGGGTTTTTTTTTCCGGTCTTTATTTTGTGCAGTTTGGTATTTATTCACTTTAGTCCACACCTCATTGCATGGTTGTCCTAAGTTTCTCCTGAATATTCTCCAAAGATGCATACAAGTCAAATTTTTCATTTTGCTGGTCTCCATTTTGTGCAATTTGTTTTTTTCTGTATATGCAACTTCAGTAGTTGTCGTCCTCAGTTCATGCGCTCTGAAATGCACTTTACTCAACAGAAAAGCTGTATTTATGTCAAACATTTGACTCTTTAAAGTTTTTTTTTGTTAAAAATAAATTCGCTTGGTTTGAATTTTATAAGAGTGGGTCGCATCTTAAGGACCATAAGAAAATGTGCATCCCAGAGTGAGACCAGTTAAGAACCACTGCTCTAAACTAAACTTTTTCACATTGAAGCCCCAAGAGTGACATGTCTTACATGCACATGATCAAGAAGAGGTCTCAAACCTCTTATAGTAAGACTTCATGATGTATCACACAGTTTGAAGAGGACTGTACGTAGGTAAAAACTGAAAACAGTCCATTTTGCAAATATTTTATGAGGAGGCAATATCTACAACATGTTTGTCACACCTCAGGGATGCACAAAATACTTGTGCATGCTGGAAGAGTGAGTAACAGTCATTTATATTCATGTAGAAAGGCAGAGTACTACACTACTGCTTACTAAATGGCAGAAAACACAATGACACGGATGGGAATGCACCACGTTATGCTGCCTTGTTGACATAAATCAGAGCTCTGGCTAAATTAATTTTTTTTGCGCTGAAAGCACTGCATGAAAAGTTAAGGCATCACTAAAGTTATTACAATTCATCCTCAGGGGGGAATGAATGTCTGTGCATTTGTTGTTTACAGTTTCATTAGCTAACAGTTCTGGTTGGAGGGCTTTTTTTTTTTTTTGGGCTGCCTTGAAAAGTATGGGTACCAGTTTTTAAGAAATCCCTTTGGATTTTTGAAAGAACAGTATCCACATTGCTGCCCGTACGCTGTCAGTTGTTGCCTCTTGTTTACAGTATTAATACCCAGATTTATTGTATTTAGACTGATAACACATGTAAAATAAGTATTATATCCATGTGTAGAAGAGAGCAATACTAAGTTCATTCTAAACCAATCAAAACCCTCAACAATTACAACTTTCTGATAGATAAAAGTCTCTCAAATACCCCAAATGACCCCTCTGGTATAAATCTGGTTCTTATAAAGACAATCCCTGCGCTAAAACCGACCAACTCACCGTTTCACTATAGCTCGTGCGGCTAACATCATGACAGTTTGAAAAAAAGGGAAAAAGCCCACAAAATAGATGTTTGTTATTTCGTCCTCTTGGGTCCACCTCTCCTTGTGTGTCTGTCCTCATATTTCAAGCAGAAATCTAATCAAGGCCGGCCAGGGCCAGACATCCCTGCCTCTCATTACCTGAGGAGGGGGTGATGGATGCGATCGGCGTGGCAATGATGCTGCTGGGGTTGAGGGCGGCGAGCTGCTGCATCTGAACCGCCGCCACCGTGGCAACAGGGGAGAGGTAGGCTGACTGCGCTACCAGGGCCTGCTGCTGCATCAGCTGGAGGATGAAGAGAGAGCGGAGTGTGTTTAGAGGTTTGAAGTGAAGCAAACAGAGAAGCGGTACAATACTTTAAAGAGTTGAACAGCTGTATAGAGGAAATACATAATTACCAAGTTTAACAGCCATAAAAATTGAACATGTTTAATATAATTGCAGTGGCTCCAGTCTGAACCTCAATCAAGAATCAATATATTTAAAGGCCACATCTCCGCATGCAGCAATCTAACAACTGTTCTTGGTGACCCGCCGCTCTTTCACAGATTTATCCAGACACTCCATGATTCAAATCCAAATAAGAATTGGTCTTTTAATCATGAATCCGGAGACATGATTGAATTAAATCCACTCTAAAACTCTCCCTTTAAGTGGACGGTTTTATTTTGGGTCGTATTCGAACAGAAGTGGAAAACGTCACTGTAAATCAGCACATCCATTAAGAGCAAAAATGTTGTCATGCCTCCTTAAGCTTCACAAATTGAACAATTTTTAATGAGCTGAGTCTGAAACCATTTGCTGTAAATGCTCAATTAGCAATGACAAGAACAGTAATGTGGCTTTACTCTATGCTGCAAACGGCAATTTTATCCAGTTCAATCACTCAGTAAGACATCCAGATGGATTTTATTTGAAATAAAATGGCGTGCGGAGTTTTGAGTGAGGGGAACGTTAATTTTGCATCACTTCTCGGGGGAAATTTTAAGAAAAATATCTTCACTGTTTTGCCACATCAATTTAACTGCAGATCAGACGTCGGTTGAACATTTTTATGCTGACAATCCTGTAGTGGAATCACCAGTCACGTCATTTCGCTTCACAGACTTTCACAGGAAAAATACCACCTCATCAGCTCCGTGTTTGATGTAGACATCTGCTCAACAGAAAATAGAAACCTCAGGTGTCCTGATGGAAATGTGTGTATGTTTGTTTGTGAGAGTGTGTATGAGATCCTCACAGCTTGTGTGTAGGCATTGTAGGCCCCGAGGTGTAGGGTCATAGGACTGATAACACCCAGCTGAGAGGCCACCTGCTGCATTCGCCGCAGCCCTCGCTCCTTCTCCGAATCTGCAAACTTCACCACGAGGCTGGACGAGGCACCCTGAGGAGGAGACGGACGAAAACATAACAATGGATCTCATAACTCAGTCTGTCAGACACGTGTCACATCAACAACAGCCCTGAAATAAGAGAAAAACGCTTTATCATAGTGTCCCCTGGTTCAAGACTTTGTAGTAAATTATGCATCCTCTGCCTCTGTCTGCCTAAAGGTTAAGCAAACCCGTCTGAAAACAAATTAAAAGATAGACACAAAACAGGTAATAACACAAAAATCTCAGGGCCAATGTTCGATTTTACCTTTAAAATTTGAACAACATGCAATTTCCCAGAGAAAGTATAACATTTACCTATATGTTCTTCAATAAAAAGTTGGAAAAGTTGTACATAATTGCTCTCTTTATTACGAGGCTGGTTGTTCTTTTTAATTGAGTTGACTTGCACCACGGCACAGTACAAATAACCGTAGCAGGAACAAAAGATAAGCGAGTTTAAAGACCTGCTGTCCTTTATTGAAACAATAGAGTACAAGTGCTGCTGGGTCTTTGTAGTAATCGCCCTTTATGTTTTATGTGTGTGTGTGAGTGTGTCAGTGAGTGGAGGTGTGGAGGAGGGGGACAGAAAAAGAGAAGTGGTGACTATTAGCTGAGTCACCACACTGAGTGTCTAAATGACTGTATCTGGAGGATCTAAATGTGCCTGTGTTTGAGCTCATGTTTGACCTTGCACATGCGCGTGAGTGTGTGTGTGTGTGTGCGTGTGCGTGTGTGTGTGTGTGTGTGTGTTGAGACTCACAGGTAAAGTCCGACTCCCATGCAGAGCGTTGATGGCAGCCTGGGCCTCTGCGTTGCTCTGGTACTTTACAAACGCACAACCTGGATTGAATGGCACACAATAAAGTGTCAAACACAAAAACAGAATCCACTTTGCTTTTAAAACACATTAGCAGCCGTTTTAGATGTAGCGCTTCATCAGTTACTTTGGCGTCATTAAACATGGTCCACAGGACATTCATTGCTTCATCAATCACAGCCCGTAAACCACCAAACGCATCATTAGCCCTGACCTATAAAACCTATCGCACAATTAGTCAGGCCTCATGCAACAAACGCTGAGAAATCCGGCATCTGTATTTGAACTGTGGCCAGACTTTGATTTACACGGCAAATATCATTAGCATTGTCGTTAGCGACAATAGATATTTACATTTAAGCGAGGGTGAAGAGCCTGAGGCTTAATTCACAGGGCCAGATTAAAATACCAATACTCTCAGTCAATATCACGTTTACAGTCGTGATCTGGGCTCATTTTGCTGGAATTTGATCCGACACGTCTTTTAAAGCTTCAGGGGGAAAAAGAAGATGATAAAGCTCATAAACGCTGATACTTTTTCTTTCTTGGAAATACATGAATTATGAGGTTCATTTACACAAGCAATAACTTTCTGTAACTTAGACTGCAGCTCCTGTTACACCTGTCTTATTGTAAGGCATTTCTCTTATTTGATTAAAGATGCAGAGATGTATTAAATTGGCTGACTACTCATACCAATATATGCAGTTTCCACTTAATTGCAGTCACTATCAAGTCTCTTCTGATAAGTTCGCCAACTCATACCTCGATCACCTCAGGCAGATGACGCAGAACATAAAGTTATTTTCATTATGCAAATGTAAAAAAAGAAGAAACTACCTTGTCGTAGTTTACAAGTGTTACATGTCATATTTAGTTTCCTACTGAGCAATAGACGGCTATTAGACGTCCAGTTTTCTTTTTTTTTAACCTAATTTCAACTGTATAGATTCTTTATACTTTTAGACGGAATTTAGACGTTGCACTTAAGTCCATTATTTGATAACTATTTATTTCAAAAAGCAACTGTGGGCTGCATAACTGATCTCCAAGTCCTTAAGCGAAATAATTATGATAGCCGTTGAACAATATACAGTAAGACCTTTGTTAGCCGGCTAGTGTAAACTTAGTCTACATTTAGATGTCTAAAAAACTTTCATTTTTAGACCTGTGGTAGCCTGATTTTAGACCAGTCATCTAGGCTACATTTAGATGTCTATCAGACCTGTTTTAGACCCAAAAAAATACTCAGTGGGTTTATACTGGACATCTATTTCCTAAAAGATTAAAAATAGCAAAGTGATCCAAATTTATATTGTCACTATTGAATGAGTGTAACATCTTGCTGTTACAACAACTGATTAAAACTCCTGTAAGGATTTTTTTAAGCATGTATGAAATGAATTGAAATTCACATTGATCCCTTTTGATGACAAACAACAGCAAACAAGACCAATCTGTAATTTCTAATGCCTGAAACTTGTATGAGGGAGTCGGTGTCAGCCAAGAAGCTGCAGAAACAGCACAGTGAAGGAAATAAGCAAAGACTGGTTTGTCCACAGAGGGCGCAAAAATTGACTAAAAACTAAAAGTTCCTCACAGGAGCTTTAAATAAAGGTAAAATATTGATATCAACTTGAATCAAAGAATCATGAAGATGTTTATTTTAAATGGTTTACTTTGCAGTTATTAATAAATTAACTGTGAGTCAATCCACATTTAGATTTGTAGTCATGGTTACTTTTACAGAAAACAGCCGCTCAAACTTGTTTAAGAAACTACAAGAGAACAAAGGCTCGAGAGCAGAAAGAATAAGTGGACAAATCATCCTTCAAATGTACGCTTATCAGGAAATCTGAAGGATGGAGTGTGTCCTCGGGCTTACAAGAAGCAGCAAATAGATACCACGCTTCTCCATGACAGCGTTATTCCATATCATGACTCAATAATTATGCATCACATGTTTCCTCTCTTTCTTTTTCTGCTCTTCATCTTACTTCACTGCTTTTCCTCCTCCTCGGTTAACGTCACAGAGTGCAAGACGGTAAAATGTGTTGTATCTGTCTGTATACTATGATTTATGTTTAGTATATTTTTCTGTTTTCCATGATGACACCAGATGTCTGTGTTTCTCAGTTGTGATTCTGTTGTTACCTTTGCTGGTACCATCAGGCCCGCGGAGCACTGTGCACTCCTCTATGCTGCCAAAGGGTTCAAACATCTTTCTCACGTCGCTGTCTGTCTGCTGTTTTCCCAGCATGCCCACAAAGAGCTTCCTGTCTTCTAAGGGGAAGGAGACAGCCAGGATGGGAGGGGGCAGAGCAGGAAAATGTGAGGAAAATGTGGCAGAGATTACAGAAAAGGGGGGAAAAAGTGGGAGCAGAGGTGATAAAAAGGGGAAAAAAAGGGGAGAAGTGCTGTGTCACCGTACATGCATGACCAACAACAGAACAACAACAACAGCACGATGGGCAAGTATTGTACAAAGCAGCATGGACGTCAGCTTGCGATGCTTCATAGTGCCACCAGAGTGCAGTAACAGGAACATCACAACAAACAGCATCTGGCAGTGACTCAAATGTTTGTCACCCTCTGTGCTGTCAGAGAAGCTGCTCCGTCTGTCCCCGTCTGTGAAGGATCAGACCAGTGTTTCTGCATGTTTTAGCTCCGTCACTACAAATCACAAACACGCCACATTCCTGCAGACTATTCACCAAAATGAAAACGTAGATTTGAGAGTTATTCCTCCCAAACTTTCAGGCTGACACTTCTGCTCTATTTCTATTAGTGTGTTGTGGAAATTAACTGTCAGTCCACATAAAACTCAAGACAATCATGCAAATACCTCATGATTTGGTGGGTGAAAAATTTGGGATTATCAGAAAGTTCTCTTGTTTAGCATGTGTAGATGTTAAATGTGAAATCTAGGTGCAGAATAGCATTAAATTAATCTATATTTTGGAAAATAAAGCAAGAATACAGTCGGGTTTGGTGTCTCCTCGGACAAAAAGTCAAAATGTTTGCTGGTGTAGAGTATTATCATATTGAAATAGAAGAAAAGACAATCCATGAATATGTCCTAAACAAAGTCTGTCATATTCACATTTCTAAAACAAACATGCACAACAGGCTTGAATTGTGACGTCTTTAAAAAATGTCATATAAACGGTAGATAATAAGCGTATTATGTGACTGATTTTCAATAGATCTCGTAACACGTTAAGCAAAGAAGTCATTAAATACACAATGGATCACGCTTGATACAAGGACCCTGGAAAAGACGTTAATGATTGGAGCTCATTATTACTCAAATTACCTACACCTGTGGTTTTCACTTTGTGATATGTCTGACTCTATTCTTTAAATAACAGAATCAGTGCTTTCGAATCAAAGCTAAGACTTTTTGTACTGATTTCAGGAATTATCAAACATGGCCTAACCACTTCTGCAAATTTTCTACCGCTCTTGGGGGTCCCATGGGCTCTTAACAACCTCTTTACTCTTCTTCTGATCTCAGCGAAAGCAGAAATATAACCTGCACAAATAAGTAACCAAGGAAAACTTCAAGTACGGATGCAGGATTTGATATTTTGTTGGGATGTTTGTGTACACTGTGGCGGAGCTGTTTGAACAGGTGCTGTGTTTCAGGGTGGGGACAGGTGTCTCTTACCCCCTCTGCTCTCGCTGTCTGCTGGCTTCACCTGGATGGGACGGTTCATCTAGAAAGACAGAGAGAAAAATGACTGTCAGCTTAACTTCGAGACATGAAATAAGCGATAATGACAAACGCACAAGTAAAACAAGGTGGAAACATATTATTGAGTGCAGCCTTGAAGTCTATGACCATCAGATGGTTGAAACCAGAACCTCCATCATACAATATCTGGATTTAAAAGGTCTGGAGCAGATCACATTTTCATTAAGGCTTCAGAGGGCCTCCTTTATTGAAAGATGGGAACTTGTTGTACCTTTATTGATGTTAATAATGGTATAAGTACTTCCTATCCATATCAAAATACTGTCATCTTGCCTCTGACTAAAATTTGTGCCTGTAAATCTATTTTCTTAAAGACTCCAAAAACAAGCAACTGGACTGTGTAGAGTTGAGTCCAGTTGCCTGTTTTTGGAGTCTTTAAGAAAACCATGACCTGGATGAATGAGAATCTACATGGACATGCCTTTAAATTTGTATTTTGGAGTGGACATAGTTAATTTGCGATGATTACAATTCTTATTCTCTTTGATTTAATCCTACATCATCCGTGGATGTTTGTAAAAATACACATACAGCTGGAAAAAGAAAAAATATGTATTGAGTTGAGATGTATACACTGTATTGTTGTGGTTAAAAAATTAGGTAACACTTTACTTGACGCCTGTCTCTAAAGTGCATTATGTATAATTCGTTATAATCACGTTATAACACTGTATTACTATAATTATAAACACTCATGAATGATCATAATGCTTTATAACTATAATCATAACACATTATAAAGCATTTTATCATGACTTACAAGGTCAGGTATCATAATGTGTTATAACTGTTAACAACAGCTGCATTGCATTACCTATGTGGGTATTGTCACTTAGTTGTTAACAGTTATAACACATTATAATACCTGACCTTGTGAGTCATGATAAAATGCTTTATAATGTGTTATGATTATTGTTATAAAGCATCATGATCATTTATGAGTGTTTATAACTATAGTTATACAGTGCATTAACATGATTATAACGCATTATACATATATTTTTAATGCGTTACAGAGATAGGCGTCAAATAAAGTGTTATTAAAATTTAATAATAATTAAGTTTAAAAAAAACAATGCTGAAAAGTTTGTTGTGTTTTCATGTAACCTCTTAAAAATGGTATAAAAGCTGTACTAAAAGCGAAATCTGCATGTACATACAGCATGTATTATAGTGAATATATAGAATTTAAGTGAATATGATCCCTCGCTAATGACTCTCTTCTTTCTTCGCCAGCAGAACACAGCTGACACTGATATGTGTGATTTTATGTTCTCACTGTTTTACAGTCTCTCTGCTCATTCCTCCCGCACAGTCTGCTCTAATCCTGCCGTCCATCGTTCCTTCTCCCCCTATCACACAAAACCAGGAAAAGCACACACCCACACGGGATTGGGGAAGTGATAAGATTAAGCACACTCGCCGGCTAATCTGGATTACAGGAGCACGCAGCATCAGAATAGTGAGCGACTCTGAGCCTGACAGAGAGACGGGAACGGAGGTGTTCAGGGTTAGGAAAGGAGGAATGATTTGTTAAAAGAAAAGAGGAAAGGGAGAGTTTTAGGATTTCCTGATCTTTTTCTTAAACTGTGAAAAGAAAGCAGCTGAAATAAGTTTTTTCTTCTCTTCTCTGTGTCATTGTACACTGAGATGAACCTTGAAATGAAACAGAGCTCGAGTCTTTTCTCTGTCATGTGTGGATGACACCAAAGCAGTGAAAAGAAAACTTAAGAATAGATGAAGAGTGGGTTTGAGAGGGGGGTGAGAGAAGCATATGGAGACAGAGAGAGAGAGATGGAGATGGTGGGGGTTGTGTGTGTGAAGAAGAGGGAGGTTGATGTGGGTGAGGAGTGGAGGTGAGAGCAAGTGAGTGACACTCTGTTAACTGTGGCTTAATGAAGGTCTTAATTATGGAGCTGGTGACATTTCAGCCAGTCACTGATCCCGTGTCACTGATTGATCTGCTGTGATCGGTCACCAGGAGACATTATTGATCGCGCTCGTGGTTGCGCTCCACCGCCACGGCCCGCATGCACAAACACTGGTCGACTCGGTAACCAAATCAACAGCTGAGATACAAGCAACACCTGCTGCAGAGAAAGAGAGAGAGAGGGAGAGGACCCCTCGTCTTCATACTGATCGTCCAATTGATGGCACCAATTATAAGACTGATAGAGGAGACGGAGGGGGCAAAGTCTCAGAACTATCATCTAATCAGTCAAGCCAATCAGCGCTTCTTCTCCGGCACACTGTGAATAGTAATTTTTATTGAAATTACAGCTCATCCAAACAGAGAGTCGGATTTGAAGTCTTTGGTTTTCAGCACAGACACCATCATCCTCACTGAGTTCTTGTGTTTCTCTGAATATTGATCAGAAAAAAGGTTGATTTATAGTTCACTTTTTACTTTTTACAATGTTCACTTCTTCTACTGTATGTTTCTTTAAATCAACAGCACTGACTGCATCAACTTTGCAAACTTAACTGATCCGTCCAGAGTTAAAGATTATGTTCAATTGTGCGTATAATCGTACATTTAAGTTTCTATTATTATAGATTCTCATCCTATGAACTGAAAGAAACTAACTCTGTGCTTCATTCTTACTTTTTTATTTAATTTCAAATCTAAAACTCCCAGAAATCTTTTATCTCTTGTAAATTAAGTCCGAAGACTTCCCTGTTTATACCTGATGAACAAAATTGAACAAAGCTTAGCCAATCCTTTTAACACCTATTTTAATTAAACAACACTTCACTGCGACCTTTACATTTATGACTCAAACTATCTAATTATATTTAATCTTCTCCTATTGTGATTTTTAATGTGTTCTTTCTTTATCATATTACTGTATCATTTACATAATCTCGCTTCACTTTGTTGAATAATGTATTTTTTCTATGTTGAGCTATCGGCGGGATGTTTTCATGCAGGTATTAACTATAAAATACCTCAATTTTCATTCTCCATTTGTAGTCTTCACAACTATATCATCACAGGGATATGTATCTGTTCACACACCTGTAAAATATCATGTGAAAGTTGTTAAATCAGGGCTGTGTCCTTCGTCGCTTGGCTGACACCGACCCCCTTGCACCAGTTCCAGGAATTATGGATTTCATGAAAAGTCATCAATAAATATTCAAGTCTTAAAACTCCTCATGGGAGCTTTAATCTGCATGGGGCATACAGTTCAACCTCTGACCTATACCCCCTTTTGATTTTGACTTTTCAAACCACCATCATGATGCTCTTAAGCGTCTTTGTCCCCTACATTTAAAGGTGCATTCCACATTTTAAGGACGAAATGTTTCCAGTGGTGGACCCAAATTATTTTCAGGAGAATAAATTATTTGTTTATGTGTTCATGGCGAGGCGAGGAAGGGCATTTTAAATTTATGAAAACAAGTCTGATGATGAAGGTGATGATTCTTTTTAATCAAAAAACCTGATAGTATTTAAACCTTTGGATTCTACATGTGGTATGAGTCTTATTTTTTAAACAAACACACTCCTTTTTCCTTGAGCAGTATCCACTAAGACTAAAACTCTTCTCCAAAACAACAAACAACAGGATCTCTGCAGTCCTAAAGGTTGTTACAGCCCTGCGCTCTTGCCACACAATCTGTGCAAGATGCTTATAAGCATACACACAAATGTACAGACTGTTCTGAGCCATCTTGACAGTACAAAACAGACTGTCTACAGACTGAGAAGTAATCCAAAATAATCTTTCAGACTATTCTGGGTTGAATTTTGATGCTATATGTGAGTTTTTAGTTTCAAAAGACTCAAAAAGGAATTAAGGTCGGCTCCTTTTCTGCTGCAGAGGTAAACGGTTATCACGAGTGAAATATAAAGATTGAAGGCTGAAGCTATAAGGGCATGACAGTATTTTAATGTGACATGTATGATTTATCACACGCTTGACTGACACCTGGCTCATATTTCAGAGCAGGAAGACAAACAGCGGTGGAGGTGCTGCTGGAGATAAGGAGCGGCGCAGCAGATGGCTCAGGAGATTGTGAATTAGAAATACACAAGAGGGGGAAAAAAAACAGCTAGAAGTAGAGGCCATCAAGGCTGTGCCACTTCACATCGGCACGGCAACCAGGCCCCGCCGCTCTGACGAAGGCCGCGCTCCGCATGGCCATCGTCATGGCAACCCCAGTGATGAAATACCCCACATCAGGTAAACAAGGTTGAAACTGAACGGCGCACAGAAGGGGACAGGGTGAAAAAAAAAACACAAATGAGGAGGACAAAGGGTGCTTCTAGGTCGAGAGAGGGAGATAGATAGAGGGATTAGATGATGATGATGAGGAGGAGGAGGAGGAAGGGAAAGGGAGGAGGAGGAGGTAAAAAAAGAGAGAAGATGGAGGGAGTGTTTGTGCCTGTTGAATGTTGGCGCTGCCTCGAGAGCAGATGTAGAAGCAGAGAGAAAAATATCTTCCTCTAAGCCTGAACCACTAACATACACACTTTACTGTAATTTGCTCCCCCTCTCCACCCCCTCCTCCTCCTCCTCCTCCTCCCCTTGTTGCTCCCCCCCTCCCACCTCTTTTCTCTCTTAGGCTTGTTTACAAAAACAGTCCCATACTGTGCACAGACAACGGCAAAAAATACCCTGCCCGTCTGATCAAAAAGCCCGGCGCGTTTTTCCCTATTTGATTTCTGCTTTTATGCTTCATCTAAAAACACAAATATAATATACAATCAACCCTTTTTTTTTGTCATTGCACACACACATTCACACACACTATCAGTCAAAGCTACATCTACACATACTTAATCTTTCCACCCTGATGCCGCAGGGGATTTCACCAGGATTATGAGATATTAAATCCATAGATTATCCAATCAAATCACAGCTCAACCCCTTTCACCATAAAGCATGACCCCCCGTTATAAACATCAACATCCGTACACACACCGAGGAGTGACACCTGCTCCAGTTTGAAACGTTTAATACAGAGAAATGTGTTTTAAATTGAGGGGCATGAGCGAGTCAAGCATATAGACGATGATGTTTTTCTCGCCTTTCCTTTGTGGCCGGCGGAGCAGATGATAGTCTCTGTACGTGCCGCTCGGAGCAGCCGCTGCTGTTTAGTCTATATAGCATCAGGCTACTGTGTGTGCATACCGCAAGTGTGTCTGAGTGTGTGTGCGTGAAACACTTTTCTGTTGCCTGTTTCTCTCCATTTTCAATCCTTTCTGCTCATCCGCCCTGAAAAGCAGCCACTCTGAATGGTAAATATATCGGCACGGACCATCTCCCCTGCTCTTTCAAGAACATTTACAGCAGGGAGGCAGAGTTCTATGTGCGTGTGTGTGTGTGTGTTTGCATGTGAGTCTGCGAGAGAGGGAGGGAGGGAGAGAGGGAAAAGGGGGGTTGTTGGTGTAGGTAGGTGGGGAGGGGAGGTGGGGGAGATGCGGGGCCACAAAGACAATTTTCCCTTCTTCGCCCTCCCCTCCGCTCCATCACACACACACACAGCACTGGTCATTGCATCGCACCGGTCGCATAGCAACCTGGCATCCCTGGTCCCCGCCGTCTCCAGGCAACGAGACCTGCGACCGTAATCAACCTGCCACTCCCCCTCCCCCCTCCCCCTTTCCCTTCTCTCTCTCTGTTTCTCTCTGGTCTGTGCTGCTTCTATTTTACTCCCTCGCTCCTCCATCCTCCTCCTCCTCCTTGTCACAAATGCACTTATACGCCAGGAAAACTTGTGAATTCACCCAGGGGGAAGAACAAACACAGGTGGAAATTGCTATATGATCTGAAAGAAAGGGAGGGGGAAAAAAGAAAAGAGAGGAGGAGGAGGAAATCAGATGAATAGACGCAGATGATGACGATGGCACACAAAGACCCAGAACAAAAGCCACTGAGGTGCACAAGTTAATGTTTCCACACGCAGATGCACACATACAGGCGAACAGGCGCACAAAAGCAGCCCGGAGAAAAACTCTGCCTCCTCCTGAACCTGGACTGGAGTCACTAAATCAATCAAACACAAAGAGACTGAAGAAACAACACCCGGACTGTTCAATGATTTTAAATCAATGATCCTCAGTGTCAAAGCTGCTTCATCCACCTGTCCTGAACGGACCCACAAGATGGGATAAAAACATGCACTGTGCAATGACATGGTTCAATACTGCAATAAGGATATGAGGGGCGATAAATAAACTAATAATACGGGCGCTGTGAGGAGCTTTTATGCTGTGTTGATTCTGGTGACCTCTTTGGATGAAATCAGCACTGATTTTATTGGACAAATGCAGCATTTCCCATGAGCACCATCATCCACGGCGGTAAAGACTTGGCTTTAAGTGCACATTTGTTATGGAGACAAATGTACAAGATAGTGCCTTATAAAGGTGTGATTTATAATACATTACTCTGTAATACAAGAGACAAACAGCGCCTTTTTAATCTGGGTTTAATACCACATTAGAACTCCACACCTTCACAAGGATAATAAATCTTTATAACCACAAATGTTTTCTTTTGCACTGAGGTATAAGCATTGTAAATCATACCACTATAAGGCATTACACTTAGTGCTTAAACACTGCTGTGAGCTGTTAATGCTTAAAATCACCTGTAAGGTAAGTCTTATAGATGCATCTAAAAGAGGTCGGTTCATATGAAGTGTTGGTAACACTTTACTTAATGCCTGTCTCTATACTGCATTATAATTATATGTATAATGCAATATAATCATGTTAAAACACTGTATAACTATAGTTATAAACACTCATAAATGATCATAATGCTTTATAGCAATAACCATAAGACATTATAAAGTATTTTATCATGACCTAAGAGGTCAGGTATTATAAAGTGTTATATCTGTCAACAACAGTCTATGTGGGCATTGTCAGTGAGTTGTTTACACATTATAACACCTGACCTTGTAAGTCATGATAAAATGCTTTATAATGTGTTATGATTACTGCTATAAAGCATAATGATCATTTATGGGTGTTTATAACTATAGTTATACAATGCTATAACGTGATTATAACACATTATACATATATTTATAATGCGTTATGGAGATAGGTGTCAAGTAAAGTGTTACTGAAGCGGTATATTTTATTCGGCACATCATCATAATAATAAATTGTGATACATTAAAACCACTAGATGATGTCCAGAAAGAGCAACCTTGACTCAATAGAAAAGTTATGATGGTATTCAAATTATATGTATTTCATAAGCATTCACCTTGTTAGAACAACACTGACTTTAGAAGAATGACTCTCCCTTGAGGTCTAGCAAACCCCTTCTCACAGAGTTTCTTTCTCTCTGACAGAAACCATGAGCCTTTTTGTTAATTGGACTCCAGCGTCAGCCATGAGCTTAAAACATGATTTAAAAAGAAACTATCTACAGAAAAAAACCCAAAAAACTTCTTACGGCCAAACTTCACCAGCTCAGCATAGTTAATCAGGAACAAAGTTCACAATATAGACACTTCTGGGTGAGTACTGAACGGTGACTCAGCTGCTTCTGTGGAAGATCTGACCTCAACGAAGGCACTTAAATTTAGAATAACCAGAGAAATAACCAATTCTGTCAGAGATCGCGTTTTACTCTCAAGAACAGGCAGCAGAATAAGAGAGAAACTATTAAAAAAAAAGCTTGACTGTATCAAAATGGTGGGAAAGTATGGTCATGATACCAAGGCCTCCTTTCAACAGGTTAAATGTGTCGAGTGAAAAAGCATTGCTGGTTTATGGAGTTTTTCTCTTTTCTTCATTGTGTTTGATCACATATCAATAACTGCAGCCCTCCAGACGAGGCTTATGGATCCTAAAGGTTTTTTTTTTTTTTTTTGTTAAGTGCCGACAAAAATCCTTTAAAGTGGAAAAAGTGAAAATCAAAGAGTAAATTTATAACAACACACAAGTTGACTCTCAGTTGTTTTGACTCTCCTGACTGTTAAATATTCATGTCAAGTTTCGTTTGACTCGAATCAGTGGAGCATAAGAGGAAGGGAACTGAATCACAGAAACCCTGTGCGGGTCTGTATGTGTGTGCCTTTGTGTGTGTGTGTGTGTGTGTGTGTGTGTACAGTCAGAATCCCTGTCCTACTTTTGTTTTTTTTTAACTATTGACTTCTTTAAACTCAGGCCTGTTTTTCACACTCTCCACTGTAGTTGGTTTAAAGCATATTGAGTTTTGTAGCATCAGCCAGCGACCAAGTGTGTTTGCCTTTTACACACTCAAGCACACACGCGCACACTAACACACACACACACAGTCCCCTACCCCCTAAAAACACACTAGTTCTCCCTAACAGATGTCTGTATTTAAGCTGATAAACATACGTCCTTAATGCACCTCCCCACCCTCACTGCCACCCACTGTTCATTATGTCAAACTTTCATTCATCTCCTCCCCTACCCTCCCCCCACCCTCTTCTGCACCCCCTCCACCTCTCCCCCAACCCCTGCCTTCATTTATCCAACTCCTCGTACCCATTTACTTCCTCTGAATCCATCATTAGAGCGACTCGCAGAGGACGGGACCTTATTTCGTTTTGTTGTATCCGTCTGCATCATCCCTCCATAGCACATTATATGCATGTGTATGTAAATGAACTGACGCATGAACGCACACTTAACTAAAGATAGATTCATCAAGTGAATAGACACACTCAGTCTGAGCGAACTAATTGCTGCCATCATTCCAGACATCAGGCTACATATGGGGGCAGAGCTTTATCTCCTGCATATGTTCATGTTTCGTGTCTTTTTAGAACCGGATCCGAGTGCTGACTTGGTGTTTTTATCACATTTCCTGTCTTGTTACAATTGAATCTCAGTTTTTCCACATGTTTCTACATGTGCGTTCATGTCCAAGAGCCTCAGTGAACCCCATCTAAGCATTTCACTCTGAGTTCCTTGTATATTTTTGCCTCGATGCACATTGCATGTCAGTTTCTACTTCTGTTATCCCTGAGATGAGACTGAATATGTCCACAGCGCTAATAGATACAAAAACAACGTTAACAACCATGTAGTGTGTCACCTGCTAATGCTGAGGATGTTTCAGCGCCTCAGTGAACCAAATCAGAGCATCAAATTTCTGTTCCTGCTACATTTTTCGCACAGCGCACATCACTTTCTCTTCAATAACGTGTGAAACCATGAAATTACAGACCTAAATGGAAACGAATGGTTATGTCTCTAATGATAACACATGGATAAAAATTAACAACCATGAAATATATCACTGATTGTGTTCTAATCTGAGCTCCAGCAACTGTTTTTTGTTTATTTTGTCCATTTCATATCCCCTCTTGTGCGTTATTAAAACAGTAAAACAAGTCCACAGTGCTTTAAGGTTAATAACATACGAGGGTTGCCAGTGTTGACTATGCAATTAAGGTCTGTGCTGTTTCTATTCCCTGCACACCGGAGTGCACATGTTCAGTAAAAGCATGTTTAAAAGCTGTAATAAACACAAGTGTCGACTTGGTGTTTTTGTCCCATTTTCAGCAAATTAAATGTTATTTTTCAACTCTTTTCGTGCAGCTGAATGCCTTTAAAGAATAACATAGACCATACTGCTGTGTTTTTATGGCAGTGCTCTTGCTTAGACATTAAGGGCACAACATAGTGGCACTTCTACTTCCTATCTCATATCCTGCCTAAAAAGCCTGAGCTATATTTAGCGTATGCATTTATTTCAGACTATTGATAAAACCCCTGTGTCTGCTCCGTCTGAGTCCTTATGGCTGAGTAAATGTCAGGCTTAGTCAGATGTTCCACTCAAAGAGGGCTCTTTCCTCTCGTATGGGCAGCTTAAACACAGAAGGCCTCACCGCTCAGATTTTTACTCTTACACACACACACACACACACACACACACACACACACACACACACACACACACAGCAGATAGTGAATGAAGCAACCTGAGAGGAGCGTATCATAAAACCAACAACTTCCACCCATCCATCCATACGCCCATATCTTTGGATGTGTACTCTCCACGGAAACACACACACACAAAAGCAAACAGACTCACACTCAGCCGTGCACTCCCAGACGCACACACACACACAAATACGCAGACGTGCACACACAGCCTTCATTAAACGGTGTTAGTGCGAACACCTGCCCTCCCTTCCCCCGCAGCTCATGCAAATATACACCAAACACACACAGCTACTCTCTCACTGGGGCACAGTTGCACTATTAAATGCTTATTGCATTTAAAATTAACGCTGAGGCATTGCTGGAAATATTAACTGGAGTAAGGGAGTGCTGATGACGAGCGTAATAAGGAGTCTCCTCCAGAGCTGGACTGGCTATCCTCTTTTGTTATTTATCAAATGGAGAGTCTGACATTTCGGGAAATTAGAAAATTTTCATTTTCAAATGGAATTTAATGAAAAGTTAGATACAGCTCTCTTGGCTTTGCACATGATAAAATGCTACCGTTAGCAGCCTATTAGATTAGCTGAGCTTTAGGCCCCGCCTTAAAACATACAAAATTATACTTCAGAAACATTCATTACATGATATTGAATCTATTTGTATTGTACTGCACCACATTGATTCATATCGCAGTTGTACCGCAACATATCGTAAAGTATCGTATCGTATGGTATTGTATCATAGGGTATTGTATTGTATCATATGGTATCTTATTGTATGGTATGGTATGGTATGGTATGATATTGTAACGTATCGTATTGTATCGTATCGTATCATATTGTCTGGTATGATATTGTATCGTACCGTACCATATCGTATCGTATGATATTGTATCGTATGGTACCTTTTCGTATTTGATTAAATCATACTGTATTGTTTCTTGCTGTATTGTATTACGTTGTATCCAATCATAACACATCATATCGTTCTATATGCTCATGTATCCTATTACAAAATACTATATATCAATAAATATGAATAAATGTTAATAAGTGTTTATAAGTTTTGTTAGGCTGGTGAATTAGGAGGACCCCGGGTTATGTTTTCCAACGTTATGCTAAGCTAAGTTTGATGGTCGTAGTTCTCTGTATTCACAAAACTCAAGTGGGACAGATCATTTCTGGAGTCGATCTTTCTCGTGTGCTCCGTAAGTAAGCAGCTCGTTGTTTTTTATAGTTAAGGGGTTGATTGTTTTGTCCGTACAGGGCACAAAAAAGACAAAATCCCGCATTTCAATGTTAAAACATCCCAATAAAGCAAATTTAGTCAATGCACAACTTGCGATGACTTCAAACTGTGATTCTCTGCCAGTTTTGCTAATTCTTTTAAAGATACATTTTTGCCACATCTAACACAGACACCCAAAGGCTAGCTGCAGCCTAGCTCAGCTATGCTAATTTGCTCCTATTTAAAGCGTAGTCATGATTGAATGTTCATTCCCGTGAGCAAGGCTTTAAATGCTACTCTCGCCGTTACACAAAGAGAATCCCTCACTTTATTTCACCGTCATCTTTATGGTATTTTCACCATGACAAAACCATCTGAATTAAGGCTTTTATTTCTTTAGAAGAGCATGTTGTATTATTCCTTTTTTAAAACACCCCTTATTATCTGTGTCAACCAGAACAGAGAACCACAGAGAGTCCCCAACATTTATTGCGCTCATATTTAAAGTTGTCATTTTCAATGTTTGATGCATAGTTTTATGGCTTATTTGCATTGCCATGAAAGCAGAAATAGCTTGTAGCTTATCCTAGCCACTAATAGCACTGCTATTGGTGGCAGAACAAAAGATTTTGCAGCCTGGATACCACAGAGAACATGATGTACCAAACTCTGAAAGATTGAGATTTGATAGAGGAAGAAGGTGAACGTTTCTAATAATGGATTATGGAAATAGGCAGTGATTTATTTGGGGGGTTAATTGTGTCAAAGCATAAAATATAAACTGGTTTTAATCCAGAAAAAAACATATCCGAGCTGTTTAATGGTTATCTACTTTTAGGTCTATCCAGTACACACGCGAGGTTGGACAGTGACTCTTTTTTAATGTGGCTTAAGTGGATGTTATTGTCTCCACAAGCCTTTAGACGGCTGACTTGGCCAGACAAACAAGCAAGAGATAAAGAGATAAGAGGAGAGGGACAAGAGTACAAGATGTCCGAGCAGGGTTGAACGAGAGTACAAGCTCAGGAGTGACTTTATTTTTCTCTCCCCAACTCTCCATTTCCCCACTTTTTCTCAGAGCGAGTCCAGCGTATCGCCACACAATCCTCTCACTTTCTGTCTCCGCTCTCGGCTGAATGTACTTTTGACACTCTTCCTCCCCCCTCTGCACTTTTGAGACGGACTCTCTCACCTGAAATTAAACACAAGGCCAGGTGCCGCTCTCAAACAACCATCTGTTCGCCCCTGACTGACTTCTCTTTCCAATTTTTTCCTTTCTTTTCCATTGTTAGCATGAAGAAAAAGATCCTTATAATAGCGAGGAGGAGAATAAAGCCCTAGGTACAGCTCTTACTTTCCAGAGAGGTGAAATACTTAAAAAACAGCAGTGCAGAGTGTTAATGATTTCATTCAGCTTTCTCTACTTTCAGGTGTACTTTCATTCTCTCCCTTCAGTCCTATAATTGCCTTCATGTTATTTCTATTGTATCACTGCAGCCATGAGATGCCAAAGTTAATTATTCTTTGGCAGTGCAGGTGCAATTAGATGACAATTACACCACAGCTGGTAGCAGGGGCGGGAAGCAGTTCTTGTCCGCGTGGGCGTGAACGCAGCTAATAAGAAGGGGTTTTTGGCAAAGGAGGGGGGGGCAGGGATTGAAGGAGCACAGAGGAGGGGGGTTGGCTTGTTCCACACGGCTTAGAGGTAAGAGGTTATGAGGACGGGAGCTGGTGGGGCAGAAACACAAGAGGAGAAGAGGGTTTTAGCCATAGGGGCACCAGGGCCCTGCTGATCCCCCTACGAGAGGTCAGAGAGGTCACGCTACTGTCACGCTAACAAAGGGATCTCTTTTGTCGCTACACTAATACCAGCCTACTACCAATCTGACTCCAGGTCCACCAGTAACCCCCCACCTGCTGTTACAACCGTGTTCATGAGCCGGAACAATCAATAAGTCTGACTTCAACTATTTCAGAAAAACAGTAAAAAGTCAAAATGTTTGTACCTAAAAATGAAAAACCGCTTCAAAGACAGATCTTTTTTTAGACAACCAGTTAACTGTTCTGTCTGTAACATTTTAAAAATGCCGCAAACTGACATCAGTTTATGAGCCTCAAACAACCGAAAACCAGTATTTATAATAATGACTGGACCGAAGAAGCTGGAACTCCATTAAAAATGTCAACAACTGATTGTTCTCGCAAATAAAGTTAAATGAATTTCTTTAAGACATCAGTCAAACCTGTCAGGATTAAAATTCCCTGCAATGTCTGATTTACAGCTTTAAAACTTGTAGATATTTAGTTTAATAATCACAAAATACAAATAAACGCAGCAAAACATTCACCTTTGAGAAACTTCAACTTGTTTTTGCTTGAAATCTTTTCAAATACTTATTTTAAGCAAAACTTCCAGACAGTGAACAGACAAAATGAACCCTGGGGAAATTAAAAAATGTCACAAACTGACATCAGTGTATGAGCCTCAAACAACTGAAAAAACAGTAATTATAATAATAACTGGACCAAAGACGCTGGAACTCCATTAAAAATGTCAACAACTGATTGTTCTCTCAAATAAATTAACTGAATTTCCATAAGATGTCAATCAAACCTGTCACCATTAAAACTCCCTGCAATGTCTGATTTACAGCTTTAAAACTTACAGATATTTAGTTTAGCACAAAACACAAAAAAAGCAGCAAAACATTCACCTCTGAGTAACTTAAAGTTGTTTTTGCTTGAAATCTTTGTAGCCCTGTATTGCCTTTTGTATGTATGTATGTATGTATGTATGTATGTATGTATTTGATACATACTTTTATGATACTTTAATCAAATCAATATAATCGACAAATTACTAAAAAAAACACCAAAATACACTCAAATAAATGATCAAAATCTCCTCTTGTTGTTTATCAGTTTCCAAAAACATCTAATGTATCAAACAAGATAAATAAATATATTTGTTTGATTTTAAGGACATTTTGATTATAAGTAAAATAAACATTTCAGCTCCTAAAAAATTGAATTTTCTGTCCATAATTTGTGGTTTCAGGCATTAAAGGGTTAAATACTTATTTTAAGCAAAGTTTCCAGACAAAATGAACCCCGGGGAGAATATTGACTGTTTTTTCTCATCTTGTATGGAGCTGTTGGTGGGTTTTGGTGTATTTCAAGGAGTTTCCTCGTTTCAGACTCATAAATCAAACAATCAGACGACTGATTCAGCGATACAGAAAATGTTGCAAGGCACAGCCTCATACTTACTCAAAAACCCTGGTCACGAGCCACCACCAACAGCATGGAGGGGAAATAAAGAAGTGAATGATGTAGATTTCACCAAAAATAACCAAAAGGAAACAGGAGTAAGGCCTTGTTAGTCAAAGAGGAAGCAGCAGTGAGACTGGGGGCACACTCTGTCTCAGTAATTCCTCGCCTTGTCGCCTTGTCTCTCATATAGCGGGTTATTATAGAGACGCGGCTGTCATGTCATATTTAGCCCTGGAAATGTCATTTGGCAGCACACCTGCTGCCTGGCTATGCTAATAAAGCTAGGTTTAACTTTGATTAGAATTCAGAGGGAGAGATGGATGGAAAGAGGGGAGAGGAGGGGGGAGTCAAAGAGAGAGAGAGAGAGAGACAGAGAGGAAGAGGAACATCAGAGAGAATAAGATCTGGCAAAGTCACTCCAGCAGCGAGCCTCATAGCTGTCTGTTTCGACCTGTGACATGTTGCGGGATGACTCATGCCTTAACTGGATGGATATGTCTGGATGCATCACATATGAAACATAAGAGGGAGAGCAGCCTCTGACCTTTATCCCAGCGAATCAGCTGAAGGGGGGAGTCAGGCCCTGCTTGTCAAACTGCGTTAATTTTCTTGTGTCACTATGTGTTCCCGTGCGTTCACATAGCCTACCATGCCAGTTACCCCGCTCCTGTTTTATAGATAAATATAGACGACGAGCTGTTGAGGGTGTTGTAAAAAAAAAGAAAAAAAAAAAACAGCAGCACACTCACCCCTGGTAGCGTCTTCTGCTCGTGCAGTGCATTCTGGGCTTTGAGGGCAGATTCACGCGCGCAATATGTCAGGAAGGCACATCCTAAAGACAGAAACAAGGAACCAAACCACTGAAAAGTCACTTTAATTTATTTTTATGTTGGAGTTATGTGCTTTAATTCTGTCAGAGTTGGCATCATTAGGCTCATTTTAATCATCTTAATTGGCCCGTCGCCCTGAAGGCCTGCAGGCAGAAACATGCTGCTGAAGATTATTGTCCCAACATAAATCTGCTGATTGATACATCTGGTTTAGTTTTGGAGAACAGTTTTAGGTCGGCATATGTTTAAAATTTCCCAAAAACCGCCTCAAACCAGGCCAGGTTATTAATTTACATGAAACAGAACATCATAAAAACAGTAAGCAACCCTGAATCCGGAGAGCGGTGGAGATCTATGGTATTAATATCTCCCATTACCTGGAGACTGCTCAGACACAAGCAGACTGTGCGAGTATTTAATATCACGCTGGTCAAGCTAAATGTATGCAGTTCCACATAATAGAGAAAGGCCTTCATTAACCTTTAGGGCTCCTGCAAATCATGAATATGTAAATGTATGCAGAATAGGTGTTATAGGTGTTAGAGGACTGATAGCACCTGGCCTATACGTCTCCCACATGACTGATGGTTTATGCAGCTTTATAAAAGCCTTTTGTTTTCTGTGCTCAGATTTGCATTAGAAATGACGGACGGGATCTTTGTCTGGAGGGGATCTCTTTAAAAACAGCTCCGGCCCATCTGTCAAACACAAATCTGAATGTGTTAGGACTTCACTTTCAAAAAAACCGAGAGGCATGTTCCCCATTTGATGTACAGTGGTGGTAGTAGTGGGTGACAATTACTCTTACACATTGACCGATACCGCCACAGGAGAACAATTAAGGCCTGACAAAACACTTCTTACAAGTTTGATCTGACATGAATATTCTGGTTGAAGGAATTTGGAGAAAATGGAAAGTGCTGTTCAACATTTCAATCTCAGTTATTATATGAATATATGTATTACTTTATTGGATTTTTTATCCTGACAGTTTCAAATTGACAACTTTGGGATCGTCTGAATTGTGAAACTGCAGAGGTGTCCGATGTTGTCAGTTTTATCACCACGTAGAGTCTCTTCTTTAAGATACCGAGTATAATACAAACTCATCTTGTCTTGTTCTCCTTGACAGAGAGGTGAAAGAGTTGTTAAAACTCCTTTAATTCTCCTTCTTGTGGGAGCTGCAGCGATGTGATTGGATAAAATCGATTCCATAGGAGGAATTCACTTTAATGGTTCGTGATATTCTTTATTTCTTTGTAAATGTGCAAGTCATGGCAAGATTCAAACTGAACCCTAAGGATGCTGAAGTCTTACTCCAGAAATGTCCCAGTGTAGTCCTCCTTTATGGTAGGATTGTCGAGGAACCTCCCAGTTTGCACCAGATTGCCTCATGAACCAGTTTGATTTTTTTAATGCTGTGCTTCACTATTATTTTGCTTTTTTTAGATTTTAAAATATCACGATAGTCCTTGAGTTCCCTTGTGTGTGGATGCATATTGATTACAGAGACTAAAGAGCATGAGCTATCAATTTGAGAGTCAGGTTCTCCCTTTTCTGTCCTCAGTCACTGGACTCGATATCACTCTTGACAGCAGTCTTGTATGATGTCTTACTTAAAATAAACCTGTTGCAATCTCAAAATAGTTGATCCAGTTTGGCTTTTACTTTAAAATGTGACATTTCAGCGAGGGGAAAAGAGTAAAGTTGGCACTCGGGGCTTATAAAGTTACACTCCTTGAACAGGCTCCAGAGGGACAATGAAGAAAAGAGGAGCAGCAAGAAAACATGATGAACACACTATCAAAACCCATATGTCCATCTCTAAATCTACTAAACCTCAACAATTGTCGGTTCTCCCTCACCTTTATGCATCCCCGTGTATTTGTCCTTTATCACTGTCAGCTCATAGATTTTTCCAAACTGCTCAAAGATGGGTTTCAGGTCCTTCTCCTCCAGGTTTCGGGGTATCTGCCCGATGAAGAGCTTGATTGCGTCAGGCTCCTTCATTGAGAAGTCTGGAAAGAAATGAAAACACACAAACACACACACACACACAGTAGAGGAGGCGGTCAGGAGGAGCAGACAGGAGCCTGCCTGCGGGGCTTGAATTCACACTGCACAGGAGGTGCAAACAGGAGGCCGAGGATGGAGGTGCAGATGGGAGGCTGAAATAATAATAGTTTCTACACCCTTGGAGACGTGCGAGTCCTGCTCTGGTGGTCAATTCTCAAGCTTTTATTATCAAAATAACACTAAAAAACACATATGCTACACTTTCATTATCATGCAAACGGAGATATTTACGCATAAATGCACAAGAAAGCTTTAACATATACATAAAGGGGGATATTGTAGGGATGTGGTCAGAAAAATTAGTCATACAAGATGCATTGGCACGAGTTTTTTATCATCATTTTCCCATCTGAAGCCCTTATCTTGGATTTTATGTCCTTAAAACACAAATAAAATCATTTAGAGCACAGAAATCATGATTACAACCCTCATTTTCATTTTTTTCTAGCAGTGCAGACACAATTAGGATCCATAATCACGATATTAGCCACGGATCAAACAAATCCACCCTTATAATTGAAGATAAAATGGTTAAAACGCTCATAGATATTGTAGTAAATACTAGTTCACATGTACACTCCTCCCTCGCTGTAAATCCGGTGGAGGCCGCCTGTTTCTCACACAGAAACATGACAGTGTTCCTGCTGCCTGTCAACACAGCTGGAGACCTGCGCTCTCTTTGTCAAGACGTGGGTGACAACAACAATGACCCGTAGCGTAATTTTTTTTTTACACGAAAACAACACGGAGTTAAAAAGAGGTGGAAAATCCTCAACATACCTGTGGGGTGCTGCTCGTGGCAAAGAATTGGCGTGATCAGAGGCGTGATTTTCTTCTTCCCGCCGCTGTTGTTGAGTTAGTGGAGCTCAGTTCATTTGTGTGCACAAGCGTCTTTGAAATCCTGTAACAAGTTAGGCCTTAAAGACTGAAGTAACATCCAGCGACGGTCCTTTATTCGGCATGAGCGTCTTTCCTAGATCTGCCTGTTGTTTTTCTGCTCTTCACTGAAAGACGCTCCGTATTTTTCCCCCCTTAGAATAAAAATAAACAAATCTCCCTCTGAATGAAGAGTGGGGTGATGGATGAATTTAGCCTTCCTTCAGTAGACCGTAGGGAATTGGCAGTCTGGTTGCCTGTCCTCTTCCCTTCCCTCTCTCTCTCTCTCTCTCTCTGCCTCTGTGTGTGTGTGTATATGTGTGTGTAAGTGTGTGTGTCTGTACTCCTTTGACGTCGTAAGCCGGTGTCTCCCTCCCTGTCCATCTCAGCTCCATCCCTCCTCCCCTAGGCTGTACGAGCCGTGATGTCTGTCGCCAGGGACCGTCGCGAAATTTCGAGCTTTGTGACAGACGTGCACTGGGAGGAGGAGGGGGAGTGAGTAAAATGTCAGAATACAGACTGAAGTGATACTAAAACTTAGGTTACAGCTTTTGATTATTTTTTTCTTTTGTAAAAAATTAAACAAAAGCTGTAGATTGTACAGACCCCCATACTTTCAAATCACTCCTAAAAACACACATTTTTAAATTGGCTTTTAACCTGTGAACTGTTCTTTTATTGTCTTTTCATATTGTGTCTTTTTTAACCTTTTGCATTGTTGGTTTTATTTATCAAAATTTTCAGCATTTTAAATTGTGTTTTTTATTTTATTTTATTTTTTTCTTTGTACGGTGTCTTTGAGTGCCTGTAAAAGCATGTCATAAATGAAATTATAATTTTTATAAATTTACTATTCTTTCATCACTGTTAAAACCAGGGTATATAGCCGAAGGAGTGCTGCAAAGCAATGCTGAGGCTGTGGTTCCCTGTCCTAAATGCATCCTTGAACATGCAGACATAACAAAATATTCAACAAAAATTTCATTTAATGACTAAAAAAACATTTTATTACGATTGTTCTCTAACTTCTTTCATGTTTCATTCATCTTTCAAGGCCGCTGGGGTTTAGGTTCGCTTGCATCTGTGATTCGTTCAATTATCATATTAGTTTGAGTGTTAAAAGGGGTTTATTGTTCCAAAAAAGAAAAAAAAAACACGCTGATCCAGGTCCAAAACTTTTGCCTGAAAAGCGATACGATGAAATTAGGTTAAAACAGGATGAGAGAAACACTCAACAGAAAATTATCAGAGCTTACCACAAACCAATTGTCTAACTACACCAGTGAGATTGAAATAACCCTCCAAACATCCCAAAACCACACCCCTCAGTGACGATCCCCGGAAGTGACATACCTAGTAAAAAAATCATACTTTCAACAAAAATATTTTGGCTACTACAGTGCAAGTCTAACAATAAATGTAAATCAATGTGCCGTCTTCATGATAATGATGGATTCTGTTGTGTTTATATCAGGTGTCAAGTGTAATATTTGGAGTGACAACACAGCTGTCCTGCTAGTGAGAAAGAAAGATGTAAAAACCCCACAGACTTACTGCCAGTTTCTTCTCTAGAGCCATCACCACCTTGAACTCCCATAGACAACAACCTCAGTCCTCAACATGAGGCAACAAGTGCAATATACTTACCACTGCCACTGCATTATCATCTGTAAATATTGCATCATCATCTGCAAATATTGCCAAATACACGTCCATATAGATATACATATAAATACACACATATATTTATAATTCTTAATATTTATTTATCTTCCTATTGCACTGTTTGCACTGCACATAAGAATTTTAACTTGTATATATTTTGTTCATATTTTCATTGTACCTCTTAATTCTGTGTCTGTTTTTCTCCTGTTCTTTTTTAACCCTATAGCACTAGAAATGAAGAAGCTCTCCAATCTCACTGTACTCCAGTATAATGACATTACCATCTACTGTACAAACATAGTGTTGCTGATATCAATGTGAAAGGTAGGCTTACTGCTTTAGCTAATGATAGACACTAAAACCAAAAACACAGAACAGAGAAGGCCGTAAAAAGGCAGGAGGCGCCTCCTCTTAGGATTTCATATGAATTTTCGTTTTTCCTGGGGGCTGTAAGCGGCAGACGGTCCCTGTCATCAAGGGATGCGAATCCGCCTTTTGTTCTCGCGTAGAGCTGGCCGTGGTGCTGAAATGGGTCTCTCAAACTCGTGACACGTTACCAACATGGCTACAATATCCCCTCCTTGAATGAATGAGGGAGAGTATGTTTTCAAGAGTGTTTTAACAAATGCGGGGGCGTTTCATTTGACATATAGGAGAATACAGATGCACACACTAACGAACACACACACACGCCCTCTCTGAAATCTGGACAGCATGTAAACAATGAGCCCACATGACAGCAGGCTGCACACACCCGAAGACTCTTCAAAGGAGTCACGATGTGGACCAAGGCAACGACAGCAGCATTAGAGAATCTATGAAAAACACACAGAGAGAGGGAGTGCAGCTCTGTCTCTGCCTGCTCTACCGTTAATTCCTTTATTTCCAGCAGCAGCAGCAGAATATCTCCTCGGCTTGTCTCTGATGTTAAGACTGCCATCTGCCATCAGTCACTAAATCCTATTTCCGCCCTTTAACCCCAGTTCATAAGCCCCGAGTGCAGGCGAGGCCAACACTCACTTTATCTAGCTTTGATCAGGTACAAACGATTGAAAAATATGTATGAGAAAAAATATTATATAAATAAATAAAAATCAGCGCTTCAGAAACGTGATCTGCGTTACTTACACAAAGGATGGCGTTTTTATTCCTGAGTGCAGCTGAGCAACAACGACATCTGGTGACCAGATACAAACAGAAAATAAATAGGGGAGAGTGGGGTAAAATGAGCCATTTTTTCCTATAATTCAGATCACTACATCAAAGCAATCTTAGTTTTGTCTCTAACTAGTGTATCTGCATATATTTCAGGATGTTGTGCATCCCTGCAAACCAACAGAATGAGTGTAAACACAACTGTCTTGATAATATAACATGCCAAAAAAAGTGGTCTCCTATGGTCAACTTACCCCGTGTATGGGGTAAGTTGCCCATAGGAGTGGGGTTATTGAGCCGTATCCCTACTTCCCCCTCCACTCTCCACCCCAGCCCTCCCTCACCTTCTCTCTCCCTAAATAACAGTCACTTCTTTACTCTCATGTGTATCTTTATCTAATATACGCTATTCAACTGGTACAATAACATCAGAACATTCACAGCTGTATTCTTGAAAAGAAAAAGAAACACATTTCAACAATCTGAACTGAAACTCCGATCCTCTCATCAGACTCCTTTACTTTCTCAGTTGAGCTCAACTTACCCCAGAACTACTATTATGACTTTATTCGTCCTCTAAGCTAAAATGGTGGACTTTTATGTTAGGTTTTTGATTTCATGTTGTAGCTCATAAATACCACAATTGATGCATAAAACAAATTTAAAATGATCTTTTTTGGTCTGAACACAATTCTAATAAAACTTATGACAGACTAAATTCACTTTCAAGAGTGAAAAATGTTTTTTTGTAAATAATTGTCTAACCCCTTCACACATGTGCTTCTAACCTTCACAGACTCCATGAATTGACGCCCATCTCCTAAATATTTGGTCACATTATCAATTTCTTTTACCATTTCCAAGCAACAGAGGGTGGCCACATGTTTTCATCAACATCACATCTGATATTATCCAAGGTGATGCACCTAGGATACAACCACTCGGTATGTCAGATGCACCCTTGGCCCAAAATCAGTTGTGTGTCAATTATTCAATTGTTTGTTTATTATCAGCTGAGATTTTTTATTTTTGAACTGGTATTATTGTAGAAGCAGAGGTTTTTATACTGTTTCTGAGATTTGGGATATTGTTTTTGCTATTGTGGGATGTTGTGTGTTAACAAAATAAATAAATAAATAAACATTCGTAAATAATACAAAAACAATCCATCATTTTGTGGGGAGGTATAGCTTGTCTGTGTTCACGGCCACAAAAGACCGATGCTGAGCTAATTGTGTAAATAATGTGACAACTGGTTGGACAAATGCTTGTTAGCGACTGAAAAAACTGTAATAGTAAAAATCATTAGAGGAAAGCTAGTTACAGGTATTGAATATTATTGATAGTTTAGGACTTTTTGTGTAATTTCAACATACAGTGAAATATTATTGTAATAAATGGTTGTGACAGCAGATGCACTAACATAAATTGACCACAACAGTTTGTTTATTTTGAGGAATGAATCTTTATTGCACTAGAAACAAAAAATTAACATTTCTTTTTTATTCAGTGAAGGTGAGGGAAGCATTGTTGGATTATTGTGTATTAATATGAGAAATAAAGCGTCAAAAGTGTTTAATAGTCCTGACTGTACTTACGCACATGAGGCCTCACTGTCCAATCTTCATGGTCTCCTGAGACTCCCTCTGAACAAGAACCTGAAAACACACAAACACAAAGAGGAACTATTTTTATAATCCAATCATTTCCCTGCTTTGTTATGATTGCAGTGATTTCCTGCCTGTGCCTGGGTTTTCTGAAGTATAAAACTAGAGGCTTCCTCACATCAGCTGCTGTTCAGCATTGAAGTCAGACCATGAAGAGGAGCTCCTGTCACGTGAGGTGAGCGGGATTCAAAGAGGTCCTCTCCATCACATCAGCAGACACATCAAAGTGTGGCTCCAGTTCCCTGAGGAGGACAACAGGAGGGGGGGAGGGAGGATGAAACAGGAAGTAGGTTAAAATTCAAGGCAGTAGGATTATTTATGTTTCTTCTATTCAAGAGAGAGCAGGTGCATTGAGCTTATACAAGCAATCTGACATACTGAGACCTGCAGACACACAAGTCGAATGTATTGCCTTAAACCAATAAATTATTGTAAATGTGTTCTCACTTTTACCAAAAACAAATGTCATGGCAAAATCGGCATCCTTTCCTTAACTGTGGTCGCTCTTTACATGTCAAAGCAGACTAACTTTGCCTCTCTTGGAGGATCTGCTGACACCTGGCGACGGTCCTCTCGACTCTAATGTCTGACCTGACAGAACACTCATGATTTCCCGCGCAATAAAAGGACGCTGTAAGCACGTGTATGTATCCGGGTAAATCTACCCTTCTTTATCAGTTATCCGGACAGAATCGATTAAAAAGACTTATCGGTGAAGAAAGCACGTCTTCGTCTAACCGATCAAGACGGACGATTTTGCTTGAATTTAGAGTCACATGACTGTCTTTGTTATCAGGGGTCCGAGAGTGTCTAGAAATACGGTAGAAATCCTGCTTTCTACGTAAAAAGTGTGTATTAAAACTCTGCTTGAAATATTTCCCTCTAGTCATACTGAAGTCAAATGCTAAATATCAGTTTCACTGCATGTTTCTGAACTAAAGTGCTGCACTTTGCTGCTTCTATCTATAGACCTAACTGTCGATTAATCACTTTTATTGAATTGTATGATAGTCTATTTAAATAAAGCATCACTGCAAAAGTAAAAAAGAAACAAAATATAAACTCCTAAACTAAAATCTGCCCCATTTTGTCCTTTAAGACAAGTCATTGTGCAGATGTTTTTTTTTTTCTTTTCCAATTTCCTTATTAAAAGAAATTAGACCAGATCCATGAAAGAAAACTTGATCTTTCAATAATCTGTCAAACTCAAATTTATTAAATTTATGGTTACACTTTTTACAATTTCAAATATAACTGGACAAAGTTTGTGTAAGTGACATAAACTGTCATTAAAATTAAGTACAAGAACAGTTCTGCCTTTTAGAAAGCATGTTAAAGTTTAAAATACAGTAGCTGTGTAAAAATATATATAAATACACTAATTTAGAGTAACTTGGTAGGTATAGTTGATTAATGTATCTGTCTAAAGATGAAATATTCCAGCATTGTAATATTTCCTTGAGAATATTACATAAAAATATTGCACTTAATCCATGTCTTTTACATCTAGCAGGTCTAAGAATCTAATTAATGGTGTTTCTTCCAAGTAAATTACTCAAGTAGGACTTTATCTGTTCTGATCGGCCTTATTGATTATCAATTTATCTTTAACCTTGTTCTCAAGTTTCAATTCTCTGTAAAGAAAGTTTGACCTCAAGCTAAGTCCCACACTTCTTCTTCTATTTAGTGCTGTAGGGTGTTTGAAGACTCTTTTACTCGGCCAGTAGGAAACTGACAACTAGGAAAGATTTTAGCTTAAATAAACAATGATTGGACCTTTAAGAGCCGGTCTGGTTCAGATTTAAGTGTTCGACCAGCTAAAACACTTTGTAGTTTAGTAAAGGTAAATTACGAAAAATGAGTGAAGAAGGGTTTCAAAAAACAACCGAATCGCTTATTTTATACACACTACTACCCTTTAAATGGTCCCAAAATAACTTAAATATAATTTCGGGTCAGTTTTAAACTTAGGTCAGACTGTAAAAGCAAAGAGCAAAGACCTAAATCAAGGGACTCCTCTGTCTTTAATAAATTTGGTAACTTGCAATGGTTTTTAAGGTCTGTACGATTTTCTTATTACTTGATTAAAACAACATTAAACAAAAACGGACGATGAATGTCCACACAGGTCACAGCAAGTGGCCTATATGTACATTACTAAATCAGCAAATGTCTTTAATTCTAATACATTTGTTGTATACGAAGATAGAGTTTAAAAGTTATTTGTGTCTTGTCAAAAGTTAAACTTTTGCAACTTTGTAGACGGGACAGCTCGAACCTTCATGGCACAAAATCAGCATGTCTTATTAACGTGCAGCAAATGTCCATGAAATGTGAACATTAGGCCTGTTTCTAAAGCTTAACCTTAGTTGTATTTTAAATATGACAAGAGATTGTATTTAACTTTCGATAAAACATTGCCGTCAATAGCAGAGTACATTACTTAAAGATAGTTTTAGATGGTATGATACGTCTTGTATTTAGACTTAAAATTTTAATTTCTCTGCAGTTGGATGAAAATATCAGGTTTCAGCTTTGGTTGATGTATATCCGATAATATATTTTAAGGCAGTGGTGCGACAGTGGAAAGAGAAGAACAACACACATTTTCAAACCAAGTTTTTATTAGACAGTACAGGTAAAACGAAACTGAAGACGAGTTTCTTCATCCCCTCCAAAAAAGCACTTCTTCTGCGTCGCTGTTGGAGGCTGGAAAAAATAACTCTCACATCTCTGTCTCTTTTGAACAGACTTGTGCCGCTCTGATTCAAGGAACTTAACGAGACGGAAAACTATCGCCGGAGGGATACTGCGCTCTAATACAGAGAGCATCGCTTCACAGGTATAACATTCAGAGTTGAAACACTGAAATTAATCATCCCAAAATACGCTAACTCCGAACATAAACTCTATCACAAGCTCTACTCAAGTCGTTCCTACTCAAAGTGAAACTTAAATTTATGTTGATCAGGAGTTTCTGAGGTACAGCTGATATATGGAAAAGAAGCAGTCAAAACTGCTCATGGAACAACTCGACAGCAGAAATATTGGATTGACTACATTCTTTCGTTTCTCTATTAGCAAAAATAATCTCCAGGTTTTAATGTGACCGGTTAACTTACACATGATTGCATGCAAACACGCATACCATGCGCGCACTCTGACCTGTATCAAACTGAATCTAATTTACAAATTCAATGCAATGCGTCATACTAGAGTAAATAACACAAAAAGTGAATTATATATATCCACCTCTTATTTTCTTTATCTTCTGTCTTCCATCTTCAGCTCAGCAGCCCCCTCAGAGACTCCTCTTTCTTTGACTTCTCCTGGTGACGGCTCTTGTCCTCACAGTCTTCTCTCCTCGCCGTCTTTCTTTCAGTAGCTACTGGATCCATTTGTCTGCTGACACCCACCTCATTTTCTCCACTTTTATTCACCTTTGCTGTTTCAGACCCATCAGAGGCCTCTCATGGCGTTGTTTGGACACAAAGTTCCTGACCTCAGCCTTCAGTTTGCCCTCAGTGGTTTCAGAGCCAAAAGCTACATGTCCCATCAGTACCTTGGGGGAGGGAAAGGCCTTTTCGGGGGGAACATTGGACCAGCGTTCATCCCTCCTCTTTGAACCGGACGTTTGCCTCTCAACCTCGGATCAGGGCCATGGTGGAACTGAGGAGGAAATGATGGACGCGGGGGGCGCGGGGGCCCTGGTGGACCCCTTGGGTGGGCTGAATAGGGAGGCCGAAGTGGTGGCCGAAGTGGAGGCCGCTGTGGAGGTCGCAGACCTGGATGACGGATCTCAAGATGATGAGGTGGTGGTGGTCTTCTTGGAGCAAAGTGTGGAGGAGGTGGAGGGCTGTGGCGTTGGTAACCATGGCCATAGTGCTGGTCCTCAGAGGGGGACAGAGGGGGAGTGAGGCGGCCTCGTACTCTGGGGTAGTGATGCGAAGGACTTGCTGGCCTGTAATATGGATCCTCTTGGTGGTGGTAAGGATCATTCTGAAAGAAAGGGGCATCGTGGCGGTGGTCATCATGGTATCGCGGCTCATCCGAGTGAGGACGAAGGGTTTGGTCTCGTTGATACGTTGGTTCATCTTGATGAAACATGGATTTGTGTTGATGGTCGTGGACCACCATCCCACTGATTACACTGTCTGTTTTGGGTCCAATCACCTGAGCAGCATCTGGAGGAGGCATCGGCTGCTGCTCACGGGGGATTACAGAATGGTTTGTGGGGCCCGGGGGGGCTTCGAAGCGATGAGGTTGTGGCGGAAGCTTTGGAACTGGAGGAAAGGGGTTTGCAAAGAAACCAGGGGTTGTTTCTGGGCCCTGCTGGAACCCTGGAGGTTTCTGACCGTGTCCTGTTTGGTATGGATAAACTCCTGACGGCTGGTTCTCTCCAGGCGCTGCAATATTGTAGCCTCTAGGTTGTTGGGAGACCCCCTCAGGGTAAATGTCCCCATACCAGCCTCTCTCACCCCTCATTTGAAAGCCTTCAGCTGTCTGTATGCTGCTGGCGCCGCCTGGGGCTCTTTCTCCAGGCACTGGCCCTCCTGTTGGCGTGGAAACCTGCTGGTAATGTGCAACAGGTGTAGTCATCCCACGCTCTGGACGCTCTGGTGCACCATACTGGTACTGCTGATAGACCTGCCCATTCTGAGCCCCACCAGGCTGCAGGTGAGCCTGCTGTTGGGGGTTAGTGAGGTTCTTCTGTGCTACAATAGACCCTGTGTCAAAAGTTTCTCCAACAGATGACGTTTGATTTTTGCCGGAAGCAAACGTGCCCGACCCAGGCTTGTCCATGATTTCATCTTGAGTTGGGGTGCCTCCACCCTCATCACGTACCGGAGTGCCCTCCTGTGTGTCTGGTTCAGGTGCTGGGCTGAGGTTATCCCCTCCCTGTACTGATGGTGAAGAAAACCCCAAGTCAAATGCAGAGAAAGCAGAGTTCCCTTGTAGGAAGTTGTGAATTTTAGACTCTAAACTCTGAGAGGAAGTGGACGGCTCTGGGTCTGTGATCAAGTCCATGTCTCTGTGGAGAGCCTGGACCAGGGCAGAGGCTGGGTTTGGAGTCTGAGGGGGCGGATGAGTTTGGGAACTTGTGCCCTGCCGTACAGTGGAGCTGAGTGAAGAAGGCACGGGTGCAACAGAGGAGAGAGACAGGCTCTGAGAGGGTGCTGTTGATGCAGATGTAGATGTGGATGAGGGAGAGGGAGAGGGTGGGATCTTGCCTGTATTGGAAGAGTCTGAGGAGACAGTTACAGCTGGGGTGCTCAGAAGAGAAGAGATACCTGAGTGAAAAAAAGAGAATTAATAAATAAATGCACATGCAAAATATATTTATGATAAGAAGTTCAGTTTTTAACTCCTGATTCTCACCATCAAGGCTGCTTTTGCCTTGCACTTTGGAGAGAGCACCGAGGATATCAGCAGGACTCACATCCACCTTGGAGAGAAGGTTTACGAGTGAACTTGCATCCTGGTTAGCCAGAGGGGCAGCAGGTGTGGTCTTCAATGAGGAGGAAGCAGCAGGAGGAGGACTCTCCACTACTGGTCCTGCAAGACAGAGAGGGAAACTCAAGTCAAACCTTAAATCACTGCCACAGGAGAGGTGTTCAAACAGTAAAACTATAACAGAGAGGTGCTTGGATTTCAATTACATATCTGTCGTCACAATAAACCTGTAAAAACCCAAATTCCAGATATTTAAAACATGATTATTCTGTGATTATGACCCTTTGTCACCCTGTGAGGAATCAGGAGGAAGTGCAGCAGCAACATTATGGGAGGCAAGCAGGAACGAACTTTCTTTGGCAGAAAAGGATAAAAGAAATGGAAACATATTTCGATCAAGGATCAGGTTTCAAAACATTTGGGCTTATCCATGCTGCTGTTGAGCTTAAAAGGTCCCATAACACAACCTTGTATCTGAAGTCCTAAATCAAATCACTGCCCATCAGTTCTTGACTAATCCTTTTCACACACCAGTCATGAAGGAAGCAGAGGAACCTGCGATCGAACCCGGATCTTCCAATTGGGACACGACCGACTCAACCCCTGAGCTGAAGCTGCCCCAGAGTGTCGAATTCAGCAAAAATTCAGCAATTTGAAGTTTTTTATGATCTCAAAAGCAACTTGCACTCACCTGTATTCTTCATGACTGAATTTAGACTGCTGATGATGGAACCAATTTTACCCAGGTCAACACTCTCCACGGCTGCCGTGGGAGCTGCTACAGGGGGTGTGGCCTGTGTGACGGGCTGCTCTGTCACCACCGACGGCTCTGTTTTCACGGGGACTGAAGTAGACATCGCCGGGAGGGAGGGGCGTCCAATCTGCTCCTCGACTGAGGACAACAATGTGGTAGAGAGGGACAGTTTGGATGCCATCAGATAAGCACTTAATGTAATGAAACAAGACAAATGCAGTTAGTTAATATTGGATATTAGACAACGGAATTAATTTTGTCATTGTTTTTCTACAAGCAGATTATTTATGGGACAAGAGAAGTCACTGCCAACAAATTAATGGAGTAGAATATGCTGCCAAAGATGGCCAATCAGGCTTTCAGCGAAAAAGAAAAATATGTCGGTTGTTCATCTAGAAAATGACATTTGGAAAGCCAGTTTTCTTTCTTGTTGCAACCTTTCAAAATACGTTCAAACAAACAAACAGGCCGTCATATATTTTACAGACATAATGTGCTTGATGTTGAAGCTGATGATTATTTTCTCTCTGTCTATTTTAGCAGAGAAAACATTACAATGCAAACGTTTTTCCCGCCTAAAAAACGTATCTTTTGGACAGGTACAAGCTGGTAATGTAACGATTTTGCACTTAGAGAATGTTCACTCAGAACACATAAAACAATCATAATAGCTCTGCTGCATTAGATGAAGCCGTTAAAGTCATCCAACGATAATAAAACAGCAGAATGGCAAATGTTTGGCTGTTAAAATGTGACTAATCTTAATTTGGTGAATCTGTGGGTGGTGAAAAAGTGACTCAGTCAGATTAGCTGGTTCGCAAAATGAGAGAAATGCTCGGATGGTCTTTCTTTGTTGGTGCTTCTCTGTTTTATTATTCTGCCACAGAAAATCAGGAACAGCGTGCTCACCTATAATCCCACCGCCGTCCATTTCCTCGTCAGAGAGGTCCATGTCTTCAACTTCCAGTTTGTCGTTATCGCCAAGAGGGTCCGCCGGCCTTGGGGATCCTCCGAGTGACGACAAGGGGCTCGGGGCCGGGGGCTCTGCGTCATCGTCCATAGCAGAGCCATCCAGGTCTGGGTCTGGGTGAGCTAATTCCATTCCATGGAAAGGAGACTCTGAGCCTGTAGGAGACGGAGCGTCTGCAGAGGGGGAGGGGATGGGTGACTCGTCCAGGTCTGGTAAAGTGGCCTTCAGGGCGTCCAGTTTACGCTTCAGGTGGGACACGCGATTGGCAAACGTCTGGTAGGCCTTAAGAGTGGAGGTAAATGGGTAAAAATTTGGTTGAAATAAAAATTTTAACATCAAACAGGATTTTGTGTCATCTGTCCAGATTGATCCGAGGTGGTACTCTGCATGTTGTGGTCAACTCACATTAGCAACAATCTTGACCTCCTTGTACTGCATCTCGTAGAAGACATCCGCATTGCTCAGAGCCTCCATGAGAGGAGGCCCTTTTTTGCTCTCCTTGTCGAGGAACTTTACAAACTCCTGCAGCTGTGCGCTCCCCTCCTCAAAGTCTTTGGAGAACTTCTTTCCTCCGGCTTTATCTGTAAGAAAAACAGCATGAAAGGTTGACTTTTGAGAGGCAATGAGAGAGAGAAAGAGAGAAAGCACAATGCTGATGTTGAAGCCAAGAAGATGTGTGTGTGTGTGTGTGTTGCACTGGAGAAGATGACTTCAGAGCGCACCTTTGAGTTTTCTGAGGGCCTCAGAACTGCAGATGTCAACCCTCATCGCTGCCAGCTGTTTTTCTCTCAGGTCGACATCCTCCAGAGATCTCTTATACTTGGACAGTTGGTCTAGGAGTGCCTGAGGCTGAAGCAGAGGGAGCAGTCAGTCACACGCATGTGCAACGGGCTAACTCAAAAATTGTGTAAAGGGAGATAGACAATTGCAATTTGTCAAAAAGTGATGTTGCAGTTTAGTTTGGGTTCAGTTTAGACTCAAATTCAAGATTTTGCTTACCACAAACTCTGCGAGAACCTTGGAGCGTAGATCTGCTTTAGACTCGACAGGAGCTTCAAAACAATTATGGATCACAGTAAAAGTTAGAAACTGCTCATGTCAGCACAAACAACATTTGGGATAGATGACAAAACTTTGTGTCTGGGAACAACGAGAGATATTTTCAGAACAGGTTTCCTCAAAATCAAGTTGAGGATGCCACAAAAATGAATAATGGGCTACTGTATCTTTCACATGTTGTGCAAAAGCAATTTCATAAAATATTACTGACTGAGAAGCAGTCTTCTGAGTACCTGTGCATGGTCGTGTAAAGATAGTATAACTGCACAAGTCACATGAATGTGTTCTAGCGTGGAAGCTCTCTATGGTGGTTATCAGATTCTCAAATGGACAGCTTTTTGGCCTCTTAATTTGAGATCCAAATTCCCCAAAAAGTCTGAAAATTCTCACACTGATCAAACGCAGATCATTTTGCAGCTTGGTCTCAAATTCAATGTTCTGTCTCCTCTCCAAGGCTGAGCACGAAAAAGATTCAAATACTGCTCAGAGCAAAAGTGGCCTGCATTTTTATTCCAATCAAGCTGTAATAAATCAATACAAATGGAGGTCGTTAACCAAAAGGTACATTCCTTGTGTCCTTAAACAAGATAAAGGACACACAGTGATATCACCCTGCTCACATACCAAACAGTCTGTCCCCCCTGGAATGACTTTGAACCTGCCAGTGAAGGAATAAAAATGAATGAAAGCGACTGAGAAATGAAATTAGTAAACACGCTTACTTTTTTGCTCCACGGGCGTCTCAGGAGGAGACTCCTCTCTGACTAAGCTGTTCCTCAACTCGGTGATGAGTGTCCCTGAGTACACAGCCCTGTCCTCCCAGATGGACAGTATCCTCTCCGCTGATTTAATTACCTTCTGGTCACCTTCGCCGCTGCAGAAAGGACAAAGGATGACAACAATAAAAACATGGAAGACAGGGGAAATTATTTATGTTTACATTTGTTATGACATTGTCTTATTTATGTGTGTGAGGGATTTCTTTGAATGAATAAAACAAAGACGAGGACAGAGGGTAACAGACAAAGGGAAGGAAACTTTACAGCTGCATCAAACACACACACACACACACACACACACACACACACACACAAACAACAAAAACAGCTTTTTAAATGATACCTACCTGACAAGCAAGAAGGCGTCACGCAGCACATCGGCAAATGCTGTGCGGTAGACAATGGCGTTTTTCCTTTTACAGTTCTGAATGATGTCGTTGGCGAGATAAATAAGGTTGAGTCTGTGAGAGGACTCAGCTGATGGAAGAAGAGAAAGAGAAATGTTAGAAACAGACCTCTCTGTATTATGTAAACATATCAAAGAATATGTGAGCAAAAATAATAGCTATTTGTTACTTCTGACAGTTTGTTCGGCACACTTTGATTATGATAACACTCAAATCGAAAATAACTATAATAATTAGACAATACTGGGCATTATGTATGCACCGCAAAACACGGTAGAAAATAAGTCCCTGCCAGGAATCAAATGCTGTTGAATAACCAAAGGAGGTAGATTTTAAACCTGACAAGTTATCATATTTGCAGATCTATACCTTTAAGTCCTTTATCTAACCCTGCAGCCAAGCAGCACCTGTCTCTGTAAGACCTAACATCAAAAGGTCTAAAGCTCGTGAAAACGTCAAGTGCGGAAAATCAATCCGGGTACATTGAGAACAAAGAACAATGTGAAGATATCGAACCATCAGTTCAAACCACCATTTCTACAGCCCTATTCACTGGAGGCGAGTGGGACAGCTGTTAATGATCATGTTAAGTACTCTTTAATGTAGGTGGCTGCATCATGTTTTCTACCACTGTGTCGTCGTTGATGTCCTTATATGTTTGGGAGATAAAGCCACTCAGAAATAGGAGACATCATAGAGGACACATCCTTTTGCGTACTATCCAACCTTCCTCACCACATACACCTAAACCAAACAGAGTATTTGAAGTTGCATATAGATAATCTCTGTGTATGTAAGAAAGACAGGTTAATGTCTCTGGACCTGAATGTCCTGAAAATTTAAGCTGCTCTCTGTGTTAAAACACGCATTTTATACAAATCCATAATAATCAGGCCCCATAATAACTTCAATGTTGACTAAAAGGTAAAATATTACATATATTGCCTCCAGCAGCTGCTTGTTGACCTCAGGCCAGTCCATTACAGACTACAGCGGGGTGACGCAGCTCAAGGAAGAACATTTATGATCATTTCTTCATGTAAATGGAATCAGACCGAGACACTAAGGCAGAAGAACTACTGTGTCTGCAGTAAAAAATGATAAATATGGTGATAATTACTTTAAGGAAATGCTCATAAAGAAACAATCATAAACGTTCTTCCTTGAGCTGCTTCACCCCACAGTAGTCTGTAATGGACTGGCTCGAGGTCTTGTTATAGACAAGTGGCTGCTGGAAAAGAGTTTGCGAGTTGTGTTTAGTCTCTCAAAGGTAAAGTATTACGTATACTGAGAAAAAATTCATTCTGAGGAGGTAAATTACTGTTTCAAGTGTACAAAAACATCTTCACAAGAATACACCATCAAGCACCTGATAGTTTAATTATGTGACTGAAAACTATCAGAATGAAACACTCAGACAAACTGCATTTGAGCTAACTGTGAATAAATCTCAAAGCGAGCTGAAAGAAAGTCAGAGCAGAGTGAAGCAGTCTTTGAAATACGTGAAAAGTTTCAACTTTGACAGAGATTTTGAAGACAACCACACTCAACAACCTTTGAGTTGATCATGAATTATGTGGGCGACAAAGACAAAAGCGGATGTTTCGGCACAGTTCAATCGACACGTCAAGGAAAGAAATCAATTTATCATTCGAGTGAAAGTCAACACAACAAACCGAAGCCCTCAGAAAACAAGCACTGGAAGATGACAACCTCTTTATGTCACTTCATTTCATTAAAAAACAACAACTTCTATCATGATAGGAACCGGACAAATATATGTTAGTCAAAATTAAGGGTTTGAAGTGGCACATACAGTAATCATTTGCAAGTTTCTGACAGCTAATGCAACCATCCACATTTAACCACAACAACTGTGTATCATCTACAGCATATTCTTTTCATTAAACAGCAAATAGGAGATGAAAAAGCACCACAGACAATTATTACATCTAAAGGACATCATGCAAACCCTAACCGATTATTTATGTGAAATTATCTAAGTGATTATTTGACAGTCACAGCTAAAACGTTACCATGTCAGAGGTTATGGACATATTTAGATATACTACTCATTCATATCTAGATCTTGTTGCAAAGGCTCACACAACACATTTCCCTGTCAAGAAATGTTGCAAAATAAATTATTAGCTGTGTGACAAGAGCCAACAAGAGTACAGCATTTAAGAAAACTGCAGAATACCGGAGTGGGGGAGAGAACTGGCAGACACAAGCTGATAATGTTTTTACATAGATAGAACAGCCTGGCTGTGTTGCTCAGCAAGAAAGACCAGTGATAAAAAATTGTTATTCTTCAGGAGCCTCTCTTGCTCTTTGTTCGCACCAAGAAGCACACAAAGTCACAAAACAAGGCCAGAGAAAGGCAGACGCAGGGATGGTAAGTGCTATAAGACTCAACTCAAGCTCATGTGAAGGTCACACAAGGTCTGAAGCAGAGGGAAATGTGTTTTAGTATTCAAGTTCAAACAATGATCGAAAGATTTATCGATACATGCTCCGTGTCCAAGAGGCTAAAATGATGAATGTTGAATAAGTTATGTAAAACAATCACATACAGCTAGTCTGCACCAGCTTAGTAACATCACTGGGTAAGTGAAGCTAAGTCTCAAAGCAAAGATAGAAAGCGGTTGCTATGATACAGTTTGATTCAGCAGACGCTTCTGTCCAAAGCGACATATATCTGTGATAAAGGACAACGCAAGCAAATGTCAAAACAGAAGGAAACAACTTGAGTGAGAGCCAGAAACTGCTTCAAGTCCAAGTGGGCTTAGCACTGCCATGCAAAGTTAGAGGGGTAGTGTGTTTCAGTTTTTAGTTCTTTTTTATGATTACCACAATAAACAACATATCATCAAAATATCAACCACTATCAATGTCATCATTATCCTCTTCAGCACCAAACTACTGAGAACTGAGTTGTTTACAGAGATGTGGGCTAAAGCGTTTTACCACTAGAGACTTAAGAGGTGAAGAGTTTTGCTTATATGCAAAGGTGTTCTGCAGAAAAATCTGAGGAGGCCTGCCAGTAAGGAGTTGCAGCAGTCAATGTGTGACATTACAAGAGCCTGTACCAGGAGCTGTGTAGGATGTTCTGTCAGGGTTGATACCTCTAATGTAACAGAGGGCGAATCGGCATGACTGAGTAATTCAAGCCACAAGGACCTTAAAAATTAATCACAACACCAAATTTGAGTGGAATTACTAGCTGTTGAATTGATGAACAAACAGCTGACAGCCAATACCTGATGGGTGTGATCTCACTGCATTCAAAACAGACATGACAGTATAATGAAATCACTGAATGGGTTAAAAGTAACTTCCCAAAACAATCATCTGGGAACACAGTTTGTCATTCCATCCTCAAATGCTGGTTATACTGTCCCATACGAGGAGGAAACTGTCTATACACAATATCCTGAAACACAGCCAACTCCTGGACTGAGGTAGAGATTAAAACTGTCTATTTAAACGCGAAATTTTCTTCGCAGAAATCATGGACACCACATCTTCCAAAAGGGGGGAGGGAACTACTTGGCTCCCTTAGCTCATAAATGCTAATCATTATGCTGCCACCCGAACGTCTTTCTCAGGGAAGACCTTTCATAATAACGCAAAAAGATGCCAAACAACATTCTGCATGACAACGGCGTGTCTCTTCATCGTAGAGTCATCCAGGTGTTACAATGTCCCCAAAACATTAGGTACATCAGGTAACAAAGAAAAACAACAAAAGAGAGCCAAAAGTATAGAGCAGCTGAAACCCTGTACCAGACAAGAGGGGGACAACTTTTTACTTTCAAATCTACCGGTCTCCTCAGTACCCAAAGAGACTTATTCAAAGAAGAAAGTAAACATGCCCCTGTACAAACTTTAAGGAATGAAACACTGGTATCTAATTTCAAATGTGTGGATATTTGGAACAACACAATAACTCCTTTTTAAGTTTCAACTATCTTAAATCAAATATAGGGTTTCGATAAAATAGCATTCTAGTGATATCAAAACTGTTGTCAAAAGCCTTTCTTTGTCATCACAGAAAAATCTGTACCTCACACATAATAATAATAATAATAATAATACATTTTATTTAAAAGCGCCTTTCTGGACACCCAAGGACACTGTACAGGCATTAAGAACACAGTTAAAACACTGTTGAAATAAATAAAAACAATATACAGGTATGGAAATGGACAGTTAAAGGGAATATGCAATTTGGAACAGATGTGTTTTGAGTTTTGATTTGAAGTGGGGTAGTGAGCACAACTTCAGTATTTCTGACTTTGCAAATATTTATTTTAGAGCACTGCCAAGTGTTTATTGGCTGGTTCTCTATGACATCTAAAAATTGCAGTGTGAATTTTCATTTTGAGCGTATTAACCGCATTATGGCTCATTAATTTGTTCTTCTCAGAATTAAAACAACTGGCATGCCTACTGTTATGGTCTAAAAGCCAGCTACACTTGAGCTGTGAGTTATTTTTAAAATCAATCCGCAAATGCTGGTCACCAAAGGCGCACCGGGGACATCACAAAATCTAATGCCACCTGATTATCACAGCTTGAGTTTACATTCTTCTAAGGGTTAACATACGGAAACAATGGTCTTTGATAGATTAAACATCTATTTTGAATTCCAATGACTGTAATTTTTATTCTTTCTTGAAACTGATCTGCACTTCTTTCTCAAAAATGATTTTCTACTTGGCAACCATCCTTGAGAGTTGGCTTCATACAATGCAAAACTTGAGTGATCTCAAAGACGAGAAAAACTAGTTTAGAGGCCCTGGGAAACAAAGAGGCTTCAACCTATAAACCTACATCACGAAACACACTTTCCACTAATACTACAATACCAAAATACAACTTTAGTGGTAATAAACCCTTTTTCACTTTAACTTTGTTAGGAGAAACGCAGCCTGGGAGCACAACACAGAACATAAAAACAGAGGTTATCAATTTTAACTAATACCCCCACCTACGACATTTAAAGGGATTATTCCAGCATAAAATTAAGGTTAGGGTCAAGCGCATCGCAACACAGAGTAAGACACCCCCTCGAGAGATGAATGTTGCCGACCGCTTGCTTCTCTAGTTATACCAACTTTTGTAATGACCGCACGATAGCAATACACAGCGGTCTGAGGAGCCATAAACAAACCTCAACCAAAACCAAAACATTCATCAACAGTACATATAGGGTCCCAGCCACAGCACTAGCTACCAAACATCTTTGTAACTTTGCCCGATTTCTTTAGCAAAGAGACTCAACTGTCCATTATGCCTTCGTAACTCTGCACTACTGCCTTATGGTCATGTTTATAGACTGTTTTTATTTATTTATTCTTTATCTTGTGTGAGTATTGTCACAGTATCTATCTATCTATCTATCTATCTATCTATCTATCTATCTATCTTAACACTACTCACATACTCTCTTCCAGCAGTCGCTTGTTTGACGCAAGACCTTGGGCCAGTCTAATACGGACTGCAGCGGAGTTACGCAGCTCAAGGAAGAACATTTATGATCATTACTTTATCATTTCCTTGAAGTAATAATCACCATATTAATAATTTGCACTGCAGACGCGGTAGATCCTCTGTCTTAGTGTCTCGGTCTGATTGCATTTCCATGAAGAAATGATCATAAATGTTTTTCCTTGAGCTGCGTCACCCCACTGCAGTCCATAATGGACTGGAGTTTTGATTGAGGTTTGTTTATGGCTCCTCAGACCGCTGTGTATTGCTATCCTGCGGTTGTTACTAAAGTTAGGCAACACTCATCTCTTGAGGGGGTGTCTAACTCGGTGTTAAGGTGTGTTTGACCCTGAATTAATTTTACGCCGGAATATCCCTTTAATCACGCAGGACCTAGCTGATGCAGATTTTAGAAAACAGAAGCAAAAAGGAATAAAAGCCGCAAATGCTGCACATGTGACCTCGGATTTAGGTGACCCACGGTTGTTTAGTACCCAGCTGTTTGATTCCCTCTACTTACATTTCTTCAAAGTCTTCATCCAGTATCGCACGATCAGGCTGTGGTACTTCTTGTTGTCGATGCACCACGTTGACAGTCCTTGGATGGAGTCCATGGTGTTTGTGATTGTCTGAAACTTCCTGTCCAGAGTGGACTCTATCGAGCCGCCCGCTGCCATGTCCGGAGGAGCTCGCGCTAAGCTTTATCATCCCAGAGAAATCACCGGAGTTAGCTCCGCGTGCTAGCTCAAAGTAGCACAACTACTATCGCACAAAGCAGCCGGTTCGCTGACATTTTTAAAGTTTAACCGCTCAAAAAGTTCTTCAACACTCTTTCTGAGCCTGTTAGTACACAAAATGAGCTTCTATGTCACAGCTTACGGTGCAAATATCACGTTACGCTCAACGGTTGGAGACATCCTGATCACCAGTTCACCAGGACATTCTGTGCGTCTGTTTACTCGCGCTCGTTACCGCGATAAAGGGCACTTCCGCAAACTACAAGCAGGCACATCGCCCCATAGTGGTTCGGAGGTAGTAATGGGCATGGCAGTTCTTTTAGATGTACTGAATCACTAGAATCAGTTCACTAAAAAGATTCGTTAAACGATTCGTTCACAGAATCATGTAGCGGAAGAAGCCTCCTGAACTGATACACAGCTGAACAGTTCAGGATTCAGTTCAATTCAAAGCTTTTGGGACCGGGAGACAAGTGTTTGAATGTGTTGCGTTGGCAAACAGGTTTGTAAAAATGAACTTGTTTATAAGTCATGGTGTTTTAAGTGCACTGTCCTATGGTATGCTATTTATCAGGTCTGCTTGGTAAATTGGGCCAGGTGATTGATCTGTTCACTGAATATTTAGAAGAATTCACACTGAACACACCGTTCCCTCGCAACCACTGCAATGATAGGATACTGCGGGTTTAATGCACTACTTGTTACATGCTGTGTCCTATGTCCTATCGACCTAATACCTGAAGATGACAGTACTGCTACTTGAGATATTCCTTTTCATTTATTTATTTTTAATTGATAATTTATTTTATTTCAATTATTTTATTTATGTGAATGTGTGTATATGTGTGTATATTATATATATATATATATATATATATATATATATACGTGTGTGTGTGTGTGTGTATGTATGTATTATTATATCTCATCTTTTCTGTTGTTTTTACATTGTGCTGAATGTCAGATGAATAACATTCTCTAAAAACTATCTGCCATGTTGATAAATGATACATATGTTACTTTCTAGACAGAGAAATGAAATGTAAATAAACAACCTACAAGTGAGTTTGAATGTGTGTATTTCAACAGAAATCAAGAAACTTTGATTTGATGGACTTAATTTATTAAATCTGTAAAAATGTGCTTTCATTTTTAAACAAACCAATGATGAAAACATTAGTAAAAGAAATACAGAAACAAGTTTTAATAAAAACAACATAAACAAAAATTCAAAGTACAAAAAAAAATCTCCGTAACCCAACAAAACCTGTTCTATGGGACACTACATATTACACCCATCAACTGTTAACTACACTCAAGTAGTTGTTCCTACAGCATATTTGGTTTGAAATGAAGTGTTAGATGATGATTTCCCCATGGGTTAGTAAAGTAATAAGTTTTTTATATGACTGATGTTTTAACCTTAGATGCATCAATTGTAACCTTTTGTTTCATGAACAATTAAGGCTGACTGGTGACAAACCAGGGATGAAACAGCATTCAACATGAATGATAACTAATTCAATAAACTAAAATATATGGTATAAATGCCATTGAAAACGAATCAATGTTTTCACAAAATGACAGTTTGTTTACCAAATGTTCATAATATTGCCTATCACATTATAAATAATAATGCACTTTAAGTGACAAAGCATAACAATGATAGAGAAGAGCTGCTCCTTCCTTTGTAATAAACATTTGTAGTACGGGCTCTTAGTGAAAAAAGTCAAACTGGCAACAGGCCAAGTATACTTTTGGTGCCTTTAAATTCAAATCACTTCCACCCTCGTTCCAAAAATGATATGTAAAACACAACAACATGACATTTTTCCTCTGATTCAGGTTCCTTTTTTGGTAACCGAATCCAGATTTTCTAAAAATAAGACTTGGAAAATATGGAACATTTCCTCATCATGTCATTTAAAGCGCAGTTGCATTCTTTCCAACTGAATATAAGCATAAAAACTCTGTGATGTGTGCAGTGATATGTTACATTTTTAAAACTTGCTGGCAGTTGCCAGTTTGTTCCCTGGCTACCAAGAGTAGTATTACAACAGCGAGCCAAGCATCCCATATATTTTGGACAGCCAGAAAATTTGAGTAGAAATTTTTTTATCAGTCAAGTTGCAGTATTGTACGTGCACCATTATGCTTTGCCATAACAAATGAAACTATGTGTAATTTTATTTACATTAAAAAAAAGTGTGTTAAGTGATAAAAAAAGTAGTCACTGTGAGATAAGCTGCTCATAATAGGGCAAAACCATTTTTTGGCACATTGTGTACATTTCTACACAATATACAATAAATAGCTAAAACCACAATTTTTAGCTTTTATAATCCTATTAATAATTTGTGTTCATAATAGAACAGTTTTTTGTATCTTTACCCATTACTTTTATTTCAGTATTAATTAAACTACTATCATTTTTCACCATCTTTTTTCTAATTCGATACAATTGTGGTCTGTTAATCTTAATTTCATCATTATGTAAACTCTACACTGTTAGTACTGGGAGGATGCAAAAAAATACGAAACAGAGAACAGTAGTTGTAACAAATAACATGTAAAGAATTTCCAACACCATTAAATGTAGAGAAACTAAAAGTGTATAAAAGTGACAGTCTAAAGGAAAAGAATAAATAATTTCTAATATAGTGCAATAATACCCAAACAAACAGCGGATAGTTAGGGGTTGAAAAGTGTCTTAGTGTTCTTCTCCCATTTTTCTGCCGCCCTATGCCTTGCAGCCAATACAGACTGTCTCTGTTCACAGCTTTCTGCTTATGCAATCGTACGTGCCCTCTGCAGTCACTCTGCTGGCTTGCTGTTGCACTTCCTTGTGTTAACATGGCCGGCTAAGGCCAGATAGGGTGAGTCAGAAGAAGAAATGCTGTCGCTGGAGGACACTACGCTATCCTGTGCTGCTGGGCTGCCACAAGGGGAGTGAAGAGAAAACTCAGGCGTTGGGCGTTTCTGTCTGCTCCCAGCTGGTTCACATGTTTCTGCTGCTGGAGTCTTCTGTTTCTTAAGGGATAAAGGTGAAGGTGTGGAAATGGTGTGCAGTGCAGCCTGGGAGCTCCCTTGTGTTCCATGTCTTTGGTACTTATTCTTGATTAGGACGGTGCCAGAGTTGTCAGGGTCTAACCAGCTCATTTTTCTCTTCTGGAATGGAAAAGTAAAACCAAAAATAACAACCATTAAGAGTCAGAGTTTTCTGTTAAAACCTCTAAACCTCTCATTGAAATACTTTACACAGTTTTTCTTAACAGTAAAGTATTTTTTTTAGCCTTTTAAGCTGCTTGCTTTAATTTTCCTGGCAAAACCCTTACATTTCATAATGAAACAAGAGATAAAGTAGCAGCTTATGCACCAAAATCATAGTGCTACACATCCACAGATATGGGAGAAAAGAACACTTTTATGGAAAACAGAAAATGTATTTATTAATATTAAACAAAGCTAACCTTAACAGGTATGTGGAGCTGATTTTTGCGCCAGTGTGTTGAGATTCTCGGAGTGGTTTTCTGACTTGATGTATGTGTGGACCGAAATGCCACCTGAGGAAACCAGATTTTGAGCATTATCTCAATCTGCAGCAGGTTTTGGAGATGCTTTTCACTGCAGAGGGAAAAACAAAACAACCATTAATAAATCTGGCAATTACTGATGACACTAGTAGTATCCAGATTTCCACTGCAGGCTTGATTTTTGTGATGGTCTTACCCCATTTCAGGCCTCTGTAGTGTTCCAAGAATCTTCTGCAATCTGTCCATGGCAACACTTTGCTGGAAACTGGATAAACCTGCAAAATTGAAATATAGCAACCATATATGAGGGCAAGCAGGAGCTGATATCCTGTTAAATGTTTGATGAGATGAACAAGAACATGAGAACAGATGCTGATAAGGTTTGATGTTCAATTCTACCTTTGTCAAATCGGCCAGTCTTCAGTCCGTTCAAAAGATCAAGCAAAGGACGGGTAAATCTGCGCAGATCTGTACACTGAGGAAATAAGGAGACAGACCGGTTTAACCACTTTCAAAGGCCTTAGGCATGGACTACAAAAAAATTAAAAGATGTAACACCTAAGCATCTGTGTAAGGTGCTCACTTTCTGAGCAAAGGCCAAGTCGCCTGGTGTCACTGAAGATGAGCCTAACGCTGCAACTCCAAGGGATGAAGCAGTGCTGGCATGTTCGGGTCGGCCGCTTCTGCACCTCAAGTGATCCAAATGAGCTGGGAAACCATGGTAACTTTTTATAAGTGTGACTTCGTCGACACCTGAGAGCGACTTTCTGGTTCTGACATTGTCCCCCTCACCCTCTGAGAGGACATCAGCCTCATCCTCAGTCTGCTCACTCTCACTGTGAAGGTAGCTTGAGGAGGGGGGGTGAAAGTCATAAGAGGGCCATTTGGAAGAAGTGCCGATGGAGGTCATCTGTGGAGACAGAAAGCTAAATCAATCAGTACGGGTAGACTGTTACAGTGACAGGAGATGAACAAACATTAAAACAGGAATCATGCCCCCTTTTGGTTTTTGGCGTATATTTAGTGTATCTGCAACTGCATCTGTAGATACTAACATCAGTCAACCGATAGATCAGACTCTAAAACCAACACAGAGAACTAAAACTCAGTCCCTTTGTAAGTATCATGCAGCACAAATTAGAAGTGCACTGGGTGCCAAAAGCTGAGTAATGTCTTTATCGAGTCCCAGCGTGTACGACACACACAAGAGAAGCACTAAACACACAATAGCTGTTGCTACATTATCACAATGGGAGTAAAGCCAACAAAGACCTGATTTGCCCCTCCTCTATGAATATGCAAGCCAACCCAGGTAATACAAGAGAGAGTGTGGTTTGTATGCACACTCATTGCTCCAAACAGTTGAAAACCACTTAGGTCACCTGAGGACAGCTTTGTGTACACCCACTATTACCCCGTCTGACTTCAACAAAAATAACAAAGCCTATATTTGCTGTTTACAGTGACATTCCTAATGTAGTTATTCCCATAGCTTGAGTAATCTTATGGCCATGGATACACGAACAAAGTATAATGTAGAAATGATCCTGAATTGCAAGAACACATTTCTGTGAAACAGCAAAAACGCAGAAAAACAAACAATTTGATCACTAATAAAGATGCATGTACAGAATTGATCATGATTTGATAGTAGGGGCTGCATAAGTAAAATATGCCCTCACAATCAACACATTAAAAAGTCTAAAGTTATAGTTATATTCCCAATATTTAAATGTGGCTAGAGAAATTATCTTCAAATTTATATATGCCAGTTTATTGGTGACCATGCTTTGGAATTTATATAGTTTAAATATGTTGCAATCAACGGTATGAAGTCAAAACATGAAGAAAAGTTTTTGTTTACTTGGACTGTATCGTATCGTTATCGCAAAACTGAATAATGTATGATCGGATCTGTCCGATCATACAACCCTTAATACCCAAATCTACAAAACGGAAAATTAGTGTTAGTAAGTTTTTAGAACCAAAAGTAACTACTACCCCTATAAGAATTTGACAATCTGCAAACTTAGTAATAACAGATAAATTGTAGTGAAAAACTCTTACCTTCTTGTTCCAGAAGAAAAGGGTTTAAAATCCAAAATAGAGACGCTTTAGAGGCACGTTATGCTTCTCTACACAAGTGAAAGTCCTACGAAACTGACTTGGGCAAACCCTCCTGCCTGTTTTGTGGACTCAGATCTGTAGACGCTGCGGTTACGCGTGTTATCCGGTTAGTGCTCAGGCCCACTTTGTCCCCGTCTCTGCGCTCGTGTTTCATTTACGTACAACCTGTTCAAAAAAGTACCCAACTCGTTCCACACGTGCTGAAAAGCTGCAGAGCCGCAATTGGTCAGGGGGAAACTCCATCGCCTGTCATTGGCTGTGAGTCTTATCCAACCAACGGCGTTCTAAGCGCCCATTGGCTGGTGAAACCGCAGAGCCCTCCTTACCTGCAACAACAGCACGTGTAAATAGTATGGCTGTGTGTGGAGACTGGAAAGGGGAACAGCACGCGGCTACCAGCATGTGCTGAATATTTGTATGTAAATCAGGATACATTTGTCCTGTTTTATAAGACACTGTATTTCTGAGAACATATCAGCAGTGCGGGATTGACTGAGAGTATTTTCATTGGAGCTGTGTTGGTTTGAGTCATATTGAGACATATTATGTATGTGTTTTAGTCATATTATGCATGTGTTTACCCGTGTGTCCTCTATGAACAATCTAATCACACTACATTTGAAGGTGATGTTCATGAAGGCAGACATGTGTACTGTAAAGGAATTAAAGTATATAGTTTCTAGGTTTGAAGGAGAGGAATAAAAATACTTTTACAGCCAAAAACATACCTGTTCAAAATTCCCATGGCTGTACCTACACAGATAAACTATTTGAACACATAGTAAACCTGCTAAAATCACATTTTTATTAGAATTTAACTTTTTTATAGAATGTCTGTAACATAGTTATCACCTATATGCTTCTTAGGAAAGGTGTGCACCTGCAGCAAATTGTGCCAAACAGGGTTTTGTTTATGTGACTGAGTGTGCTCGACCTTCACGTTCCTTCATTGTTCATTTTAGAGTGAAAACAGACAAGACACAAGATTATGAAATAAAGCAGCGTTGTCCTTCGGGGCTATAGACAGGCAGCTTAGTACACAGTGTTTCAAAGTTACATAATGGCATTGCTCTACGTTAAAGAGCGTCTCTATTAAACCATACGAAAATATGTTCTTAAATGCAGGAGGAGTTATCAGCTATTCATCAAGAAGGGTGTTTTAAAAAGGAAAGTTTTATGATTGACAATAGCCAAGAATAACAGGTAACATTATCCATCAAAACTAGGCTCAAAATATTTGCACGACAGAGAAAAGAAGCATATGCTATAGCCTGAGTGTTGGGGGAAGTTTATTTCAGCCAGCTGATCAAATAATTTTGGAGACTGGTGTGAATATTTGTGCTAAATATAGTGCAAATAACAGAATAGTGTTGAAATGTCCCACTCATTTCTATCAAAAATTAATTACTGATTACACAGGTACACGCCTCTGAAGTTTATGTACTGTCATTTAGTTGTGTTAGTTTAAAAGCAACAATAATGCCATCATCACTCAACAAATTGTGTTATTAGAAAAGATCCCATAGAAGCAGAAGTGGCAGATTCCATTAGTGTTATGCAACTGTGACAGTGTTCAGTAACTGTGGCTGGTTGTACTGCGTGATTGTAAATGTGTAGGTGCTTAACTTGTGTGTGTGTAACAGCTTAGGCAAGTTTTTTTTCCAACCCTTTGCATTTGTAGATAATATAAGTTAAGTTATATAACAACATTTTAAAATATCCTTCGGGCTTAGGAACTGATGGTGCACGTGCCTTCACTTTTTGCAGATGTCCAAGTGACCTGAAACCAGATGAAGCATATATCTTCAAGTGCCACAGTCATTCTTACCAGAAAACATCAAAACAAATTTAAAAGAGTATACAGAGGGACTTCCTGAGAAAGCTGTCAGTAAGGTTTATAATTTTTGCGAAATGTTGTGCAAATATTGTTACACAGACAGTGCAAGTGAGCCAGACTTCAAACCCTGAAAGGCTGCATACTGTTTTGTAATGATGCTAATATTAACAGACAGCATGCACCATCTCATGGTTGATTCTGGAGCTGTTAGGTACTTGAAACTGTCAAATATATTCCCATTTTATACATCAATTTCTGACAAGAATTTTAGGTTCCTGTCGCTTGGAAAACACATTTTACAATATTCCCATGCATTCCTGTTCCTCTAAATGGTTGACAGAATAACATTTACACTTTTATCAGGAACATTTTTCTATGAACTAATTCCAGCAGAAACTACTGACAGCGGGATGTGTTTATAATCAGTAGTTGCAACTAGACCATTACCTTATATTTGCATTATGTAAATAAATTATCGCTTCAGATCTTCAAAAATCGGACTTTTAAAATAAATGCAACATCTCGCAATGACAAATTTCTCAAAGAAGGACCAACGCAACTAAAAAATACAGTTGGGGATTAATTCTCTCCTGCATGTGTACACCTTAATCTGCCCCAAACTATCAGGAGTGAGGGCAGAGCTCATAAAATCCCCTTGAGGTGGAGCTATAAAGGCTTGATGGATGTGCATGACTGAGGTGTGGATAAGAAAACTAATTTTTTATGTAGGGATCCTGGATTAATAAGGAGAGTGCTGTTGCTGAGCTCAGACCCCACTATCATTAAAACACCCACTGCCTTAAATGGACAAAATGGACTTCTTTTTGATGAAGCATTGATGCTGTCACTATAAATGGTTGTATTTATTTTGTGTTTGTTGCTTTAACAGAAGTTTACCAACAATGAATGCTTAACAATCTGCAACAAATTCTCTTTCAAAATAAAAGATTTTCAGAAAAAGTCTCACATTTATTAACTTTAAATTTGCAAGATTTTGGGGAGAAATTAAGCACAAAATGTCAACAACTACTAACCAGCTTATTACAACCAAGAACAATAACAAAAGATTTTTCCTTCCGTGTAAAAGCACTGCTCTTCTCATGGAAATTTGTGAAGACAATGAAAAAAATGTCCAAAGCTGGCACAGAAGTGAAGCACATTTGTTCGACGTAGACATGACATGAGCTTGGTCTTCACTGCTTCTCTGTTTGGCTGGCCCTGTCTCAACCAGTCCACCACTTCCACCCTGTTTCATTACTCTCCATCCTGCTATACTAGTTGCCCAGCCAAGGATCTTCTCTGCTGGTCTTGGAGATGAAGGCTATCCTTCTGGCCATTTCCATGTTGTAGATCCGCTTGCAGTTCTCAAAGCTCTTTCGCTGTCGTTGTTTGCAGGGCTTCTCAAAATACCGTTTGCGCTTAACTGCGTCAGTGATCCCATCCTGAGTCAGGACCCTGTAATAAGAAGAGAAAACTTCTGAATGACTGAGACCGTTTTTAAAATTCAGAAACCCTGATCAGGAAGTTAAAATGGAGACTGTCTACTTCTTCATGGAGGGGCAGACAGTCTCAACTTCTGAAGCTTTGATAGAAAAAAAAACATATATAAATCTCTTTAAAGGATATAACATATTGCAAGTTCTAGCCTGGTAAATTCGTACACAATTGAAGAAATAAAAGGATGCATGTTTTTGCCTATCAGAAGTTTAAGGGATATTCTGGCGTAAAATGAATTTAGGGTCAAACACACCGTAACACAGAGTTAGACACCCCCTCGAGAGATGAATGTTGCCGACCACTTGCTTCTCTAGTTACACCAACTTTAGTAACGACCGCACGATAGCAATACACAGCGGTCTAAGGAGCCACACACAAATCTGAACCAAAACACCACTCTATAGCCACAAATAATGCTCAGAACAGCACCTGACTTCAGCAACAGTACATATTGAGTCCTAGCCATAGTACTAGCCACCAAACATCTTTTTAACTTTGCCTGACTTCTTTAGGAGAGAGACTAAACACAACTCACCTACACTATTCCAGCAGCCGCTTGTTTGTAGTGAGACCTCAGGCCAGTCCATTACCAACTGCTGCAGGGTGAGGCAGCTCAAGGAAGATCATTTATGATCATTACTTTATCATTTCCTTTAAGCAATAATCACCATATTTATCATTTTGCACTGCAGACAATGTAGTTCTTCAGCCTTAGCGTCTGGTCTGATTGCATTTCCATGAGGGAATGATCATAAATGTTCTTTCTTGAGCTGCGGCACCCCCGCAGCAGTCTGTAATGGACTGGCCTGAGGTCTCGCTACAAACAAGTAGCTGCTGGAGGACAGTAGTTGAGCAGTTTAGTCCCTTTGTTAAAGAAATCAGGTAAAGTTAAAAAGATGTTTGGTGGCTAGTGCTATGGCTAGGACCCGATATGAACTGTTGATGAAGTTAGGTGCTCCTCTGAGCATTATTTGTGGCTATAGAGTGGTGTTTTGGTTGAGGTTTGTTTATGGATCCTCAGCCCGTGTGGTTGTTACTAAAGTTGGTATAACTAGCGAAGCAAGCGGTCGGCAACATTCATCTCTCGAGGGGGTTTCTAACTCGGTGTTACGGTGTGTTTGACCCTAACTTAAATTTACTCCGGAATATCCCTTTAATGCCAGCAAGACACTTTGACAAATAGGCTTCCAGAAACCCTATATTAAAAAATAATCAAATAAAAAAAGACAAATTATTTCTAGGATGTCTTCATTTAGAAAAAACACACACGTTTTCAGGTCTAATGTTATCGTTAAGGTCACTTAAATTTGCCGTTTAGTTTCTAGCCTCAAGAAGGAACGCCACTGCGCAGCCGCAGCTCTGTGACATTGAGCGGAAGGCTAACGTAAACTCAGCCGATACTGGCCTTTTGGTCACTAAATAAGGACGCTTTTAGCCTTTATTTTCTTTTAGATGTGTGCCTTTACCTGTTTAGGGTCTTATACGCCGCATCTACGTTGCCATCCTGGACCATCACCGTCCGGGCGAGGAAGCGAAGGTGCCTCGACATGATGACTTCGGTGCTCGCTCCTGAACTATCCGTCGGGAAACAGTCAACTGTGAAAGGTTCCTATGGCGAAGGTAATTCGCTAACTCAACGCTAGGCGACGCTTTTGTGCATTCATAAATTATTCCCATGAGTTGTCTGAGGGATTAAATTCGAGATCCATTAGAAAGACTTAAAAATGTATACTGATTTCCTGCTTTCTGTATAGGCTATGTGATATTCTTATTGTTTACCTTTGCATGCTACTTTGCACAGTAGAGGCTGTATGTGGAAAGAGTCATGAGACGTTACCCCCTACTAGATGATAAGTCAAGAACATGAAATAGACAAGTCTAAGTTTCTGCACAACAGCAGCAGCAAGTTTCATAGTTTAAAGAGAGGGGGGAAAAAAGCCTGTAGGGCCATCACAGATTTATGAAACCACACTCGTTGTCATAACAACAGAGACAGTGGTGTCCAGTGTTGTGTTTTCATCAGGTCCATTCTCTTCTTCTTATTCCTGAGCTGCAGCTGTCCCCTGCATGCCTCTGTCTGAGGTCAGTCAGCGGTGAACAGCGGAGTGGACGGTTTGTCTAATTTACATTTAAAAGTGCTTTTCTATTAGCTTTCTCTGAAAAAAAAGGGTGGAAAAGATCAGATGGGGTTTATTCCCATGTTGCTGTAACCCTATAACGTACAGTAGCTGCATGGTGCCACAGGGAGGAATGCTGAGACAACCAGCGCAGATAACATCATGACTCCTTTTGTTTGGTGAATGCACTGCATCATGTTTCCAGAGGCTTCTCTTCTGATCCAGACCTGATGAAATAATCTTGGCAGTGTCTGAGCTCGGTGTATGTCCACGTGGGAGAATCAATGGGAGAAAAGAACAAACAGAGAGAGAGAGAGAGAGAGAGAGAGAGAGAGAGAGAGAGAGAGAGAGACTACACTATAAAAAATAAATATTTTGCACTACTATGGGTCTTTGACAAGAAGTTCAACTTGTAACACTGTTTAGGAGATAAAGAAAAATAGACCTATCATGTTAACTTCATTAACTTGAGCTTGTTTTTTCTAGTGGAGATATTTGGGCCTGAACTGGCACCACTGTATTTTAGGTAACCATTCATTCAGCTGACCCTTGCAAAAAAAAAAAAAAAAAAAGTATTGGAAATATATATATACTACTACTACTACTACTACTACTACTACTATTATTATTAATAGTAGTAATCATAATCATAATAACAATAATAATAATAATAACAACAACAACAACAACAACAACAACAACAACAACAACAACAACAATAACAGTAATAATAATAATAATAGTAATTATTATTATTATTATTATTATTATTATTATTATTATCATCACAAAGTGCTTCATAGTTTCAGCAGGTTTCTTGTATAAGCTGGAGCTTTTCCATGCAAAGTACTCTACACAATCACAAGTAATTTAAATTGGATTTTGAATTGAACAGGGAGCCTGTGTAAAAACTTAAGGATGGGTGTGACATGTCATCTCTGCTCATAAATACAGTAATTTGTGGATTTGTGATAACATAACTCCTATAGGGTGAACAAAGGCCCAATTCATTCATTGATTTGATTTGATTTGATTTGATTTGAATTCAGGTGTGGAATTTTATTCTATTACAGGATCTACTCTTGCATTCCGTCACTGTTGACACTGTTTACATCTCTGTGGAGATAAACAGTTTCTTATTTCCCAGCTTATTTACACAATACTACAGCGCCCAAAAGACATAACCTGAGAGTCTTCGACCCTAGGGAAGGGAGATGACAAGATAAGTGTTTGGTAAATGAAACTGTTGAAAAATTCATGAGACTTTTGACTGTGATGACTTTGGTAAATCAATTTTAAAGCTCCTTTGAGGATTTTTTTTTTTTTTTTTACCTTAAAGGGATATTCCGGCATAAAATTAATTTAGGGTCAATCATTTCTTCATGGAAATGCAATCAGACCAAGACGCTAAGGCAGAAGAACTACCACGTCTGCAGTGCAAAATGATTAATATGGTGATTATTACTTCAAGGAAATGATAAAGAAATGATCATAAATGTTCTTCCTTTAGCTGCGTCACCCCGCTGCAGTCGGTAATGGACTCGTCTGAGGTCTCTGTACAAACAAGCGGCTGCTGGAAGAGAGTAGGTGAGTTGTGTTTAGTCTCTTTGCTAAAGAAATCAGGCAAAGTTAAAAAGATGTTTGGTGGCTAGTGCTGTGGCTGGGACCCTATATGTACTGTTGATGAAGTTATGTGCTGTTCTGAGCATTATTTGTGGCTGTAGAGTGGTGTTTTGGTTGAGGTTTGTCTGTGGCTCCTGAGACCACTGTGTATTGCTATCCTGCGTTCGTTACTAAAGTTGGTATAACTAGAGAAGCAAGCAGTCGGCAACATTCATCTCTGGAGGGGGTGTCTTACTCTGTGTTATGGTGTATTTGCCCTTAAAGTAATTTTACGCCAGAATATCCCTTTAATGACATGGACTGAAATTTACATCAATGCCTTTTTATGACAAACAAAGGCAAACTAGACCACCAGTGACAACATAGATGATTGTTATTTTGTAAGTTTTAATGCCTGAAACTGATGTGAGGGGGTAGGTGTCAGCAGCGTAGATGTTGTTACACAAACATTTTTACAATGAATAACACACACAGGATGGAATTTTTGCAAGAGGACACTACTTAAGTATGTGGAGGACTAGAAAAAGGAAAGGAATGCTGGGTCTACAAGGCAGAACCAACATTTATACAAACTTAAAGTTCATCACAGGAGCTTTAACTGTTGACTTAAAGTGATAATGCCTCTTCCAAGACCCCCCTGCTCCAGTCTGGTGATGAACATTATCACTCTTAAATCTGATCTCACATTCCACATCAAGAAATACTCTCAAATGGCCTCAGGTGGGATTTTTTTTCTTTCCTCTTTTTCTTTCCTTTTCTTTGGTTCAAATGTCTGATTTATTCCTTTTCCTTCATGCCTAAAAACAGGCTCACCTGTTCTTTTGGACTTCTTGTCAAATATCTGGTTGGCTCTAATATGTAATCAGCCAAAAAGAAAATCAATTAGCACTTTTCAGAAGTATCATCAACATCAAAGCTCTGACTGGAAGCCCATTTTCCAGCTCGTATCTAAATCTTTCACCAAGCTGACAGAGGTGGAGGCGCACAATCAGAGGGAAAGTCCCTCCCTTTAAGCAGCCTCTGGATTGGCTGGACTCTCATCAGGTCCGGGCGAACTGTCAGCCAATCAGCAGAGGCACTGATGCTGGCAGAGGAGACAGCTTCACAACCCTAATGCTGAAGGAGTCAGATACTCAGTCAAGAACCGGAGACACTGTCATAGAAAAACTCTCGATAACTCAAAATTATAATCTCTGCAAGTTTCAGCAGCAAGATGGAGAGGAAAATCCCAGATTTCTCTGGAAAGTGGGCGATGAAGTCTTCGGAAAATTTTGAGGAACTCTTGAAAGCACTTGGTGAGTAATGCTGCATGCATGCAAAGAAAAATGATCTCACTGAAAAGAAAAAGAAAAGAAGCCTCTTTTCATTGTGCTTTGAAAGTTGCAGTTCTGCACCTTATTTTTCCAAACTTTGGATAGAATTGATTGCAATGAATAAAACTTAAATCACATTGTAACTTTGTAGATAATTGATCAGCTTTTACAACTTAAATCAGACACAGACATCACTGTACAATGCAAAATATGCAGCATGAGTGAAATGGAGAAATGTAGATATGTGCAAGTTGATGATTGAGTGCAAGTATTTACCATTATATACAGTATATTGTAAAGAAACAATATGATATGCACAGACAAAACTTAACTTCACTGTCAATGTAGTGCAAAGTCTCAACATTAATTAAAAGTTAGAATAAAGGAACGATGGGGGGAGCATAAGCTGCAAAGACCTGTCAATCATGTCAGCTGCATTATCAGCTGGAAATCCACTTGGCTCAGAGGTCAACTGCTGAACCAAAGAGGTCTGAAGTGGCTCTCTGTGGTTGAATCGGTCTGCTCTTGCCCCATTTGTCTATGTTCCTGGGGAAAAAGGTCTTGTGAAGCTGTAAGAGGTTGTATAAGCGAGAGGGCAGGAAAGAGGGAGGTCAGGTGAGGGGCAGCCAGTGGCATCCATAAAAAATCTGAAGACAAATAGCCTGTGGAGGAATGTTAGATTAGACTCATCTGAAGCAAGGTCCTCCTCATGCGGTTGTAATTAGAGCCAGTGTAAACGGAACTAAGCCTTGACATGGGCCCCAGCAGACAGCCAGCTCTGGGGCTGACTTTCCTCCACTTCCCTGGGCCTCTTCAACCCAGTCTATGGCCCTGTGTGTGTGTGTGTGTGTGTGTGTGTGTGTGTGTGTGTGTGTGTGTGTGTGTGTGTGTGTGTGTGTGTGTGTGTGTGTGTGTGTGTGTGTGTGTGTGTGTTGCCTCCACCAGTAAGACTTCATGAGCAAATAAGGTCTGAGCTAAATCCTATTTGAGGGTGGTCTTGATCTTATTGAGCTTACCAATCGTTCCTGAATTAAGGGCAAAAACTAAAAGGTCAATGGGCAGTTCTCACTTGTTCTCCATTCATCAAGCATCACATCCCTAATCATCTATCAAACAAAAGTTGATTGAAGCAGTTAGTTCTTTGAATCTCAGTGTACTTTACACACCATTACACTTTCTCTTTTGTTTAAAACCTGTAATTTTACATTTATGTTCAGGGTTTATTATCGGGTAGCCAATCAAATAACGACAAATGGTAAAAAATGATGCTCAGACTCAGAATAAAGATGCCAAAAACTACAAAAAACAAAATAGAGACAAAACAAGATATAACTGACACTTTGAAAGACCTTCAAAGAAACACCACAGATGCAGAAAATACAGAAAGACTACAAGAGAAACTTGTACAGATGCAAAGCAATAAAAAAACAACAACGCTATTTTGACCATAAAGAGCAGTTAAATTCAAACTTAGGTGCAAAGTCCAATAACCAAACAAAGATACAAAAATGCTAATCAATGACAGAGCTACAAAAAACTATAATAATAGACTCCAGACATGTGCACAAAGACATAGAAAACTAAAACAGAGTACCCAACAAATAACAGATGAGGAGGATGTGATGTAGGGAGGATCCAACAAATAAGTTAGATCTATGCCTTCAGAAAACACATGTAACTGTGTCTACATGTGTCATTTTCAAGCGAGGATTTCATAGCCGGTCAAAAAGTTCACAAGAGCTCTAAGTTGAGTTGATCATGACTGAATCTTTACTTTTGAGTAACAACAGTATGTGTCGAATAACAATAATTTGTGGTTACAAAGATCATTCCAGTGGTTTTGTGTGTTGAAACCCGCTATGTACAAATCGCAAAAGTCTCTCTTTCTGGAGCTGTGTCCTCGCTGTCTTAATACAAAAATATCTCAGTGTGCAAAGACACAAAGCAAACAAAACAAAGTTGTTCCTTTTTAATCCGGTGATGTTTTATTTGTATGTTTAAAGGCGTGAATGTATTCCTGAGGAAGATTGCAGTCACAGCAGCTTCCAGCCCAGCAGTGGAAATCACCCAACAGGGCGAGAGTCTGTCCATCAAGACGTCCACAAGCGTCCGCACCACCCATGTCTCCTTCACTGTGGGTCAGTCCTTCAATGAGGCCACAGTGGATGGACGTCCCTGCACGGTACACTCTCCATAATACATTCCTGTATAATGATAATACATGCATACTGGCGTTTGACCAGGGACAGAGTAATGAGCCAGAGTTCTGTAGAGACATATGGAAATAATTGCTGTGACTCTCCAGAGTCAGGTCTGGATCAGTTCTTCATTTATTCACGTTGAGTGAGTGATGAAGAACATCACTTCTGACAGGTCCAAAAAGTGATCCTGACTCGGAGTAATCACCACAAAGAGCTCCAGTTTTGAAGAAGCCCAAACATTTCTCTAACTTAGCCATATTCAGCACACTTGACTGCTGTGAGTTATGTGTATATGTGTGATCTCTGCAGAGTGTTCCAAAGTGGGAAACAGACAGCAAGATCAGCTGTGAACAGACTGTGCAGAAAGGAGATGGACCCAAGACGTCGTGGACCCGAGAGCTGACAAATGATGGAGAACTGATACTGGTAATGAAATTGTGAAGAACAGCAACAATAAACTTTACACGGAGAGTTCAACAGATACAGAAACAAACTGAAAATAAAACGATTGACTTGTTTCAGAGCAAGACCAAGAAGACCAAGAAGCAACATAGTAGTAATCGTAACTCAACATCCTTTTTGGAGTTTAGTGTCACAAGCTAGCATTATGAGGATATATTTAAAGCTCCTGTAAGGAGTTTTTTGATGTTCATGAAATAGACTTAAAACCACAATGTTGCCTTTTTATGAAATACAAAAGCAAGCAGGACCATAAGAGACAAGAGCAACAACTTTTATACTCTTATTTTTCATGCCTCAAACCGGTGTAAGGGGGTAGGTGTCAGCCGAGCACAGAAAGAAACCGCTCTGTTTTTACAATTTCCACAGAAAATACTCACAATGAATCAAACATCTGACTGACAGTGGAATTGTTTTATCAAGAGACTCTAGTGAGCGTAAAGAGGACGAGATAAGCAAAAATCACTTGGTCTCTTGGGGGGAGATCTGAGTCTTATCATTGTTTCACACATGCAGTAAACTCCCGAAAAGTTGAAGGAATTTTTGAGGGTTGTTGCATGTGTGAATGCAAATGGCAGAATTTTTCACACTGACTTTACCCTCTGGGTAACATTTGCACAAAAAGTTGGGGTGATGTGTAAACACCTAATAGGGGTCTGTGAGAGGTTGTCATACAGACAATTAGACTCATTTGCTGTTTTCTCAATGAACCTCTAAAAGAAGTGGAACCAATTGTTAAAATTCTTTCCTTGTTGCTGTTTTCTCACAGACCATGACTGCCGGGGATGTTGTCTGCACCAGAGTTTACAGGAGGGAGTGAGGAAATTTCCTTCAGTCCGTCCCGCAGCCCTCCTGTTTTGTGCCTCTTGGATGGTTTACATTACTCGCCTTTGTTTCCTTCAGTCAAATTTTGGTCAGATGTAGCTCGCACAGTCCGCTGTGCAGGAGGCTTCAGTTTACACGTATGTCGTTGAAGTAATAGCTGCTCTTGTAACACTAAAGCTGATCTTACTTTGTATGTTTCTTAAAGAAATGTCCCTCATTCCTTTTTTAAACTTCTATTGCAGTATTGAAACCTCTTTTTTAGCATGTTAATAAACAGTTTTATATGTATTTTCTGTTTGATGAGTCCTTTCAGTTTTTCTTTAAGCTGCCCCTCCCTCTCCCATGTCGTCCGTCAGCGTATCACTTTACATCACCGTTCATATTCTCCAGATTATTCCACACCCTTTCCTCCCTCCATCTTTCCTTTGCAATCCATACTTTGTCCTCTGTGTGCTTTTTGTCTTTTACAATGTGATGTCAATTATTTCCAAAACCCCAGAAGACAATTCTTATTTTCTAAACCCTCCTTTGCAGAGACCTTTGGCAAAGACAAGGGGGAAACAGGGAGTGGAAAGGAAAATGAAAGAGGGGAAAAAGCAAAAGAGGGTGGTCATGAGAAAATGATTTCATAGCGTTGGGAGAGGTTACATTTCATACGCTCTCCTTTCCAGATGTACCTACTTTCAGAATGAGCTCAATAAAAAATTCCTCCACCCCTTTGCTTTGGCTTTGCACCCAGGTACAAAGTGTTTAGTGACTTTCTCTGCTTACACTGGAGAGAGATTTACAGCCGTTGCTTCTCAAAACCCACTTTTTACCGATGTGGGTTCAAAGACAATATACAAATGGACTTGAACTGAGACAGATGGAAAGTACCGTTGGCTGAAAATCAGCATTCACAGTCTCTATCTTCTCCTACTCAATGGATCAGGCTTTACCTCTCTGTGAAAAATGGACCTTCAGGGTCTCTCTGCACTTCCTGAGACAGGCTGTGATAGTTTTTCCAGGTTTTTCGAACTGTTTGCAGACAAGCGCCTCTGTGAAGTGGGTCCCAGTTTATACACACACACTGTGCTGTGCAAGCAAAAGGGAAGACTTGGTCTTTTGGGGGGATGAATGTTCTCAATAAGCACTGTGGGTGATTGTGTGTCTCTCTGAATCAGCGGCAGAGGAAGTACTCAAGTTCCCATTACTTTATTAAAGGAGCTGCATGCTCTGAACGAGGTATTTCCCTCCAAGTTCCTGGGGTAGATGTGTGGGAATTGTTTTTCACATATGTCTTCTGTTGCCTGTCGCTTTAACCTTCCTGCTGTTTTAACTTTTACTACGCACCCACTATGTTAAGGGTCGGTTTTGACCCGTGTCTTAAATCAGCTGTAAAGCACACTAAAAACAATTCTCTAGCGACCAATTTGGCTCTCATCTCTAAGTTACCTTGTTAGGCTTCATTATCCATGATCTCACATGATTGTGGGAGGATCTTACTGTCAGTGTGGTGCCTGTCAGTGCACTTATGATTTCAGTTTTTGCTCTAATTATTAGATATTGATCTTACCGGGTCAGCAGCGACCCTTATTCCACAAGTGCCATAATTTTACTAAGAGCATTTTATGAATAACTCAATTTAATTTTTTTGTTTTTATGTTGCTGAAATAGAGATTTCTGACAAAGTCAAGAAGTACTGATGCAAAAAAGCTAATTTAAGTGGTTCTTTTAAGCATTTAAAATAAAAAACGGGTCTGTGCAGACCCTAAAACAGGAGGAGGGTTAATTCTAGCAGGGATGTGAAAACGGTACTTAGCTGTTTCTTTTTAAGGTCAATAGTGTTTGACCTTAAAAACTGAATCGTTGATCATGTGCTTGCAGGAAGCTCACACTACATTCAGCATTTTTGTAAGGGGTCACCAGCCTCAAAGCTGCAGGTTTTATATTCCCAGTATGAGTTATATAGTATGTAGGACAGTCAGGGGGTAAGTACAGTATTTGGGTTAATGTTATTTTCCACTGTTGACTTCAAACAGAGAAAAGATCATGTGCACAGAAGTATGCATGGCTTACACACTTGGCTCGTTATGTTCGTGCACGAAAGTATGTTTTCAGTGGCCCATGTGGAACGGGTGTTATTGTGTAAGCACTCATGACAGCAACAGCACTTAAACTGCACCCTGGAGGAAGAGGAAAACTCTTAGCTCTATACGCACCAAAATTCAATTATATATGATGCCAGGTTTTGGTCTCAATTACCCTTTTTGACTGATGGCTGTGAGCCTCAAAGGAGCAAGTCCAAACCAGCCGCACCCTGCTTTTTAGCTGGGTCACTTTGCACAGACACACACAACATTTATGCCAGTTCATTCCTCAGGCAGTGACGCAAAAGAGCATTACATTGCTCAATTGATAGAGGAATGCTGTGGTTTTGGTGGCTGCAGGCTTCAGGGTCCAATATGTGAATCTGGGTCATGCAGACAAATCTTGACAAGGAAATTGAGAGTAAAGATGAGACATGGCATCAGTCTACAAACACAGGGATCAGAGCATAAGGACAGAGCATTGAAAAGCAGGTTCAGCTAAACAACATTTGTGACATTATGACCCGCAGACTGCTTTATTTTGTACTTAACTTTTTTCTTGTATTAACTATATAAACAGGAACATTATCAATGTTGAAATCAATTACCCTATGGCATTTGATTCATAAAGAGCTTTGTTTGGGTCTCTGAGCCAAGGTTTGTTACAAACTGGCTAATGAAGGTAAATATATTAACGCTCCTATGAGTAGTTTTATTAGAATTTATAAGATAAACCGTAAATCTTATTGATGCATTTCCATGACATCCAAAAGCAAACAAGAGCATCAGCAACAAGATTACGAATTTTTGTGTTGTAATTTTCTATGCCTTCAACCAGAGCTACGGGGTGGAGGTCAGCTGAGCAGCTAGATAAAAATCCCTGTTCTAACAATTTCCACATAAAATATTCACAATAAATGATATATTTGGTAACCAAAAGTCATCATGGGGAGAATTCAATTCTTGTCAAAGGACACTACTGAAGCATGGACAGGACACTTTTTTTTTTTTTGTAGGATGGAAGGGGAAAGTCCCGCCCCCCTTGCCTCCGATTGGCTAGAAAAGCCAGAAACATCATCAAACACTTAAGCCAAACAATGGCTGTTGGCTCTGTACATCGAACAGAACATAACAGAATATTATCGCACTTCTAAATATCCCAACCTTAACCCTAATCCTAATCCTAACCCTAGCCCCAATCCTAACCCTAACCCTAATCCTAATCCTAATCCTAACCCTAGCCCCAACCCTAACCCGAACCCTAACCTTGGCACCAACCCTAGCCCTAACCCTAACCCTACCCCAACCCTAACCCTAGCCTCAACCCTAACCCTAACCCTTGCCCCAACCCTAGCCATAGGGTTAGGGTTGAGGCTAGGGTTAGGATTAGGGTTAGGGTTGAGTCTAGATTTAGGGTTAGGGTTAGAGTTGGGGGTGGGGCTAGGGTTAGGGTTGGGGCTAGAGTTAGGGTTAGGGTTAGGGTACAGGCAAGGGTTGGGGTTAGGGTTAGGGTTTAGTCTAGGGTTAGGGCTATAGGGTTAGGGTTGAGGCTAGGGTTAGGATTAGGGTTAGGGTTGAGTCTAGATTTAGGGTTAGGGTTAGAGTTGGGGGTGGGGCTAGGGTTAGGGTTGGGGCTAGAGTTAGGGTTAGGGTTAGGGTACAGGCAAGGGTTGGGGTTAGGGTTAGGGTTTAGTCTAGGGTTAGGGCTAGGGTTGGTGCTGGGGTTAGGGTTGAGTCTAGGGTAAGGGCTAGGGTTAGGGTTAGGGCTAGGGTTGGTGCTGGGGTTAGGGTTAAGGATAGGGTTGAGGTTAGAGATAGGGTAAGGGCTATGGTTAGGGTTAAAGTTGGGGCTAGGGTTAGGGTTAGGGCTAGGGTTAGGGTTAAGTTGGGGCTAGGGTTGGGGCTAGGGTTTAGGGTGACACAAATTTAGAGTTCCTCACAGATGCTTTAATTAGTGATCTTGTTGCAGGTGGCCTTGTTTGCTTTGGATACCACGAAAAAGCATTATTATGAAATTCATGCTGTTTTGTATTTGTGAAAAAAATCCTTATAGCAGCTTTAAATTGCGACATAATATCTTCTCGTTTATACAATAAAATATTCAAATGAGCCCTCACAGTTTCTCTCAGCTCGGTGAGCCCTCCAAACTCTTTTTTAATCTTACATACAGTATGTTTGTATTTGTGGAACTAAAAGCAACCAAAAGCAGAAATTTAGATAAAGATTTAATTTCAAGAAACTACCTTCCAAACCCACTCCATAAAAAATTCATATATATCTGATGCCCTTTTCTCACTTTCCATGAATTTCTGGGTGTTCTCATGTATTTGACACCTGAATAGTCAGTAGGAGATCTGCTCGTAAAGTTAGAGGGGGAATGTACAGTATGTGTATGAACAGGGCTGTATATCTGATGTATGTGTGTGACTGACGGCCTGACCTATGCCTTTTAATGAAGTCATATGACTGGCTTCACCCATGTGACCCCATGTGACTTGTTGAAGAACAGACTGAAAGGAGACCTGGGTGGATTGTGCGAGGGCATTAAGCGACAAAGGTGTAATCTTTCCTAATGATGCCCAATGCTGTCACGAAGAGGCTGTGTGTGTGAAGAAACAAACAAATACTGACAAAAAGAGCCCCTATATGAACCCAAGAAAGCAACATATTTAATGATGAAAGCCCTTTTCAGCAACAATTATTCAAGTAAATGATGAATGTTGAAGCCTGTTTAACAATTTGCTTCAATTATTTGTATGAAAATTGTGTTTCTTGACATCAACCCCTCAGCAGTTACCTGAGATTCTGATTACACATTCCTCCTGGACATCACAGTCGGCTGAGACTAGAGAGATGGGAGAAAATAGCTCCTTGAAAGCACAAGAGTGACATCTACTGGAAGAGGAGGAGGAAAGACTCTTAAAAAACAGCAGAGCATGAAAATAATCCTGTTAAATTAGCTGACAATCATATGAACACCCAGCCAAGATTTATACCCTGCTAAAACAAGACTTGATTTATGTCCTTTACTAATTAATCTAACACACCACTGTGCAGTTTGTGAGATCTCACCTGCAGAAGTTTATTGTATTCACAGTACATATGGCGATTTGGAAATATGGTCAAGTCTATAGTAGACGAGTGATTATAGCACCTCAAGTTTTACCAACGAAATGAAGAAGTTGACAATTGCACACGTTTTTTTTCTTCACCTGTGAAATAAGTAAAAACATTTTTATTTTCAATATTAATCATATTTTTTGGTTTTGCAAAAAAAAAAAAATAATAATAATAATAAATATATATATATATATATATATATATATATATATATATATATATATAAGTTCTTTCAAGTTCTGTGAATGATCAACAATCAATATTATTGGCAGAAATAGAGGGCCCCAAAATCAAATTTTGGTTAGGGCCCCACTGAGGCTGATGTAGTGATCCGAAATATGAAAAATGTCTCATCTTACCCCACTCTCCCCTACTGTGTTAAGCTAAACCTTATGTGTGATAATGTCTCCAAAAGTAAAGTTTGACATTTCACACAAAGTACAGACACTCTCAATGCTAGAAAAAAAAACACGCACTTTCGGCCCCGCCCACTCCTTCTTCCCAGATTCCCACGTGTCTCTCTGCCGCAGGAGCAGTCACATGACCGCAGATTCTGCTGGTTACTTCCTGTACGTTGGTTGTTTTTTTCCCTTCGTGAGAATATAACGGATTCGCAACATAACGCGGACTTCTACCCGGACCCTGCTCGTCAGGTCTGGTCAGGGATCCATCCATCCATCAGTGTGGAGGCTCGATCATTCATTAGTTATCCCAACTGCAGCGGAGGGGCGGCGGGCAGCTAATGCTCTGGATAAACAGACTTCACCGCCCGCCCTTTCGATTCAGAGAATAAATCTGTCAGAGGAGCGAGGAGAACTAACGGCTGCTTTTCTCACCTCGTGACAGCCGTCAACGTTAGCAGCAAGCGGCGGCTACATGACGTTAGCCCCCCTACCCTAAAAAACAACCAACGATATGTCCAAATACACGAGCTTCCCAGAGCCGATGGAAGACCACAACCCTTTTCAGGTGGGTGATCAGAAAATGGAGCTATCATTATCATATGTGGGTGCTGTGGCTGTGGAGAAAACCCACTGTTTATTGTGGGTCTGTGTAATAGCAAGCGTGTTGTTGCTCATGTGACGTTTTGGGGCCTCTCTCTAATCTGTGCCCACTTGTAGCTTTTATTAAGTGGGAATGACAGCAGCTCTGCAAATGCAACCCAGTTGTGTTAAAGGAGATTAATGTAATAGCAAGCTAAACTCATTATCAACTGTGCTGATTAAGTAAATAACCCTTTGTTTTGTGTCTGCTAGGATCCTGCAGTGACTCAACACAGCAGCAACACAGGATACGCCACACTGGACCTCTACAACCCATTTGATAATAACACTAACACCACCACAACAGGGGTGAGACAGGTTTCTTCTTTATTGATGAGCTGATAAAACAGGGAACCAGCTATTAATGTGATGCACTAACAGTTATATTCATTTTCTTATACATGTGCAAATATTAAAAACGCTGCAAATGCAGACTAAAAATCGAGAAAATCGACAATAGAGTGGAATCACAATTTAAATCGAATCGGCATCCGAAAAATCGTACAAGAATCGAATCTGGAGAAAAGCATATCGTCCCAGCCCTAGCATCTACCTCTTATTTCTTCCCTGACAATTTGAATGATTAAAAGATTAGTGAGAATCCTGCACCATTTAACCACAATGCCACAAGTTTGATCAGATAATACCATTTTATTCACATTTTAGTAAGTATTTTTTACCATCAATTTCAAGCTTTTTCCTTTTTTAATAGCTGATAATTCTGTGTTTAGTGTCTCATTCAAAGGAAACAGTTTTGTGTGTTATTTTGTAAGCCAACATAAAGACCTGACAATCACACTCCAATATTATTGTATTTCTCTTGGTTGGTTATTAGGTAAGTAGGAAAAATTAAAGGCAATAAAGGCAAATGAAATGTCTGGGATCAGATAAGAATTAGCTACAAAAACTGAAACTATTTGTTGAACACTCTCATTTATTGTGACCCTGGAGTTATCAGCTAATTTTCATTGTTTAAAAAATGTCATCTGAGACAGCAAATTACAAGAAAAGATGAATGCTTCGAATATTGCTAAGCCTTTGTTTTATAAATACAAAAACAGCTTTGGTCAAAGTTGTAGGCAGTGTCATGTCATTAGTGTTTTCAGCCAAGAGAAGAAATAACTCTGGTCCAGTTAGCCTTCCTGTCAGCTGATGAAATTAGCAAATACTGCAGAAAAAGGAACCAAACTTGGACTAGGACTCTGATGTCAGCTATTATGAGTCTGCATGCACTGACACAGACTTGCCTACCCTTACAGTTGTTTTCACTTTAAATTTTTACATGTACTGCAGACTCATTCAGGTCTTGGTCTGATTTGATATTGCCCAATTTTGTGAGTTGGGAAAGTTATTTTCTTAAGAGCTGCAATTAGTTAATCTGAAATCACAACCAAAAAAGATCACATGTGAAAGCTGTTAACTGTTTGTCTCTGCAATGAGGAAAATCAATGAGTGCATCTCTTGAAATTTTAGAGCAGGACTCTAAAATGGGAAATTGTGTGTTGAGTATTGACACAACATTCTGCATCGTACATTTCACCACAGAGATAGAGGTTTAAATTCAGGTTTTTTTTTTTTTTTGCGTTATTTGAGTGTCTTGTCCTTGTTTGCAGAAGTGTCGGGTTGAGTTACAGTAGCTACTTTTTTCATGAAAAGAAAAACCCTTTTGTAATTTCTTTTTAAATTAAGAAAAATCTCAAAGTATTAATTCAACCGTGTTAATCTTAGAAATAATCCCTTTGTCACCACCAAATAACAGGTTCCCACGACGTCAATAGATTTAAAACACTGAAATTCAGATTCAGTCTTGATTTGGCATTACAGCATCCTTTCCCAACTTGTTGTATAATGTTTTTTATTAGCCCCCACCACCCTATGAAGCCACCTCTCCCTCTGCCCCACCTGCGCCTGCACAAACCCCACCCAGCAGGACAACACCCACTGAGCCGCGCAACTATGGCTCCTACAGCAACCAGGTAAGTCTCACGATGCAAAGCAGAGATGCGTGCAGATGCTTCTATGCCTGGTCTCATCATTTTACTTCAGTGCTGGCACATTCAGTGGTAGATGATGCACAAATATTGGAATGTACCCACGCTGATAGTTGCTCTTTAAGATAAGAGCTGTGCAGAGAGTGCTGAGTCTGTCCTTCAGGGTGAAAAAGTGCTGTTATGGCTATTAAAACAAGCATACCCTCTTAGATTCACTGTGTGCAAGCTGGTGTCCTCGACAACAAATCCTGACTTGACGACAGGAGATGATTTTCCATAAATAATTGATTAATGCCTGAATAATAGCAGGCGCTATCACAGTTATGGGCAGAACTCCATCGCTCTAATATTTAAGTCGATTTAATACAAACTAGTGTTTATTTTTCCTCTTAAAACATCGCTGAGATTTCAATCCTGGATGCATAAATTCCCATCAAAGATTCTCCTCTGTGGATGTCTTATGACAGCTGATCTTTTATGTAATCTTATTCATTATTTAGGATGCAGACTCGACCTCTCTTTGAAAGTTGACAAGCTGTTCTGACGCATCATTTACCTTCTTGTCTTGCTGCGTTAAGACCGCCGTAAATGCAACCACAGCGGAGCTCCTGAGGAAACAGGAGGAGCTGGAGAAGAAAGCCCGGGAGTTGGAGAGGAGAGAGAGGGAGCTGGAGTCACACAGCCTGGGACCTGGAGCTTGTAAGAAAAGAGAAGATGATTGTAGATCTTAAGAGAAGTCAGAGTTCCTGACGTCTTTCTCAATTTTTCTCTTTAATAGCTCGTCAGAATAACTGGCCCCCACTGCCAGCGTTCTGCCCCGTGGGTCCCTGCTTCTACCAGGACATCAATGTGGAGATCACACAGCGTTTCCAGCGTACTGTCACCATCATGTACTACTTCTGGATGTGTGAGTTCCTGTAACTCCTGCTAATTGCCGTGATGTGGATTCCCTGCATTGCTGTAGCAAAAACCACCGTCTTGTAGCATCATTAAGAGTTAAAAGCTTGCCAAGGTGTAAGTGGTTAGCTGGGAGGGAGAGCAACACTATGTAAGTGACCGGAGTGAATCTATACAGAGTCTAAAATCATTGCAGCTTTAAAGCCGGTGCTGTTGGACTAGAGCACAAGCAGGAATATTTGTACTGAGCCTGACACCTCTCTGCAAGGTGCAAAAGTTCAGTGAGCGCAAACTGAGCTCATGGTTAATGTTCCTGCCAGACAGAAGAAACTGAGGAGTTTTTCTCAGATTGTGAAGTGATTTGTTTTTAGTCTAGCAGGTAGTAATTTGTGTAAACTACTTATTATTTGTGTGATATGTAACCATAGTAACACAATGTTCTTGTTGTCAAAAGAGTGAGGGAGTTTTCCAAAGATTGCAGCTGTATATGTTCCCTTTATTTTGATAAAGCAGCTTCAAACAGAGTGGATGTGGAGAGAGGGGCTGTTTTTACATGTCAGCGATACACACTGGGTAAAAGTGTGATCACAAATGTAAATCTGGTAAAAGTTGAATGAATCTTCACTCTAAATCCCTAAACTCACACCTCTTTTTCCACCCCTTGTCTTCTTTCTTCTCTCTGTTTTATGTCCAGTCTGCACCTGCACGCTCCTTTTCAACCTGGTCTCCTCCTTGGCCATGTTCTGCGTCGACCCCTCAGGCGGTGTCGGCCTCGGCCTTGCCATCCTCTGGGCCCTCCTTTTCACCCCCTGCTCCTTCGTGTGCTGGTACAGACCTGTGTACAAAGCTTTTAGGTGCGTAAAAGACACAAAGAGTGCATTTGCATGTTTAAGTGGCTGTGAATAAATGACTGTTTTTTCCCTAATGTGAGTGTCAGGAGGCAGGAAGTTTAGCAAAATAGGAACTGAATGTGATAGATAGGAATTGAAAGCTGAGAACACCAAGAAGCAGCAAAAGTGAAGCAAACAATCTGATCATTAAAACCAGTTATTGCTGGTCATAATACATGTGACAACAAGTCAAGTGTTTGTGAGACATATTAGGTATAAAAACATTTTTATCCTTCCTTTTTTCATTAATGAACTTAATGACTAATGACTTTTGTTCTGTATTAACATTTTATCTCTTCTTTTTTTCCAGGAGTGACAGCTCCTTCAATTTCTTCGTCTTCTTCTTCGTTTTCTTTGCCCAAGTGGTGACCTACGTGATCATGACCATTGGAATCCCTGGATGGGGTTTCAGGTACGACTAACAAACAAACTCCCTCTGTGAGGCATCACTCTCACCATTTAAAATGTTTCCTTTGGTATAATCTGTGTATGATGGGGAGAGAAAAACTAATGCACCACATTGAGTTGGTTTAATCTGTTTTTCTGCCTCCCTCCCTTCCTCAGTGGGTGGATTGTGAGCCTGGCTGCCCTGAAGACCAGCGTCCCTGTCGGTGCGATCATGATGATGAACGCTGTTCTCTTCACTGCCCAAGCTGCCATGGGGGTTTTCATGCTGAAGAAGGTGAAGGGAAATTTCACATTATCTTTTAAGGGAGTAGGTTACAGTATATTGTGGTACCATTTAGATAAAAATCTTGCTGATATACATGAAATGAAATGCAAGAAACTGTGAGCCTGCTTCAAAGCAGCATCATTCCTCTCTTGGTCTAGGGTTTAATGAAGCTTTTTCCTTCATCAAAAACTTTTCGACACAGTTACAAAAGTTCTTAAGCTTTTATTAGTCCAGTATTAGCCTAATTTACAAAAATAAGCCCAGTTGAACAAAACTTTTGGTCTCTGAAGATTAGAAACTGTTTGTTTTAAAAACTTATAACAGAGACGTATCAAGACAGTTAATAAAAGTAATGCGATCTGATAATGAAAGTTGATTATTCAAATGGAAAAAGAGGGTTATGGAATAAGATAAGATCAAGTAATTGTAATCTTTTTATGGATGAAACCTTTACTTAGTGTCGTTCAGAACTTTTGATTAAGATTGGAACATTTCTGATCCAAAAAATTACGCTGATCTCAGCAGAAAGCTGCGTTCAGGCCAGGTTACTGGAACAAAATACAACAAATCATTTAAGTAGATCAACAAAGCAAGTTTTCAAGTTAATTCTTTGGGAATTTTGAAATATTTTGCTCCTAAATTGCTGCATTGTTATTCTGAAATAGTAGATGGGCCCATTTAAAGGTTGTAAATAAGTATTTGTCTCTAAAAAGCATCAAGTAGCCTAAACCGTCATTTAGGGAGTATTTAGCTGGATATGACAGAATGAAATGAATGCTGGTGCTTGTAGGTCACCCAAACAAACAAACAAAATCATCAGGAATTGGTTTGAGCTTTTTTAAGTATTAAGTTTTGATGACTAAAAACACTGCCAGGTCTCACACATGGTGATTTGGTCAATCTAAAAAGTTTGTATTTAGATAATCCTAATCCTGCTCAGTTACTTTTTGAAAGACCAGGAGGAAAGCATGTGGGATTACCTGATGCTTCAAAGTGAAAAAAAGAGGTGTCCCAAATCTGGATCATTCCCACCCAGATTAAACCCTTCTGAAAGGCTGAGCCCAGAAACACATCACTGCCAGTGGAGGAGATTATGTGTACCTAACAGCCCTTGATCAAGACACTCAAAATGTCTGATGTAAACCAGGACACTCAAAGAGGAATTTTCAGCACAGTTTTTGACAAGCTGGAAAAGAAAAGACTAAAGAGGCAGAAAGTGATCACAAAAAAAAGTCTTTTAAACCCAGTCGGTCAGGGACTAGCAGGAGAGAGTGAATGAACTGAATTATTTATGAGCACTTTGCTTTTGATTGTCTTCAATACAGCCACTAATTAATGGAAGAAAATAAGGAGATAATGTGACACGATCTTGGTCAAAGAAAAGGAGGGGGCTCAGGACTGTTAAGCTGTATTTGCACTTTCCACCTTGTCCTTGATACTCAGGCGGTCAGTAGATAACAAGCAGTCTAAAGAAAAGCCATGATATCAAGTTCTGTGTATCTTTTTCACCAACACAATGTGCTGGATATGATGAAGAACTGCTGCGTGTATCTGGTGTCAGCTCCCCCCTGCTCTTCCTCTCTTCAGGTCCACAGTCTTTACAGGCAGACCGATGCCAGCTTCCAGAAGGCCCAGGCTGAGTTTGCCACCGGAGTCATGGCCAATCAGGCCGTTCGCCAGGCTGCTGCCACCGCAGCCACTACTGCTGCACAGGGGGCCTTCACCGCTCCTCGATAAAAAGAAAGAGGAGGGGAGGAGGAGGAGGAGAAGGAGGAGGGCCCTCTCAGCCGGATAGAGGATCAGTTTGGTATCTATTTCCCCACAGGTGATTAGCATTCAATGGTGGGGGGCCTATATAATTACCCCTGAGCAGATGAACTACAGGGCACGTGCATGAGACAGAGGTGGGGTTGTCTGTTTTCTAAAGGTGTACAGGACAAGTAATCTACGTTGCCATAACATGAGTGAAACTACAGAAAAATGAAGGTGAAACAAAAAGATGTAGAAGCTCTGTAAAATTTAGCAAAGTTGTGTCAGTGAATGCAGGGAAAATGCTTCTTTTTTTACATGATAATGAAAGCTGTGTGCCAAGTGGAGGCCAATTATGGTTGGACGTTCTTCATTTTAAGTAACTAGGTTGTATATTGTGCCAATGAGGAGCCTTGTTTAAGAAAAGTCAGAAGCTAAGCACTGAAATGAGGCCATACTAACATCTGATCCGTACCTGAGCAGCTTCACTTTTGCTTTTTTTCTCCACTGTTGCTTAAATGTAAAAACTAACAAATTGTTTTGTTATTATTATTTTTCTTATGAGAATGCCAATTTGCATTATTGCCAAAAGTCCTCATACTGTAAAGATTATGAAAATGTGTTGTTTGGTTTTTGATGTATCTGTCACTGTTCTGTTGGTGTTGCTTGTGGTTCTTACGATTTATTAGGTTTCAGGTCATTGTCTCGGTTTTAATAAAATTATATTGTCATGCTCACACATTTTGCTGGAGTTATTTATTCAATATTGTTGAAAAAAAGTAATTATTATCCTGTTTTTTGTTTTTGTTTTTTGCCTGAGCTCAACTCTTTGTCTACAAAATAAAATAAAGCAGGCTACTGTACCCTATGACCTTAACACTAGCTGCTTTTTGGCTGACGTGCGCCTATTTTATGTTGCTAGGAAACTACCTCATGCCAGTTAAAAGAAAACCTGCAACTGAATTAGCAGAAGAGTGAGCTGTTTTTTTATTTATATATATGTCTGGCACCTATGAAATTATTTCTGTTTACAGGAACTGGCCCTTGAGTAGGGGAGACCGGGGCCTGTTGTCACATGGGTAAGTTGTCATATTGCAATTATCTTTGCCACCAGAGGGCGCAACTAAAAAGTGGAACACTAGTTTTCTTCCTTTACATGGTCAGAGGTTGTCTCCTGTCTTAGAAGAGAAGAGCACATTGTGAGCTGAGATGAGTACCAATTAACCATTTTGCACAACCCAAAGTTAAGAAAATTAACTTTTTATGTTTTAAAGGAAGTTTCTTCCAGATAAAAATCCTAGCAGTGATACATGTGGACTTGTTAGAGGAGGGATTAAGACATCCTTTCACACCTCAGTCATTGTTCTGTTTTAAACTAACTTTAAGCTAGAGCTAGAATTAGCAAACATGGTAGTTTGGGGCATCGTGTCTCAGTCATTCTGGGGTTAGTTGTCACATGTTAAAAAGGGATTAAAATTAACATAGATATGAAATGATATGACACAAGTTGTGAAAATGACATGATTACGAAACATATACCTGAGACTTTGGTCCTTCATCTGATACACATTTTGCTTATATATGATGTATTGATTCTGCAAAATATACAAGAGTGTATAAAGTGTGACCACAAGCCCCGGTCTCCCCCATTTTTTTCCTTTGGCGACACCCAACATGCTGGAATAAAACTGCAACTGTTGTCTAGACAACTTCTGGCATCACTGAAGGAAACAGGTCTGCCTCTGAAATCCTCAGGTAAATACAGTTTAATCATTTTATGAACACAAAACTAGTTTATACAAACTTTTTACTAGGGTGAAGTTTGTGTGTCCTGTCTGGTTGTGAATGATTCCAAAGTGCCATCTGCAGACTGGTTTCTTCTATGCCCTTGGCTGGCTCTGCAGGGTCCCTCTGACCCGCAGGGGGACCGTGAGACTTTTATGGGCTGCTGCTCAAACGTCACTTGCTGAGCTGCGCCGTGAAGATGGCGGAGGCTGCGGACACACCACAACACCGGTTTTTCTGTCACTGCTGTAAATGTGAAACTAACCCCAAACTCCCGGTGAGTCGCTGTACTCTGAGAGTACCTTTATACCTTTATTCATTCCACTCGTGCTGCTATGGGAATTATTCATGATGTGACCACTAAGGGGGAGCATACACCGTTTTTCTCAAGTTGACAGATTGTTTTTTAAGAGTTTGCACTTGTATTATAATGTATGTGATCATTGTGGTACACATATGACGGTCAGTTAGTGGTGGTTTGTACGCGTAAAGCACGCGCCTGAATCTCACATGCGGGAGATAGAGAAAGAGGGAGAGAGTCAAATCTGGCGATTCACGTTGCCATATTTAGAAGCACCACTGCGGGCGACTTTGTGTCCAGTTGTCTCCTGCCAACTGTGTTTGTGAGACGCAAAAAAGGGCTGGCTGACTGGCTGTCACCACATGCGCCAGTAGCTGCACACAAACAGGGCTTTCTAAAGTGCTGCATGACACAAAGCTGCACACAGATGCTTTTAACGTGCACACAATCTGATAGGTCTTTGTATCGTTCACTGTAACCTACTGATCTAATCGGGGACGAATCTCCCCCTACTGCCACAGTTGTGCAGCGAAGAGTCAAGGCACAGATATTGTTGTTATGGGACGAGGCACACGTGTGTTTGCATGTGCGAAATACAGTGTGTGAGTGAGAGGGACAGAGTGAAGCTGTACTGTGCAGCCAGAATTATGTGGACACGCGTGCAAAGATCCATTTGGTTTCTATTTTTAGAGTGTGTTTTTGAGTTTAGTCTTTAAGTGGAGGAAGAAAGTTTATTTTTTTTTCAGTTTGGTTAAAAAACAAAGCTAAAGGAAATAAAACTACTTGAGCACCATAAAAAAATCATTAGGTGTGCTTTTAACTATGTGGCAATTGTAAAAGAGAGTCACAGTTTAGTGAGTTAGTTCCCAAGCCTTAGGGGAGAGTGGGTTAAAATGAGCCATTTTTCATATTTTGGATCACTTCATCGAGGCAATCATAGTTTTCTCTCTTACTAGTGTATCTGCATATATTTCAAGGTGTTGTGCATCCCTGCAAACCCACAGAATGAGTGTGAACATAACTGTCTTGATAATATAGCATGCCAAAAAAAGAGGTCTCCTATGTTCAACTTACCCCGTATATGGGGTCTCCCTAAATAACAGTCACTTCTTCACACTCGTGTATTTTTATCTATCATACACTATTCAACTGGTACAATAATTCTTTTTATTATTATTGTATATAACTGCTAAAAAGCTGTTTTGTAAAAAGCCATTTTAACATGAGAATGCCTTTAAGTGATTCAGAACATTCACAACTGTATTCTTGAAAAGAGAAAGTAACACCTTTTTAACAATCTGAACTGAAACTCTGATCCTCTCATCAGACTCCTTTACTTTCTCAGTTGGGCCACTGACTCAACTTACCCCAGAACTTCTATTATGACTTTATTAGTCCTCTAAGCGGGCGGCACAGTGGTGTAGTGTTTAGCACTGTCGCCTCACAGCAAGAAGGTCCTGGGTTTGAATCTGGATTAGGGCATTTCTGTGTGGAGTTTGCATGTTCTCCCTGTGTCTGCGTGGGTTTACTCCGGGTACTCCAGTTTCCTCCCACATCCCCAAAACATGCAGAAGTGGGCTTAGGTTAATTGGCCACTTTCAAATTGCCTGTAGGTGTGAATGTGATCGTGGATGGTTGTTTGTTTCTATATGTCAGCTCTGCAATGAACTGGCGACTTGTTCAGGGTGTCCCCTGCTTTCGCCCAAAGATGCTGGGATAGGCTCCTGCCCCCTTGCGACCCCAGATACAGAAATAAGCGGTAGAAAATAAATAGATGGATGGATGGTCCTCTAAGCTAAAATGGTGGACTTTAATGTTAGGTTTTTGACCTCATGTTGTAGTTCATAGAAACCACAATTGATGTATCACAAATGATCTTTTTTGGTCTGAACACAATTCTCATAAAACTTATGACAGACTAAATTCACTTTTGAGAGTAAATGTCTAACCCCTTTACTCATGTGCTTCTAACCTTCACAGACTCCATGAATTGATGCCCATCTCCTAAATATTTGGTCACATGATCAATTTCTTTTACCATTTCTAAGCAACAGGGGTTGGCTCAACTTACCCTTTGGCTCAACGTACCCCACTCTCCCCTACCTGTTGGCATAGTGATAACAATACACACTAGTTTCCTTTGCAAACAAAATGAGATTACTTTTTGCCTGTACACTCATTGAAAAAGTTGTGAATGTAACTTTTATTATTTTTATTCTTTGACAGGATTTAGTCTGTCCTACATGTGACTCCGGCTTCATTGAAGAGGTAGCAGCAGACTCCAGGTACACAGCAGCTTTGGTGTTAATAATACCATAATTTTGAGAGTATTTAGAAGTATGTCAAAGCATGATAATACGTAAGAGACAGTTCCAGGCTTATGCACAGTTGTGATGATTTTTCTAATACACTGTACAGTCTTCTGCAGGACAGTCCGCCAGCCTCCGGTGACGATTCAAACTCGTTGCTCTCAGAAGTATGTCCTTGAAAATGGAGTTTTGATATAAACACTCGTCTTTCTCAGAGTGTGGTTTAACATGTTTTTTTCTCCGGTCCTCAAAGTTATGGCAGCTGCTGTTTATGGAGCGCTCAGATCTGCTGTCACATCCGCCCTCCTCAGAGTCAGACGACAGCGAGCAGATATCTACGGGTCAGAGCTGTCCGTCTCCAACAACACCCCAAGCTGCTGAGGCCGGAGAACCAGAGAATTCCCCCCTGCCTGAGCAGGAGAGGTCATCCAGGCCTGAACAGTGGCCTGCAGTGGAAGGGTGTGTGGACACGGTACTCAAAAAAACATCACTTATTTAGACATTTCTGACGCAGAGTGCATGGAGATAAACAATGGGCACATTCACTAACATCCATCTAGATACCATTTGAAAATATGAACATGGTTTTAAGTTGCACAAATAGAGATCTTTAACTTCATGGTGAACATCAATCAGTTGATTATCAGTACTGCTCATCCTGTACCGAGCTGCCGAGGGCTGAACCCAGGGTGCAGTCTGACTTAAATATTTTTCTTCTGTGTTGAAAATCTTTTCATTTCTTAACACAGTTACTCTGGGTTAACAGGACAGGACATATAAACACCAGGCTCATGTAAAAGTTTACTAGGAGAGGACAACAGGTTAGTTAGATTGAGTCTCTTTCAAACATGACTGCCTAGTTGGTGCATCAGTTTCACTCAGTCGGTACAGCAGATACAAAGGCCTCAGTCTTTGTCACACTGGTTGTAAGATTAATTCCCAGTCTGGTGTGGTGTATTCCCTCCCCATCCCAGATCTCCTGTTTCTCTTACAAGCTCAAGACCTCCATAAATGTCTGAGTATTGTCAATACCTCCATAGATATCAAATATCAATCAAATCTTTTATGAAGAAAAGCTGAAGTAATTGCTGTAACTTTTTTTCCAGATACTACCCTCAACCATCAGGACAAAGTGTTTCATGTCATTTCAAGTCTGGGGTCGATGAGTAATATCAGGACTAAACCAAAACTGATCAGCGTTACTGTTATTGTCTTTTAACAGGCTAATTTACCACTTTTTAATTAAATTATCTTTTCATTCTGAAGAGATTATTCCAACTTGAAATTCTTCATGACCTCATAATGAGGTTTTACAGTTGTTGTGTGACACTGTATTTCCATCAAGTTGGCACATTGAATATGTAGATCTTGAGGTTATTAGTCATAGCGTTCTACCCTCTCTGTCTCAGTATTGCAGCCACTCCCGGCCTTTTCAGTAACTTTTTACTTTTACTCACTAGAACAACATGCCTCATTTGATAAACGGACTGTTTTCATCTAAATCATGGAGGCATGGCTCAAATTTAACAAGCTCAATATGTGGTTATAAAAGCACACTGATGCAGACATCTGCTTTGTTTTCTCTTTTCTTCTTGTTCTCCTTTCAAAGAATCGTGCAGCAGTTTTTATCCGGCCTGTTTGCAAACAACGGAAACCCCGGTGCTGCACCAGCTACACTGTAAAGACCTTTCACTTCTAAAGATTTGCATCGTTTACTTTTGATTTCATATGAGTCAGCTTTACTCACTCTTCTTCTCCCTCTCTCTCTGCCACTCTCCTCTTTGTTTTTCTACTATAGGTCCAGCATGCTACAGCTTTATGGAAACCCTGGAGATTATGCGTGGGGTCAGGGAGGTCTAGACACTGTCATCACAGAGGTCAGTTACAATGATTTGTGAGCAATACATGTCTCCACTATCAGCTTCAGTGTGGTGTCTTCTTCTCTTCTTCCTCTTAGCCTCTTACAGTTAAACACAAACTATAACCGTACTTATACATCTCCTTTTCAGTCCTTATACCCATATTGTTCTTCTTAGTAAAATGCTGTTGTTTTACTGCCTCTTTTTTCTGCTATCCTTTAATACTTAACACTGACTGTGTCCTCGTCTCTCTCTCAGTTGTTAGGACAGTTGGAGAACTCGGGTCCTCCCCCTGCAGAGAAGGACATGATCTCATCCCTGCCTACAGTTTGCATCTCTCAAGAACAAACAGGTAATGATGAACCTCAAAAACCACATTAGACATCGTTTGACTAATTTGGCTTTTTGATATTGTGTTTTCACTTAATCATTAACCTCAACACCCACTTCTTTTTATACCACACTTCTCTTATCACTCCTACCTTTTCTTTACTTCTCTTATTGCCTTTTCTCCTTCGTTTATACTATTTTACCTCCACTATGTTTTCCTTTTTCCTGTTATGGGGTCCCCCTTCTCTCACCTTTGCTTTCTTCTCTCACAAAGAGGTGCTTGAGCACAAAGCCAGGACAGGTATCACTTGCACCTGTAAACCTCTGAAAAGTTTTATCCAAGGTTTATCATGCTTCAGACTCTCAGTAATGAGTAAAAAGTCTTTTGCCTTCACAGGGGCAAGAACTCTTTTTATGACAGTGCTTTCTGTATCTACCTCTCATACCATCTGGTTTGTCTTTGTGCGTCAGAGTGCAGACAGGAGTGTCCGGTGTGTAGGGAGGAGTACTCATCAGGGGAATCTGTTAGGAAACTACCCTGCCTTCATATCTTCCACAATGAATGTATAGTGCCTTGGCTGGAGCTGGTAAGGATGATGAGTGGATGTGGACGAAGGTTGTTGGCCTTTTGGATTTGCTGTTGCTGTTTCCTGAAGCTGCACTTTAGATGCTAAGCTCTTTAACATGGAGATAAATTTGTTGTCTTTCCTTGTCACAGCACGATACCTGCCCTGTTTGCCGCAAAAGCCTTAACGGTGTTGACAACAGTCTCCCGCCCACGTCAGAACCCCCAGACATTCGCTCCATCCAGACACAGCAACAGGAGAGACAGGCGGACTGACAAATGGGCCAATAACTCTACCTCCTTGAAGAGACACAGAGACTGCTTTGAAATCAAACACATCACACGCCTTGATCCTCATCTGCAGCTTCAACTTTGACTTGATTCCCTGCTATGCAGCTATTATGTTTACTGCAACATCTTAATTTAAAGTTTCTCCTCACACTCTAAATGAGCTTGACAAGGTGAAGGTGATGTGTCCTTGCTACATGTCGCTCTGAGGCTGATTTCTGAATGATAGACTTTGATGTCATGAACTAATCCCCACTCAACTCAACTTAGTTTACAAAGAGATGGGAATACACAGAGTTATGAAGTAACACTTTCCAATGAAGGTTCTTGGTGTAACAATTTCTTGATGCAATTTATTTTTATCTGTTACAGAGTTGATCTTCTCTCCACTGAAAGCTGTTATTAAAGCCTAACCCTGTGATCCACAACCTTTGCACTTTCTTCATCTTTAAGGCACTATATACTTTTGGCAGAAATTATTTGACTAGCAACCACTGTTATCTCCTGATTTAACACCGATTGAATATTTAAGACTGCTTTGTGTGTTTTCCGTGCTTTTTTCCACACTAATGTCAGTGTCATCACAGCGACTCTCGGCGACTCTCCCGCCGAATGCGCACAATGCTACTGCGCAAGTGGTGAAGTGCGTACAACGCTATTGCACAATGTTGGTTTCAGGAAGTGGAGAAAAAACGCTGAGCTTTTCTGCTTCAAATCCGTATACTGGCGGAAGGCGGAACCAAGTTGTCCATAGTATATACAGTCTATGGGCCATTGCTTGTTTGTAATAAACATACTTTTTTTATCAGCTTGCCCTTGTGATCAGCTAGAACAATGTCTTTGTGATTACCTTTGGATTCAGGGACAGAAAACCAAAGAGTTCACGAAATAGTCTTTAAATTGCTCCGGTCTCTCGTTGCATACAACAGGTGCCTTTTCAAGTTTTATCTCCCTGCCCCTGCTCCCCAAAAATTCTGAGTACGCCACTGTCTACCCTGGCAATTGCAGAGTAAAGCAAAGCAGCAAAATGGCATTTATAGAGACCACAACCTGGACTTTCTAATTTCAAAATAAAAGTCCAACAAATGGCAATCCCTAAACTTACAAATGACAAATAAATCCTTACGATTACTTCAAAAACATCATATTTGGCGAAATCACTATAAAGAAGGAGAGCTACAGTCGCTAACTAGCTGCAAATGTCGGCTACTTCATCATTTTTGACAACAGGTTTATCAATATGGTATAAGGCTCCCGTTATCAGCCTCCGTTTCTACACTATAACGTTATGTTGACTAGTCCGCTCTCTCTGTAGCAGCTGAAAGCAGGCAGCCCCGCTGCTGCTTCGACAGTTGACCGTTGCATTCCAGCGAACACACCCTCCACCTACCTAAAACACAGCTCTCTCAACGGCAACCGAAAAATAGAAAATAATGAAACACAGACATCTTTTTCAATGACTACAGGGACCGCAACAACCGCGAACAACCGACATTAGCTCTCCTCTCCCTTCCGCCCTCCTCCTCCTCGGTACGTCCTCTCCCTCCCTCTTCTCCCTCCCTCCCTCCTCCCTGAGACTGAGAATGCCCGTGTTGTACTGACACAGTAGCGATACGGGCTGAGCAGACATGGAGGCCCGATTAACGAGAGAGGCCCGTGCTGACACATCCAGGCCCAGCTAACGGCGTGTCGGAGCGGATTTCAGAGCAACTCGGGATATATACCGGATACCACTCGCTGTAAGGAAAAGGGATTTTTACCACCGAGGAGGAAGAAATAGAGGGAGATCCATTTCGGGTCTCTGTTGATTCAACGCAGCCGCCATTTTGTTGACAGTTAGTGTTTTTTTAATAACCTACGCGGCGCTGCATCTGTTATTTTACACCACAGGAATACAACTCGCCATATTCTTATTTTAAGAGTGTATCTCAGTTTATTTAAATTGTGCGTTTGCCTTTGAAACTACGTTGGAATATTTTTCTGGTATATCTGCCTTGCTAATGCATCGCTAGCCGTTGTAGCTGAGATGTAGTAACACGAGTGCCTACGAGAATGTGACGGAGATGTAAGATTATGTGCATCACTTGCACGGGGTTGTGTTATATTTTCACTCGCTCGTTGCAGATTATTTAGAAGCTGTAGGTGTTTTCTGACTTAGTACAATTCAAAGTAAAGCTTTACCGGGGAAAGAAAGCCCAAAATCGCTCTCATACAGGCTCCTGATAGATGGCTAGTTAGCCGCTGCCAGTGCCATTGATACAAACTGTAACGTTAGCAGAAGCTGTCTATTATTGGACGGAGGGAGGGTAGCTATCAGCTTCGTATAAAATAAACAACCCCTTATCAATACACGAGTTGTTACAGGCGTTGTAAATCTAACACCCTGGATGTTATTGTTCTCTAACAGCGGGGGAAAATAAAATGCTTAACACGCTGGCTCTCAACTTACACCATCATAAGTTTGTGTTTTGGAGGTTGCAAGGTGAACAGTCACATTTTGTAGGTGGTCAGTAGCTGCGTGTGCACTGGCACTGATTTCTGTAATGCTGCGGTCGAGATAATGAACATGTTTTGACAGCTGAAACATTTGTCATGCAATGTGAATACTCGGGGATTGAAATCTAATTTCAGACTGTCGTTGAAGCTAGTGGCCAGGCTTTGGAGTACTACAATGAAAAACGGATTTACACAGAATCTGACTTTTTTTTTCTCATGCTTTCGTTTGGGAATACAGAACAAGATATAAAATGTGGCCACCGCGTTGATACACACTAATGGGGGACACTGCCAAATAATGTGAACACCGTTTCTGGACAATAACAGAGGTGAGTGACTGTGATTTCAGTGGATTTGCTGTTGCTGTTGACACCAGTGTAGACTAAATGGGTTTGCACGCTGTTTCTGTTTGGTCAGCCCCATCAGCTTCTGTTTACACATGAGTATATGCCTGCAGAAATAATTTCTCGACTGCATGCATTGCCGCTTATTGACTGCAGAAGCATAACTCTCTCTCGTTTGGGAGAATAATCATGACTAAACACGGGATGAATTTGCTGACTCAATGTGAGCTCTTGAAATGAAAATAAAAAGTGATGTGCTCACAGACTCATGAGTTATCCCCATGTGGGGCAGTTTGAACAGTACAGGAAACCGAAAGCGGACAACGTTGTTGAGATTGTAAGTCAGACACGTTTTTGCATAACACAAGGGAAAGTTCACTTGTTAGATTTTGTATTCAAATCGTATCACTGTATTTAAGCTATTGGAAACACGGGATTTAGTGTCCTAAGAGAGAGAGAGAGAGGAAGTTTGCATGAGGTTGTTGGTCTGAATGACACCTGTCATTCTGGTCTGATCTGAACAACTACCTTTTTCGTTGAAGTCCGTCGTTAGATTGGATCACTTGCCCTGTTAGACGAAACAAACCAATGGTAGTAGTAAAGGAATTTGGCTGCCTCCCCCCTGATCACTGCTCTACACAAATACCGATGGTGTAAAAGCCCTGGAAATGACACCGCGCTCTGAGGGCAGACGCCAGCCTTCGCGTGAATGAGGTGGGGGGTGGGCGGGTTTGGATACTATTGCTATGGCCAAGGGGAAATCAGCAGTTATGAACAACGTGTGCAAAAGTGAGGAGGGAGTGAAAGGAGGGAGGGAGTTAGGGGAAAGAAATGGGAGGGGGCGCGGGAAGTTGTTTACTACGTTCCTGCCTGCTCTGCCATTTCTCAGCCTGTTAGCCTGATATTGATTATCGATCCCCTGTCTTTCATTTGACATTTCTTATTGCTTTGTGTACCTGCATCTACATTAAATACTTGTTTTCAGAATCAGAATTAAGATAAAATGCTAAGGGAGTTAAAGTTTGGTTTTGTGCCATAGTGCATTCACTACAAACATGAGATGAGAAAGTAAACAGAAAAGTATTAGTGGAATAAAAACAATCAAAGAGCACTAAATAAAAATACATATCTTATGGTTTATGTAAAGAGTTGTGTAGGTCCTGTAGGAATATTCACGTTGTAATACGTTTGTTAAATGTACTACATAAAATAATAAGAAAAATAGTTCATGTGATGTGCATTAAAGAAAAGAGGAGTGTAAACGGCAAATAGAAGCTCAGTATAATAATGTTGCATCAGTAGACCATGATGTAAAGTAAGGTAGTAAAGCGTTACACTGAAAGTAGTTGTCCACTGACTGATATCAGTCATAAACATCGGTTGAACTCTTATTATGTTTCACAGTGTGGCTTTAGAAACCGAAGTAACTGCAGGATTTTTGATAGATAATACAGAAGAAATGATGAACTCAAGTGGTGAGCTTTATCAGTCACAGAATACTGAGCGGTTCTTCAAGTTATCAGATCATTTACAAGAAAACAAGTGCCAGTAAATGTCCCTGTGAGGTGAAAAGAATGTTTTGACTCTCCAGGAGGTTTTTCTCCAGACTTGTGTCAGCAGCCTCTCACAGTGTAAGGTACTACAGAGGCTTATTTTTGGCACAGCTGCTGTCAGGCAGCGGAAGCGGCTTGTATATCTGTGAGCGTTTAGTATAAAAGAATGAGGGGAACATTTGTCACCGCGAGAGAAGGACACAGGGAACAGAGTCAGGAGGCTGGTGGTGGTTGAAATGTGTTTTGGATTAGAGCAGTTGCAGCACGGCAACATCGGTTTTTCGTGCTGTTACTACTGCTCTCCAAGTTTGCGAAATAGAGACAGGAAGAGGTCGGGAAGCTCTAAGAAAACGGTGAAAGCACACAGAGATTGATGGAGTGTTAAAGAAAAGAGGGAGGTGTGATTTGAGTGTGGTATGTGAAGCAAAGGGGAGTCTGCAGTTTTGAGGCGAAATGGAGTGAGTAATTGAAGTAAACACAGAGAAGAGGGCGTGGGGGAACCAGGGGCCAGACTCCAAAAATCAAGCTGCCTCCACTGTGTGGTTCAACAAAAAAATCACTTCTACCTTTTCCAGAGTCATAATCCAAAACAAACAGGGTTTAAGACTCTGCGTACGGTAGATTCTGTTTTTTTCCCTCTACCTCTGACACTTAACTGATGTGACGACTTGCATGACTTTCCAGAGGCTCCATTAAGTGGCTCCTTTAGTGCTCTCTGCTAATGTAGGGCGCAGAGAAACCGCCGGCACGTTGACGCTCTATCACTCACTCCCAGTTGCTGTTGGCGAAGGCTGGGAAAGGCGGTCTGATCCTCTGTCTAGTCCCAGAGGGCCCAATGTGCTGAGGTCACAGTTCTGAATTGCCTCCAAATGACTTCACCCGGAGAAAGCACCTGCTTGGGGGCGAATCCGCATTAAATCACTCAGTGGCCATTGGGAGCTGTGGACAACTTCATTGAATTGTTCTGTCCTCCGAGGAGCACAATTAAGAAACGTGCTGCTCTCTGCTGCTGCTGTGCTAACCTAGGGGAGGAAGAGTCTGACACTATTATATTCAGCTGTTTTCACTGCAGCTAATGAGGAAACTTAAGGGATTGCTCGTGTGGCATCTTATCCTGTAGCACCCTGGAGGAGGTGGCAGTACTATGGGATTAACTATTGATTCTGGACTTTGAGGGCTTTGTTGTTCTCAGGTGGGCAATTCAGAGTCCTTGAGCCTAAGGTTAGATTTCTCAGGTAGATGATCCTTCGCTGTGTAAATAGGTCACACATTGTTATAGCCCATGAGGATGACCACACCATAAAAAGTCATTCAAACAGAATGAAGGACAGCCTCTAACCAAATAGCTGATAAAAATTGTAGCCCTCTGTCTGCTTTCCACCATCACTCATTAAAAGACACTTTTATACCTCTTGGTTTCAGGGCAAAGCTCAAAACTGTCAGTGTTTGGTTGATTTTCTGTTTGGAGGTGACTAATGTGGTATTCTTTTGCCCTCTACTCCCTTCTTTCCTTTCTCTTTTTACTCTCACAGTTGAAGGACGGAGAAAGAGGGCTGGACAGCCGAAGAAGGGAGAGAAGCCATCCAAACACAAGGAGAGCTTCACCCTCACTGTTATCCCCCTCCCCCTTTTCCCCCCTTCACCCCCAACCCACCCCTTTACAAAAACTCTGCTTGGTATCCACAACATCACCTGCTTAGTTAACCTCCACACCTCATAAATTCCTGATGGATCCGAAGATTCAGGGGGGGACGGCAACCCCACCACCCCTTCTCCCAGGTGCTCCAACAGGGGAGAGAGAGAAGGAGGGAGGCGGAGGGAAGAAAGAAGAGGAGGAGGAGAAGAAGAGGGACAGGGAGAAGGAAGGAACTGACTCTGTTTCTGCAGGTGCAGGAGCCGCAGGGGCAAGTGGGCCAGGAGGTGCAGGGGGTGACCAGTCCCATTTCTCCATCAAAGAGAGCAGCTTGTCCGAGGGCAATGTCAAGCTCAAGATAGGCCTTCAAGCGAAACGTATGAAGAAGCCCCCTAAGATCTTGGAGAATTACGTGTGCAGACCAGCTTTTAGGGCCACCGTTAGGCACACGGGGCGCGGGGGAGGCGGTGCGCGAGGAAACCGTGCAGGAGCTTTAGGCGATGGGCCAGGAAGTCAGAGCCAGAGTCCGTCACAAGGCAGGGAAAAAGATGGGGAGAAGAGTCCAAGTGTCAACAAACTAGCCCCATCATCTTCACTATCAGGCCTCTCTGCAAAAGCTCCTACGCCACCCCCTCCCGCTCCTCCTCCTCCCACCAGCATCACAACCATGCCGTCACAAGTGAACGGGAGCGCTCCAGCAAAAAGGGTAAGAGGAGAGCACATTGTGTATTTTGATAGCCTGCATACCTGCAGATTTATCTTTTTTATTTTGTGTACATACTTGAGTCCATTTTTATGACTTAATTAAACAGTTTATAGTTAGTCATCAGTAAGGCAATGGCCCATGACAACGTAACCCTGGTAATTACTATGTTATTGCACAGATAAAGAGCAGAGCATAAATTGTTCTTTAGTCTTTGTGCTCTCTGTTGGCCTGTCTCTATTCATCATGCACCGCCCCCTCCAATATCCCCTGTTGGTGTTGTCTATCCACGTCTCTGCTTGGCCATCCCCCCTCCCCTGCTCAACCCCTCTCTCTGTCTCTCGCTTTCTCTCTCTTTCTCTCTCTCTCTCTCTCTGTCTCCAACTCTCCTCCTCTGTCCCCAATCTGACCCTGATCTAAAGTGTTATTGAGTTGAAAGTAACTTCCCCCATGGGCATGGCCAAGAGGCAGCACTGAGCAGAAAATCTCATCAATGAATTGCAGTTTATAAAAGGGGGAATAAAACCTATTCCTGATTGATTGTTCTTTTATCTTGGACTGTCTTTGGCTAGAGGTTAGGTTGTTGCTTTTATGTGTTTTAACATTAACAAAGTACTCCCAGCGCTGCGCAGCTTTTTGTAATTTTTTAAATGAAACAGCCTCTGGGTTTAGCACTGGTGTTCATCACAGGAGCAACTGGAACACTTCTGTTTTGGCTACGGGGAATAGTGAAGAGCATTTTCGCAACTTTTTGATGTTTTGTAGAACAAATGTTTTCATCCGTTTATTGTTGAAATAATGTGCAAATTAACCGGTATTGAACAAAGCCGTGCACAGATGGGGCTAACATGGATTAAATGACATGAGTTCTTTGTTGTTAACTTTCCATCTCATTTATTATTACAGGGTCCACCAAAGATGGATAGCAAGTCTGATACAAAGCAGGACACGAAAGCATCCACAAACACATCTGAAAGGCCTCTGAACCTTCACCGCCCCCCACCAGACAGCAAAACACATCCCTCTGGAAAGAAAACGCCGACTACACAACCCAGCCCACGTACATCTACTCCACCACTACCTGCATCAAAGGAACCCAGCTTTGACAGCGTGAAGCCTCCTCAATACACCTACAGCACTGAAAGTCAGAAAGACAAGGACAAGGGTGGTCAAAACTGGGGGGCACCCACGGTCACTGAGAAGTTAGCTCAACTCATAGCAACATGTCCACCTTCAAAAACCCCCAAGCCAGCCAAATCTGCAAAGATTGAACCAGCTGCTCCTCTCCCAAGCTCTGGCTTTATGGCTCCTACAGCGAAGCAGCGAGATAGAGCCATGGCCAATAGGAACACATATTCAAGAATGGTACACCTTTCTCCCCCACCTCCTGTTTCACGACCACCTGGCCGGCCCTACGGCTCTAGGAACAAGGACAGTGTTATGGAAAATTCATCCCCCCTGACACCTCTGAGGAAGGAGGAAACAGAGGGGCTGGGGAAAGTTAGTAGCTGCGGCTCTAACAACATCAGCACCAACATGAACAGCAGCAACAGCAGTAGTCGCAGCAGCAGCCCTGCACTCAGCTTTGGCAATAGCCGCCTGTCGGTCATGTCAAAGGACAGCAGCAGTGACAACAGCAACAGTAGCATTTCAAAGACACAGTCACGTTCACCTCACTGCCCACCCCATACTGCATCTTCATCATCTTGTCCCACGTCATCCTCTTCCACCACCACAGCTGAGCAGAGGACGGTGAGTGCAGTCAGTCACATGGGCTCCCCTGCACCATCACAAGGACATTACGCACGGGAAAGTCCGGCTTTGGCAGAGGAAAGCAGTGCGAGTGAGGTGGAGCAGGACAGAGACAGACCCAGGGACTTAACCAAGTCATCCTCTCAGACAGGAACAGGAAAGTCTGAAGGAAAAGACAAGGGGGCTAGTAATCAGTCACTGCGAGGGGAGAGAGGGAAGAGCTCTAGCCCTAGTAAGCGCAATCCCAACCACGAGGGAGGTCGTCCTGGTCGGACCAGTAGCCCCCCTGAATCTTTGAGACAAAGGGCATCTTCTTCACCAGAACCAGATGGTGAAGATGGCCCACAAACACCTCTCAGAGATGACTCTCCAGATTCATCTGTGGACTCCCCTGAAGAGCAGGACAGCAAGCCCCTTAAAAAACGCAGAGGGAGGAAACCCCGCTGGTCTCGTGTTGTGAGCAAGGCACAGAGTCAAAGATCAGGTGAAGACAGTCCCTTCGACCAGAATAATACCATCTTGCCTTTATCTTCAAACCTAGAATCACAGTCGCCACCTGTTAAGAGACCTGTGGGCAGGCCACCAAATCCAAATAAGGTCAGACCAAATCCTGTGCCACAAAGTACAGCGTCACAGCTTTTTCCACCTCAGCCTAAAAAAAGAGGAAGGCCAAAGTCTAAAATGCCAACACTTGACGCCCCGCCCCATGGGTGCCTCCCTAACAAGCTTGCCCCCTCTAAGGTCTTTTCATCTTTGCTCAAGTCCAAAGAAGAGCAGGATCCTCCTGTTCTTCACCCAGAGGTAGACCTCAACCCCCCTAAACCTATGCCGAGAAAGCGTGGACGCCCCAAGCGCCTTCCTCCTACCTTGCCTCAGGAGGGTCAGCCTCCTACGTTGGCTCCGGAAGCAGGAGACATGGGAGACAAGCGATTTCGCAACAGAGGAAATGGGCAGCTTATCATGAAAACTATTATAGGCAAGATCAATAAGATGAAGAGTGTGAAAAGGAAGCGTATTCTCAGTCAAATATTGTTAGGCCCAAGAACAGAGGAGAGCCCTAAAAGCACCAACAGTGGAGTGGTTGGCCCCGCAGAAGCTGCAACCCAATCATTATCATCGCTGGCTGCTTCTTTTGGGGGGAAACTAGGACCACAAATTAACGTCAGTAAAAAGGGCACAATATATATGGGCAAGAGGAGAGGCCGTAAACCAAAATCAACCACAAATGCTACAACACCACCACCAGACCCCTTCCTATCCCCAAACACAACTTCTCCCCTTCATCATCATCAGTTACAGTCCCAGCAACAGCACCAGCTCTCCTCCTCTGAGGTCTTTCCCTCCCCCTCACTGTCACAGTCTAGCGGGGGCCACAGTCCCATCAGCGATGCCAGCTTTCTGGAGCCTGGCTCTGTGCACTTTGCAGGTCACTCTCACTACTCTAACCCCCATCACAGCCACAACACTTTTTCCTTCCCTCCCCCAACCTTTTCAGCACCTAATCCTCGCAACCAGGGCCTGGGCTCATCATCTATGGCTGCAGCAGCCTCACAGAAAAAGTCATCTTGCCGTGGATACCATCATCACCACCACCATTACAGGCAGCACTACCATTATCATAAGCTCTCCCCTCCCAGGCCGCTCCATCCCACCTCCCCTGCCCCCCTCAGTGAGCTAAAAGAAGCCACTCCGTCACCAGTTAGTGAGTCACACAGTGAGGAGACAGTGCCCAGTGACAGCGGTATAGGAACGGACAATAACAGCACCTCTGATCGTGGCGAGAAAGCAGGAGGGGCAGGTGGATTGGGTGGGATCGGAATGCCACACGGGATGGGCAGTGGATTATTAATGCCAGGAGTCATTGGTTCAGCCATGGGTCCAGGAGTGGGCCTTAATTCTAGAGGCAGGCGGCGGCATACGGCCGTGCTGATGGAACATCCCTCACCCTCTCCATCACCCCATGGAGCAAGGTCATCACCTGATCCCCGGAGACCTCACCCAGCAGCCCCCACCTCCTCCTTAATAGGACACAAGGAGAAACATAAGCACAAGTGTAAACGCCGCAGCCATGGGTGCCCTGGCTACGACAAACTAAAGAGACAGAAAAGGAAACGCAAGAAGAAGTACCTGCAGCTACGATCCCGCAGGCTTGATCCAGACTTCCTCGCAGAGTTGGATGAGATTGTTGTCAGACTGAGCGAAATAAGGATAGCACACCGTACCACCGGGCACCGACTTGGTAGTGGTTTTGGCATAGCAGCAGGAACAAGTAGAGTGCCAGGAGTCAGTAGCAGGGCGAGTGGTGGCCTAGGAGGCACAGGAGGACCTCCTCCACATCATTATGTACACAGGGACCTCTTGCCCACCATCTTCAGGGTTAACTTTGGCAGCTTCTATTCCCATCCTGCTTACTCCTGTGACCCTTTGCACTATGTTCGTAAACCAGACATGAAGAAGAAACGTGGGCGCCCTCCTAAACTAAGAGAGTCCATGTCCGAGGTTCCATTTGTACCAGGGCTTGGATTCCCACTCTCAAGTGGAGGTTTTTACCACCCCTCCTACGGCGTCCCCTACTCCTCCGGGCCTCTGGGCTTGGGCTACTACAGAGGCTTCCCTCCAGCTAGTGCTCTGTATCCCCACCCACACCACCAGTCTCCTCACACAGCCCCATCTCACCACTCTCACCACTCACCCTCTTTCCCTCCTCCTCCCCCGACATCTTACATGCATCATCACCCCTCTCATCTCTTACTAAACCCTTCCAAATTTCACAAGAAAAAACATAAGCTGCTCAGGCAGGAGTACTTGGGAGGAGGAAGGTCCCCGGTCCTGTTTCCACCTATGTCCTCTGAGCTCTCCTTCAACTGGCACCACAAACACAAACACAGACACAAACACAGAGAGCGCTGTGCCGAGGAGGACAGGGAGGAAGCGGGGAGAGGAGGATCAGGGAGCCGGGCTGGTGCAGGGATTCCTGACAGCAGCGCAACGGGGAAAGGAGAGAGAGTTGGTAGTTTAGGGATGGCAGAGTCTCTGCAAAGATGTCGCTTTGGACGAGACAACTCCAGCACCAGTGCCAGCAAGCAACCAGCCACCACCTCTGCCAACTCTCCCTCTTCTTCCTCATCCTCATCTGCAGAAAGGTACAAGCGTAAAGAAAGCTCCATGTCCTGTCTCGGCCCCTCCAGGCTCGCACTGGGCAGTAGCTCAAAAGGCCACCACCCAGTAGAGTCGTGGTTCAGGATGGGCAGTTCTAAAGCGGACTACTCTAAGCTCTCACGGAGTCATGTTGCACCTGGCCAGGGTCCCTTCTCAGACGGACGGGCCGAAGACCCAGCGGGCTGCTCAGATAGTGAGGACGAGGAGCCCCTCACACCCACGGATGATATAGAGCCCGGAGCACATGACTCTCCAAATCCAACAAATCTCTTTGCTTCCGCTCTCACCCGCACTTCGCTGAAAGGGGGCAGGGGCAGAAAGACTGAGATGGTTGCAGAAAGTTCAAGCTTTGCCCGCATAGACCGGCCAATGAGGAAGGACCGCTCAGCGTCTGTAGAGAGGAGAGAGTTAGGTAAGTCAAATTTATAAGTTAAATTTAAAGTTGGTCTGAATGAAAGAGGTACTTACATTTAAGAATCAGCTGATAAATAGGTCAAGAGAGTGTCTTTGTGATTTCTTTGAAGTTAGGACATTACAGGGACCAGTAACAGCAGCTGCAGTGATTTTCTTTGTGCATCCATTTGTTCTCGACGCTGTTTTCACAGCGAAATCTCATCACAGTCATGTAGCTCTGCACACGGAGCTTTCCAGCGCGGGCACTCTCTTGACCCAAATTAAATGAGCATCGTTAAAGGTTGTAAAGTCAATTGTGCACCAAATTCATTTTCCAAAAATAGATGGATGCAGCTGAAACAAGAATCCTGTGGCTGAATTTGATTGGCTGGTGTCTGATGAGCTTCATGGCTCGGCACAGTTCTGGTGAAACTGGCACAGTGTGCAATCAATTCGATCCAGTGCCGATTCCAGGGCTACCTATTTGTGCAATAACTCTTTTAGACACTGCCATGTGGCGCAGCAAGGGGGCTCTCAAATCTTGTTTGATCTTTGCTCAGTGAAGCCTGCTGAAAATCCTTCACAGAGCCGCGAAACAGTGAAGTGGTTACAACTGGAACCATCCACACATCAGTTGTGGTTGGATCAAACAACACTGGAAACGCTCTGTTCTGTCTCTGTAGCCTTTTCCACTATCCCTTATTTGCACAAAGAAAATACCAAATGCAATGAACTTCTTATTCTGACACAGAAAGGCCCCCGTAATATCATTCCCTGTGCATACTCCATCTGACATTTGGTAGCTCTTACTAGTGGTTACGGGCTTGGCGAAAAAAAACATGTGCTATGATTTAAACAGGCTCCTGTTTGAGTGTGGAGGGCTGCAGTTGGCTGCATTTGATATTGCTTTTTCTGCCAGATCTGAAGGGGTGGAGTGTTTTGTTAACAGGCTATATATAGTAGGTATTTTCCTCAAAAGCCTACAATGTGAGGCCTCATCCCGTCCTTCAGTGCACACAGCACCTGGGCTGAGCTGGGGTTGCTGATGAAAGATGCGGGGCCTCAGCTATGTTTTTGCTTTATTAGTTTGAGTGAATGACCCTCGCTGAGACTGATAGACATTTGTTTCTCTGTCTGTCTGTGAGTGGCATGTTAGGTATCTAGTGAATACCACCTTAAAAAAAATCCCCTCCTTTGACTCCAGGGTAATAAACAAAAAGTGCTAAGTCAGCAAAATATCACGGTCTATACTTATTTTTTTGCTTGTCAACCACACCAGGTGTCCTTTATCTTTTGCTTTTCATTTGGCATGACTTGATGTCAAAAAACTGAGCAGTGTTGTGCGGGGTCCTAAACTAACAGGAAGCCCTGCTAAAAACAAAAACAGAAAGGCCTCACAATGTGGGCAGGATGAAGCGTGGCATTGGCTGCTTTTAAACAAATCCAGCACCTTCCTGCAGTGTTGGTTGAAAGTGTGTGGATGGATGTTGAACTGTTATTTGGGATAACTTCACAGAGAGACAAACAGAACATGAATATGTTGTAACTGATGCCGTTCTCTGCCCTCGAGTCGATCAACCACAGCTGATCTCTCTTGCTTGGAGTAAAAAAATAGTTTGTTGTATTGATATTTTTTTAAACTTCAGTATTTTGGATATTTTTGGAGTTTTAAAACGAATAAAAGGTAACACATGCTGTTTAAAAATGATAAGCATGGCTACTTTTGACATGTCTGTAAGTGAGATAGGAGGCTGTATGGTCCCCATTTACTGCCTGATGCAGTTCAAACAACAGCGGGGTAATCCAGGATTAGAGCTCAGGACATGGGGTCACCCATCGGTCACAGACAGCACCATTAAGGTACAGGAGGCCAAGGGTGGGAACTGGGCCGCCACACAAGACAAGTGGGGACTGATGTGTAGAGACACACTCTGACAGAAGAGTATGTGTGGAGGAGTACATGTGGCTGATGGAGAGGGGGAAAAACAGCTAGGAAGACTAAGGATTAAAGATAAAGTAAGACAGAAAAGAAAAAGTGTGGAAATATTTGTACTTCATCTTAAAAAGAAAATGAAAGTTTATATTTCAGCAACGACTGTGAAGTAAGCAAAGTTTGCATGGTGGGCTTAATAAACTACTATACTGTATTTCATCTAAGGGATAAAAAAGGATGAAAAACGAGAAAGTGGTCAGGCAAGAGTTAATCCTATTGTCCTCCTGATTAGCTACATAATTAGCTTAATTTCACCACTTAGACACTGTGACTTGGGTGACATGTCTGGAGCTCAGTGGAGTTAGTCTGAAGAGGTATGAAAACAATCTTTCACTGTACCTGACATGCAAGCATCATGTTAATGGACTAGTACAAGTAATAGCACAACTATACCATCATAGAGATGTGTAAGTCAACTATTTTTTGATTTCCACTAAAAAAGAAGTTAAAAAAGCTTTAAAGAAATAATCTTAATGAATGTAAATTAGTTAAAAACACTTCTTCTTCAGTGTACTTAAAAGGGAGCACATTTAAGCTCTTAAAAGAGTGTAAAATGTTGAATAAGTTGTGGAGAAGTAGTTTGACTAGGATTTTAGATCACCGGGTTAACATGCTGAGCAGTGGAAAGAAGATTTTTAGGTCAGATGAGTAAAGGAAGTAAGATAGAGTTGAGACAGTTAGGATGACAAAGCACCAAAGAACAATGTGAAGGAAGAAAAACAAGCTAAACAACAGGATGGTGGGGAAAATGAGGCAGAGTCTAAGATGTAAAATGATGCACTGAAGGAAAGAATGAATTAAAACTGAAGAATAATTTTCTGAGGTAAAAGGAGAGGTGGGAAAAAAGTTTTTGAAGTGGTTTCAGTAATCAAGAAATGAGTACGACCCCAATTCCAAAAAGAATAAAAAAGTGCTTATGACTAGCGTACACATTTGTGAAGGCATCTCTAATGCAGAACAACAAAAAGGTTTTGAAGCAACAAAGCTGTTGTTCAATCAATGTTTTTTTGAAGAGACCATGCATATTTCAGAAAGACAATACCAAACCTCACCCTGCACATATTACAACAGCGTGACCCTGCATTAAATGCGTTCAGGTGCTTAACTGGCCATCCTGCAGTTCTGATTTGTCACCCTTTAAAAACATTTGGTGCATCAGGAAGCGAAAAGTACAACAAAGGAGACCCTGACCTGTTAGTCCGACAACATCCTATATCAGGCAAGAATGGGACAACAAGTCCCTAAAGACTCCAGAGTGTTGTTAACAGAAGAGATGATGCAACACACTGTTGATTATGCCTCCGTCCTGACTTTCGTGATATGTGTTCAGACTTGAAATGAGAATATTTCATGATTTATGAATTAGTAACATAGCATTTAAAGTATTTATAAACCATCAAGTTTTGTTCCGTTTAAATGTTTCAAAGTGTCAGGACTTTTTCAGAATTGGGTTAAGAGCAGCTTAGAGATGATCAGAGTTTAAAGACAGAATCTAATGCTGCTGTTAAAAGCTTGAGAGTGTCACTCAGAGGTGTGTATGTGGTATTAATTTCCCGTTTCTTTGATCAGGCTCATCAGGTATCCAGACAAGAGGTGTTCCCCTCTCAACCTCAGATGTACCCGAAGGATCCATGCACCATCGGCAGCAGCACCATCACCAACCTTCCCTGTTCCACCCCCACAGCTCTGCCTCCTCTTCATGCCTCTCCCCGTCGCAGGACTGTTGTCTGGATTCCTCTCTGTCCCACCACTCCCATCGGACACAGCCCTCAAAACACAGCCTGCACCACGTCAACAAAATCCTGCGTGCTAAGAAGCTGCAGAGGCAGGCTCGCACGGGGAACAACATGGTGAAAAAGAGAGGCCCAGGACGCCCAAGGAAACACCCTTTACCCTCCCCTCCACCTTCCCCACCACCACCAGTGGTTGAGATGAATCAGAACAGGCACAAGGACAGAGCTGGAGAGCGGCCAGCAGGGGGTAGAGGGTGGGAAGGGGACACTGTGACAGATGCTATCGAGTCAGTAGTCCAGGGCCAACGTAGGAAAGGTCAGAAGAGGAAACACTGGGAGAGGGATGGGGAAGAAGAGGAGGAAGAAGAGGAAGAGGACGGGGAGGTAGAGGAGACTGAAGACGGATCGCCGGGCAGGGAGGAGAACCTTGGCAACATGGTGGCAAGGTCCAAAACTGGTACAGGAAGAAGCTGGCTTACCCAGGACAAGCTGCAGCAATATCATGGGTGAGCACTTCTTTGTCTCAGCCTTAGGACTCAGACTAACATTTACTCGAACCTCAGGAATACTCATTTTTATCTCCAAAGCTAGTATATAAAGATCCAGTTATGTAATACAGTTGGAATAGAGTTGGAAACCAAATCTTGGTGCTTATTTTAGCTCTATGGAGGGTAAACCAGATGGCTCCTGCTCCCCTGAGATCCCAGGCACCACCTCCGGGGAACAAGCCCCACCCATGCCCATAACCAGCCAGCGGGAGAAGAGACCGGCCAGACCTCCAAAGAAGAAGTTCCAGAAGGCGGGACTTTACTCCGATGTGTACAAGACTGAAGAGTGAGTCCTGAACAAAGTCCAAAATACAACTTTTTGTATTTCCCAAAATTATTCTTCCTTCAGATATCAGTGCTCTGCAATCAGTTTTCCTGGTGTGTTTGTCATGTGAAATATGTTTACATTTGACTGTTTCTTAACCCTGCCTTGTAGCCCCAGGAGTCAGCTTCTGCAGCTAAAGAAAGAGAAGCTTGAATACATACCAGGGGAGCACGAGTATGGATTGTTTCCAGCTCCTATACATGTTGGTAAGTCTTAATTCAGTCTTTCTTTTCTTTTTTTGCATGGCACTACCTGTTTTCAAAACATGTGAAATTATTACCAAACTGATTTACTCCTGAATTAAAACTGCATGCAGCACAAGTGTAAGTTATTAATGTTTTCCTTTGTCGGTTAAAGCTATGATTACATTGGTTGTGACTCCGTTTCGTTCCCGACAGTTGTAGGTGTTAAGTGCAGGGGCCAATTTCCACCAGTTACATTATAAATCGATTGCCCCCTCTGTTACCTTACTTGGAAACTATGACATAAACAACCAATGGAAACTGCAGTTATTATCTGAAAGTGCTGCTTTCAGATGCAGCTGTGGCAGAGTCATAGCACAAAAGACACAACCATCAGATTTCTCATTACACGTTTTGATACTAAGGAGAGGAACCCAGAACCGTGTAAAAAGGCACTTGACCTTCAGTTATACAGCTGGGGTCTATTGTTAGAGAAACAGGAAACTTCCCCCATAAATTTTACAACTTCTGCAAATGTCCTTTCTTGTAAAATGTCTGGTGTGATCAGCAACGACAGCGTTACCCAGAATTAAGTTACTGAAGGTTAAATGTTCTCACTACAACAGGCCAGTTTTTTATGTGTGATTTCACAGTAAAAACCACAAACACTCTTTTAATTAGATGACAAAGGCTTCAGGGTTTACTCATCAACATTTCCAGATAAATGAATAAGACTCTCCTTAGAACTGGACCCTTAGTTCTTACTGCTATTACTGGCCTGAACTTTCAGTTTGATGCACAAGATGTGTCAATTGATCAAACCTCTCTTTCACTTCCATCACATTAGAGTAACTGATCTATGTATACAGTCAAAAAGTCCATCCTTAGTTTTGACAGTGTGTGTTTCAAAACTGTTTCTCTTGTCACCTTAATTTTCTCTGCTTTGTATTTTTGTTTTTTCTTTCAGGGAAGTACTTGAGACAGAAGCGCATTGATTTCCAGTTGCCTTACGACATCTTATGGCTGTGGAAACACGATCAGGTGATCAATTAGATTGATCTTGAAAGTTTTTATAGTTTTTCCATGCTCACAGTAAACTACTGAGAGTGGAGGAAAGGATTATTTCTGCCTTTTAAACCGCTCTGTGTTAATTAATGTGTTTTTGTCTTTCAGCTATACAAAAGACCCGATGTCCCCCTTTATAAAAAGATCAGATCAAGTAAGTGTGCAGCCAGAATGTAATTTAGATCCCCATCAGTTTCTGTGCTCTTATGTATTTGTTTTATCACTCTGGTTGTCCTGATTGTTCGGACCGTTATTGCCCTTAATTCAGATATAATGTAATAAGATATTAAGAATATCTGATGCTTTTACTGCTGATCACATTTTGTAAGAGTGTCACAAGCTGGAAATGTGAAACAGTACTCAACCATTTGCGTCACAGATGTCAATGTGGATGTGAAGCCCCTTTCTGGTTATGAAACAACTACATGCAACTGCAAACCTCGAGAAGACAAGACTGAAAAAGGCTGCCTAGATGATTGCCTGAACAGGTAAAGTCAACATATTTTTCTTTGAGCAGTTTATTTTCAGTTTGTTTAGGTTTATTATTTCTTCATGGATGTTGTTGTTTTGATTAAAAATGTAACACATACATATGCTGTGAGGAGAGAAGAGTAGTAGCCTCATTTTGGGTTTTTTAATCGGTGTCCCCAGAATGAGTTTTGCCGAGTGCTCTCCCAGCACCTGCCCCTGTGGGGATCAGTGTGACAACCAGCACATCCAGAGACATGAGTGGGTCCAGTGTCTGGAGCGATTCCGTGCTGAAGGGAAGGGCTGGGGTATCCGCACCAAGGAGTCGCTTCGTTCTGGACAGTTCATCATTGAGTATCTGGGAGAGGTGGTCAGCGAACACGAGTTCAGGTGAGCTGATGTGGCCACATGTTATGGAGGAGATTGTTACCTTTAGCTGCCAGACATGCCCTAACTTCCTCAGTTCAGGACATGCTTTATATGTTATATATCAAATGGAGGTAATAGTTCCACTCCTCTTTTCTACCTCTTTTCAGGAGCCGTATGATGGAGCAGTACTTCTCCCACAGTGGCCACTACTGTCTCAACCTGGATAGCGGCATGGTGATTGACAGCTACCGAATGGGCAATGAGGCACGCTTCATAAACCACAGCTGCGAACCCAACTGTGAGATGCAGAAGTGGTGGGTGTCATCGCAGCTTTAAATCTCCTAATGTCCTTGTGTGACTTTTGGGTTCTCACCAAAGTCCAGATTTGGCTAAGCCCTCTTAGGCGTGAGCGTGAGCAGATTCTAAGTTGGTAGGAAAAGACTCAATGAGGAGCACAATAAGAGATAAGCTTCATGTTTAAAGGGGCCCAGCAAAGTTTGAGTTATGGTGCACATGGGTCTCCTGGTGTGATGGCGGAATGTTTATATGAAATACCAATAGGAGCTCTCTTTGTCCATGAGCTGAGCACTACCAGTCAATCATGTACCAGTACCAAAATATACTGGCTCTTGATACCCATCCCTACTCCTTAGTGATTTATTTTGCCGTGTGTTGTTTACCTTTTGTTTTGGGGGTTCTGTTCTTTATGAGTCACTCATATCAAAGATAGTGAGATGGATGTGACGTCCACACAAAGCATGTGTAGTCTGCACACGGCTTGTATGCTGAGGCTACAGTCCTCGCTGTCATGGTTGCTGGTTTAACTCCTGACCACAACTCTTTACCTCTACTGTTCTGACATTTTCTGTCTCTCGTCAGCTGACCTGTGTGCACTGATGTCAGTAACTGGGTGTTAAATTTGTCACCGAGGAATTTTGTGTAGTCTCTGTGTGGCTGTTTCTCATCCTGTGACCAAAGCCTCTGATAATCTCATGTAAGATGTGAGTGTCTTATTGTTGAATGTTTTTAAGTGATCTTAAGAGGAGATTGGTTTGTTATGCTGAAAAAAAATCCCTGAAATGCTCCATGCCTTTAAATGAGGTGCTGTTTGCATCCATGTCTTCTTTTTCCTCCTCTTTGTTGGTGCATTGCAGCACATTGTGGTATTACTGCCACCTGTAGTTAAGTGGAATACTGTGACACCATTGGTGGGAGATTTTATAGTATCATCTGCATGCGCTCCTGTGCATGTGTGTCCTCTAAAGAACTCCTCTGGGAGCCTTTGAGGACTGTTGGGTACATCGGCAGTCAGAGTTTATTAAAGAGGCAGACAGTTTTAAACAAGTGGAGCTGTGAGTCTCGCTGCATTGTTGTGAGAAGAGAGTGGGAGAAGCTGATTGGAAAATGTTCCACCTTGATAATTCAGTATTTTGTTTGCTAAATGCTTCCGTCATTTATGGTTAACGAACTGGAAAATACTAGCCTATTACTGAAATGGCTTCAGTTAATTGCTATCTGTTTGTGAGCCTGATGATAGGGGTGGGTGGGTAATGTCTTAACCACTCGGCAAGAGGTAAGCTGGGTATAATGAAAGCGCCAGAATGAAGAGACAGATTTTCAGTGTAGAAATGATCACTTTGATGCCGCACGATTCTAATAAGGACAAGGTCAGACAAGCCACAAAAAGTCCTGCGGTAGACATTTATTTTTGAACCCTCCTAAATTTATTGCAGAACAGGGCTAACACTATTTCCAGCCACATGTTATTATCAATCTTGTAGCTTTTTTACTACTGCGAGTGTGATTGAATATCAGTAAATGGGGGCTCATTTGCACCGGATTAGATTTGTAATATTTTTTAGAAGTATTTGAAATGATGTGGGTTTATAACAGCCGTACAGTCAAACCACTGGGACTCGAGTTACAGCTGTTTCAGGGTATGTTCAGCAGTATTGTGTTGCCCTAGTTTGGGTATCTTCCATAAGCTCCAAAAGGGACATGTGAAGCAGGTGCACTCCATTGTAAATGAGAAAGCTCTATGTCCAAACCCCAACCTCCTTAATGTGGTTGTGTGGTGGTAATCTGATGAGATCACCTCAGCCAGTCCTGCCAGTGTTCAGAGACCGAAATGGCTTTAAGCTGTTGCACTACGCCAAAACAATTCACTGGTTTCCCGGGGTATTGTTCTCACAGCATGCCTTAATTCACAGCAGTGGCAGACCTGGCCTTAGCTGGCTTCACTGTGTCAGACTTTTTAAAGTAGAAACTTACTTTTGGTCTCATGGTGATGTGTTTCACCTCTAAACGGGGAATCTGCGACATATGTCACAGCAGTTTAACCCTCAGCAGGTCTGGTGTGAGACAGCCAACAACCTAAAGAGAGAGGAATATCAAACTTCAGTGCACTCTGCCCTCCAGCATACATCAGCTCATAATCTAGGGCACTGGACAGTGCATGTGTAGAGCGGCTGTGCTGAAATAAAAGACTCACCAAGGATGGAGGATTTTCAGCACAAAGCCTGACGAGTCATCCATCTTGTCACAGAAGAGAGATTACATGCAGCCGGGCCTTAGATACAGCTGTAGTGGCTGAAGACAATGCGCTGAACCAGCTTTTTACCCCTATAGAAGGAATAAATTATCAAGCGGCTGGCAAACAGAATAGAGCGCTTTATTCTTGGAAGAATGGCGAAAAGCTGGAGCACTGCTTCGTGTTGAGAGGGGAGAAAAAGGACTGACAATGTGGAAAAAACCAGGACAGTCTTCCTGTTCTCTTTTTCTCTCTCAGCCTTTTAAAATACATTCATTTGACTGCCTTTTAACGGCCTGTCGAACATTATTTTGTGTCAAGTTCTCACTTTTGTTTTGTGGTAATTTACTGTTTCTCAATACATTCTGGTGCCTGTCATGTCGTAGCACCTGACGGGGAACATCTTTGGAGCATATAATTTTATTTCCTTGGAATATATTTACCACAAGATTGTATGATCTTAGACATTAATACTATCTTAAAAATAGATGGTACAATAATACACGACTGGAGCATCAAAACACACCTGATATTGACAGATTTTCCCCAACATCCATTAGCTTTCCTGTCCTTAAGCTTTAGTTTCATCTTTTCACCGCTATCATGTGAATGTTCCACTCTCTGACATGACCTCTCTTTGATGCCTCTCTCTCAGGTCTGTGAATGGTGTGTACAGAATCGGTCTTTTTGCTCTCAAGGACATCAACAGCGGCACTGAGCTCACCTACGACTACAACTTCCATTCCTTCAACACAGAGGAGCAGGTAGAGCACCAGCGACCAGCTTTGACCTCCTCATTGAAAAGCACTTTAAATATTTCATGCTAAGAGCTATCTGTGCAGCTGCTTCTATTTTGGTAAGGCCCATTTCTCACTTAATAACTAACTGCACTGTCTTTTTCTCTACTGTCTACAGCAAGTGTGTAAGTGCGGCTCTGAGAGCTGCAGGGGCATCATCGGAGGGAAAAGCCAACGTATTAATGGCCTGCCAGGGAAGACAGGGGGGGCTCGGCGGCTGGGTCGGCTTAAAGAGAAGAGGAAATCAAAACACCAGCTCAAGAAACGAGTGAGTAGTCAGCGGAGAAAGAAAAACAAAAAGCTTGTTTCTTGCAGATTTTGAAACGTCAATATTCTGAGTAATATACCACAGAGAATGAATCCCTGATCGTTCTTGTTCTACTGAATAGATACCACAGTGTTTGGGTAAAATGTTTTAGCTGAAGCTGTTGCCTAGTTGATTAAGGTCATATCAGAGTCTGCCTTTCTAAATATCAGGTGCAGTGTCTATGTAGGGCATGAAATTGTCTGTGTCTCAGAGGTACTCTTAGTGGGACACAAAATGCCTAAAAAAAGTAGCTCTGAATACTTCTAGCTTTTACTTTTGCTTTGAAGCCTTGATATTTTCACAGCAAATAAGCATTATGTAATACTGTCTTTTAAATATAGGCTCAGCAATATACAGTATTGTCTGTTGTCTAAAAGAGGTTGTTGAACTCTGTTTGAGCTTAGCTTAAAAAAAGTTCATATGAGGAGTTCTTAATTTAGATCTCCCTCAACGCAACTTTCTTCATTTCTAGGAAGAAGAGTCGAGTGACAGCAACAAGTTTTACCCTCATCTCATGAAGCCCATGTCCAACAGAGAGAGGTAAGCACAAACACAGAAGAGTGGGTCATGACTGCGCTGGATATATCACTGATTGTAATTATCAGAATACTAATCAGCTGAACAGAAAGAGTTTTCACGAAGGTTTAACTTTATTTGATGCCTATCTCTATAACGCATTATAAATACATGTATAATGTGTTATAATCACTTTATAGTACTGTATAATTATAGTTATAAACACTCATAAGTAATTATAATGCTTGATAGCAATAATCATAACACATTATAAAGCATTTTATCATGACTTACAAGGTCAGGTATTATAATGTGTTATAACTGTTAACAACTTACTGACAATGCCCATATAGATAATGCAATGCAGCTGTTGTTAACAGTTATAACACATTATAATACCTGACCTTGTAAGTCATGATAAAATGCTTTATAATGTGTTATGATCATTGCTATCAAGCAATGTAATCATTTATGAGTGTTTATAACTATAATTATACAGTGCTATAACATGATCATAAAGCATTATATATTTATTTATAATGCATTATAGAGATATGCGTTAAATAAAGTGTTACCGGAAGTTCTTATTTTATCAGTTTCACGCACAGTCTCAGAAAGAAAGTATAAGAATGGTATAAAGCTGATTTTTAAAAAAAAACAACGATTTGAATGAATGTATCCTGAAGCACCTCTGTCACCTCTGACCCTCAGAAACTTTGTGCTGAAGCACCGAGTGTTTCTCCTGAGGAACTGGGAGAAGATGAGGGAAAAACAGGAGCTGCTGAAGAGAGAGGGCGAGAGAGAGAGGGACACCAGCAGCCTCTCCATATACACACGCTGGGGCGGAGTCATCCGGGACGACGGCAACATTAAATCAGGTGAGTTCAGTTGAGGGTGTTTGTGAACAACCTCCAGAGGAAATAAACCGTGTAGCTAATCAATCACCCTCTGTGTTTCTAGACGTCTTCCTGACGCAGTTCTCAGCCCTGCAGACGTCACGCTCAGTCCGCACACGGAGACTCGCTGCTGCTGAGGAAAACACAGAAGTCACACGCACTGCTCGCCTGGCGCACATCTTTAAAGAGATTTGTGACATGATCACCAGCTACAAGGGTTAGTGTCGTAACTATGATGTACAGCACGGTCAGGCAAAATCGAATACCCTTCTATTGAATATTCTCATTAGTATGACCGCGAGGCTGACCTGAGATCTGATCAGACCTCCCATCTGTCAACTGCCTTTACGATAATATCTAATATCTATTAAATAACAAGGCTCTGTGATTGAGAGAGGATGACAGAAATGTTATTGTGTGTCTGACCTCAGATTCAGCCGGCCAAACACTCGCTGCTCCACTGGTGAACCTCCCATCCAGGAAGAGGTGAGTGCATGAGTCTTTACTGTGGAGTTTGGACTGTTTTCCATACTGCAGTGCCACCTTGTTATCTTTTCAATCAGTGTACAGCACCCACATAGAGTAACGGTTTTATCATGTGCTGCGCATCTCAGCCGTGACAGTCTGTGTATAAATAGTAACCACTTTGAGTCAAAACAATAACAGCTGGTTTTTCTGTGGCTGTATGAGACAGTGCAAAGTTATAAAAAAAGAAAGGTTGTTGATTTTGTAAATTCTCAGACTGCTTTTGATGTTTTCAAAGCGACTAATTCTCTTGAATTTGTCCCCCATCAGGAACAGCCAGTACTATGAGAAAGTGTCTGACCCTCTGGACCTGAGCACGATTGAGAAGCAAATCCTCACCGGCCACTACAAGACAGTTGAAGCATTCGACACTGACATGCTCAAGGTGTTTCGCAACGCTGAGGTAAGTAGATGCCTCATTAATTATTGAACTGCCACTCAAGCTGAACAATAAACGGTTTTTGAAACTCTTAAGTTCAAGAAAGAGTGGCACCTAGTGACCAGTACTCAAGACCCAAACTAGGAGCTAAAATTCTCCGAGCTCATGCTGTTGGATGATCCACTGCACGGAGAATCAGCCTTGATTTTGAGTGAATTTGTTCTAGCAACACAACATCAGCCAATCAGGTCCCCGTCTGTTATTTCAAAATGATCTACCTATCAAACTAAATACTCACACGATGTTAACAGATCCTCTCTGCCTGTCAGATCTATTTAAAAAATTATTGAAAAGACCCATGTGATGATTTCATCAAGGTGAACGTAGCAGCAGCATTTGGTCTCAATCATTTAATAACACTGATAAAAAGAGCATGTGTGAGTCTCATGTTTGATCCTGTTCCTCAGAGCCCAGAAACGATCAAAACGCCTCATTACAAGCAGCATTTTATCCACGTTTCTGCAGCTCTAGCTCAGCTCCTTCTCCTCCTCCTGCCTGCCTGCCTGCCTGTCTGCCTCACATACAAACACCTCCCAAGTGGGATATAACTTCATGACCGCTGATCCTCAGCGCGAACACTGCAGGCCCTCTTTGATTTACATCTGTATAGCTTAGCAGTTTAAACAAGTGGCACTTGAAACCTCTCGGAGCAGCTTACTCTTCCAGTCAAAGAAGTTTGAAGTGGATGTCTCAATTAGATTTAGACTGTGGCCCCGAGACCCTTTAAACCAGACTGAATCGAGTGCGAGGGGAATTGTGGTAAAGTGAAGGCTGTGGGGTGTGGCATTTTCAGCTGAATGGCAGTTTAAAATACAACCAGTCTTTTCTGTGACCTTTGTCCTGCAGCTCAGTGTCTTGTCTGAGTGATGGAATGATGCAGGTATAAATCTGAGGTCACATTTGCATTGGTCCCCTTTTTTATATGATTTCTGTCCTCTTGTTTTGTTGCCTTTGAGGTCTTGTTGTCCTTGTACTTAATTGTTTTTGGCAAAATAAAAACAGAAGCCGCATTTACAACCGTCTTGTTCCCCCTTCAGAAATATTACGGCAGGAAGTCATCGGTAGGCAGGGACGTGTGTCGGCTGCGGAAAGCCTACTACAGCGCCCGTCACGAAGCCGCCGTCCAGATTGACGAGATCGTCGGCGAGACGGCCAGTGAAGCCGACAGCTCAGATTCGCTGGAGCGGGACCACAGCCACCACCACCACGGAGGAGGAGGGCCGGGCTCCCACGACAAGGACGACGACGTCATACGCTGCATCTGTGGAATGTACAAGGACGAGGGCCTGATGATCCAGTGTGAAAAGTGCATGGTAAAAAGAAAACTGTCAAATAAAAATAAAGCGTGAAAAAGCAGGAGGGGAGGTCGGGGAGGAATCTACATTTTTACTACCCTAGGAAGGAAGAAAGATGCTTTTTCCATCACCGGCTGATAGGTTACACCTGTTTTAGTGAGCACCTTCTCCTGAGACTTTATCTAACTAAGGAGTCTTTTATCAAGGAGAGTGTGGAGCGATCCTCAGAGAGTATTTTTAGACAAAGAAAACCAGGAGGAATATTGATTTAAACCTGCACAATAGAGAATGAAGGAGAGTGTTGCAGCCGTGTTAGTGCTTGTAGAACAGACTCAAAACATTGCTCTTGATCATTATAGAATGAGTCACTGTCAGTGCTCCATATTTTTCTTTCTTCTTATTCAACTATTGTCTTCGTCCCTGTAGGTCTGGCAGCACTTTGACTGTATGCGGCTGGAGAAGGAGGTAGAGCACTATCTGTGTGAGCAGTGCGACCCTCGGCTCGTGGATCGGGTATGTCTAACCCCCCGCAGAGAGTTTCCTTTGATTGATGTAGTTTCATTTCATCCAGATTCCTTGTTGAGAAATTTCAAATATCCTTCTGTTTCTACACTTACAAACCAAAACAAACTCATTATGGAGTTTGCATTGCTGTTTACTAGAGATACGGCGATTGATGGCGTTTTTACCATAACTGGCCTCACATCTGCATTAGTCCTCACACCAGATACTTCTACCTTGTTTGAACTGGTTTTTATTAGAACATCCACAGTTTCACCCCACAAAGAGAATTAGCCAATAAATGTCTCCTAGTTTCTACATCTTACTACATCTAATCTCTCCCACATGTTTCTGCTGTTACAGGAGGTTCCCATGATACCCCAGCCCAGCTATGCCCAGGCTGGCTCCATCTACTACATCTGCTTACTCAGAGATGACTTGCTGCTACACCAAGGTATGAAAAAAAATCAATGATCCAAAGTTGAAGTCATGAGCTCACAGATGCTCAGAAAGCATCTATGAGTTCATGATGAATCAGTTTTGTGTCATCCTGTGAGCTCCTTTTAAAACGCGTTAAGTGTCATCATTGTGTCTTGCGTCCAGGTGACTGTGTCTATCTAATGAGAGACAGCAGGCGCACGCCTGAGGGCCAGCCCATCAGACAGTCCTACCGCCTCTTGTCTCACATCAATCGAGACAAACTGGACATCTTCCGAATTGAGAAACTCTGGAAGAATGAAAAGTAAGTGAATCAGAGAAATCATTAGTTTGAATATCCAGATTTACTGCATCATTCTGTTGCTCAATGCTTATTCTTTGTATTTGTTTTCACGCTCATTGAATTTTATTGCTCACTGTGATTTCCTGCCCCTTTCTGCATCCACTCAAACTCCGAAGGGGGGAGAGGTTTGCCTTTGGCCACCACTACTTCCGTCCTCATGAGACTCATCACTCTCCATCGCGGCGCTTCTACCAGAACGAGTTGTTCCGCATGCCACTTTACGAGATCATCCCGTTAGAGGCAGTAGTGGGAACCTGCTGTGTCTTAGATCTTTACACCTACTGCAAAGGTGAGTGGGATCACATATGCCGACTTCTGCATGCTGATTTATAGTAAACAGAAACATTATTGTAAGGAGAAAAAAGAGAAACTTTATCACTGCTCACAGCTGAAAGAAAGTACATTTCTTCCCTCAGGGCGGCCAAAGAACGTAAAAGAGCAGGATGTTTACATCTGTGATTACCGCTTGGACAAGTCGGCTCACCTCTTCTACAAGATCCACCGAAACCGCTACCCGGTCTGCACCAAGCCATATGCCTTCAACCACTTCCCCAAGCGGTTAACACCCAAGAGAGACTTCTCGGTAAGAGCAATTGAGTCCTGACAGGGTCGGGGGATTTCCACGCCTGGGATCTGTTACTGATTTATAAACAGTCGAAGATATTTAAAGAGAGGAGGTGATGTTACCGCCCAGAGCAAATTTTTGCCAAAGTGTTGAGACAGACTGCAGCACGATCTAAGAAAGAGAGGCTGACCAAAAACAAATGAGGGAAACCACTCTTGATTTTTATTGCTGGTTCAAACCAAATCCAATTAGCCGTTTTTGGATCTTGTAGTTTTAGCAGTCCTGCATTGGCAAGTGTGTATTTATGGCCCAAGTATGGCTAATTATCCCTGATAAAGTGCTGACAGACTTGAAGAGATGTTGCTTCATCCTGCAACTTGAACAGAGTCCTGAAAAAGAGATTACACTCTAAGGCTTCTATCTCTATCTTTCCAGCCTCACTATGTTCCAGACAACTATAAGAGGAACGGCGGACGCTCAGCCTGGAAGAGCGAACGACCTAAAGGCTGTGATGACGACGGCTCCTCCTGCGAACGAGGAGACGACTTCCCTCCTGAGGGGGAAGACGGCAGAGGAGTGGATGACGACATGGATATGGCGCCAGAAGACCCTGAACTACTTTCAGTCAAGCCCCGAAGAGTAGAACAAGAAGGGGAGGGGGACGAGGACGAAGACGAGGAGGATGAAGAGGAAGGGCGAGACGCCGAGGAGAGAAAGGAGCTGGAGGAAAGTTCCGCTGAGAGGATAGGAGAGATGCTGGAACTCCCTTCCTCATCAGCCTCCTCGCCCCTGCACCACCCGGTGCTGGGCAGGAGGGAGGCCCAGAGGGAACGGCTCAACAAAATCCTACTGGATCTGCTGCACAGAACTCCCAGCAAGAATGGTGAGGGACCGGGAACAAAGCAGGGGGGTAGGTCAACCGATAAACAAGGGTTAACTCTCAGATCACCTGCTTTGACTCATCATTTTCTAACGTGTGTTTCCATCTCTTCTTCATATCAGCAAAGCATGCCTTAAATGTAAACCTGCAGCTGCTTCTCATGCTTCATCTTCAGGCATAAAGCAGCTGCTGGTCGCCTATACAGATAAAGCATTTTGATCCACTTTGACTGTTCCTGCAGGATTACTTGTGGGAACAAGAATAAAGAAACACAACAAATTTTTGAGTGATGTGGAATCCGCCTTAAAAAACACAGATTATACTCTGCCGCCCCAGAGCGATTCCTGAACTCTCTTTTCGGAGGTTTCACAGAGTTGCAAACAGTTTGAGTCATAAGAGGTTCCCTCTTGCAACACTTTGAAGTTTAATGCATCAGTAACAGAGGGAAGCTTTGCCAACCTTTACCTTTTGATATAATATCTTCTTTGTCAGCTCTTTCTCTCTAAGCTCCTAACTCTACCTCCTTATCTCTGCTTCCTCCTAACAGCCATAGACGTCACTTATCTCCTGGAGGAGGGCGCAGGGCGGCGGCTACGGCGACGGACGCTGGGATTTGGGGATTTTGTGGGCAGAAAATAACGTCGCCGCGTGCCTGTCAAGCACACTGCCTTTTCTCTTTTGTGAGCGAGGGGCGATGGAGAAAATGGAGAGACAGCAAGAAGGGAAACGAGCATTGTTGGTTATCTGACCATTAAGGACCACAATGCTTCCCCGGGGGCCTCTTCCAGTTTACCTCTTCCAAGACTGTCATCTCATCTCTGAGAGGGTGGAGGGGGTTTGGAAGCGCTGACTCCACGGCAATTTCAGCTTTTAAGAGTTCTCAAGGAGCACTAGAAGAGAGCTGACCCAGACTTTTTTGCTTATTTAAGTAGTGTGATGCAAAACATCTTTTTTAAAATGAACATAGGAGAAATAACCCATGCACTTAAATGCATTGAATATTAAAGACATGGGTTGATGAATTCCACTAGCAAGCAACAAAACTGAAACAAGAGGTACTGAATAGGGTTGGGGATGGTTTCAGTCAGTGGGGATGTGAATGCTGGAGAACTGCTCCCCCTTGTGGGACCTAGCTGCAATGACAAAATATATTAGACGAGAGAAGAGCTGCGAGGGGGGGGGACGGCATAGGAGAAATGTAAGTTGAGCAGTGTGCTCAGATGCTGCTCATTAGAGAGAGAGAAGGAGGGAGGTGAACTGCACTTTTGGTACCATGGATATTGTGAAGCTCTGTGTAATGTATCTGTAAACGAAAACACACTAACACTCTCACAGTATTGGATGATGCAGTCTGAAAAAACGAGTAAAAAAAAGTCTATTATCTTTTTTTTCCTGTTATACTGTAGTATCTCATGTAGGAACAGAAGAGGATTTTGGGGTGTGTTTGTTTTTAGACTAAAGGGAGGGGTGGGAAGATAAATGTGCGCTTTTTGTCAAAGTGTCTTGTTGAGGTTGAGTTTTTTTCTCGTGAGGCAGTCAGCTTTGCCCCTCTTTCTTGAAGTAACATGATTCACCAGCTTAACTAAATCAGGCATGCAGGGGTGGGGGGGTGGGGGGGTGGGGGGGGGACACCGGCTTTAACTGTAATGCCTTACACAGCCGAGCTCTCCTGACTGCCTTGTGTGTGGACACACTTATTGTGTGTCCGCCAGACTTCTTGAAGATATACCTTTGTAAAAACAAAAATGGAAAAAAAATCAAGGGCTCGATGGCAATTAACAGTTTTAAGAAAACTATGGAAAACAATACTTAACATGAAATGTATCGTGACGGTCATATTTTCTTATATTCTGTGAGACGGGTGAGGGGTGGGGGAGGTGTCTACTGTATATCGGGAGGGGAAGATTGCTTTTTTTGTCTTAGACTTTGTTCCTTGTTGCCATGCAGAATGTTTTAAAAAAAGAAATTGTGATATTTGATGAGATTTCTTGCCCCCCCCCCCCCCCCCAAATGCCTCTGCTAAAAAGGGACAGTCTGCAATGTCCCGGTGAGATAAACTGACAGAAAGACAAGAGACAAGGATGAGACACTGACAGAGAAAGGGGTGAGAAAGAGAGAGAGAGAGAGAGAGAGGGGGAATGGGAAGCTGTACAGTGCCAAGTTCTGTAAATATACACACTTTACATTGAGGAGTGTCTCCAAAAGCAATATCTTGAAAATGGATTTTGTTTATTATTGTACTGTACAGGACTCAGCCCTAAATGTATTATGATTATTATAATAATGATAATATTATAATTTCTTCCGTTTGTATTACTATAATGAAGACACTTAAGGTCGGAGGAAATTGATTTTTTAATGTCCTTAAAATCTCACCTTAATGTCCTGACGACATAAAAACTTAAGCTGAGTTTTCGTTGCCTATAAATGAAATTCATCTATGAACTGCATGAGCGAGAAGAATGTCAAACAGACACAGAAGGCATCTGGACATGACAGTGACTCAGCAATGACACCTTTTGTCACTGAATATTGTTAATAATATAACTTTTAAAAGGAGAAATGTACTCCTTGTTTTTTGCTGCAAAGTGTTGAACACTAAAAAAACAAACCAACATAAAAATGTTATGATATTTTTAAACAGCGAAAGAAGCAAAATGAAAGCTGTCAGCCCGATATCATGTTATAATTATTATTTTTTTCTTTTCTTTTTTTCTTTCAAATAGGAAATGGTTCCGTTTTGTGATAGCGGTCATTGTATGATGCTTGTACTTGTATTTGTGTGTTTTTGTGTGATTTGTTTAGTTATTTTTAGACAATCACAAAATAAGATGCAAGCATTGTAAATGGCAGACTGGCGGACATTTTGTGATGTGTACAGTTTGTCAAAAAAAACTTCTTCCACTCGTTCAAAGTTTGTAATTATGATTCTTAAGTCATGAAAAATGCTGTTGGTTTTTACTTTTTTGTTTTATATTTGTTTTTTGTTTGTTTGTTTTTTTAATAAAAAGCACTACATTATTGTGAATACAGTTTGTTGTCATGTCTCAATATATTCAGGTTAACTTAGACACTTCGATCTTATCACCGATGTAGTTTAAGTCCAGCTGCACATTCACAGTTAGTGTAAAAATCTGGATAAATTGACTTATCTTTGATGGGAACTCGGAGATTCCTGATAAATTTAATACCTGATAAGTCAGCAGTATGAGTACAAAAAGAATAGAATAAAGAATAGAGACATCCAAAGGTTTTCAGCGCTCTCCTGTATCTAATCTTAGAAGCTCAAAGCTGTATCATCCGAAATAAAAACGCAATCTCCTTTGTGATAAATCAAAAAACCTTCCCTTTCACAATTTCCTCACGTTTTTAGGACCAAAATACACACAGGTCAGAACTTCTTTTGAGATTCAACAAACCAAGGAAGGCGATACTTTTCCACTGTTGACAACTGCTGATACCTAAACCTAATAATGTTGAAGTTATCTCTCAGTTCATATCACTTAAGGACAAGTTGGATTGAGTTATTGTGAGTAACAATGCATGAAGTAGATACACAGAAGTGGTCCCTGAGTGTGGGGTTTCAGGGTCTTTCATCCTCGCTTTTTCAGTCTTCTCATATCTTTGTGATTATCCCCAAATATAGTCAAAAGGCATTTAAACAAGTCCCACTTGCACATGGACTCATCCTATTCATTATGCTTCTGCAGTCCTTGCATAGTTTGAGTGTCACACTGACCTTCTCCTTCACCTTATCTTTCATGTACAGTGGCCAAAAACAGCCAAATAGCCCCTGCTGAAAATAAAAAAGAATGGAAGCCACGACAGTAGTTACAGATGCAAAAAAAAAAAAAAAAAAAGAAAGAAACCAAAGCCCGCTGCGAATAAAGAAAGAAATGGAGCAGTTTGAAAAAAAAAAAAAAGCCACAACGGAAGTTAACAATGCAAAACGTACGTGGTGTTGCAAAAATAAATAAATAAATAAAAATAAAATATATATATATATATATATATATATATATATATATATATATATAAAGGCACAATGGAAGTGAGCTGCCGGGGACCAATAATGATGATGCACCAGCGTTTTACGAGCGTTTTTTTTTTTTTGCGTTGTGATTTTCCGTTGTAGCTTTTTAAAAAAATCTGCACCATTTCTTTTTTTCTTTTTTTTTTATATAGGGAACTTCTGCTGTGGCAGTTCTCGGCCACCACAGCACAGCGATAAACTGACTTTCCTTGGTTAAAAAAGTTTTGTATATCTTAACTTTTTACCTTATCGATAAAACTGTCCACACATCATGTCAGGGCGTGTTTGAAGGTTAATATCTTGCTTAGGATGTGACATACTGTATATCAATCATTAGATGTATTCAAAATAATCTGGAGAGCGAGAAAAGTGGAACTACCGACCCCGGTCTCCCCTACTCTTGTTGCCGTGAGTTGGTTACCATAGAAACTGCAGCGAAGCCCAGGCGGAAGTTTAGCTAACAAAACATCGTCGCCAGCTCCCTGGTTGTTCTCTAATATTTCGGCTTTACGACACAACAATGTCCAGAAAGAGACAAAAAGAGAAAGTGGAGAAGGTGAATACAGAGGAAGAAGCCCCGAAAAACACAGGTTAGCGAAACAGACCAGCTCATAACTGTGAAGTTGTTCCATTGTCAGCCTTCATTCCCAGATCAGAGTGCTGATCGTGTTTGTCCTGAAGTGTTGTCATGCTTTCACCTCACATTACAATATTACAGCAGTAGTGACAGACCTTACTATGACCCCCAACCCTTTATTTCATTTAAAGTCACCACATTTTAACCTTCCTCCTGTGTTAGCTTTCATTTCGCACCTACTGTGTTTCGACCCATGTCGTAAATCAGCTGCAAATGTCACTAAAAACATTTCTCTGTCATCCAGTTATGTTCTCATTTCTTGTTAGGCTTTATTATCCATGAAAATGTTGCTTATTATAGTTTTGGTTGTGGGTTTCTGGGCCTTTCTTTGTCATCTGAATCACCAGCTGTGTTTCCATGTGTATGAAACCCTCTTTTTCTATCAATTCTGCTCTGTTTTTGTTTTTTAGGACAGACTCTGAATGAAAAATTGCCCACTCAGACATTTGGTAAGTAACAGCATCAAGCTGTCTGTGGATAACAGATGAGAGTCATATGGCCGATACCTTAAAACCCTGCTATCCCACAGATGATTATCAGTGTACAGGAAATGTGAAGATTGACTTTCCCAGGCTTTGTGCTCTTCTGGACATAAAGGACATCCCAGCTGTCAGCACCAGACAAGAGGGCTCATCTAACAATGACAATGAAGGAGCGGAGAATGGTAAAAGGCCGGTTCTAAGATTTGCGACATTGTTCTGAAAAAATAATCTGTGAAAAAGACCCAGTAAGATTTGGTTAATTAGTAACTTACTCTATCGTACTGCAGGAAGTTGAAATTTGCAGCTTATTAATCTTTAAAATCTTGGCCTTAGTTAACTTTTAATGATCTATCTGAGACTTGCATCTGTATCAGAGGTCAACCAGTCCCACAGTAATGCTCACTGGTCCAAGCCGCGCCTCCAAGTGGAGCTGGAGAATGAAGACCCCTTAAGTGCCAAAAGCCTGAAGATTTCTGGTTAGAAGAAAAGCACATCATACAAATTTTTCAGACATTTGTAATATTTAAATAACATATGTAAGTGTCTTGTGTATGCACAGGATGGAGGGTTGATGAGCCGATGTCAAGGGTGCTTCAGAGGATGCTTCCCTCCTTGAGTAAACTACAGAGCCTTCAGTAAGAAAAGCATAATGTTAAAGCGTTAAAGCTACGATATAGTCTATGGCTGCAAGTGTTTACTTGTTGTATGTTTGTGTGATTTCGCTTTCTGTGCTGGAGATTTTGGCAGGCTGGGCTGACAGATCAAACAGTGATCTCCTTCATGAACACAACGTCACTGTGCTCCAACCTTAGGTGCGAGGACTCTACTGTTGTTAACATTGCGAGTTAACAGAATTTTGTTTTGTTTTGGAGACAGGATGTTGTAGAGAGGGAGAAAACAATTACATTTAAAATACACTTATTTTCTAGACAACTGAGTATACTTACTACAATATTCTCCTCCTTTTTGTTTCAGTTCTGTGACTTTGGAGGGCAACTTTCTTCCTAAGCAGAGCTACCACCTCCTCCTCTCTGAAGACAGTGTGTAAGTCCTATTCAAGTTATGATCAGAATACTTGAAAGAGAACTATTTTTCTGAATAATAAAATTAAATACACATTGAATTTGACTAAATATACAGAGCACTGAAGCGGCTCTGGTCAAGACTTATTGCTCACAGTTGATTCTGGATTGTACTTTATACTAATTCTTCTTGACCTTGGTCCAGCCTTTGATACAGTTGATCCGTCAAGCAGGTCTTTTTTTCTTTAGTGCTCGGTATTGCTGCCTTCTCTTGAGATTCTCTCTCATGTGGGATCCCCCAGGGCTCTATCTTGGGTCCCCTTTTATTCACTGTATACATGCTCCCCCTGGGGCAGATTCTGCATCTTGTTATAGACTTTCACGGACCTTGTCTTGGACATAGAGTTATACAGCCCTACTTTGCTCAGCTTCGACAACTTACTAAAATCAGGTCTTTTCTTTCTCCTCCTGACTGAAAAAGTTATTTATGGATTATTTTCCAGACTGAACGACTGTAATGCCCGTCTCCAGCTCCCTGCGAGTTTTAGATTTTACTGCTTGTTTTTAAAGCTTTAAATGGCCAGACTCCACCCTCTATCTGCAAGTCGCTGACTCCCTATAAGCCTGATTGAAGTCTTAGGTCCTCTAAAAGGATCCTTCTGATAAATCCTAAATTTTAACTGGTTACAAGAGGTGGCCAAGCATTTGCAGTTTGTGCTCCACAGATGTGGAACTCTCTCCCTGAGGATATCAGATGAGCAAAGTCCTCTTTGAAATATCTCCAGAAAACTCATTTTATTTCACAACAGAACCCATTCTTTTTTAAGCACACATAGTACATAGTCCATTTTAAGTCTTCAATCTGATTAAATCATATCAAATTAAATCAAATCAGCCTTTTCAAATTAAACTTCCTTTTCTTCTCTTTGCTTCAGTCTGACTCACTTGTCCCTGCGAAATAACCAGATGGGAGATGAAGGCGCTCGCCTAATTGGGTCTGCTCTCTCAACGACCAGATCTGCGAATAAGAACCTCCGGTCACTCAACCTGTCCTTCAACTCTATTGGTGATGCAGGTGCAAAATATATTGCACAGGTACAGTGAAAACCCTGACTCCATATGTCTCTCTCTCTGCTCCTGCCATGGATACTTAGGTGTTGCTTTTGTCTCTTAGGGCCTGCGTTACAACCGTGCTCTGCTCTTCCTCTCGCTGTCCAACAATTGGATCGGAGATGCAGGAGCTGCTGATCTTGCTACGGTGGTCTTTTACATCATGAAACTTAACATGAGAGATAATGCATCTAAACAAATGATCTTATTTGTTAAGTCTCCCTCTCTAAACCTGGCCATCTACAGATACTCAGGGATTTTGCTCTAACTCATGAAGAAGTTGTGGAGAGGAGGAAGCTGCAGCTGGAGAGAGCGCAGTTATCTTTGCAGTCATCTTTTGTGCTTGATTCTGACCGATCACCATCGGACCAGCTTCCCTCAGTGCCCAGCAGCTCTTCACTGAGCAGCAGCAAAGGCAAAAAGAAGGTAAAAATAACAAAGAGACAGATGTGATTAAGTGTGCCATGTTTGTCAAATGACATCTGTATTTTTGTTTCAGGAAACAAACAAAAAGGCAGAGAAACCAGCAGCGACCAAAGAGAACCCGAAGCTTAACAAAAAATGTAACTAATACTTTTATACTATATATAAGCATTTATTGCTTCTTCGGGATTTTCATCTGTGTATTTATACTTTTCTTACAAGTTATGGAACATTTCTTGATAATCTTTTTCGACAATTTCTACAAATTTTCCCAACATAAAACAAAACTTAAACATTTTCTTGAGTTTGAAGTGCAGCTTATGTCTCTCATATCTTCTCTAGCTTCTGATGTGAAGGTGTCTCAAAGTAAAGGTAGCAAGCCCGGGGGTAAAGAGAAACAACCACCTTTACAGGAGGTACCAGAGGTATGCTTTCTGAATCTGTCTGTACTGTAACTAGGTCATCATGCACTGTGCCGTATATTTCCAACAACTATTAAGCCGGTTTGACTTAATTTTTCTGCAGGTAAAATCCAGTACCAGCCTAATTGAGGTTTGTACGATATAATTTTATGTTATCTTTCAAAAGTATGCCCTCCATGTTGACTCTGTTTCTGAATCATGCACTTGTTTCCTTGTCTTCTGCTCCTCCTCCAGCAGATGGAGGAGACAATCAACCCCCTGCTGGACCAATCAGTGCAGTACAAGGAGGGCAAACTTTTTCTGCCTGGAAACACGACTCTCGTCTCCCTCAACTTGGCAGGTAAGTGTTTGTAAGCGGTGTATCAATTAAAAAAGGGCATTTGCTCAAATAATGCGCTTAAAGCTCTTACCAGGAATTGTTGAAAGTTATGAAACAGACTGAAAGGAACGATGAGAAAAGGAAATGAAACCTACGATCACATCATTTTTAAATAGTAACATCTAATGCCTGTAACTGAGGGGATCGGTACGCTGAAGGAATACTCTGTGTGTGTTTGTGCAGGAAACAAAATCACAGAGAAGTCACTCCCTCTGTTTCTAAAATTACTGCAAATGCAAAGTGAGGGAGGAGGAGGAAGAGGAGGGGGCCTGCTTCGGCTCTGCCTGCAGGTGAGACACTGTGTGTGGGGAGGGCATCTGTGCAAAATCACTCTAGGATATAAAATACAACTGCAGATATAATTATTCATGCCTTTGAAGAATTAATAATCAGCTTTTGTTTTATCATTACAGTTATTTTTACTAATCAGAGGTCTTTGTGCTCCATGTGTTTGTCTTCGTGTATATACTACTAACCACAGGCACACTAACTTCAGATGAAATCTACAGGGTTAATCTTGGTGAAAAGAATTATGAGGACAATTAGTACAATGATTTCTGTTCTCTCTTCCAGAGAAACAGCTTTCCATCAGATTGTAAGTATTATGTGAAGATTAAGGAGCTAATAAAACTTGTGGATCCACTTGAAAAAAACAACCATGAGCCAACAGAAGAGGAGGGACAGAAGTCGTAGTGCTCAGAAAACTATACAGCACATATGCAGTCTTGTACTTTGAATTTATGTATAAAAAATCAACTTCCTTTCATAATAAACTACATTCTCTCATTCCTAACATGTGCATTAGTGTTTCTTTCTTTATGAAGGACCTTATTTGAGTTTTGGAGTTTCTTTGTAAAACTGCAGTAAAAGAATAATAGCCCAGAGAGAGAATTTCATACTTAAATAGCCATGACTTTTGGAGATATCAAAGTCATTTTTCATATTCAGGCTACTGAAGCCTGATATTGGCTCCAGTTGGATTGTTGAGATAATATTTTAAAGAAGTTTTCCGAAGTTCCTCAATTGAGGCTGACCTTTACAGTGGAGTTTAGGATGTAAGAGAGAGACTCGCATTCGATACATCTCGTTGCTTAATAAAAAAAATGGTTAAAAGTCTGTTTTTGCTCTCTTGATTTCCCCAAAGTGAAACTTATTTTTTGAGGTCTCCTTTTGAAAAGATCTCACACTCCTTTTCTAAAAAATTATTTTTGCAAAAACAAAACAGAACAAACTGAAAACTATCGTTTGTTTTCATATTAGTGTACCATCACAAGCTCCATGAAGTCAAATAATTCATTTGTTTAACATGAATGAGGGTTAAATAGAAAATAATCATATTTTACATCCAAGAAGTAGTTCTTGACTGAATCACTAATGGAAATGGAGACATTGTGTATATTTTTCAGAGGGGTAGCTACATTCATTTGAGAGGAATCAAAACTTTGCAATACCAAGACTTTGTGGCATACAAAGATACATAAGTTACAATATAAATTATGACATTGGTATCATACATTCAGTTCAGATCATAGAGAGGACCTTGAGGCTTCGTAGAAAGTCATGGTTTGAATTGCTTTCATATTTGTTAGTCCAGTTAGTGTTTTAAAATATATCTTCGTTTCATTTTTAAACTGGTGGATATTTGGTTTCTTTTTAGACCATTTACATTTATGTATATAAAATCTTTCATACAAAGTAAGAAGGTTTAACAAAAAATATGATTTCGGTCCATGTTCTTTTAAAAAAAACAAAATAAAAAAAACCCATGTCTAAACATGCATTGTCGCTTTCCCGTATTGTTTTTCTCACTGTTATGTTATTTCAATATTATTGAACTGACTCTGATGTTTGGAATTGTAATTTTGTTAGCTTTGAATAAAGCATAACAATAATAATAGTAATAATCACTAGAGCACCTAATAACAAAGAATTTTTTATTTTTTTTTTTCAATAGAACTTTATCGAGCGTTTAACAGAACAGGACAATTCAACACACAAGCAAGAAGGAGTTTTTTGCCAGGGGGCCACACGTAGGAAAACAGGAGTCTTTACAGAAAAACATCAAAGAAAGTTCATAAATGTATGGTCTTGATAGCTTTGCTATAAGTAGAATTTTCAATAGTATTAATATGCAGCTTGGTTTTATTTTTGAAAAAAATAAAGCAAGGATTTTTATTTATATATCTACATTTATGGATATGCCACTCAGCCAACAAAATAATAAGGTTAATTATATAATAATGTTTGTTTTGTATAAAGGGTATAAAGAAAGTGAAACCAAACAGTATATTTTCAAAACAAAGTAAAAAAAAAAAAATTTGGACCTCACAAAAATGGCCGCCAGCTCGTGTAAATTTCGTCACGTCCGGCTCGGGCTCAAAAGGAACAACCGATATGAACCCCTCGCTTCCGGTGATGCCTCCTTTTCGGCAGCGGCTATTTCCTCGCCAACATGCCAGTGAGTATTGAGAGGCCTTCGAAAGATGACAGTTTTACCTTTTTATCGAGTCCGTCAGAGTCCACACTCGGCTCTATTGTTAGGTTAGAAATTAGCGATCCGGCTCATGTCGGTATTAGGTGAATCCGCTGAGTTTAGGTCTCAGTTTGACACGAATAATTCTGCACATTTGAGCGCATTGCGAGCGCGTTGTGACACAAGATGGCCGCGCACAGAGCGCAAACATGGAGCCAGTTCATCAGCGGATCTGAACTAAACGCCACGAAAGTCTGCTATAAACATTCGTGAGGCTTTCTGTCGGTTTAATTTAAGAGTGATGGAGAGTTTGCGCAGAATTGAGCCGTAAATATTCAAAGAATCTCCATCAGTTGAGAAAAAATGCGTAGTTACCTAAGCATAAAATACAGGCCTGAAGAGCCTGAGCACACACATACCCTGAGTATTTCAGACAGTAACGATGCTAACAGAAAGGCTAGCGCTAGCTTTGGTGCTCCGAGACAAAACGCAGAAAATATTGAACTGGAAAACTAAGATTTTACCGAAATATCAGTTTTTTTAGTCAGCAACTAAAACTGAAGCTGGTCAGTCAATTGACAGCTTCCCGATTCTACCCTGTTTTAATTCTTGTTTTGCTCAGTCATTTCTTTTAATTTCCTTCTCCATCAGCTCGCGAAAGACTTGTTGCACCCATCCCCTGAGGAGGAGAAGAGGAGGCACAAGAAGAAGCGTCTAGTCCAGAGTCCCAACTCTTACTTCATGGATGTGAAGTGTCCAGGTACTGGTGTCATTTTATTCAGAATGGTGGATTTCCACACTTTATGACTGGGTTTGGTTTCTGACCGACTCCTTTATGTCTTTTAACAGGATGCTACAAGATCACGACAGTGTTCAGCCACGCTCAGACAGTTGTGCTGTGCGTGGGCTGTTCAACAGTCCTGTGTCAGCCCACTGGAGGCAAAGCACGTCTCACAGAGGGTCAGTATCTAAGGACAGTGGAAATGAAGTCATAGGTCTCTGATGTTGACATTAGTATAGTTAAGTGACTATGTGCAAGTAATACATTCAGAGGAAGGTGATGTTGTTGCATGTTACATTGAAATTATGCCCTGGAAATTTATAATATTCAATTGTTGATGCAAATTTCTGGAAGTGGTTCCTTCAACTGCAGGAGACTCTGCCTCAGACCCCAGCAAGTGATTTAAAGGACATTTTAAGTGGTTAAAGTAAAGACCAAATCCTCTTAAGTTGGCTGACAAACAGCAGACGTGTGAAGCTCAACTTCTAAAATTAAAACTAGTTTTCACTCATGGCTAATAAAATTCAGTAAGGGTTGAATAATGCTGCGTTTGAGTTACCTCAGAAGTCCGAGCTGAAAATGACGCCACATCCAAGTTCTGAGTTTTTCAGTTACCAAGTCGGTAAAAAACAAAATGGCTACATCTACGAAAGTTATTTTTGCCTTGTCCGAATATATGGCAAGCGCTAAAATAACTTTTGTAGCTGTAGCCATCATGTTTCAGGTCTGATTTTGCTTTTTTCTGACTTGATAACTGTAACGCTCGGAAGTCGGGTGTGGCGTCATTTTCAGCTCCAACATCTGAATTCCGAGGTAACTCGAACGCAGCATTAGTTCTGAACTAAATGTCTTTGACCAATTCCTGTTACGGGTACTGTCTGCTATAACAATTCTTCCTTGGGTGTCGATCTTTTGATGGTTGTCTTTATCACTACATTATCCTCTTAAAGCCTCAGAAGTTTAGAAAAAACAGAAGTGCCGAAAAATGCCTTAATTGGAGTGAAACATTTTTGTGCTTGGTTAATCTTAAAGTTGCTGACAAAAGCTTGCTTGCATTTTTAATTATCCCAACCCCGTAATAAATTATTTGTTGTGGGTTAATACTGTGGCGTATTACGAGTTTTTGGCCGCACTGCCAAGTGACTGGACTTCCTCTATCGTGGTCTTCCAATCTCATTCCAGTGCCAGATCAACCTCAGTTTGCAGAAGGGTTGAGCTAGACCACTGGCTCCCCCCTTTCGAAGGCTGAGAACATTCATGTAACTCTGTAGCTGTGGTAAAGTTAATAGTGTTGTGTGGCTCATTTGGTCCCCATAATTGAGTCCAATTTGCTGCCACAGCTTCTAATGTTGCGCTGGTTTAGCGTCTGTTTCTCATCTCTCCTCACAAAGTGAGAGTAAGTTGTAGAGAGGAGGTGTTGAATCAGTCCCATGATGGAGGACAATGACTCGTGTATCAGCGTAGGACAAAAGCCGTGTGCAGTGCCTGCAGTAATTCCGTACTGTAAAGCTGCCCTTTTGTCAGCAGTGCCCTGACTCTCTTTGTCTCTTTTGGCAGGGTGCTCATTCAGGAGGAAGCAGCACTAGCTGTCCTTCCCGGAGCTGAAGGGGAGAGGAGGGGATGGACCGGTTGATATCAGCGTCTTATGACCCCAGGGCAGCAGTCTGGTCAAAGACGAGACCTGAAGGCAGACCAGACAGCGGGAGGATTTCCACTGTTGATGTCGATAGATTGGTTGTTGCTGAAACTGGTTGTTGCTGTAACTCCACCCTCCAACCCTGTCTCTCTTAATAAAATATTGTTTTGGCTAAATAAGCAGTGTGTGGACTCTTTGTTTTATATTTTAAAAAAAATTTGATTTGCTGTGTTAATATTTCAGACAAATAACAAGCAGACACATGGGAACATAATTTTATTAGAAAGAACAAATAAAGATCATTCATGTAGCTCATATAAGATTTTCAGAAATGACAAAAGAAGTGAAAACAAACCTTTTTATCGGTCATACAACTACACTGGGTTTGAACAATGGAGGTGAGATTTAGATATATTCACATAATACGATGTTAGTATTTGCACTCTATGCTTTAAATCTCTTATTTGAATGTAAGAATAAGGTAAATGTCAAGTTTTGCATGAAGTTGCTGAAACTACAGAGAAGGGCAATTATTGTGATTCTACTGTTCAAGTTGAATATTTTTTCTCAAAACAAAGATTCTGAGTCAAAAACCTGAATTTTTATGGTGTTTTAACAACAGAAAATGGAGCTACAAACATTTAAAAACTTTCTAACAGCCCTGTACTGCTTTTATTTTGGTATAAAGTTAGATTCTCATCCCTGCAAGAAGAAACAGTCCCTCTTTGTTCATGTTACTGCATTATAAACTGATAACTTCAAGAGGATCCCACTATTTCTCCTGCGTCGTCGTCCTCCTCCCTCTACCTGTCCAAGCTTGCAGCAGCAGCGGCAGCCTCTGTCTTGGTCTCCCGCTCCCTCAGCAGGTGTCTGATGGAGGAGTTTTGAGTAGACAGGGTGCTGGACAGGAGCGGCATCAGGCTCCTAAAACCCTCCCTCAGCTCCTCCACGTGCTTCTCCAGGCTGTGGATGTGGGAGTCCAAATCCGCCCTGCAGCCCTGCACCTCATACAGCACGTCATACATCAGGGTCTGCATCTGCGTTTGGGTCCAGCCGTGGTGTGGGTGTAAGTGTGTGTGTGTTAAAGAAGAGAGAGAAAAAGGCATCAGGGAATTTTAGATGCTACTATGTGTAAGTGTTGGTAGGATGCGGTGCAAAAATGATGCGTTCACTTGCCTCTCTCACCTTGCACAGATCAACAAGGGTGTTCGCCTGATCTGCAAGAGTTCGCTTTTCCATCTTAACCCTTCGTAACCTGCAGACCAACATGATCAAGAATAAATGACCCTGAATCACAACACAAAGACGGTCCATGTAGCTGCTGGCTTACAGTGTCTATTATTCTATACTATGACATATTTTAACATACTATACAGTGACTTTTTTTCTTTCTGGAATTGATTTTTTTAATCATACTTTACTATGTCCCTTTTTTATTCTAAAATTAGTTTTTTTTTTATCATACTATACTTTGACATATTTTAACATACTATACTATGACATTTTTGTCTTCACTGAAATTAGAATTTTTTTTAACATACCATACTATATTTTTTTAACAAACTATACTATTTCATTTTGTCATACTTAACTTTGAAATTTTCATCATACATTACTATGAATTTTTTTTTCATATTGGATTTTTAACTTTATATCATAGTGTAATATGACATTTTTTCATACTAAAATTTGGCATTTTTATCATACAATACTATGATATTTTTTAACATACTATACTATGACATTTTTATCATATTATACTGACATTTTTATCATAATATACACTGTCATTTTTTTTAAATAAAAATTTTAATTTTTATTATTCTATACTATGACATATTTTTACATACTATACAGTGACTTTTTCTTTCTGAAATTGATTTTTTTAATCATACTTTACTATGTCCATTTTTTATACTAAAATTTGATTTTTTTTATCATACTATACTTTGACATATTTTAACATACTATACTATGACATTTTTGTCTTCACTGAAATTTGAAATTTTTTAACATACTATACTATGACATATTTTTTTCATTGTTAAAGTTGAATTTTTTGTCATACTATCCTATGACATTTTTGTCATTCAAAAATGTAAATTCATATCATACTATGCTATGACATTTTTTTAAAAACCATATAATGTCCTATTTATTTCCTGCCATACCGGGTATTGATCCAAGGACCTTCTTACTATGAGACCATAGTGCTAACAACTACACTACTGCTCAGGGTCAACCATTCTGCAGCCTTTTTTCATACTAAAATCTGATATTTTTTAAAGCTGATATTTAAAATTTATATCTTAGTATACTGACATTTTCCCTACTGAAATTCGACCTTTTTATCAAACTTTACTATGACATTTTCACCATATTATCCTGTGACATTTTTATATCTTAGTATACTATGACATTTTAAACATACTTTACTGAATCATTTTGTCAAACTTAAATTTGAAATTTTCATCATACTATACTATGACTTTTTTTATTCATACTGGATTTTTAACTTTATATCATAGAATACTATGACATTTTTTCATACTTAAATTTAAAATTTTTATTATACAATACCATGATATTTTTTTACATAATATACTATGACATTTTTATCATATTATACTGACATTTTTATCATACTATCCAATGTCATTTTTTAATGATAAAAGTTGAAATTTTTATTATTCTATACTATGACATATTTTAACATACTATACAGTGACTTTTTCAGTCTGAAATTGAATTTTTCTTTCTCATACTTAACTATGTCCCTTTTTTATACTAAAATTTGAAATTTTTATCATACTATACTATGACATATTTTAACATACTATACTATGATATTTTTGTCTTCACTGAAATTTAAATTTTAATCATAGTATACTCTGACATTTTTTAACATACTATACAATGACATATTTTTTTCGTTGTTAAAGTTGAATTTTTTTGTCATACTATGCTATGACATTTTTTTCATTACTATATCATGACCTTTTTATTTTCTGCCTTACCAAGTTTTGAACCATGGACCTTCTTGCTGTGAGACCACTGCACTAACCACCAGATTATACTAATGTTTTATGCTGAAATTTGAAATTTTTATCTTAGTATACTATGACATTTTAAACATGTTTTACTATAACATTTTTTCACTACTGAAATTTGACCTTTGTATCATACTTTATTTCATTTTGTCATACTTAAATTTAAAATTTTTATCATACTATACTATGACATTTTTTTTCATACTGGATTTTTAACTTTGAATCATAGCATACTATGACATTTTTTCATACTAAGATTTAAAATTCTTATCATACAATACTATGACATATTTTAACATACTATACATTGAAATTTTTTGTCTTTCTGAAATTAAACTTTTCTTTCTCATACTTTACTATGACCTTTTTTTATACGGAAATTTGGAATTTTTACCATACTATACTATGACATTTTTTAACATACTATACTATGATATTTTTGTCATGCTATACTATGACATTACTTTCATACTAAAATGTGAAATTTTTAACATACTACACTACGATGTTTGTTTATCTTACTATATCATATTTTTTCATACTATAATTTGAAATTTTTGTCAAAGTATACTAAGATATTTTAATTCTATTTTACCAAGACATTTTTAACATACTATTCTATGTTATTTTTTCACACTAAAATTTGACATTTTTATCATACTATACTGACATTTTTTGAACTTTTATTATACCATGACATTTTTTATCCATACTGAAATTTAAAATTTTTATAATACTATACTATGACATTTTTATCAGACTATACTGTGGCATGTTTATCAAACTTTACTGTGATATTTTCATCATACTTAATTTGATGGTTTTACACTATAAATGAGCAACTTCACTCAAAGGCAGTTACAAGCTTCAGTCACAACTATCCTGGCTGCCATAGAGAGCATTGCACAGGGGATCACAGGCAGTGTGACAGGGCCGTGGTCTGCTGGGGAGGCCGTCCACAGAGGTGGTGGCGCAACACTCGTTGGTGCCTCGTGGGGCGCTACTTATTATTATTATTAGTTTTTATAAGTGGCAGAGAATTACACAGTCTTGGGGCCGGAGTTCAGACATTAAACCTTGACGAAGAAACAGGTCATGAATGTTTACACCATCTCCTCCTGGGACTGTCTGTCCTGCAGACACGTCCTCATAAAAGAGCTCTGTGTCTTACTGGTGGATGGCCAGCAGCAGCTTCCTCTGGTGCATGCGGACTCTGGTGTGGTCTCTTTCTCTTGACAGCTTAGTGTGTTTGTAGATCATCCAAGTCTCTCTCAGCACATTCGCTGCAGCAATTTTTATCTAGTGAAGGGACACGGAAAATCATCCAGACAGAGATGTTTTATGTTTATGCACATATCCGGGGGAATAAAAGTAATTTACTCCCTGTGATAAATAACAGGAACATCAAGAATCAAAACTAGAGGGCTAGGACATTATTCACAAGTTCAGCTCGCAGACAGATCTGTCCTGGAAATTAAAGAAACCACAGAAAAACTCAGCACATGGAGTGATGTGAATTGTCCGTTTTCAAGTGAAATTCCTCATATTTTTGGATTTTTCTTGATTACAGCTCCTGTGAGGAGTTTTTTGAAGAAATTAAAACAAATCAAAGATGTTGAAGCCTTAACTGAATCCCTTGTATTCCTCCTTTATTTACGAAAACACTAAGTTTAGTATTTGCATTCACCCTCTTTGTGATGTGTGAGTCCATCATAAAGTTGTGCACATGTTTCTCAGCTCGGGTCAGCTCCAGCTTCCTGGCGACAACAGCCACCACCAGGACTGTGCAGCCCGCTCCCTGTGAGAATCACAGTTAGACATTACAAGTCAAAAAACAATCTGCTAACTTGCCGTAGTGCGAACCAAACATTACATCTCTCCGTCTCACCATAATCCCTGTGAGGAGGCAGATACTGCGACCACAGTAGGTGTGAGGCACCACATCTCCGTAACCGATGGACAGGAAGGTGACAGAGATCATCCACAGAGCTTCCATGTAGTTGCTGCTTAAGTCCCTGTAGTTGTGGTGTCTGTGAGGGATATAAAGGACACCTTTTAAAGCTCCTGTAAGGGATTTTTTTAATAGAAAGCCTCTACTTAAGCACAAAGACACACACAAAGTCCCCCACAGGAGCACACCTTAGTGATTTTGAGTTAGGGTTCATAGAAAACTATCAGTTTCACTATGTTTCATCACCAGCAAAAGCTAAAATAAGGAGCCTACCTCTCACACACATGCAGGCCCCATGCTGCCACAATCCATAAAGAGACGCTGAAAATCATCAGCACTGTCCCGGGGTAGGTGGTCATCAGGGTTTTCCCCACAAAGCGGGTGTTGAAGTGAATCTAAAGATCACACACAGGACACATCTATTGTTCAGTGTTGACAGTCTGGGCCCCGTCGGTATATTTAGGATAGCACCTGTCAGATTACGATTATATAATGCAGAGGACATGAGGGATGAGAGAAGTCGCTCTCAATCTGGCTTGATACATGGATAGTAGGTTTGGCATTGCAGAGGGGAAGCAAAGGTCATTTTCGTCACTCTTAAATAGCGTTCATAAGGGAAAGGATTAGCTGCACGGATATTATCGACTGTGGAAAAGAAAGCAGCCAAGCAGAGGAGAGCCAGCAGAGGGATATAATCAGCATGCGAAACCACTGGGATTCATAGAGCAAAACTGTGATAGTCACACCTCAAGTGTCACACCTTTACAGACCTCTCGGCCCACCTAGACGTGAAACATAAACAGATGTGCATGAAATGTTCGTAGAGGAAGTTCTGCCCAAATTACTGACCCTAAACTGACTTCAATATCCCACTGTCACAGTTTTTAAAATCATTTCTCACAGAGTCAAGCCTCAACTTTCACCTTTTTCTTTACAAAAAAAAGGGTTGCATGATTTCATGGCAGAACTATTCAAAGCAAAAAAGGCAGATTTTGAAAGGGTGACCTCCCACCTTATTCAGCGCTCCAATGCTGCGGGACGCTGTGTCGGTGAACAAGCGGCTGTGCAGCATCATGGCGCGGCCCAGCAGGTAGAGACGCAGGAACATGGGCAGGGCAAGCACGATCTCCAGCTCCGTCTCTGACAGCGACAGGCGTGGCGTGATGTGGCGGAGAGTCTGCTCAAAGTACGCCATCAACCCCACAGGGTAAGGGTGGATGGCCACCACCGCCAGCTCCAGGATAATCAGGGCCAAACGTTCAGTTGTCATGGCAATTCGCCAATCCTCTGCTCCAATGTCGTGAACATAGAGCTATGAGGAGGTGAGGAGAGGTCAATCAAGCAACTTCAGTGACTAAGGTGCAGAAAAGGTGAGACTGTGAACCAATAATTCTGCATGTCTTACATAAGGACAGGCTGTTTTGGGGTTTTTCAAAAATGACAGTGATTTTTGAAGGATGAAGATTTTCAATATAGTCGTCATTATAGGGAATTTTTGAGCTAGAAAAAATTATGTATAGAAAAGTTAAAAATCTAACCGTCAAACAATTAATGATCTTTTTCCTCCAAAAGAAATAAAATATTTTAATCTTATATAAAAAAAGCAAAAAACAATTCATATAGACCAGTATCAGCTCATAATATTGAGACTCTAGTTTTATGGTTAAAGCTACTGTGAGGAACTTTCTGTCTGTGTTGATTTTGGTGCCCCCCCCATGGACAACGTGGTAACTCCTTTATTGTTGCTGATTTTGTGTTGTCATTATCTAAAAGGTGTGAATTGATAACAGTGTCTTTTTACAGTGAAATGTATAAATATTTGGTGTAAATAAAGTATCAAAAGCTGTTCCCTGAAGTGAACCTACCCCCTGAGAGCAGTTAAAGACATTAATAATTACAAAATCAAAATCATCTTTTTGTTTTCAGAGGTCTCATTTGCTTTTGTACATCGTAGAAACATATCACTGTTCATTTCTGCCTGTTTAATACCCAAGAAAACTCCTTACAGGAGCTTTAATGGTGCAGAGAAGAATCAGGTGCATCACAGTAAAGATGTATTAGGAGTGTCCACCAAAAGCTACTTTTTTTTCTGGCCACACCCATAACCAGACATTCAGAATCCTTCTCCTCAGTGCTTAATGTTGCTAGGTTACAACTTTGTTCTGCAGCATCTTTCACTTTACTTCGTAGCGTCTTTTAGGCAGCGAAGGAAAGAATGCGAAAATATTCTATTACAGTAAAAGTAGTTGTGCTCCCTTGCACAGACCACTGCAATCTGGCAATGTTTGCACTGATGACTGCAGAGGTGTTAAAGGATGAACTATTGTCAGCTGAAAGTGCTACAACAAGAAGCTGATAACAAGACTGTTTTTGCGCTCACTACAATACCATCAAAAATATTGGCTTTATTGGATAAAAGGCAGTACAGATGCAAAAAATGCAGTTAGTGGACACAGGCCCTAAAACATTGGCATGTGGTTTTGAACTGCCTTGTGTGATGACACATCGTCAGCTAAAAGAGACACCTGTATCATGGTCTTTACCTGTGCTTGAGATTAACATTTAAAGTGTCTGACATTAAAGATCCTGTGAGCAACTTTCAGGTTGCATGAATTTTAGCACCCCTGTAGACAACGCACTACCTCTTATTTCTTGTCCCATTTTGTCCTGTACATGTGAAAGTCCTTGGGAAATATCAATGTTATTATTAGTTTATCTTATAACGAGAGAAAAAACTCCTTATACGAGCTTTAAAAAGTGTTCATTTTGGTCCTTTTCTTTCTAAAACCATAAAGAGTCAGAAATTATAGGACTGTAATACTGAATAAGTAGATTGCGACAAACTTTAGGAATTAGGATAAAGCTCTTTTTGAGTATTCTCCTCATTTCAGCTTCTTTCTTGTAAAATTACATTTATGGTACCAATTTACAGCCAAATATTCCTCAAATAAAAAAGACAAAGGAGAGGAAAACACTCCTTAGTTGAAGCGCGTATGCTTTCATAACCTTTGCTGATAGCGCATAGGCAGACTTTTGAAATAGGGTACAAGACTGCAAGATTTTCATCCACTGATCCAGAAGGCCCCCTTCCCCTCAGCTGAACCATTTTCAGCTCCCCGAGGAGTCACTTCAAAGGAACTTAATCTAAGAGACTTCCACAGAGGACATTATGAGAGCTGAATTACCTGCACTTCACAGTAGTGGTACGCTATGATGAGGCCCAGCAGGATGAGAGTGGACAAACTGATGACTGACTTGAATGCAAGGGAGTAGACGGAGCTCTGTGACACACACAAACCCACACCATTACATTATTATAATAATGCATGCTCATAGATTATCCATTTTATCTCATAGGCATGCTTTAGATTTACCAGGAAATAGTGGAAGGTTGATACTGACTAAACAGATTTCCAAAAGTGCTAAAGATCATGTAACAAAGGTTATCATTAGAGGACTGTTTATAGGTTACATCAGATAATAATACAGAAACATTTAAAACCTGCTCACATATTTTTTCATTTCCCTCTTTCAGCCCTCTTTCTCTGACCTTACTGTAGACGCTCCAGGACAGCTCCGTCTCCATCACCATCATCAACATCCCAAATATCCCCACAGCCAGGGCGCAGTCGTTCAGCCTCTGCCTCTTCAAGAACAGAGACCTCCTGCGCAGCAGCCTCCAGCCGATGTTGCGTATCTTCTCCCTATCATCGGCTGTCACTTTCGGGCTGGATGGAGGACTGGAGGGCTGACTTGGTCCCTCTGAGTTGGGCAGCAGGTCTTTGGCCTCCTGCAGGTCCTGGTGGTACTGCATTGTGTCATGAAGAGGCTGAAAGTCATCATCGTCTTTGCTGGTGATGATGATCTCTGGGAGAGTCTGCCGATCATGCATCTCCAGTGAAACATTGCTGGACTTGCGGCGCCCCCTGTCCTCATCTTTTATGTCCAGGTGTGACCTGCAGAGGCCTTTATAAGGGGACCCACAGGGAGACACGGGGACGTCAGAGAAAGAGGTAACTGTCTCCTGCAGTCTGAGAGCTCCTGTGTTTCCGACCTTACAATGGTAACTGTGCTGAGAATGTGCCGGATGCTGTCGACTCTTCCCTGATTTCTTCTTCTCTTTTCCTTTGTCTCCTCTCTTGCTGGAGCGAGGTGAACATGTGACGTACAGGTGCCCGTTGTATAAAGGTGTGGTTGCCATGGCCTGCGTTCTGTCCAGCCACATGGTCTGGTTGATGGGGGTTTGGATGTTTTGGTGGATCCCACATTGTGGCGAGCAGATCTGGGTAGGCAGCATCCTCTGTGGGAGGAGGGGGTGGTGGTCCTCCACGTCGTCTCCGTCCACCATGGACAAGTTCATGGAGGGGGAGTGCTCCATGGTGACAGGGTTTAAAGATGATGATGGACCGAATCTTTTTAAGGAGAGACAAGCCTGTGAAAAATGTCAACTATCATCACATTATATCAGCTTGATCATTACAACTCTAACAAAATGATCTCTTGCAACAATTTGGGACCTTGAATTAGAGACCAAATTTGTTAAAGTTCAAGGGCAAAAGTGTTCGGAAAAAAAATTTATGGGTCATTTTTCACATGAATTTTTTGTTCTCACCTCTTAAATCAAGTTTTTCCGTCCACCCAAAGAAAAAAGGTCCTCCGCTCTTATGTCAAATCGTTTAAATCTGCCGTATTTTAAAGTTCAATCTCCTTATGGTCCCTGAAGGTCACATCTGGCTGCATCATAAAAAAGATCCTCTGAATAAAACCCACCGACAGCTGGGACCAAAATGTTCTTTTTTCATTAAAAAAAAACTTTAAAATGTAGGATTAAAACTCCTCCAGCTATAACAGCGACGAATATTGACACACTCAAATGAAAGTATTTGTCCTTGCTATGTGTGAACAAACTTCCAGCAATCCATCAGCAGACTCAGCATTGAGCGGCCCCTCCCACACATCCAAGCAGAGGTTATGAACTCCGGCATATGACAACAGATGAGGTAAATACCCGTGGATATCCATTACATTTTTCTCAGCTTCAGTCCCCTTGTTTGTGCGCGGGTCCTGACGTACGAGTGTCCAGCATGAGGATGTCTTTGTCGAAGCTGCGGGGGGCTTAATGAGTGCAAAGACTTCAAGTTGCAGATGTTGCAGAACGATCTGAGAGTCATCTGTCAGGTTTTTTTAGCTGGGATTGGCAGATTTCCTCCTATTTGTAAGAGACATGAGGGCGGAGACACGGTGTGAAAAATCAGTCTGATGAGTCAAATACTCTAAAAAAGTACTGTTCTGTTATATTTCACTTTCATTAAACTGTGTCAGTATTATTATGGAAGAACTCCAGGTGGGTTTTAAACTTGTTTTATATAAATAAGTTTAATCTTTAAGAGAGAATAAAGGACCTCGGTTTCAATTCGGCAGATTAGAGTTACAGATTAATCAAGACAGACACAGACCTGATACTTATAAGCTTATGAAACATCAAATATCTCACCCTTTCACCAAACAATATGCGCGGAGCGAGGTGGAGTATTAAGCATTAAAGTCATAACAATGACATCCAGCCTCATTTATTTTTCTAAATCCTAGTGACAGATGGGTCTGTAGATAATAGAGCCCCCTCCAAACCCACAGACCCAAAGAGTGAGGATAGTGGGGCGGGGTGAATCCGGATAGTAGCAGGATAAAGAACGGCATCATCTAATCTGGGGACAACATGTATATAAAGAGAGGGAGAGGCCGAGGGGGGTTTGACTGCACAGTTGGGAGAGAATAAACATTAAGCTATCCTGTGCAAACTGCACTTTCTGGTTTCTGCACATCCCTCCAGATGTAAAATAAACTAATTATTCTCAAGCTGCTCTGCTATATTCTCTGAGACTCGAGCAGATGCTGCCGTCTGGATTTGTTTGTTGTTTTTGACGTTCAGCAGACAGGAGACTGCAGAGCATCTAAACCTCTGAGCACGACTGTCGGCGTCAAATCCATGTGGATAGAGTCTCATAAATTCTGATGATTTACCACATCTTGGCCGAGAATTAGACAAATAAAAAAATTAGTTTGCAGATGCAGAGCAAAAGCACTCCCTCGGCTGTGATGATAGAGGTCTCGAATGTTTTAAAATGATGTTGCCCTTTTGCTAACAACCACCGATAGGATATATGCACATGTGCAAGGCTTCAAATTAATTCAAGCCCCTGGCCAAGTGCTTATAAATCCCAACTGCTGTAGCCAGTAGCTAAGTATGTCAATTTGTCTTGCCCTCATGGCCTGTTTCCAGCAGGTCTTCAATTTGGACTCTGCCATTGCAAATCATCCTTTGGCCGCTAAGAAAGTGGAATTAAACCGGGAGATGTTGAGTCCACTAATTGCTCTGGCTGGTAAATGGCAAATCTGCCTCATGCCCTGAATCTCCAGCGAGTGCCAGTTGATCATCTGGTCAGGATCTTAATTGCTTCAGCACAATCTGTAGGGAAACAGTGGTAAAAAGATAAAGTAGGAACATTAGACTGCGAGCAGAAGTTAGTTATTTTTGTGCTTTAAAGGTCAAAGGTTGTGGTTGGGTTAGAGAACGATTTGGAAAGAGGCCAATTTGCTTCTCTGCCAAACGTAAGTGGAGGAAATTGATGCCACTCTTCAACCTGTCCGCCCCCTTATATACATATTAACATTACGTACAAGTAGTTAAGTTATATTTTTGATTTATACTCCAAGTAATGGACCGGGGTGGTGGTCCCTGTCTTTAAGAAGCGGGACAATAGGGTGTGTTCCAACTATGAGGGATAACACTCCTCAGCCTCCCTGGGAAAGCTTACGCAAGGGTACTGCAAAAGAGGGTCCGATCGATAGTTGAACCTCGGATCGAGGAGGAACAATGTGATTTTAGTCCTGGTCGCGGAACTATTGATCAACTCTTTAACCTCGCGCGGGTTTTTGAGGGGAGATGGGAGTTTGCCAAACCAGTCCACATGTGTTTTGTGGACTTGGAGAAGGCCTACGACCGTGTCCCCAGCGGAATCCTGTTTGGGTGCTCCGGGAGAACAGGGTGGATGATTCCTTATTAAGGGCCATCCAGACCCTTTACCAAAGGAGCACCAGCTTGATCCATGTAGCCGGTTGTACATCGGACTCGTTTCCAGTGAGAGTTGGACTCTGCCAAGGTTCCCCTTTGTCACCGGTTCTGTTCACAACCTTTATGGACAGAATTTCTAGGCGCAGCTGGGGGGTGGAGGGGGTCCAGTTCGGCAGGCAGAGGATCTCATCGCTGCTTTTTGCGGATGATGTGGTTCTTCTAGTTTCGTCTAGCAGTGACCTTCAGTTCGAGGCAGAGGGTGAAGCGGCTGGGATGCGAATCAGCACCTCCAAGTCCAAGGCCATGGTCCTCAGTCGAAAAAAGGTAGATTGCCTTCTCCAGGTTGGAGAGGAGGTCCTGCCTCAAGTGGAGGAGTTCAAGTATCTCAGGATCTTGTTCACGATTGAGGGTAGAATGGAGCGAGAGATCGGCAGGCAGATCAGAGCGGCTTCAGCAGTGATGCGGACGCTCAACCAATCTGTCGTGGTGAAGAAAGAGCTGAGCCGTTTACCAGTCGATCTACGTGCCGACCCTTACTTATGGTCATGAACTTTGGGTAATGACCAAAAGAAAAAGATTACGGATACAAACAGCCGAAATGGGTTTCCTTCGCAGGGTGGCCAGGCTCAGCCTTAGGGACACTCGGGGGGCGCTCAGAGTAGAACCGCTGCTCCTCCACGTCGAGAGGAGTCAGCTGAGGTGGCTCGGGCATCTGGTTAGGATGCCTTCTGGACGCCTCCCATTAGAGGTGTTCCAGACATGTCCCACCAGTAGGAGACCTTGTGGACCACCAGGACCAGGTGGAGGGATTATACTGCTTTCCTGGCCTGGCCTAGGAATCCCCCTGGAGAAGCTGGTGGAAGTGGCTGGGGTTAAGGCCGTCTGGGCTTCCCTCCTGAAACTGCTGCCCCCATGACTCGGACCCGGACAAGCAGAAGAAAACGAACGAACAAACGAACTCCAAGTAATGGAAGAAATCATCACCGCCAAAGATGTTTGCAACTATACTACTCATAAACAGACTAAGAAAAAGTGTCACAACTTCAAAAGTCTTTTTCTAATATATATTGCAGATTTATGTCCTACATAAATGTACATAATGAAACTTTAACTTTATCCATTATCTTGCACTGTAAATGAAGATCTGGCTACATCAAATCTCCCTCATTGAACAGTAGCTAGACTTTCTCCGGTCCAGCCAGGGTCAGATAAACTTGTCCATTAGGAGAAAACTTCTACGACCAGACTTGCTTGACAAATCAGACTTCACAGGCGAGTGGATGTAGGTGGGTTCTCTGTCGATAACACAGTATTAAGTGGAGGGGACGTGTCAGCGCAGAAGAGGTCTTAATCCAATCAGCAGAGTAATTAAAAACACACAGCGCAGCAGCAGCAGCACTCATGGCTGATGGCTGCTTTGTCAGGGACAAAATTCAGCATTTAGCACAGAATGAAGAGCGCTGTAGTCATGCCAGGTCAGAAAGATGGCAAATGGCGACAACAGCTGCTGAGCTATTAAAACCAGAATCTGCAAAATGACCATATAGAGCCTCTACCCACTTATACCGCTGGCAACCTGTTGGAAATCCTCTAGAACTGCTATAGATCCCCCTCTTGGTGCTTTAATCATTTAGCTGTATTGTTTCTTAATTATCTTACTCTGCATTAGCTCCCATTGTGGCTCAGTTTCTGATTAACACCAACACCCCTCTACAAAATAAAAGCCCCAGTGTTGCTGAGCTGCAATTGGACAACAAACCACCAGATGTCACCCACGCCTCAGTGCCTTCAATCTGTGTTTTTATGAGGCATAATGAATTTTGTTTTTGGCACAGTGTCACACTTGTGCTTGGTGCATAACAGCACGAGCAGCTTTTTTCTTCTTTCTGTTTAGAGAGATGGATCTGGAGTCAATTCTGCACACATCTGAGCAGCAGATTCACATGGATGCAGCAACAGGATGCTCTCTCTCCCTCTGATGATACATCACTGGAGCACGTTGTGCGTCCTCGCTCCATGCATGGTGCAGTTTTATCTGGTTGAACCGGTGACTTAGCCATCCTTCTTTCCAGCCTCTGAGGGCCACTCTCCAGCCTGTGCGTGTGTGCAGCCGGGCGTGAATCTGCAGCTCGGGGATTGCTCGGGATGTGTGACAGGCTGCCGAGGAGAGGGGTAATTCCGAAGGGCAGTAGAAGTAATAGGGTAATCTATTATACAGTCCAACTCTTTCTTCCTCCTCCTCCTCCTCCTCCTCCTGCCCCCCTCCTCCTCCTCATCTCTTCTCTCAGTCTTACGGTTTCTCGCTGCCTCTGCCCTTGCATCAGCATTTCGTGAGGACAAATGAGGAGTAGAGTTTAACTATGCACATTCCCGCTGCCCTCCTGCAGAGCCCAGCACTTTCTCAATTAGACCCGGAGTCCGTCTGCCGCCATGATTCAAAGCCCGCCCCCCTGCAGAGCAAACACACACATCTGCAGACGCACACAGCTCCAGACCTGCACTATATGACCATGTATAACATATATTTGACACATATGTCATGCTGCACATTGACCAGCTTTTATGTGCACACCAGACAGGCAGAAAGTGGAAGGGGAAAGTCAGAGCAGAAACTGAGAAGCAGAGGGGATATTTCAGAAACAATGTGCAGATTTTTTCTCATTTTGGCGCCAATTTCTCTCCCAGTTTTTTAATCCTTATCACTTTCACCCTTTTACAAACATTTCTCATCAGTTTGAGATCATTTTAGATTGTGTGCATCATAGATTAATCCTTTTTTCCTCTGTTTCCTACAAAAGTCCACTCACACCAGCGGACCAATTAAAACCTCTCTCTTCCTCACCCCCTGCCCTGTCTCCAGCCCTTTCACCTCCATCCCTGACATTTATCTCGCTCCATTTTAGTCCCACCTCCCAGAGAGACAAGGAGACAGAGAGAGAAAGAGAGAGAGCAAGAGAGAGAGAGAGAAAGCAGCCACCATCTCCCCTTCCTCCTCCTCCTCCTCCTCTTCCTCCTCTCTCAGCTCCCTTCTCTTCCCCTCACACGCTCACTCTCCCTTCCCTCTGATGCCGACTGGATGCAGACAGGGGGATTTCCAGCAGCATCCTGAGTCTGTCCTCCCTCTCCTTCTCCTCTCCTCCCCTCCTCCTCTTCTTCCTCCTTCTCCTCTTCCTTCAACAATTCGAAGCTTCTCCTCTTCTACCTCCTCTGCTTCTTCTCCTGCTCCTCACCCATCAGGATGTGGCACTCGGTGGCTCTGCTCCTCTCTGGATTTTCTGCTTTGATTCATGGTGAGCTTGCATGCCTGTCTCCCCCCTTTCTCTCTCCCCTCTCTCTCTCTTTTTTTGTCTGCCTTTCATCCTGTTTTTGGGAATCAGATTGCAGCAGCCACATTGAAGTGTGAAAGTGTGAATTTGGAGGAATTCATGGATTTGGAGTTGGTAGTTGTGGTGCGTTTTCTGTGCATAATGGTGAGGAAAAAGAATTCAAAGTGGAGGAGATACAATCGAGGAGGAGGAGGAGGAGAAAGTGACAATCTGGCTCACCTGTTTGCTTTCTTGTTTACAATTCTTGAATTTTTCGCAACTGTTCTCTCATTTTTATACCACGCACACAACACAAGTTACCCAAGAGGTTCGACGCTATTCTTTTTATCTAAGACATCTTAACAGGGGGATTTATCTGTGCGGCGAGACGGATATCAGTAAAAAAAAAACCTGATCAGTGATAACAAATCATCGCTTTTCTTTCCTTCAATTCACATGCCTCTTCTTGTTTGAGTCAGGGGGTCTCACCCCACATAACAAAAAAAAAAAAAGCAGGTCATAGATCTGTTAAATGGATCGTCTCTTCCATCTTGTGTTGTGATGTGCTGCTGCGGCCGAGCTGATGGAGCCTCAGGGGCTGGAGAAGTCGTAGCTGAATGTGAGAGCTGACAGTGGATGACAGAGCAAAGAGAGAGAAAGAGAGAGACAGAGACAAGAGGAGGGAGAGGGAGAACTTTCCCTACAGGCAGAAGCAGTGAAATCCTTTACTTCTTGTTTATTTTTCGCATGGATTTTTTTTTTTTGAGACGACTGTCCAGAAAATAAGAGACAAGCGGACGGATAAGACAGAAGTTTCAGACTGTTTTTTTTTGCAGCCTTGAATCCTTTGAACTCTATACGCGCTGTCAAAATCAGAGAAAAACAACTCCTCCACAATTTTTCTAAAGCGTCTTACACTCTCCATACTGGGCATCTTCTTTCCAGCACTACATTGATGTTACACAACATTAAACTGAGTGAAGTCCTCAAATCTAAGACCCACATTTTTTAATTGCTTCCCTATAGCAACAAGAGGCACAACATATTTAAGTCGATTCCCCGAATGTCAGTCTCACTAATGGAGGATTTAGACGAGCAGAGCACAAAAACAAAAAAACGATTGAGTCCAGCAGAGACCTGAGTTTGTCCAAATGGATCCACTGATGAGATTACACTTACAGTTTAAAAAAAGAAACAAACACAAAGACCTTTCTGTTTTTACCTGTCTTGTCTTGTGTGTTTTACAGCTCAGTCGGTTTACTCTCCAGTCTGTTCTCGAGACATCTCTATTTAATACTTTACACGTAATACCTCTGAGCATTTCAAAGTTACCTTAAAAAAACACTCATTAGTGCCAGTTATCCCTCTTATGGTCTAATTAGGTAACTATTTGTTTGTCAGCGTGCTCTCTCTGAAGCTCCTGTTTGTTGATTTCTTTCTGCATATTTTAATATTAATTGTAAAAACTGACTGAGGGGTTTGACCCCTCTTAAATATTTAATCAGCTCAAGGTTAGATCGTATGAGTGACTAAGTTTTATTTCAGCTAATTTCATCATTTAGATTCCTCTATCGCTTTTCTTTTGAGTGTCTTCTGAATGTATTTATGGATAGAAAAGTTCACCTCCTCGGGGTAAAAATCTTCTGATTTAATCAGCGTTTTTTAAAACCTATTTTCAGCATTCGTTTTTGCCTGACTGTACTCGCAGCCCCAAATCTTTCACGTAGAGAGTTTTTGTTTAGGTTTCCTCATAAATTTATGTATTTTTCCCCCTTTGTTCTGTATCTTTTCATTTCAAGGCTGCATGATCACACACCTAAATAAAAATAAAAGAAACACAAGATAAAGAGAGTAGAGGGAGGTCAGAAACCATCGAAAACATTTTCTCATTGTCTTACAAGGCAGCGTCCTGTATTTCACCTCTACACTTAAAAATAAAGGCCTGTTTCGGTGGGTAAATGTGAGCCTTATCACCACTACACCCATCACAGGAAAAACAGAGTCAGCCCGTCACTTTAGGCTTTGTAGATGACCTTGTAGATTGTGACTTTGTGGAGGCAGTTGAGCAGGTGCAGCCCTCTGGTCTAAATTGGCCCAAGAGGACAGTGAAGTGTTTCAAATCCCATCATATTTTATTAATTTGTATCTCTTTGTACTGTTTTGTATTACTCTCTATCACATCATATCACACTGTATCATTTGGTATTGTATCACATAGTATGGTATGGTACCCTGCTATATTGTATCACATCAAATCATATTATCTTATCCTAAAATGTATCTTTTTGAATTGTATTGTATTGTATCATATTGTTCCTTTTGGTCAGGTATTGAATCTTAACATATTGTATCGTATCATTTCATATCATATTGTTCCCATGGTCAGGTTTTGTATCGTATCGTATCGTATCGTATCGTATTTATCGTATCATATTGTATCACGCCGTTCTCTATGGTCGGGTATCGTATTATATCGTATCGTATCATATGATATGATATGATATCATATCATATCATATCACATCATATCATATCATATCTTATCGCAATGTTCTCTATGGTCGGGTATCGTATCATATCTTATTGTCTCTTATTGTCATATTGTATCGTATCGTACTGTACCCTATCGTATCGTATCTTATCGTATCGTATCATATCGTATCGTACCGTACCCTATCGTATTGTATCTTTTCGTATTGTATCATATATCGTGTCGTTTCTTTCCCAATGGTTGGGTATCGTATTATATCATATTGTATCGCTCCCTATGGTCGGGTGTTGTATCATATATTGTATCGTATCATACTGTATCGTGTGCTGCATCGTGTTGTGTCGTATCATACCGTATTGTATTGTATCATATTGTTCCCTATGGTCGAGTATTGTATCGTATCATATCGTTCCCTATGGTCTGGTATTAAATCTTAACATACCTTATTATATTGCTTTATTCTCTCTGGTCTGGTATTGAATCTTATCAATTTGTATCATTTGCTAGTTTTGCACAGCTTCTTGTTTTTCACAGGTTTGACTCATGTCACTATTTTTCTGCCTCTCCAGTTTCGCTGCAGGGTCCTCATCAGAGGAACTTGCTGAAAAACCTCCTGAAGGACTACAACCGGATGGAGCGTCCGGTGGGCAACGACTCCCATCCTCTCACTGTGGTCTTCTCTCTCAGTCTAGTCCAGATTATGGACGTGGTGAGTCTACAGACACAATTTTTCTTACACCACACATCCATCGTGAAGAGGCTTTTGATTGTCAGATAAATCATGAGTGACAAACACAGTTTCTCTTTTCTTTGAGGAGAATGAAGCATCGACAGCCTCTTGTTTCTTTAGAGGCAGCTGTGGTGTAATCAGTCAGGATTGCTGCTTGATACTTTGCTTCTAGTCTTCATGCTGAAGTGTCCTTGAGCAAGATACTGAATCATCGATGGCAGTGTATGAGCGTGTGAATGTAGTACAGTGTAAAAGCACTTTTTGTATATGTATGCAGTATATTTATCATTTAGTTTGGGATTAATAAGGAAATTTATGGAAATTGTTATTTGGGGGCTAATTAGATTTTCTAATTGCCCTGAGACTGTGGTTTACACACTGAGAATTATAACGATGAAGTTTTTGTGCATTCTTATGGAGTATTAGAGGTAAAATGGAAACTTTAAAAATCTCTTAGCGGGGTGCTTAGTCAGGTTCAACATTCAAAAGGAATTTTCAGGTAAAGAGCTCAATAAATTTAGCTTTTTATGTTTTTCAGGATGAGAAGAACCAGGTGCTCACCACTAACATATGGCTACGGATGGTAAGGACGCCTGAGAGAGTTTCTGGGATTTTTTGTTTGTTTGTACTAGTTTCTGTGGTTTTTAACATGTAAATTGATAACCTACGCTGCGTAAATCCTTTGATGTGGAGCTGTTTTTTCCCTCGCCACTCTTTGACGGGCGAGAAATATTCAAAAGTAAAATGATTCAGATCTATTATTCATACGAATTCTGTTCGTTGTAAACTTAACTTGGAGCAGGGAGCAGCTTGTCTATCATCCACTGAGATAACAGCTCTGTGTGTGTTGTTGTGTGTGTGTTTAAGAGTTGGTTCGACCACTACCTCCAGTGGAATCAGAGCGAACATCCAGGAGTGAAAAACCTCCGCTTCACCACAGATCAGGTGTGGACGCCCGACATCCTGCTGTACAACAGGTAAAAATCACGCACAAGTGCCTGAACACACACATTTCACACCCGCGTTATATTCCAACAAGTAGTGTCAGCCCTCCTTCTGTCCTTCCTCAGTGCAGATGATGACTTTGACTCCACCTTTAAGACCAACGTCCTGGTGAACTCCAGCGGCTACGCTGAATATCTCCCTCCAGGTGAGCTGAGTTTTTCTTCCTGACCTCTTTTTCCCTCCCTCTCCCTCCTTCCCTATCACTCCACTCATCTCCCCACGGTGCAAAGGCAGCATCTGATTTCGCAGTCTCTGCACGTCTCTCTTGTTTGTACATTGACATTAATATTTTATTAGTATAAAACAGGATCCCTGGTTACTCACTGGTTACAGATTCCCAAAGATACCTATAAATAGGAGACGCTCGCCTCCTCCGTTTCCCCGTCTTCACCCAAACGCAAGACCTGTGCAAGCCTGTGAAAGCCAACTCTCCCGGGTTTCTACGTGTCTTTTTAGTGCTTTGAGTCATTGCTTTGTACGTCAGATTTCAGCAGATTGATATCAGATCCCTGATGCCAGCAGGGAGCTGAGTTGAATGGCCTGTGAAGTATAAGCGAAAGGAAAGCCACCTTGTCTTTTCCGTTCAGTGGCCATGTTTATTAATAGGCTTCTGCCGAATGTAAATACAGCTCCTCAATGCTGGGATCTGGATTCATCCCAATTAGGGAGAGCATAGAAAGACATTTCTGAGGAGGAGAGGTTTTTAACACGGGAAATAATGAGAAAGAAGGAGGAAGAGTTGGCGTGCAAGAAAAGTAAAAGAACGAGCAGCAAACCAGGTTTTTTCTGCCTCCCTCGCACACGCCAGGTTGCAGTTCCTAAGGTCTTTTTTTCGGGCAGTTACTGACAGTAAATAAAAGCCAACAGGTCTGTGGGTGGCAGGTTTTGGAGCAGAGGAGGCTTGACACACAGTAAATAATTCACATGGCGGAGGATGCCAGGTGTCTGCTGCACACCATGATTTGAGGAACGTCTCCTGTAGCTGCAGAAAGTCTTCTGTTGTTATGTTTCGGTGTAATGGCGAGCAAGGAGATAAGGTGTAACAGGTTTTTTAGCTCATATCTTTATTGGGTGACATTTGCAAACAAGGAATCTTGTCTGGAGGTGTTTTAACGCCATCCTGGAAGAGGTTTTCAGGCTGATGGAGTTTCATTTGGTAAATATGCTCAGAGAGAGAGAGGGAGAGAGAGAGGGAGAGCTGCACGAGATTGTCGAACACTGCAGAGAAATACAGGTGTCTTGTTTGTGTGAGCTTCAAAGATATCTATGAAAGCAGATTGCATGAGTGTGCACAGATCAGTGGACTACAAAGAAAGTGCTTTCAGAGTTATCAGAGTTATTTAGTGCTTTGGGAGCCCGTAACAGGAGCAATTATAACGACATCATCCCTCATGAAGCGAATTCAAATTCAGACGAGAAATTTGTGTCAAGAACTTGATCTAAGAGAGCCGGGAGTTTATAAAAGACAATTTACTGCCTCTCCTTCACTTGTCTCTGCTTTGAATCCTGAATTCAACCTGCTAACCTCCTTTCTCTTCTCCAGACTCGCCTTTCACTTCCCCTCCGATGGCTGATTTGCATGTCGGCGGCCTCATAATGAACGTCTTTGAGCGCTGTGAGGCTGCATTGACATTTCAGTTCAGTGTGCGTCCAAACGTCTCAATAGACTTGATTCGTTTATTTCAGTAATTACTTTGAGGGCTGGAGTTTGCCAGAGACCACTGTGTGGATTACTGGGAATCTGGATTGTTGGTGCGAGTGTGCGTCCTCATGATAGTTTTATGCTCGCCTGCGTGTGTATTTATTTTGCATAATATAAACAGTAATCTTGTTAGGACACAGTGTACAATCTTATTCTTTCAGCGTGACTCTTAGACTCGGTCTACGTCTTTAGCTGTGTGGAGAAACAGCATCTTTTCGTTGCAGAAGAGAAAAAGTGAAACCTGTGACAAACAATGCTGCTGCCAGGATTTTTAAAAACATATTTCTTTGGTGGGGGTTTGTTTCTAATCTAGTGTACTCCTTCAGCCTCCAAACTCAATTTCAAAAACAGTAAACTCTCTGTAGACTTTCCCAATGTTTATAAAATCCTTTTTCAGTGTGCGCTCTGATTTAAAATGCAGCGTCGTATATAGAAGTTGTAAGTTGGCTGAGTTAAGGACTCAGGCGGTGGAGCTGCATAGATATGAAATAAATGAAAGATTCTTCCCGACAGGCAGCTTTATATTCTCTGCAGGTTTTCTGCACATCACAAGTGTCCCTCTGATATATCCTTTCCTTGTCACCTCTGTATGTGGTGCTTTGCGAGGGTCAATACTGTCGTTTAGTCGATTGATTGTGGAGCGTTGACTCTCGGTCTCCTTGTTCTTTTGTCTGTCTTTGTCTCTCTGACAGGAATCTTTATGAGCACATGCAACGTGGACGTCCGCTGGTTCCCCTTTGACATCCAGAGGTGTGAGCTGAAGTTCGGCTCCTGGACTTACGACGGCTGGCTGCTGGACCTCCAGATGAATGACGCTGATATCACAGGCTACATGCCCAACGGAGAGTGGGATCTGATAGGTGAGTAAGAGGACGTCAAAAGCATCCACCCACAGAGCAATCAGGTTGATTTCTTCCTGTTTCTGTTCTTGTCAGGAGTTCCAGGCACCAGGAATGAGGCCTTCTACGACTGCTGTAAGGAGCCGTATCCTGATGTGACCTTTGTGGTGACGATACGACGGCGGACGCTCTACTACGCCCTGAACCTGCTCATCCCCTGTGTGCTGCTGTCTTCCATGACGCTGCTCATTTTTGTGCTGCCAGCCGACTCTGGGGAGAAGATCTCTCTGGGTGAGTGGATTCAAAGGAGCCGTGGCGGAGAAAAAAAAAAAGGCAGTTAGAGGCCAGCGAAAGACTCAAAAAGCTTGTGGGGAATTTATCAGTTACATGTCTCGGTCTTTACACAAAGAGATTGAAACCAGTGTGAGCTCAAGTAAAAATGGATCATTTTATTAACCTTTAAGTCAAAGAGGTGGCTATATATTGATATTTTCTTCTACCATAATGTCATGACTCTTTACACATTTATTCTGCACTTTACCTTTAATGGATATTTTATATCCTTCTGTTAAGCAGATACCATGATGTATCGTAATAGAATAGTCATAAAGCAAAGATAAAAACATCCAATGCCATTGGGGGCTGTGTGTTAGATGTTTTGCCTCTTTAGGATACTAATCAATTTAACATTTGCACTCATTAACTGTCCTTTTGAATTCTTTCACTTAAAATCTACCAGGAATAGTGCATTTCAAAATAAAAGCGCAGTTTGACAAAGTGAGAGATAAAGCAACCTTGATGGCAGCTGATAAAATATCCAATAAAAGCCTGACAGTGATTTGTCTTTAGATGAGCTGATGATGTGGATAAATCAAAGATTTTAATGTTAAAAGAAACAGATGATTAAATTGAAGATAATCACATTCATCAGTTGCTCTTTTTAAACATTGAATCCCACATTACTGTTACTGATCTCTTGGTCTCTCTAATGCAAAGTGAGCACATGCCAGCGAGGGCGTGGACTCATTCGAAATCAATGTCAGAGAGTACACAGCTCACACAGCCCACCTGTCTGCGAGCATTTGATTATCAAATGTAATTAAACAACCCCGTTACAGAACTATCCTCTGCATGCTTGTTGTTAATGAGATTATAAGTGAAAGAGAGAAACGCTGCAAACATGTTTTTTGTGCTGCAAAGTCTTAAATTTTAATGCTGGAGCCAATGGGGATTGGAGCCTTCGAGGGACTGCGTTTTAGTCTGACAGCTCACATGGAAAATTAGTGGGTTTTTTTTCACACAGCAGTGGAACATAGTTAGAGTTTGGCATTGAGGCTCTGACGTCTGCTCAGTCTGCAGATATATTTTACGTTGAGGAATTCAGGGAAATATCTGAACCACCTATCTGGAGCCAGCAGGTGGATGGCGGGGTGGCGCTGGAGCTGATCAGTGACAGTGCGGCGGATACAGGCAGCAGCAGCAGCAGCTTTAAAGGAGCAGGAGGAGAGATGTGAAATTTTTCAGCTTAAGAAGATTGTAAAACTAAGAGGCTGTGTTTGGCAGATGATTGTGGGGAATTAAGACGTAAGGTGTGTTTAACCGTTAAGCTAGAATTAACCCTGAACTTGAGGTGATGCTCCATTTTCAGCATCGGTGCCTTTTATTGCTACTTACTTAAAACTTCGTCAAGGTAAATACATATGGCGTACATGTTTCTGGTAGATTTACACCAGTGGGAAAAGTCGTACTAAAGAGCAACACAGCTGTTCATCAATGATTCAAATCTGCGGCTCGATGGAGATGGAAATGTACACAACATGTCTGCCAAAAACTGAGCCTTCACCTCCTGGAATAAAAGCAGAAAAATAGAGAAATGTCACCGAGGACAGCGGGATAGAAAGAGGCAAACAGAAAAGGTGTGGTGCAGAAGGAAGAGAGGGATTACAGGATAAAAGATAGAGAGATGATAAATGCGAAAAGGAGGGGCTGTGGGACGAGAGTTAAGAAAGAGGAGCTCAGACAGGAAAGGAATTCTGGAGGGATGAGACAGGACGTCCGGAAAGAAAGAGAGAGAAAAAAAAAGAGGAGGACTGATGAGGAGGAAAAGGTGGGAGACAATCAAATCAAGCTATAATAAGCTGGAAAGAGAAGGAGGAAGTCGTGCTAGGAGATAACAGCAGCTGCAAATATATTTTAATATCTGTTTCAGGCTGTTTGGAGCTCTTGATGAATGACGTTCACCTTGCAGAGTGGATAAAACCCCGGCGAACACACACCGTAGGCAGTCTTTAGCTGAATAAGAAAACAATTAAATGAATAATCAATCCTCACAAAGAAATTTGGCAACTTTTTTTTTGTAATTTGTGATTTGTTTCCCTCATTTTTTAAGTGCCAAATTCACTGATACCCTTTTGTTCTTTATATGACTGTTGATGGATTAACTAAAGCCCGAGACGCTTGTGTAAAAAGGCTGTTTCATTTACACCTCGTTTGGCTCAAACAAAACAATTAAATAACAAAGAAAAACAGTCAGCAGATAATAAACGCAAGAAATTTCTTAAATGAAGCCAGATGTCAGACATTTTAATTTGAGTTTTTGTGCGCGTGAGTCCGATTTCTTGCCAAACATACTGAGAATTTCTGGACTCCGAGTCGAGGTGGGAGGGGAGCAGCGACGGCTCTGTCAAAGTATATTCTAACCTCCATATAGGATGCATTACGCAGCATTTCCCCCTCGACAAAAAATGCAAAGCCTACCACACACGGCCAATTAACCTATTGATGTAATTAAGGCTAGTGAATTGATCGCAGGGAGAGAGCTTACACACCGCCTTCCAGGAAAATACTCTGTCACTTCTCTGATGGAGGAGACACGGGGACAAAGTGGGTGGGTCCTCCTCCTCCTCCAGGTTTAAGGGACCCTGCTTTTAAATAGAATTAGTGCCATTTTCTCTTGAACAAAGACAACATAAAAGAAGCATTTTTAATTTTCTTAATATCCTTAAAGGGCGCTCATAATTTATATCCAGACCTGGCAGTTTTAATTGAATGTCTCTGAGTTATGCCAGCAAAGCACTCTTTAGATTCTGTGGCTTTGAGAAGTGAGATGGATAGTTTGGAGGACGGTAAATGAAGATGGAGATGAGTTTCAGAGCAGGAGTGTGTGAGGTGTGCGTGTATATGTATGAGTGTGTGTGCGATTTGCTGTGTAGCAGTGCTTTCTCCTGCAGAGGTACAGGATGTCGAGATGTAATTCACTGTATGAGCATTAGCCAGTCATTTACAGAAACTGAACCTGAGTGACTATTTATCAGAAAACCCAAACACGCTAATGCGGCGACTCGGAGAAAAGTACCAGAACTCTGACAGAGGACTAAACTGAAATAGAAGTTTGTTGGTTTCTCTCCTTGTTTCCTTCTCTGTCCTTTAACATTAAGAATACAGATGTAAAATAAGATTCTTATATGTTGATTCACATATGTGTATATGTGTTTATCTCTCTGCAGGTATCACTGTGCTGCTGTCCCTCACTGTTTTCATGTTGCTGGTTGCAGAGATCATGCCCGCCACGTCAGACTCTGTCCCTCTTATAGGTACGTACTAAAATGTGTATTATCCGCACTTGACCCGAAGCTAAGCTGAAGAGTTTCTGATTTTGCAGGTTTGTGTCATGAACTAAATATGGATAGAAAGCTTTTCTGTGTTTGTTTGTTTTAATCATTCATGCCCAAATTTCACCTGACAGGAAAATTCCAACCCAGTTATGTCACCCTGTCCGATCAGTGGTGATGAGGCGGCTTTAGGCTGATTCAACAAATTTCCAATAAACACTGAAAGACGGTAGAAATCCCTTTAAAGCTCCTGTTAAGAACTTTTGCTTTGTGTTGATTTTGGCGCCCTCTGTGGCCAAAGCAGTGTTTGCATATTACATATATTAGGGTGACCATACGTCTTCTTTTACCTGGACATGTCCTCTTTTTGGGATCTGTCTGGGCTGTCTGGGTAAGTTTTGATTTTGTGTCACGTGGACTTACTAAGTTTACGTAAAAGACACTCGAGACCCAAAAAACTCTCAAAATTAACTTCTTGCGACACTGTGACTCAGCCCCTGTGTAGTCGTGTCCTCTTTTTGGTAAGTGAGAATATGGTCGACCCAACCTATATGTAATTACATAAGTTTTTTAGGCAAAAATCGCAGCACACAGGTAGTCTCTTCATTAGACACCTTCCCCCACCAGTAATTTCAGATATCAAAAATAATTCTGTAGAAGAAGTCACAGATTTTGTTTGCTTTTAAAAGACATAAAGAGACATCAGTTTGGATTTCAGCCTGTTTCACAACCAGCTAAAAAAACCCTCACTGGAGCTTTAAGTTTAGATTTCTAAAATCAAGACCTTAAAGCTCCTGTGAGAAGATTTTTGACTTCTGCAAAATAGACCAAAATTCATATTGATGCTTTCTTTATTCATCCAAAAGCAAAGAAGACCATCAGCAACATGACTGATGCATTTTTTATCACAGTTTTTACTGCCTGTTACCAGTGGGATGGGGTAGGTGTCAGCTAACCCTAACTGACCTGCTTTTACATAAATATTTGACTGTCAAAAGTCAGTAGGATGAAGTATTTCAGCATGTAGAGGTCAAGATAAACAAAGTCTGGTCACACTTCATCCCTGTACCCAACTTTAAACCACAAATTCAAACTGTGTGATAAAAACTCAAGAAACCACCGAACTCTTTGGGATCCAACCATAAGGGACCGTGAATTTCCGGACTAAATCTGCCATTCATCCAACAGTGAGGATATTTCTGTCTGAAACAAGCTTGACAGACTTCACCATCCAAGAAGTGCAGAAATAAGCATGACTAAAACTCCCTGGTGTGTACAGAGAAATCTCTGCAATCTGTCCAAGACACCAAGATTTTGGATTGGTGACAACTTTACAAACGTAAAGACAAAAACTGCACAACTCCAACACATCTCGACACCGCTAGATTCCAAAAATCTCAGAGGAGCCTAATTTATTTTAGCCATCTGTTTGCCTTAAAAGTTAATTGGCTAAATTGATTGCGGGCGCACTGTCGGAAATTATGTTTATTAAGCCTAAATTTGCAGCCAGAGACAGATGCATGGCCATCCTTGCCTAGAGACACAAATCATGGTCATTAAAATTAAAAAAATAAATAAAAAAGTGGAGTCATAATCAATAGAGTGCTGCCTTCAGCATATCTTTTTGATATAAATAACCCAGCTGGTGCATTTTTAATCTGTTCAATAACATAATGAATGCAGTGAAGTTACTAGTAGGTGGTAATTGCAGTCACAGATCCAGATATGTGGCAAATTAATTGTCTTTTTCTTTCGCTTTTGGCCTTTTTTTCCCTATAAGGGCCTTTTGTTGGGGTAAATGATTGATAACACCGCTCTGTTTTCTTCTCTCAGGTCAGTACTTTGCCAGTATAATGATCATTGTTGGGATGTCAGTCATCGCCACAGTCATCGTTCTGCAGTATCATCATCATGATCCAAATGGAGGCAACATGCCCAAATGGGTGAGGCTGAGCTCCAACACTTAATCACAACCTGTGGCTGAATACCGACACATACATCATCCTTACAGCTCGTTAAATCCTGCCAACAGTTGGTCTCCTTGTTTCAGATATGATCTACTTTTTTTATGAATCTCTATTCAGTCCTCAGCTCCACCATTTTTCAGTCATATTTCATCCATCTGGTATTACTCTACCTGTGCTCCCACATGTCAATTTCCCCTCTCTCTTTTCTTTCCTCTGACTTCCTCGGCTATGACTCATGCGGCGGTGTCAGTCTGCCGGAGTGTTCATCAGCACAGACTTCAACAGGAGAAGGTTTCAAAGAGCTCTGGATATGTGGGCGGATTCGATTTGACTCCCTCCGTCATATTTTTCTTGCCTTCTGTTTCATGCTAAAAAATGCATTAGGATCTTTTTTAGACGCGTCTTGCTCTCGAGTTAAAGTATGAAATAGTAAAATGCGAAAAAGGGGGTCTAAATGACAACATGAAATATAGAAATTTTATACAATTGGTTTTGAAAACGGCTGCTCTTTTCTTTTAGTAACTATTTCCTCTTGTTTAAATCAACAGATGACAAAAACTGCCAGATCTACACTAATCAATGCACTTTGCTAATGGCTCGGTTGCATAAGAGTACAGATGCTCCATATATTGATACATTACAAGGACGCTGCGTTGATAAATGGCCTCTTCATACACTCGATGGCCAATTAACAAAATAATTGATGTGGTTCAGATGAGCGCATCGAACCGGCACAGTTCATAATCACAGCTACGGACAAACACAACAACAACAACAACAGCAGCAGCAGCAACAGGCGCCGTTACCTGCCTGCTTAACAAACAGTCGGTAGCAGCTAATTGAGTGGTCATCTGGACATTAGCTTCTCATTAGGTGCCAGACACACATCTGGAGGCTGTTAGGCCAATATGCCCTTTTAAGGGACATGTAGTCTTTTACCAAGGGAGTGTTTTAGGTGGAGGAGAGGGCAAAGAGAGAAGAAAAGTGGAAAATAGAGGAGTAGAAAACAAGATTTAGCAGCAGTTAATCTTCTCCTTTTCCCTAATGCTGCAGTTTGCAAAGGCATTATTGCATGCTCATTACCGTCAAGAGAAAGTAATCTTACAGTCAATCTCTGTTTAAATTCAGCGCTGTCTTTTTAAGTATCCTCTCCACTGGAAATTCATTTAAAGTTTAAAAAAAAAAGGAAAAAATCTTCTTTGCCTCGAGCGCTTTAACTCAGCATCCCCGAGGATCTCATACTTCTGCTTATACGAGTGCAGCTGAATTTTGAAACGAGGAGCAGGGTTGGTAACAGCACAAACGTGAGTCTGACGATGAAGTGAGGCTGTTCAGGAAGCTTACCTCATGTCATGTGAAGGTCAAAGCGTGTGGGTGGCTCCTGCTGCTCGAAAGCTTTCTTATCATTTCTTCCTCTCGCTCGTGTTTTTTTATTTTCTGCTTCTTCTCGTCCCCAGTTTTGATTTTTTATGTCTCTCTCTGCAGGTTCAGCTTGTTTTGCTGCAGTGGGTGGCCTGGTTCCTGCGCATGAAGCGTCCAGGAGAGAACGACGACCCAGAGCGTCCGCCGTGCGCCCCCCACTTGCGGCGCTGCTCCTCGGGCTCCCAGAGCGGCAGCATCCCAAACCAACAGGACCCCACCCTCCACCCGCTGCACCCACAGAACCTGGCTCCTCTGCAAACAGGGCCCCTCCATGCCGGGCACCCTCACCTCCACTCCCAATCGAGTACCAACAACAACGGGAACCTTCTCTACATGGGTTTCCAGAGCATGGACGACCCTTCGATACTCTCAGAGTCCCTCCAGAGGAATAACCTCTCCACAGTACCCACACGAGTAGCAGGGAGCCCACCTCCACACCTCCCGTCTCAGTTCTGCAGCTCCCCCCCACCTCCTACACCGAACATGGATACTGTAGGCTGCCCCAGCACGGTCTCCAGTGGAGGAGGCTTTGGAGGTGGGCCAGGGGGGCTTGGGGGCTGTTCGTCGTCAGGGATAGGAGACCCCCAGCTGCAGGCGATCTTGGAGGAGGTGCGTTACATGGCGGACCGTTTCCGGGAGCAGGACGAGGCAGAAAGCATGGCCGACCAGTGGAAATTTGCAGGCGCCGTCATTGACCGACTGTGTCTGGTGGCGTTCAGTGTTTTCAACATTATATGCACCATTTCCATCCTTATGTCCGCTCCAAACTTTGTGGAGGCTATTTCAAAGGACTTCGTTTGAAAGCGAGAAGGGGAGGAAGAGCGTGAAGGAAAGGATGAAGGGAATTAAATATAGGATGAAAGATGGAGTGGGCCCGGATCCAAGGAAACACAATTTTCCAGTGGACTGTTGGCTCTGTGATTTGTGATCACAAGAAAACTGGGAAACTGAAAAAAATAAATGGTTTTCTTTGCAATACGTTCTATTTTGTAACCGGAATAAAAGCAGAAAACAGATGAGGAAGGGGATACGAAGTGAACTCAAAGCAAGATTAGGGTAGGGAAGGTGCTTCATCAGATTGTCGACAGGGTGGAATAGATTTTTGTGGTAAATTCAGAGAGTTTCAGCCAAAATTAGGAGAAAGATAAGTCAAGCAGAGAAAAAGAAAGAAAAGACTATCAGTCTAATGAAGGCTCGGGTAAAAAAGAGATCCTAAAGCAGCGGGGAGATTGAGAGAGCAAGAGAGGGAAGAGAAAGGCATTTGATGGAGCAAGATAAATAAGACAGACATTTGGCTGTTTTATTTTCTCAGGGAGGGAAGACAGTCTTTCACTCCCACATGTCGAGCAAAGACCGCATCGTTTAAACGGATGTGAGAGGAGAATCTGGGCAGAGGAGAAAGAGACTTAAACAAGGAGAGACAACAAAGGGCAGTGAAGGAACAACACTTCATCCCTCTTGACGTTAGGTGGAGAGAGCAGCCTGATGCTCTTACATTCAGAAAGTGGACTAAAGATCAGGGAGGTGCAGCAAGGAGGGAGGAAGAGAAGAGGATCCCATCAATCATTCAATCACATTTATTTAATGACCGTCAAACTGAAAGACCTTGGTTAATCTTTAAGACTAATCAGCTTTAAAAAGATGAAGTTCCCCTCTCTGCTCACAAACCACTTTAGATTAACAAGGCCTTATCTCCTTCAGATGATTGCCAATCTGCAACAATCAGCAGAGATCAAAAGCTGCTCATCAGTGGGCAGAGTGTGCCGCGCTTATCACAACAGGAAACTGAATTAGTGGGTCATGAATGATGTACTGGCCACCGTGGAGGCTGGGACCAGTAATTACTCTGTGAGCAGTCGCCTAACTGGGACTGGGTAGACCCAAAGACCACACTGAATTTCATATTAAAGGTTTAGAGACTCAGATGGGGCGTCTCTGCTGAACATGACTGCGGCGCAAAAAACAAGTAATCCTTGAATCTAAATGGAGATGCAACATCTCATCAAATTTCTGTCAGATGCTTTCAAGGATTTTATGAGCGATTTCACATCTATCTTAAATGACGGATGAGACTTTAATAGAGCTGTTTTTCATGAGCTTGACTCCAGTCACTCCAGAGCTGTGATTTAAAATACTACAACTGCAGGTCTGACCTTCAGCCGGTCAGCATTTGAAGAAAAAGGCAACCATTAAACAAGTCTCAAATGAGGTTGAAAATAACTCTTTCCTTTAGTTTGACAGAATAAAAAACTTTCTTATGTTAGCCGAGCCTAGCTGAATTTATCAAGAGGTATTTATTTCAAACCCCCCTAACAATTTTATTTGGTGTCACACTTTGGTTTAAGTTTGGAAAGCACATCTTTCAAATGTATTAAATTTTACTCTTTTTTTTTTTTGGTTAAATGCTAACTTTAGGTGTTTTCTTATAGTGCAAAAAATGAGAAATGATAATGATTCATCAGATCCTAAATTTATTTGACTGACTTACCTACATATTATCCATAGACTGTATATAGAATGGACAGCGTCTGCCTCCTCGCTGGGTGAAGCCACTCTGAGAACAGCACCCTCTGATGTCCGGCTGCAGTATAGGTCATAAATCCCAAAGCAAAGCTTACGGGGCTGTGGACAAACTTTAGAAATTTATTAAACAGAATATAAATATTTCTCTCCCCTGGTTCCGATGTTGACATGTAGTTACTGTCAGACTGGTTTGTGCTCAAGTCCTCTTTTTTCTGTGCAGCTCTGTTTTAAAAAGTTATTAGGGGGTTCATGTTTTCTATGATTGACACCTGATACAGCCTATGGGTGTACAAAAATTGCGTAGCTCACCCAGGGGGTATGCTGTTTTAGTTGAGCATCATCACAGTGACTCTCTGTGACTTTCCCGCCGAATGCGTACAACGCTACTGCGCAATGTTGAGTTCAGGAAATGAAGAAAAATTGCAGAAATACTGAGAGCTTTTTGGCTTGAAATCCGTATACTGACGGGAGGCGGAACCGAGTTGTCCATAGTATATACAGTCCAGGATATTACCATCAAACAGAAATATAAAGCTACACTAGCATTTGGCGTGGGAACAGACTCATTCATCAGGTCATAACCTTTACAGTATCCTTTGTGAAGTGTCAGTAATCACTGGGATATGATACTGCAGCAGAGTTTAAGACTGAGGGGCTTATTAAGACACGGCCAACAATAATGAAAGAAAAATTAGTCGTTTAAAATAGCTGTAAGGAACAGACATTCAGTTGTGAGTGTGTCGTAAACAAGTCTTAAAAAGAGGTGTCACACTTCTCAATATCAGGTATCATGTGGTGGTGGCTCAAGGGCACAGTTGAGTGAAAAAAAAGTTATGAAATACCAGAAAGAAATAAAACATCCTTGCAGTGCACTTTTCAGTGAAAGAAGAATAAATAAGAGATATCTGAAAGTTTTGTTGAGAAACAACTATTTAACCTTACGGCAGCAGAGAAATAGAGAAGAAGATACCAGGAATATTTACTGAAAATTATACTACAAGTTAAAGGAATAAGGCTTGAATTGGAGTTATTTTCAGAAAGCAAACAGTCTATAGTTTTATGGTTCACAGCCCAGCAGTAGACATTTGTTTCTGATAAAGGTGTAATCCTTAAAGGGAAATTGTAGCGTAAAATTAATTTAGAGTGATTTCTTCATGTAAATGCAATCAGACCGAGACGCTAAGGCAGAAGAACTACCGTGTCTGCAGTGCAAAATGATTAATCTGATGATTATTACTTCAAGGAAATAATGAAGAAGAAATTATCATAAATGTTCTTCCTTGAGCTGTGTCACCCTGGTGTAGTGCAGAATGGACTGGTCTGAGGTCTCACTACAAACAAGCGGCTGCTGGAAGAGAGTAGGTGAGTTGTGTTTAGTCTCTTTCCTAAAAAAATTAGGCAAAGTTAAAAAGATGTTTGGTGGCTAGTTCTATGGCTGTGACCCTATATGTACTGTTGATGAAGTTAGATGCTGTTCTGAGCATTATTTGTGGCTGTAGAGTGGGGTTTTGGTTGAGGTTTGTTTATGGCTCCTCAGACGGCTGTGTATTGCTATCATGCGGTCGTTACTAAAGTTGGTATAACTAGAGAAGCAAGGGGTCAGCAACATTCATCTCTCGAGGGGGTGTCTAACTCGGTGTTACGTGTGTTTGGCCGTAAATTAATTTTACACCATATTATCCCTTTAAAATTGGGTTTGGAGTCTATGCTTTATTTTTAGAAAGTTAAAAGATCTCTTATCTGAGCTGAGCTTTCAAGTTTTGCAAACATGTGTCCCTTTCAGCTGTGGGTAAAAACATTTCAGGTGCTCTAATGGGTGTTTTGGCAGGAGAGCGAGGCACGTACAGGGATGAACTTGAACCTACTTAGCAAACTTTGAAGAGACATGTACAATAATACACCGCAGACAGCTACGTGCGTGTTGCCATTTTTATAATCCAGATCTGTTTATGAGGCAGCAGAAACCATCCAAAAATACTAAAAAGTTAGAATGAAGATTTGGGACTTTTAATGAGGCGGCCTCTCAGCCCTCTCAGTGCAAATGAGTCACCAAAACAACGTCACTCTCAACCTTATTTTGAAAGGACAACATTTGAGCATCCTGAACTCCCTTTATCCGACACATGAATTTGTTTGATTAAAAACTATCAGAGCTTTTTTCTTCCCTTTGTATGGAAATATATAACGGTTTCTACCTGACCTTTGTGCAGCACATTCACGGCACAGTGTGGAGCTATTTCTGGAACTACAAGGCCAAAAGCACAGAAAAAATGAACGGTATTTACAAGTATGTGATTGTTTTGGTGTTTTCACAGGATTAGAAAAAACTTGCGGTCTGTAATGTTTTGTTTTAGCAGGAACATCTCTTGAGGCTGTACACATGCACACTCATTGTGGACTGAGACAGCTGTGTAATTCATCTCTCCACCTCTCTTCATCTTCTACCCCTCTCTCTTCCTCTCTAATGTCAACTCTCCTGGCAGGTGGGAAGTCAACTTCCTGCCATGTGGTTTGTTGAAGGATGTTCCTCTGACTAAAACACTCCCGTCTGTACAGAACATTTCTCATCCTGAAAATAAAGGACTCTCTCTTTTTGTGATAAAACCTTTGGTCTGCATGCTCTCTCTCTCGCTCTCTCTCTCTCTTTCTCTCTCTGTTGACTGGCCCGACACCCAAAAAGAAGAGAAAAATGACAGAGTGAGGGGGTAAGGGAGCAGGAGAGAAAGTGCTGACACGCAGTGGGAGCTGGACAGGGCCTTAATTGATCACTCGTTCAGGAAGGAGAGAAGAGGGAGAGGAGGGGGATGGTAGGGAGGAAGAGGGGGGAGTTAATGGAGAAAAGAGGGGGGGCATACTGGGTAATTCATTGGATTTATGAGGGACGGAGTCAGGGGAGATGGGGGCTCGGACACGTATAACTCAGTCACAGACATCAAATGAAAGGCCGCTGCAGTACATCACAGCAGAAGGAAAATATATACTCCAGGAATAAACAGAAATTACAGACAGATTTTCATGAAGTCCATCAAGCATTGGGGGCAATGGATGTGTGTGGCCTACACTGTCACCCGAGTCAGTGCATCAGACAGAGTAAAGAGTCAGGGGGGTATTTATAGTATAAGCTGGTCCTTATTCAGTCCAGGAAAAGGCGCCCTGTTAACTCTCTTTCTCTCCGAGGTTGAAAAATGTGCAGCGCAAGCAATCTAACAGCACTTAGATTTACTGTGTTCACTCAGATGGAATAAAAGAAGAGGGGGAATGTGTGTATGTGTATGTGTGTGTGTGTGTGTGAGCTGTCCGTGGGGAAGATGAGCTCCAGGGTTTTTGCGTATATGCACAGTATCAATCAGTTGTTTTTGTTTGTTTTCTTCCCTCAAATCCGGTGTAGTACGTACGTGAGGCCCTAAGATAGTTTACGATATGTATATGTGAATTGAACCGCACTGGGATCACATTAGCACACTCACACTCACACACACACACTCGCACAAAGCTCTGTGTAAGCTAAACAGATGCAATCAGTCCAAAGCATAGAAATAAAGCAGCAAGACACCCATTACTCAACTTGGAAGTCAAAGGTTCAACACGGACATTATTCAAAAGTACACGGTATTTTTGCACCACATACTAACTACACACATGTTGATACATATTTAGATGCACACCTGTCCCCTCGGAGAGCCCCAGCGTGCTCTGCTGCATGATCGCATCCCTACATCTTGCGGCTGAAGCCGATCAATGCCTTTTAATTACCAAGGGCCCAAAGCGCTGGTCGATACAGCTGACGAGAAGCAGAGGGAGAGTGAAAGAGAGAGATAGAGAGAAAGGGGCAAAGAGAGAGAGAGAGGGAGAGAGAGAGAGAGAGGGAGGCTCCAGACGGTGATTGATGCTCCCTCCTGTCCAGCAGCCTCTCTACAGATGTGTCGTTAGGCTTGATTAATCCTGCCCAGCCATGTTCAGTCACTTTACAGACCGCTGTTTAACCAGCGTGGGCCGCTGTGGTCACAAGGTTAAGTGGACACAAGGCGTCCGCCCCGAGGAACAAAGGCCTCCTATCCAATAAGTCAAGGGTGGCGGATGCTCTCAACAGTCCTGGCTTCTTGCCTGTTATCTTGTGATCATGACTGCAACGAGTTTAATGTCCAAGTTACACAAGAAATAAACATCCAGCTGCCAAGGTAAGTGGCGTATAAGCCGATTCTACCCCTCGACTTATTTCTACTCAGGGACCCACAAATATCGGCAAAGGTGTAAAAAATCTGTTGCTAAGTGACTTATTTTCCTTCTCAGGGTGATTAAAAAAGTTTTATGTTTCTTTAAACCATAAATGATGAAGTAAAATTCCTAAATCATTTTGTTAAAGAGCACCTCAGCCTCATAATATTTCAACTTTATTGAACTGGGCGTCTAATAAAAGACAGATATCAATGAGAACAATAAAAACTAAAGCAACAGAGGCGAAGATATCCTGGCTTTTTTAATCTGTGGTCAGGCTTTGAGCTGAAAGTAATCAATCAGTCATCAAGAAAACATATTGACAAGTTTATTAAAAAAAATTTTGTTTAGCATTTTAGCTACTTTTAAATCATCAGTGTTGTTTTTAAGCTTTTATTTACTGTAAAAAATTCAGCTATGTTCTTCCTTCTCCGCTGTAGTCTGTAATGGACTGGCCTGAGGTCTCTCTACAAACAAGCGACTGCTGGAAGAGAGTAGGCGAGTTGTATTTAGACTCTTTGCCAAAGAAATCAGGCAAAGCTAAAAAGATGTTTGGTGGCTAGTGCTGTGGCTGGGACTCTATATGTACTGTTGATGAAGTTAGGTGCTGTTCTGAGCTTTATTTGTGGCTATAGAGTGGTGTTTTGGTTCAGGTTTGTTTATGGCTCCTCAGACCGCTGTGTATTGCTATCGTGCGGTTGTTACTAAAGTTGATATAACTAGAGAAGCAAGTGGTCGGCAACATTCATCTCTCGAGGGGTGTCTAACTCGGTGTTAGGGTGTATTTGTCCTTAAATTAATTTTACGCCAGAATATCCCTTTAATCTGTTGATGTTTATTTATTTGAACATCATTAGTTGTCACTTTAGACAGTTATTCGTTGCTCAGTCCCTGAAGGCATCAAAGCCCAAAAATTAAAGATTAGAAGAATAAATCAATAAAAATGATGAAAGATGTTTTTTTTTAATCAGTATAAAACAGGAAATTTGAAAAACTCAAAGACTGAAAAGTGTCAAAAACTCAAACTCAAGAATTTAAGCTTCACAAAAGGTAAAGATTTAAACTTTGAAAATGTGCTGCCACACAAAAGTGAACTTTTTCTTCCTTTTTAAGTTGTATGAGTTTATTTGAAGTTAAATCCTGTTATTTTAAGTTATAAACACAGTGATAATAAGATCTTTTGTTACTTCTCACTGGAGGATTTTGCAATCCAGTGCAAGTTTTACAGAATTAAACAGAAAACAAATAGAGGTAATCCAGGACCTCTGGTGCATTAAGAGTGTTAAAAGTTTTGATCTGAGACTATTATGCCTTTGAATTACACATTACATAATTAAAACAAGTTTTTCTTACATAACATTGTTTGGGATTCAAGATCCATCCGTCTATTCTGAGCAGTACACAAGGAACCAACACAAAAAAAACAATCTACTTGGCACGGTGGCTGAACACACAACAAAAGACAGTCGAATAAATCCGGGGGCTTAAGACCACCAGAGCTGTGGGTTGTTTCCGTGTGAGAGTGAGAATGGCACGCTAGAGGGATTCCTGCATCGTTTCCACTGGAGCCTAAATACAAGTGGACGTAAAGTGGACTTAACACATTTTCCCTGAGGTGTGACAGCTGGGTAAGCAGCCACTTTGTGTGACTGAGGACATTAGTTTAACCTGACAGCCAAAATCTGCTGACCATTAAGGAAGTGTCGCTTCTCCCTCCTTCACTCTGCATCCAACTAGATTTTGGTCAAAATTCACAGATTATCTTTTATTCAGACAGTCGCTGAAAAGACATTAAAACACTTTGACAAGCTTATTTAATTGCTTCTTTGGTGAGGCTGGTCTTAATTACAACTTCAAATGTCATTAACACAAAAGAAATCTACCTCAAACTTCAGCCCTCTCTCACTCTAAACACCTCTTTTCACACTCTCTCGAAGACTTCCTCTTGCCTTTTGATCTGGTTTTATCACGGGTATCCTGATGATTTTACATCCTCAGTTGTGCAGCGAGAGTGAAGTGAGGATTTCCACTAAATTAAGAAACATCCCTTCAAGAATAAACTCTGTCTCAAGTACGCGTCCTGCATGCAAAATACCCCTTGAGGATGAGTGCTATTATTGCATGCACAGAGGTAGTTAAAGCATCAGCTGTTCATGACGACTATACTAACATGAGCAGTGGTTGTTTTTAATATCTGCACAGTTGTTTCTTCTATTACACAGTTTTCATCAGGGCTGGTGTTGTTGCATCATAATCTTTTACACAAAGTGGGCCTGAGGACTTCCCAAAGTGCAGGTCTGGTGTTATGAGGTTGTTGAGGTAGACTCATGAAGACAAGTACTCCACCGTATGTCAAGTACTTGAACACTTGGATGATTCTAGTTAGTCTATAAGCGGTGGTCTCCAACTTTCTCTTAACTTTTGGTCATCCTATCAGTGACAGGCCTTTAGCCTCCTCGCAAACAGCTGTTGTGTGCTCGTCTGTCAGTCAAGTCAGCCCTGTCTCTGATTCGCCGATACAAACAATACAAAACTCCAATCATTGGGTGTTACAGGAGCCCTGAGTAATTCAGACCAAAAACATTTTCTGAACTAGGCTTTAAAATGTACAAAAATAGGGTTATGGGGAGATGAGAGGTGAATGTTGCAGACCGCTTGCTTCTCTAGTTATACCAACTTTTGTAATGACCGCACGATAGCAATACACAGCGGTCTACGTCTACTCCTCCTCAACCAAAACACCACTCTATAGCTACAAATGATGTTCAGAACAGCACCTAACTTCATCAACAGTACATATAGGGTCCCAGCCAGAGTACTAGCCACCAAACATCTTTTTAACTTTACCTTATTTCTTTAGCAAAGAGACTAAACACAACTCACCCGCCCTCCTCCAGCAGCCGCTTGTTTGTAGAGGAAGCCCTGACGAGTCGATCACCGAGTGCAGTGGAGTTTCGCAGCTCAAGGAAGAACATTTATGATCATTACTTCATGGAAATGCAATCAGACGAGACACTAAGGCAGACGAACTACCACGTCTGCGGTGCAAAATGATTATTATGATGATTATTACTTAAAGGAAATGCAATCAGAGTTCCTGTTTACCTTGTATGTGCACTGCAGATGCAGTAGTTCTATGTTACCAACTGGTTCCAGAGGAGTTGTTAAGACGCCCAAAGATGGCAGTCAAATGCAGACTCAGACTTACTTTTGGTGGAGCTAGAAGCAACTACGAAAAGCAGTGGAGGCCGAAGACTTGACATCTGGTAAAGCTTCAACATGCCAACCTGTTGGTCAAGTCAAACCTGTTGGTCAAACACGAACACACCTTTGCAATTACGCCGGATTACGCATGATTTATTCACTTAATCCTGCGATTAAGAAAAAAC